GTATGGCAATTGAGAGTGAAGATCGAGGGGTGAAGTCGCTCTCTTTTGTACTTGTTCCTGCGACGACGTTCCAGACTATATGCATGATGCATTCTCCAGCTTCTCTCCAGATCCAGACTCTCCCATGTGGGGAAACCCCGTCCGTATGTAGCCTTGCATCGTTTCTGGGAAATCGAGGTCGCAGCTCGAGAACAATTCGCTGTTCTTTCTGCCGACGTTTCTCTTAGGGCGCTCGCCAGTTTGCTTTCGTGAGAGACGCTCCAATCAGGGCAAAGCCGCCCGAAAACCGCCAAAGCCGCATGGTAGACCGCCGCTAGGATTCCCCGACTAGAAAGCCGACAGGAGATCAGAAGACTTTCTCCTTGGTTGTATTGCCCCACCGTAAGACGGTCTGACGAATGGTTCTTGCAGCGGCACTTGTGGCGAAGGGTTGTCTCCGTGCTTGGGTGGGTTACGGTGGCATGGTAGTAAGAGGTTCGTTGCGCTTTTTGGGGAGGCGGTGGATGCTCAATTCAAGCTTGTGGTGGCGGAGAGTTGCCAAGATACACTAGTCTGCTTTGGAGCACGATAAAGCGGCCCCGGCTAAACTCCAACTTGGTTAGCTCCAATCATGCCATTTTAACCATATCATTTCGATGCTTTCTTTCAACGTCCATGAATCCTCCTGATGCTGATGGTGCACTTTCGTCTGGGCGTGGCAAACGTGGTCGGTCTCCATCAGGTCGGTTTTCCGTTCAATGATGACGAATGAGCGGATTTCAGTACGCGACATTCGACTACCCGTCCTTTGAAGGCAATCCATTACCGCGTTCAGAGAGTCAGTCTACTTCGGCGTAAAGGTAGGACGACTAGATGGCGCCACGAGTGACACATGTATCATGCGATCGCCTCTGTACGAGTACGGTTGACTAATCGAGTTCTTCGTTCCGGCTACTTTGCCCACCTTTCCAGGAGAGTCATGCCGGAGAATCGGGTCTGTTCCACAGGCATATTGAATCCTTGACAAGAGGGTCGATCCCATTATTCCAACGCCAAAATGAACCCAAAACTGGCCGCAGCAGGCTTAACCATGTGCTCTTCCCGCGTCGCGGGGCCACATGCACCCGTTCCTACTCCGCTGACTGCCGCGTCTAAACGGAGCAAAGTCACATCTTCCTCAACGAGGTCACAAGGATGGGCAGCTTTCTCGAGCATGTCGGGAGAGTGCCGTGTCGCTGTAAAGTTGAATGCTGGCTGGGGTGCCAACCGGACTTGGTTTCTCAGATTCTGTGCGGTGTCGACAGGTTTGAAGGAATATGGCTCGTCAATCCCGCTCACCCTCACTACCGGACCTGTTCCCGAGACGGTCAACTCTAGCCAGCGAGTGTCCATGCGGTTCCCGTTCTCCTGGGGGACATCGTATTGAGTCTGCAGTTGAGCAACGTCATTGACATCCCAAATGCCGAGGCGCTGGCTGCTTTTCTTATCTGGATATGACTCGCTGGGACCACGACCAAACCACTTGACGTTGGTGATGGCTTTTGTCATCACAACATCCAACCCCATTCGAGGGCAATGTTGAGGAGCATTACCTACCGGCTTCTCCAAGTGCACGAAGACTGACATTGCGGAGCCGTCCGGCTGAATCTGGTAGGTGGTGACTGCATGCCAACCCCAACCCAAGGAAGGCGGTGCAATGTAAGTCTGCGTCGTCAAGGTCAGGCCGTGGGCTCGGGTCTTCTGGTCGAGAACCATGGAGCGAAGTTGGGAGTTGATCTTGTCAACACCAAAAGAGCGCCAGTGGGGAAGTGCTCTGGGCCTGTCGTTGTCCGTCGGAGGTCGCCAGAAACACGGGATCAGAGCGTCCTTGTGGTGTGAGGACTCTGGTATTACTGCTCCAGAAGGAGTGGTCCATGATTTAAGCAGACCACGGACTCGACTGAAAGTGAATGTGGACTTTGCTGTGGAGATGGTCAGGGAAGAATTGGTAGAGTGGATTGTCGGGATGGACGGCCCTGAGCGTAAAGAGATCGGAAGGCGGCATCCGGGACAGAGTTGGTGCTGGAACCACGCAACTTCATACCCCTTCTGTGCCCAGGTCGCATCCTCCCTCAGTCGAAAGTTCACAGTGAGTATCACCTCGAACTCGGACTTTCGCTCGAACATGGCTTCAGGAAGGCTAACAGCTCCTTTTGTACCGGGCATAATGGGGGGAAGCTCCAGTTTTCCACCCAGGAGCATCTCGGCGCTGAGAGTCACCATCAGCAATGTTGGAACGACGAGGAGTCTCAGACACAGAATGATGACTCACCTTTCACCGAATTGCTCGACTTTGAATGTCGCCTCCAAATGTCCAAGGTCGACAAAGTCGTAGTTATTCTCAATGACCAAGTTTCGACCCTCCAGACGAACAGAGACTGGCTGAAAAACCTTCTTCAATTCTATGAGTCCAGGCGTGGGCTCATGCTCGCTATTGCAGAGCCCGTCCATGACAAATGTCCCGTCATTGACCTTCTGTCCAAAGTCTCCGCCGTGGGCATGGAACGATTTGCCGTCTGGACGAACATGAGAGAGGCCGTGGTTCGCCCACTCCCAGACGAAGCCGCCCTGGATGCGCGGATGCGAGCGAAAGACCTCTTCATAGTCCTCAAGCAGACCGGGACCGTTACCCATGGCGTGGGCATACTCGCACATGATCACCGGCTTTGTGAAGGTACCGTCCGCGGCGACGTCCCGGGTCGAGGCCCTCTCCACAAGGGCATCCACTTCCGCATACATGAATGAGTAGATATCCGTGGTGCCCATGCCGGTGTCGCCCTCGTAGTGGACCAAGCGGCTCGGGTCAAGGCGCTTGCAGACCTCGTACATTGCGACGTGGTTCTGCCCGCAGAAGGCCTCGTTGCCGAGCGACCAAATGATGACGCTGGCGTGGTTCTTGTCCCGCTGCACCATCTGGACGGCTCGATCGACGTAGGCGGCTTTCCACTTCGGATTGTCCGACAGGTATTTCCTCGCCTGCTGGGATACCGTACCTATCCATCGCTCGTAAGAAGCTTCTCCGCCGTCCCAGTCCGCCGTGTTGGTCGCCACGACCTCGGAGAACCCGTGACATTCGAGATCCGCCTCGTCCATGACCCACAGCCCAATCTCGTCGGCAAGGGCATAGAGGCCAGGATGGGATGGGTAGTGCGAGCAACGCACGGCGTTGATGTTGTGCTTCTTCATCAGCTCTAGGTCGTGACGGACGAATGCCAGCGGGACGGCACGTCCGAGCCGGGGATGGTGGTCATGCCGATTCACGCCACGGAATCGAAGGGACTTTCCGTTGACCGTGAGCAAGCCATTCTTGAGCTCGACCTTTCGGAAGCCGGTCGTGTGTTGTACGCTGTCAACATTGCTGCCATCCATCAGTGTAATTTCGACATCGTACAAATACGGAGTCTCCGCGGTCCACTTGTTAGGATTGTCCACTCGTACCTCAAGGTCGACTTTCGGGGTACTCGCCCCAAATTCAGTTTCTGCACTGGCTATGGCCTTGCCTCCACGATCAGGCCTTTCGCGCAGGACCACTACCATATGCCCGCCTGTGGGGCAGTGGACGTCAGTCGTGACGCGGAGAATACCATGCTCATAGGCAGAATCGAGGTCGCCACGGATGGAAAAGTCGTCAATTCGGCATGTCGTCGGAAATGCTACGAGATGGACGTCCCTGAAAATGCCTGCATCTAGTTAATCTAGCTTTCCCCTTTTGTCCACTCAGGACATTGTTCATACCGGAGAGCCACCACTGGTCCTGATCTTCGATGTAAGAGCCGTCTGACCACTGATAAACGCGGACCAACAACTTGTTGGGTTTGTCGCGTTTCACGGCGGTCGAGATGTCAAATTCGGCCGGGTTCCGACTGCCTTGGGCGTATCCGATGAGGTTGTCATTAAGCCAGACGTGATACGCACTGTCGACGCCGTCAAAGCGTAGTCGCAATTGAGCACTACAGTCCCATTCGGGTGGCACTGAAAAAGTCCGTCGATACGTGCCTGTGGGGTTCTCGTCCGGGAGATATGGCGGGCAAGCTGGGAATGGGTAGACAATGTTGGTGTATTGAGGTAGACCGTGGCCTTGAAGCTGCCAATGACCAGGCACCTGTATGGTAGTCCACGAGTTTTCTTGTTGTTGACTGAAATCATCGGCTTCAAGGGGACTGCTGGCGCAACAAAAGTCCCAGACACCGTTGAGTGACAGGGAGGTCTTTGGGATCCAGTAGGACCGCGGCGGCAAAGTATTTCGGCGGAAGACCACCTCGTTGGCATAGTCTGGGCTGCATTGTTCTGTCTGCTGCGGGATCGATGGCCCTCCGAGCCCTAGACCGTCGATTGATTCAAGCATGTTTGTGTCACAAAGAATCTGTCTGGCCGCAGACGTAAGAAGAATGCCTTCACCAGCAGAGGCAAGGAGTTTTGTTTAGGGGAGACGGCGAGGGTGATATGATTTTGGCACGCGCCGCTGGGCCACTGGCCAAGTGCGAGAGGCAGATCATACCGCAGGATGTCAGAGAACCAATCCGTCGTGACCGGAATGGACGAGGTCAGAGGCAAACGGAGAGGGAGGGGCATACTGCTGGGGAAGCATTGAGGGACGGTGTGAGTGTCCCCACAGGGGTGGTTGCATGTTGGTGTGAACAAATGAAAATCGCTGGTAGTCCGCATCAAAAGCCGACCTGCGGTAATACTGAGTGACCAATCGGAGCAGATTTTTCTCCGCCAGAATTTCCCGCCCTCGATCAAGTTAGTTCCAACCCCGCAAATTACTATAGCAGCCAGATTTGAAATCATTTTCTGCTAGTACCATCTTGCTGCCCCAACAGCACCCGCGTAACCAGATCGTTTTCGGCAACTTGTCACAGCACGCTCTCTTAACAATTGCTCCCAATGCCGATAACACCAGTGGTGAAAACAATCTGTTAGAGTGGGAACTATCGGGACTCCAAGTCACCGCAGGGGTTGGACCTCGTCCCGCGCTCCACATGCGGCCCAAATCAGCCTGTGTCATCTGTCGGTAAGTCACCGATGTCTTTTGGCCCAGGACGTCAAATCGCTCATCGCGGTTGGTAGGAGGCGGCGGAGGAAATGTATACGCTCTTACCAGGGAACGACGTGCGATTTCTGCGCCGAGAGGAACTTGCAGTGCGTTTTGAGCCAAGAGACCGATTTCCACGAAGACGGCTACGAGCCCATCGTTCCTCGACGGATACATGCTCTCACGCACAAGTCTAAGCTCCTTCCACCTCCAGACCTGTGCGAGGAGCTGATCAATCTCTACTTCCGCTACGTCCATGTTTCGTTCCACGTCTTGTTTCACAAGCCGTCCTTCTTGGCCACTTTCAAGAATGGCTCCTTGCCGAGGATCCTCCTGCTCGCAGTCATCGGCATGTCGGCACGCTTTTCACAGCACGAGAGTCTGATCAAGAAGCCACCGAAAGAGCGAGGTAGACCCTTCACCAAAGAAGCAGAGCGGCTGTTGAATCTACACGACATTTCCCTCACTACTATCCAAGCATGCCTTTTGCTGGGAGCGTCCGCCGTGATCGAGGGTGAAGGGGCGACAGAATCGGTTTTCTTCAGTATTGCTTGCCGCATGGGAATGCTTCTAGACCTTCCTAATGCGCCGGTCACCACGCGGATTCATCAGGAACTCAACTTTAGAGGTTAGGGAACCAGTGGCCCACCATATGAGTGGGATGTGAACTGACCGAGTGATAGTGTGGTGGGCGCTGTACGAAACGGACACATGGTCATCGACGGGAGTGCGACTACCGAAGATGATGCCGCTGCGCAATGTGCCGCTGCCTATGGCCGAGAAGAGATTCCTCGAGCTTCCATCCACGGCGCCACCGAATCGGACCTATATTGCTAGCCGAGGATCCCCGACGGCGAAATCACCCGTGCCACAGGACTCGCTGATAGCGCATTCAGTAGTGGTCAACCAAATTTTCTCTCAGATCGATGCGGTGAACTCACGAGCCGTCTCCGGTGAGCTGCAAGGTGCTGAACTAACACAGGCTGTCGAGCGCGTGTCAGAGGAGCTGGACTCCTGGGCCTGTAGCCTTCCCGAGAGGATGGTCAACACGTCCGAGAACCTGTTGTACTGGACAAGGCAGGGTTTCGGCAACATATTCGTCGTCCTCCACATGGACTATTGCCACCTATGCCAGCTCCTCTTTTACCAGTTCCTCCACGGCAGCACGAACCACGCCTATCACCAGCAGGGCCAGGAGCACCATCAACTGAGGAGGAGCCAGTACGCGCAAAAATGCAGAAAATACTCGACGGACGTGTGCAACCTCATCCACCTGGCGAGCGAGACCGAAGGCGCCGAACTCCTCAACTCGATCGTCGGCCACGTCCTGGCCATCGCCTCGACCGTCCAACTGCACATTCTGCTCTTCAGCGACGACGCGGCGGACATCCAGCGCGCGCGGCGACTGCTGGAACGCAACTTTGAGCTCCTCACCCGACTGAAGACCTTCTGGCCCTGCATCGACATATCGTTTGCCCGGTTCGAGGCCTTTCACAGAGCCTGCCTACGGTGCCAGGACGACTCGCACTTCCAGATGGACCAGTGGATGCTCAAGTTCATGCTCGAATTTGCGGCGCCTCTCGCGGAGCGGTATGAAGGTGAGGAGGAAGGGGGCCCCGAGGATAGTGTGGTCCACCAACGCCCGTGGTCTTTGATCAACACTGCGCTTTAGCTAGGTGGGATGTACAGACAGACGCACCAGTGTGTGTGAAGACAGATCTGGATGCCTGAAGAAATGTGGATATGACTTGCTGGCTTTATGTGTTCGGGTCCCGGTCCTATGACAAGCCATATTGCTCTACCCAAGTGACCAGAATCTATCTCGTTCATACAACACACTCCCATCTCGGGTCTCCCCTACCTCAGCACTGTACGCATGATGCGACCCTCGCCCCTCCGGCATGAGTATGAGAGCATGACAGTATGATTGAGTAGAAGACCAATCCCAATCCTCCTCCCGAGTCGGCGAGAATCACACGTGCACATGCGCAAAAGGGAACAACAACTTCAACGCGGAAGGGCAGTGTTGTTTCATTTGTAGATGACTCTATCAGAAAAATCCGCCCTCCAATTTGCCTTGTTCCCCTCCTTTCCTTTTTCGTTCATTCCAAGCGAGTGTGTCAGACTGCCTTCCTGTTTGTACTGCGAGGTAAAAAGAAAAGAAGAAAAAAAAGAGTGGTTTCTACCCACAATCCATCCATCGTGAGCAGCGCTGTTCCATCCCATCCTGACGTACTTCAGCTCACGATCGACGTCAACGTGGCCACAGACTCAATCTGTGGAAGAGGGCGAATTGACCGAACAGCTGTCCCAGGTGCCCCAGCTGTTGATTCCGCTGCTTCTGCTGCTGCTTCTTCTTCCGTATCTGCCGGTCCTTGTTCCAATCCCAAACTCGACGTCTGGTAATCTGACCAATTTCTTGTTCGCTCCCTGCTTGGCCGCTTCTCTGGCCGCCTTTCGTTTGCTCGGCCCCTGTGTAACAACCTCTGTCTTGACCGCCGGTGCCTCGGCTTCGGCGTTTTCTGAGCCTGATCCAGAGGCTTCCACGCTGGCGACCCTTCTCTGGGCCGTCTGTCGAAGAAGGCGGGCAGAGACCCGGAATGGCAGCCCCCGCGCGTGTGGATACGGTACTGCCTGAGAGGCTGTGTTGGGAGCTTTGTACCCATTCGGCGGGGGTGGGAGGTCCGTCTTCTTTCTCGACGTGTTGACGCGGGGTAGCGAGTAGTCTTCTTCAAATGCTGTTGTCGCAGAGGGTTAGTACAGATACACGAGGGGGTCGGTGTGTCTTATAACAGTGCGAGATGTGGGCAGCAGGGACAGGATGACATGTGGTGTATATGTGAAAGAGATGAGTGCGTGTGGGCAGGGCAGAAGACAGAACTGCCGTAGAGGGGGAATTGTCGGAACCGTACCTGTCCTGGAGCGAGGTAATCCCCCCAAATCGATTGCCTCAACTCGCTTTGGTAGCTTTGGCGCATATTTCGGGAAAGGAGACGCTCCATACTGCTGGGCGGCCCTGTCCACGTCCCCTATTATATCCGCGGGAGGGCTTTGGGAGAAGACCCCGCCGTCGTTGTACAGCGCCATGATGGCCCGGACGCAGTTCAGGATCGTGTACTGGCTGTCGTAATCGTCCCACGGGCAGGCCGTTCCGGTGAAGTGAGCCGCGCCACCGCCGCCGACCATGAACTTCCAGGCTAATTGATCTATCCTGTTGAAACCCCCGAGCACGCCAGGGTTGTTGACCACGAATTGCTGGCAGTCGAGGGCGAGTTGCCGTCGAGCTTCTTTGCCCGCCAACTTGACTGGTAGGCAGTACGTGGCAAGGATGATGTCGAGCGGGTCCATGGCGTTTTGTTTTCTTCCTCCGAGGACTGTTTGATGGATGGGGCAGACCAAATGGAAGTAAGCAAGGTGAGATACTTGGAGAAGACAGGGTGAGACGAGGCAATAGGATAAACAAGGTGAGAGGGAAGATGAAAGAAGGAAGATCAGGCGAGGAGGGGAATGCCCTGCACATATACCTCGACCCTCCCCAGGACCAACAAACTTAATCCTCCTCAGACTCCCCTGCTCGCATTTCCATGCCAAGGCGGGGAGAGATAGAAAGCCTTGCATTTCCCAGAGTCAACACGTCACACAGATAGCCGACAAGGTTACAACAGGGCCCTTCAAGATAGTGTAACGTATCGCAGAGTCATGTGGGGGAAACGCCCTGGAGTATGTGGAGTATATCCTGCCAATGACAGCCAGGTGGTCAAAATTGTGCTATGGGGTTCGATAAAGCCCAGAGCGCCCTGCAAAACTTGGGTCACCAATCAAATCATGTACCACGGGCCAGTTGACAACCATGGCACCGGGTGGCAGCTGGGTGACAGCTCAACATTAACGCTCAGACCACGTGGATCGCCGATCAAGAGAAAAAGCGGTGGGAGAGGGAGGTAGAGAGCTGCAAGGGGGATTTGAGGGTGAGTCAGAGGGGGGAGGTATCGAAGCCTGGGGATCGACACATTGAACAGGTCTGGCCTGGCCATCTCCTGGGTGCAGTTGGAAGAGACAATGGGTGTCCTCAACACGGCTGAAGGAAAGTCAGTACGTGGTAAGTGGTAGGTGTTGTACGGTGGGTTGTCTCTCGACAAAACTTTTCGATTGCATCGCCAAATGACCGTCTATGCTGAACGCAGTCTTCGTCCTGCTCCTCCAAAGTGCCCCCCCCTATAGCTTGGCCGATCTCTGGCGCCATTCGCGTCTAGGAACGTCCTGAATCAGCCCGTGGACCCAAACCCTAATACATGCTTGGATGCATGGTACGGACGAGAACTTGCTCAGTGGCAGGGGCCATGACTGACAGCGGCCCTTCTGCAAGGGATGTCAAACAAAGGACCCGCCTACCTCGATCTCCCAAAACTTGCCGGCTCAGCGGGCTTGTTGTCCAGGATCTCCTCAATCTCTTGCATGGTCTTGTCGTCCAACTTCTCCAACAGCTTGAGGGCCTTGCAGTTGTCCATAATTTGCTCGACCTTGGTGGCGCCGAGGATGACAGTGCTCACGTTGGGGTTCTTAGCACACCACGCCAGAGCCAATTGTGACATGTTGCCGCCTAGTCGTTCGGCGATGGCAGTCAATTTCTTGACCTTTTCGATCTTGGCCTTACCTTCGGGCTTCTGGAGCGATTCGATGGTGCTACCAAAGAAGTCTTTGTGGTTGGCAAACCGTGAGCCCTCGGGAATGCCGTTGTTGTACTTGCCAGTTAGGAGACCAGAGGCGAGCGGCGACCAAATGGTCGTGCCGTACTTGTACTCCTTGTACAGTGGCGCATACTCGACCTCGAATCGCTGACGGTGGAAGGCGTTGTACTGGGGTTGCTCGGCGATGGGCGCGATCAAGTTGTACTTTTCAGCAATCAAGGTGGCTTCCGTAATCTGGGTAGCTGACCATTCCGACGTCCCCCAATAGTACGCAAGGTTGAGATTACGGATCACCTGAGTGAAGCCTTCGACGATTTCCTTCATCGGGGTAGCATAGTCAGGTCGATGCGCCAGAACGATGTCTACATATGGCTGTTGGAGACGCTCCAGGGAGCTCTTGAGACCTTCGACCACATGTTTCCGCGAGAGGCCACGAGTATTGGGTTCTTTTCGACCGGTGCCAAAGAAGATCTTGGTGGACAAGACATACTCGTCTCGGGGCCAGTTCAGTTCCTTGAGGGCATTGCCCATCTCAATCTCGGATTGGCCATTGGCATATGTCTACCTTTGATGTAAGTGGTACGTCCGCGACTGCTCATAAGTGCTTACCTCTGCAGTGTCAAAGAAGTTGATGCCATGGTCCCACGCAGCTTGCAGGCATCTGTTCCGGCTTGTGAGCATGGACTTGACGACGTCTTGCACACGACCTACTCTTTCACAATGTTACCCTTTTGCGTGCCACCATATGTGAGCCAGCCGCCTGTTCACGCTGTTAGCCCGCTGAAAACTGTGGTTCCTACGGCCGTTGATTTGCCTACCCAGTGAGAGAACCGAGACCTTCAACCCAGTAGGGCCGAGGTGACGGAAGACCTAATTGCACAGTGGAAGTCAATTAACCTGCGCAACTCGACGCGACCAACAGAGGAACACGTACCATGTCTTTGGGGTCGAAAGCGGATCGGACAGCCATGTCTGCGAGAGTTCTGGAGCGAAACTGCGACTGCGGGTTGAAGATGCTTCTAGCTAGGCTGTTGATGAATCTTAGTGAGCTCGGTCGCAGCGACAATTGCATAAACCGAAGAGCAAGGAGAGTTTTTAGGAAATTCAAAATCGGAGAATGGAAAAGAGAGAGAGAGAGGAAAAAAAGTTGCCCGCAGGTGGAGGGGCTTCCCACTACGTTATCATGACGTTTTCAGATTGGCTCCTTCTGCACATTCTGGCTGTTTACCAATCTACCCCTCGATCCACGTCGACTTGCACGGACATTAGCTATCTACACTCCATGGTGGAGTTTTCAGTTAGGGCGAGGCGGGCCCTGCTCCCAGATGGAGTGCATTTCCTGAAACTGGTAAGTCGCAACACCAGATCGCGCATTTGCCGGAGCCAATCCTGTACCGAATCATCACTAATTGGCTGGGCCCTGAGTCTGCGCTCGCTTCAGAATTGTCGTGCTCGAGATCGCGTTATTGCCCAGAACGAGCGAAGCCGGAGTGCGACACACGGCACAACGGCTCCCGACGGTCTATTTTACCGGCGGCAGAGGTGGAAAGACCATTTGGCAAGACGTCAACACAAGCATCAAGTTAGGAGTTAGGTCTTAAGGATTGGGTGGAGCTTCAGATCCCTGGTCGCTCTTCGTGCCAGGCTCTAAGAGAAGGAGAACAGTCCGTGAGGACAATGCCATTCCATATTACGAGAGGAACAATTCAGGCAGAGGCCCCTTGCCGTCCACCTCAACTTCCTTGCTGTCCAGCTGGATCGCTAGCAGCCTTACAGGTTGCGAATCGCTGGGGTTCCTCCACATGTGCATTGTCCCTCGCTGGACAAAGATGTCTCCCCGCCTAACAAGCCTTTTCTCGCCAGAATCCAGTTCCAATTCCACCTCGCCCTCCAGCACCACGCCATAGTCGATCGAAATGGTGCGATGCATGGGCGACTTGGCGCCAGGAGCCATGTCCACCACCCGACACACTGATCCGCCCTTGATGGTGATGCCTGGGTGTTTCTGCAGGTACCCGTTGTAGGCGTCCAAATCGGCGTTGCCGTTGAAGTCGGCCGGGATCGTGTCTGTTGCATACGCGAGTCCGAACCCAGACGTGGGAAAATTCGACCACGTAGGGTTGGGGGATAGTGTTCTGGCAGCAGAAGAGCTCGGATCCGCTGGGTCAGCCGTTGCGAATCTTGCTACTCCGTTTGCATCGTGCGTGGTGATGTGGCGGGAGAACTTGGGCAGTCCCTCGACTTTGGTCGCTGGCTCAGTCATGGCTATGCAGTGATGTCGAAACTCTCCTGCAGCCTTTCGCAGTAGCAAACAACACGATGAGAGATACAGCAGAGTACAACAAATGCCAATCTATCGAAGCTGTCGCATTTCTGGGGGACAATATTGGACATGCGGGACATTATATGGTCCCCCATGTTTGGTTTACAGTTAACCCGTGTGAAGCTGACTGCCGAACCATGCCTGTGGACGAGGGGATTTCCGAGAAGCGTGGGGCTGCGGACCATGGAGTTCCTGCGGCAGCTCTCCAGTAGCTCTCTCCCGGACTGTCTCCGACGTTCAGCCAACGGTCACTCGTGGGAGTTCTGGGGGATGAGTGCGACTCTAGAATCGCATCCTGTGCGGCGAACAGCACGATCTATCACGCGCGATCTGAGAGGGACCTGTGAGCCGATCTATGCTTGGTCGGCCCTCAATCTATCCCATGCACAAAGTCTTGGTTATTCAACAGGTGAGACTGCTCCGTTTCTACTATCTTGCGGCGTTAGGTCACCGTCCGCTCCAAAGCTGTCCCCGTCTCAAAACACCGATCCAACTCCAGCGTGACGCCCATCCTTCTCTAGGCAAGAACTGGGAAATCTATCACGAGTGATCTGGGACCCTCCCTCACCGCGGCTAGCGCTCAGGGAGCATCCTTGCCCTCATCAACCTTCAGCACTCCATACTGCGGCGCCGCACCAGCGACGCCGACCTCCTTGCAATACTCGTCCCAGTGTTTGAGTAGCTCTTGCAGCTTGTCGGGGTGTCTTGCGCCCAGGTCGTCCGTCTCGCCGGGATCTCTCTCCAGGTTGTACAGCTGCCACGTCCCAGGGCCAAAGGGCTTGGGGATCATGACGGCTTTCCACTTGCCCTTCCGGAGGGCCTGGCGGTCGAACAGTTCCCAGCCCATGACCGAGTCGTCGCCGTGGATATATTGTTGCACCACAGGGTCTGATAGATACAGAACCCAGGAGGTCCCCCGCATGGGAACAACAGCCCGGCCTCTGTAGGTGGTTCCAGGGTGCTGAGTGCCTGCCAACTGTAGGAGTGTTGGGGCAATATCCATCACGGTCGCAAAAGATCGATCCAGCTCCCCAGCCCGAGCGGACGTTAATGGCGGATATCTGAGGATGAACGGCACGCGGATCCCACCCTCGGACGAAAAGGACTTGTAGAGTCTCAGCGGGGCCATGGCCGCAGACGCCCAGCGTGGTCCGTACCAGATGTAGCTGTTGTATCGCCCCATATTCTCATAACTATTGTCGTAATATCGATCGATGTGGTCGAAAATATTCTCCTTGACCACGGGATACGCCTCCAACAGCAGACCCTCGGCGCCGTTGTCGGACATGAAGATGACCAAAGTGTTGTCGTACTCGCCGGTCGATTTGAGGTAGGAAATGACGCGTCCGATATTCCGGTCCATGTTCTGCACCATGGCCGCAAAGACCTCCATGGTCCGCGAGGAGAACTTCTTCTCGTCCTCAGTCAAGCTGCGCCACTCTTTGCTCAGGGGTTTATCGAGCGGAAGCGCAAAGACCTCATGAGCCTGAGTCTCGGGCGAGATGATGCCGATTTCCTCCAGGCGTCGCAGCCGTCTCTGTCTGAGCACGTCGGGCCCTTCATCGTAGGTCCCTCTGTAGTCTCGGCGGTCTTCCTCTGGCGCTTGTAGGGGCCAATGAGGCGCCGAGAAGGGGAGGTAGGCGAAGAACGGCTGCTCCCTTTGACCCTCGTCTCTGGCGTCAAAGTACTCCAACAGTTTCGACGTGAAGGACTCAGACGAGTAGAAGTCATCCCCCAACTCAGCGACCGGGATTGGCTTGTCGTCTTCGGCGTAAAAGGGGCCGTTGCGCTTGAGTAAATCGGGCACCTTCTCGTCAACCTGGGGTTCCCACCCGTAGTGGTTCGCACCACCCTGTTAGATACCCAAAAATGTTAGCTAGCAATTTGACGGGTTGGCCAGCGACATGCCTCGTACGGGAAGAAGGCTGAACGACCGGTCGAACCCTCTCTTGGATGGATAGCGGTCCGGTGTCATGCCGAGATGCCATTTGCCCGACATAAGGGTGAAGTAGCCGGCATCTCGAAGAAGCTCGGGCAAGGCCGCGACTCGATCATTCAGGTATCCCTCGTAACCAGGCTGGCCGACCTGGAACTCCTTGATGGCCTCGATCATGGTGCCCAGCCCGGCAATGTCTGTGTACACATATATGTCAGAATGATGTTACCAACCACACCATATGTCCCGGTGCTAACGAGCCAGGTGTGTCTCTGGGGCAATACTTGCGATTGTCTGTGCCGCTCAACAGCATCGACCGCGTCGGCGAACACGCGGCGGCGGCATGGAAATCTGTAAGCCTGATCCCATCGCTGGCCAGACCGTCGATGTTGGGCGTCTTGATCTCCCCTCCGAATGCGCCCACGTCTGAGAAGCCCAAGTCGTCGGCCACGATTATCAGGAAATTGGGCCGCTTGTCCGTCGCCGACTTTGGAGTCTTCCCGGCCATGGTGAGGATATCTCCAGATCGGTAGCGGGGGATTCCATCAACAGACTGAGAAAAGTGGGCGCCTTATAAGATGAAGGTCACGAATCCTGGTCGTGTCTGGCGTGCTGGGGCCATCGAGGGAATTGCGGCAACTTGTTTTTCCGAAGTGGCTTGGCAACCCCTGAACGAATCCCCGCATCCCATGCGATTCAATCATCAGCCATCCTCACTTATTGTGTGGTACATACACTTAAATACACTTACGTGCAGCAACTTCCAATGCGCAACGTCTAGGTCGTCAACCGTATTCGGCCCACCCCAAGGCTTTCAGAGAGGACTCAGGTACGCCGCGGCACGTTCTCATTCCACCCAACCGACTCACTTCCTCTATTGACGACTAGTTGGGCTTCAGCCACGACCTACAGTTGCTGGCATTATCTGCAGTATGACGAAGATCGACCTGATGTAGATTGGCAGTGTCGTACCTCTCGCCTTGTTCAGGATCTGTGACAAGCATCCTGTAAAACACAAACCATCAAGAGAGAGATACTGTGTGGGAGAGGGAGGACGCGGACATTGCGGCCGAAACAGGGGCAACAGCCTTACCTTGGCATGTTTCCACTTGACCGGGTCTGCTGGTGAACTGATAGCGGCATCGGTGGAGTATCTCCCTGCCCATATATCAAAGTGGGCTATCCGATACTGTGGGACTAAGATAGCCGACAAACAGCGGTGCGCCTGATCTATTACGATCCCAGATAACGTGCTTACCACTCGCGATTCCCGTCTCCCCGCGAGAAAGTCAGGCCATGGACCCTTGGTCCAATCATTGACACAGAGAAGGTGGTTCACATTCACTAAATACTGGCTGGCAGACTGCGAATGCGAGACAGGTACAAGAAATGACACAGGGTTGCCACGGCCATGAAACCAGACGTCGAACTCCCTCTGGCTCTGATCAATATTCCCATTAGCTCTCTATTAGATGTCAGCTCCCCGCGTTCTTCGGCCTATGGCAAATTGAAGAAAGGGCGCAGTTTTACCTGTCTATGGGGTGGACAAAGCTCCTCGATGCAAACATGCTGCATTCTTTTTATGGAGGCTGTGCTTGTGCACGGACAATTCGATCAAAGCACAAATGGCTCGGTGGTTCTCGCCTCTGCACGAAGCTGATACCAGATGGAACAACCTCAAGGCTCCAGCTACCTACCTCCCATTACCGCTTCGTCTTCTTGAAATGTTGTTCCGAATTTGCTCTAACTCTAACTTATTCCTCTGTGTTCTGGCAGCTGGAACAATTACTTCCGCGAAGCAATGGAACATCTCCTTGGATTTTGGGGTCCACCAACGGCAGAAACCTCTTTGTTACCACGAGGACAAAGAGAGACAATAGTCGCGGCCACAAGCCGATGCAACCCGCAAACGGATCGCCTGTGGTTGTTGTCTTCTTTTATATCGTGTCCACAGCATGAAAAGGCAGAATTCCAAAACCTTTCTGTCAATCGCATTGCTCTATTCCACCACAGTTCTACTCTTACCCTGCCTCCAGATTTCCCGCCATGCGCGCATTAGCCTTGGCTTTATCGACCGCCGCCGCTCTTGTGGGCTTCTTCAACGTTGTCGCAGCTCAAGAAGGGCCTGAAATAACCGAGCCCGCTGTGCTGCCATCCATTGATGATGAGGTCAAGACCTTCACCCCTGAACTGACGCCGGAGGACGAGTACTATGTCGATGATTCAGAGGGAGCAAGGCTGGCCAAGAGGACTCCGCCTGCCGGAGTGTACATCTGCAACAACAAGAACTGGTTGGCACCGTGCAACTGGAACAAGCTCACCGACTCGAAATGCTTGGACTACCCTTCGGATGCTGGTTCTTCTGTCGGGGTACGTGGAATATCCTTGTCTTTCCCAAATGATGATTATCTGTGTGAAGTGTTGGCTGACCTATGCTCTTATGTCTTCCAGCCACCCAATGGTTGGCAGTGCAAGATCTACTATGCCAAAGGCTGCGCAGCGACAAACGGCATGACGGATGGTAAACTCACGTACCCCGGCACAGCGAACCTGGGTGCTCTGTACAACAATTATGGCAAGCCTGCGTCGATCAAATGCAGGCAATGCCCTCAGGGAACAAATTCACCTTGGTACGTCATAATGCTTTCCCCTTTGCCGCTTTGCCATTCAATGCTTGTTGTCAGATGGACTCGCTAACCATGAATACTTCATCTTAGTCTCAATAACAAAGCTCCAGACTGGAACGAGGCCGTTGCCAAAGCTGGATATGGAGGTTCTGACGGACAGTGTTCATCTTGGGTATCCGGAAAGGTTGTCCACTCATCTTGTCTTCCCGCGCCCAAAATTTCCTAGGGTCTTGACACCCAGCGGCGGAATGGAGCAGGTACCCAGATGGGTTGATGGTGTGCAATCCGCGTGGTAGCACTTCTTGTGAAGCAAATCTGCTCTCGAGTAGAAATATAGAAGTCAGTCTCTATGCCTGAACGAGATCACTTGAAGCTGGACCTAGGATAACTCGATGACTAGTTGGGTGCATCTTAGATCCTTCTGACTGTTGATGGCAGCGAGCCTGGCTTCATCCACCATGTGCGCGCGCCCACCCGTGATATCTCGCCCTCTTTCCTGCCGGACCTTTCCCCTCCCACAGACGAGTCAGGCAGTGACAGTGAAGAAAGCCCTATACCCACCCCGAAAAAAGATCACATATCAATTACACTCACGAATTCTCTCCCAACAATCGAAGGACAACCCATCCGGGTCCCACGGTTAGGGAGCAGCTCGTCTGACTAACTGATGTCCAAGATTGCCAGTGACCTGAATACAGTCTGTCTCGGTACCACTTACAACTTCCCAGTGTCTCTGCCCAACTCATCCCCTCCCCTTGTGGAGGTGACGAAGGCAGAGAGAGAGAGAGGATCGGGTGAGAAAAGACAGCCATTCCACATAACACAAACCAGTCACGAAAACAAAAAAACCTGGGTTTCGAATAGGAACTACCAAGGTTTCTCTCGGTGAGAGTTTTTGCTCCGGAGAAGTTTTGGGTGTGTTTTTCTTTGGTTGCTGTATTTTTCGGTTTGGTTTGTGTGTGTGTGTGAAGTGAAGTATGACTGTCAGTACGTGCGAATGAGATTGTTAGTCTTGGCGAGTGGTCAGAGGAGAGGGCGCAGGTGATGAAGAAGATGAAGATAGTCGACTGGGCTGGTGACTTAGTCGAGGATACTTCTTTCTACCCATATATCATCTTTCATCCACAATGGAGTGCTCACATGTTGATATAGACAAGTGGAGGTGTGGGTGTGGGGTAATCTTCCAGGAATCTCTGCGTGGTCCTTAGGCGTGTTTAGGCACTCTGGGTGGGGTGGGTGTTCTAGGTGCTTAGCCACCACATGGGCACTGGGGAAGTGGTCATCGCACGCTAATCCACTAGCTCCTTGGCTCTTCTAGTACATACTCGGTAATCAATCAATCCCCTCGATCTCTCGCCTCTCATTGTGCTATATCTACTTCGTATCGCTCGAGCACTATACGTCGCCCTGCATCTATGGTGCCCAACACTCAGCCTAATGAGCCGCAACGTGCAGGTGGCACAGGATCCCAGCCCTCGCGAAACAAAGCCTCAATCACCGCCGCAATGCTTGGATTGGGCCTCAGCTTGCTCGCTGGCGCCTGCGCAGCCTCACCCACAACCCTGCACCTGTGGCCAAGCAGATAAATCTCGCTTCTCAGGACCGTGTCCCTCAAGTCTACCCTTCATCTGATCTGGTCAGTCCTGGCTTGGATTTCTGGCCATCATGGACCCTCTCTCTGCAGTGGGACTGGCAGGAAATGTCATAAGCATTGTCGATTTCTCGAGCAAAGTCATCTCCCGAGCAAGGCAGTTGCGGGAGTCAACTACCGGTGCGACGGCGGAGAACGATGAGCTGGAGAGCCTGACCAAGGGCTTGAAGGCTCTCGTCAAAGAAACTCGAAATGGAACCCCTAAAGTCCTACAAGAAGATCAACCTGGTTTGAGCTGCGCCAAAGACTCGTCCTTGGATAACCTTGCTCGACAATGTGTTCAGGTGGCAGACGAGTTGCTAGAATGCTTAGAGTCGGTCAAAGTCAGTGGCGGCGCACAAACCTTGAAGAGCACCATCCAGGCAGTGAAAACCATGTGGAAACAGGATCGTATCGAGGGCCTTCAACGCCGACTTGATCGAATCAACCGACAGCTGATGGACGGCACAAATCTGAAACAGCTGGAAGAGATCGACAGGAAGCTTTGTGAGATGTCGGTCGAAAATACACGCCTAGCGGCCAACCGTTCTCAGGAAATTGACCAACTTCGGCGAGATTTCACTCGCGCAATGGACGATATCAAGGCCAATGCCCGTGACGATTCAGCACCAGGAGCTTGGCTCGTCTTCTCTGATACTGCTCGCCGTGGGCAGGCATACTTTGCAGAACAAGTGATCCTTCAAACTCTCAGATTCTCAGCCATCGATGCTCGCTACCAATCGGTCTCCAAGGAGCATCCACAGACATTCCTGTGGATATTCGAGGAGAATTCGTCAACCAAGTTCGTTCAATGGCTAAAGGAAGAGGATGGGGTGTACTGGGTCTCGGGGAGGGCCGGTAGTGGCAAATCAACCCTGATGAAGTTTGTGGCGGACCATGAACAAACAATGCGCTACTTAGAAGCATGGGCAGGCGACAAGAAGCTCGTCACTGCATACTTCTTCTTTTGGAGTGCCTCATCACACCATCCCCAGACGTCCCAGCAGGGCTTGCTGAGAACTATCCTTTATCAGATCCTTCGGCAGTGCCCAGAGCTCATTCAGATGGCTTATGCTGACCAGTGGGTTGCAATGACATCGGACGGCAAAATCTTCAAAGATGCCCTTGATGAGCTCTTGACGGTGCCAGCTCTCCTCAATACTTTGAGGAAGATATCGACTGTGACCGCCTGGGACACGAAATTCTGCTTCTTCATAGACGGGCTTGACGAATACAGCGGCAGACCTGGCGATATTGTGGAGCTAATCGACATCTTGAAGTCACTGCGAAACATCAAGACTTGCGTCTCGAGTCGTCCCTGGAACGATTTTGAGGATCGTTTTGGCAACGACAGTCCCTGGAAACTCTACATGCATGACTTTACCGAGGACGACATCCGTCTCTATGTGCAAGACACCCTTGGCGAAAATTCGAGGTTCCAGCAGCTTCACAAAGAGGATCCTCTGTGCCCCGACTTTATCCAGGAAATTGTGTGCGAAGCCGCTGGTGTCTTTCTCTGGGTGTTTCTCGTCGTCCGATCCCTCCTTGATGGGTTGACAAATTCCGATCGCATCAAGGATCTGCAGGCGCGATTGCATGAAACTCCAAAAGATCTGAAGGATTATTTTGGGAAAATCTTTTTTTCCACAGAAAATCGATATCGGACCCAGACAGCACGAATGTTCTCCGTCGCCATCCGCGCCGATTCCCAGCTTCCACTGATGGCGTATTGGGTCCTCGATCAAGAGAATCCTAGATACGCATTTGAATGCCCTGCGGAAGCACCAACAGAGGATGTTCTGATCTCTCGGCTGGAGAACATGAGGAGAAGACTGAAAGTGCTCAGTAAAGGTCTCCTCGAGGCGGAGAGGACAGCACCCGGGTCGGTAGATGTCCTCTTGTTTGACCACCGTGTAGCCTTCCTGCACAGGACTGTCAGGGACTATTTGCTCACTCCCGAGGCACAAACAATGCTTCGCACATGGTCCGATGATCCCTTCGAGCCCGACTGGGAAATTGTTAACAGTCTCTGTACCCTGAGCAAAATGACGCCCTGGCAATCCATTCCACATCGTCACAGAATTTGGCTGTACTCACTCAAGGTTTTCTGGACGGCCGCTGGTCGGCTGGACCAGAATCCCACGTTTCAAGTGGATTTGGTTTCCATATTAGACCATATTCAGTCAGTCCTCACACCAGCGTTCGAGAAGTACGCAGCATGTCAGGGTTTTTCCCACTACCAATATTACTTCAAAAAAGACCTACCACTTCAAAAAGACCTACCACTTGATCTAATCATCACGTCTCATTGCTTCTGCATTGGACTTGCGAATTTTGTCCGCCGAAAGATTGCCTGCCAACCAGACCAAGTCGATAGAGTGATAGACCATATTGCGACAATTTTTCTGCTCGTGTTTATAGTAGGTAGATCAAGTTCCGATATTGAGGCCTTGCAGGTACAGCAGACAGAGCCGGCTATGGCTACGCTTGAGCTCCTCCTCGTTCGTGGCCTGGACCTAAACGATAGTTTCGAGGGTGAGTCGGAATGGAGCCGTCTATTGTCGAACTTATGGCTCTTGGGCCATTTGGATACACCAAACGAGTTTGAAGCCATCAAACTCTTGGTGCGGTATGGAGCAGACCTTGAACAGACCATATCTATCGAAGTGGGGAGAAGGGGGGAAAGGAAAAGTGCGAAGGCTAGCGAACTGCTGAAAGAATGGTTTGACGAAGACCAGTTCGGCGTGCTCCAGGATATCGTCAAGCGCCGGTCAATCGGATCCAGACAAGACGAGAACGCACCCAAGCACAGCCACAAGATATTCAAGAGCATGATTCATCTCAAGAGGTGGATACGTCCCAAGAGGTGAGGGAGATTGTGCTACGAAGACTTTGAGTAGTGCCTCGCGGGTTTGTAGGTGGAGAAAGGTGGACGTGATTTGCGCTGATGGGGTTGTCCAGGACATACCAGGCAACCTCTCATCTCATCGAGAGAACGAGGCTCGCGAGACTGAAGGATCACATATCCGTGCCACATGTCGACGGCTTCTAAAGCGCCAATCCCGTCCACTCTGACGTCATGTGTCGAATGACGCTGCATCATACTTCAGCCTTGCCATCGAACCATCAGATGTCTCGTTACCTCTAACGAATATGCTACATGTGTCGCGATAACCAGACACCATGCCAGTAACCACCAGAAGCAAAGGTAATCAGAAGCAGACACACTTGGAGGACTTTGACACCAAAGAGGAAAAGAAAGCCAAAGTGCATGATTCCAGGCGCAAGCTCCCACCAAATCGCACCACTAAGAAGGAGAGCGAAGCCCGATCCAAGCGCAAGCACAAACAGACCGACGATGAAGCGGAAGCAGAAAAAGCTGTGCGTCCGGCAAAGAAACCAAATAAGCAACAGAAGCAGACCTCTATTAAGCCTGACGAGGATCTAGCACCCGCCGAAACCAGCGAACCCGTAATAATCAACCGGGCGCCAGTCCTGCAGCTTTGGGGGGCTTGTGTCTCGCAGGCACTCTACCCGGCTCTTCCATGGCGCACTCATCTGAGTATTGGCTCTGCGATTTCCACATTGTGCGCCATCTCCAAGGGCCGCGCGATCGGCACGATCGACCAGCCATCCAACGACCCGGCCGAGAGAGCCGAGAAGGAGAGAAAGAAACGGGCCGCCGAGGAAGGCGCGGACGACGAGGTCAACGTCATGCGTTTCAGGCTGTTGTTGAAGGACCAAGCCGCGGTTGTTTCGGGGAAACCGCACAAGGCGAACGAGGAATTGTTGAGGCACAAGTTTGGAGATGGGGACGGGTACGAGAGGATCAAGCGTGCCATGGAGGAGGCGATCGACTCGTGGAAGAACAAGGGTCAAGAGAAAGACCTTAACCTGAAGGCATTCCACATGTACGAAGAGTTCCGTCCCACAGTCCAGGGCGGACAAGGGGGATGGGGGAGGAAGGGGGAGTTGAGGCCGGAAACGGTCAGGGAGGTGGTGACGAGGAAGTGATCGATGTGGTTTACAAAGGATGTATGGGACGAGGATCAGGAGGACGGTTTTCTGTTGTGGCCTAGTGGGATTTCAAACAGCACGTTGCATGGATACTTGCGGGAACAGTGGTGTATTGATGTACATTTCACTCTCTGTTGGAATGATGATGACGATGATGGTAATGATACCTTTTTATCTATCCAATGTCGTCTAACCTCGCCTCTTCCATATGATATATACCAGAATCTCGCGAGTAGTCCTCTCCAACCCTCCTTTTTGCCCTGACTGAGGGAAAACGAAATCTTCGATCGTCACATCATCTATCCAGTACGTCACTATCCTCGATCAGAATGACATTGCTCAGCCAGCCAGCCAGAGCGAATAGAAAGACGGATATATCGTCTACCATACTCAGCTCGACTTGATCCGTCACTCGACTCGACTCGACTCATCTCGCCTGGCCGTATTCATTCATTCTCAAAAACACTCACCAACGTGCCGACATACGGCGAGATCTCGACGTGAAACTCGTCGCCGTGACGTATCGTGACCTTCGGGTTGCGGACGACTCCCACACCTCCGGGCGTGCCCGTGAGGATCAGTGTTCCGGGCAGCAGCGTCGTGCTTTGGGAGAGAAAACTGACCAGCCGGGCGACGGGGAAGATGAGGTCGTCGGTCCCGCAGTCCTGGAGGACATGGCCGTTCTTGACGCCGCGGAGACGGAGTTTCGACGGGTCCGTGAGTAGGGTAGATGCAGAGACGAGTGTCGGCCCGATGGGGCACGCGCCGTCAAACCCCTTGGAGAAACACCACTGCGTCTGGGCGAACTGGGCCGCCCGGCTCGATACGTCGTTGCACGCCGTGTATCCCAGCACGTGGGCCATGGCGTCTGCCTCGGAGACGTTTTTGGCGGTTGTCCCAATCACCACGGCCAGTTCGGCTTCATAGTCGCCGCTGTCGTCGTGTTGGGTCAGTTTGGGCAGGATGGTCGGCGCGGGCCACGGGTCGCCTAGGGAGGTTTTTGGTTTCCTTTCCAGGCGTTCAGCTCAGCTCAGGTTGACGCAGCTCCGCACTGAATGGGTGCAAGACCTTCGAACTCACATAAACACGGTAGGGACGGTCGGCAGGGCCATATTGACTTCAGCCGCGTGCTGCTTGTACTGTTTTCCCCGGAGTAGCCTGGTAAGCATTCACCCTCGGCAGCGGCGGCGGTCACTCACGTTCAACCCGATACATCGAATCGTGCCGACCTCGGACATGGCCAGAGGCGACAGGACGCGATCGATGACGGCGCTGGTCCCGGTCTCCCGACCTGGCGAGAGGACCGACGAGCCGGAAAAGACATCGACAGGGACATCCTGGCCCTTCCGCAGGGCAATACCGACGTCGACATCGTCGTTTTGGGGTTGTCCAATCAGGACCTTTGAGGGATCTGATCGAGGCACGAACCGGACCAGCCCTTTTGTTCGCGGAGAGAAAAGCAAAAAAGGTGAGCTGATGTACAAAATGTAACCAACCATTCCACAAAAGAACTTTTTTCGCTTACGTTTCCATGCCCTGTTGGTGGCTGCCTTTCTTAGCATTTTTTCTGTCCAGTCTCCCTCCTCAGGACCCAGTGGCCTGATCCTGGCCTGACATATTATATACAGAAGTACGGAAAAAAAAAGAAGGGAGCGACAAAGTATTTAGGCGAGGACGAAACAAAATCAGAAGAGTCTTGTTCTGACCTGATATTGTCGGGTCCGGACTATTGATTCGCCGAGACTAGATTTTGTGGGGTGCCTGGGTGCGTCTTCCGATGGGGATGGACTGACAATGAAGAGATGCTCACTCACCACTTGCTGCCCCGCCACAAATGACCTTCGTGGGGAGAGGGAACACGCTATGCATACCATTTCTCGATGACTGGGAGAAATCTACTCACTGACTGAACATACGGACATCGAGGTGACGGAAGATATACCCACCAACTTGACCTGAAGCGCAGGGCAGATAAAGCCGGGGGCTCAACTCGTGCTGACGCACATACTTACCAACCTCCCTACATCCACTTCCCCCCCCGGTTTCGTCTTACCAGCCCAGTAGACCAACCATGGCGACCTCCAAGGGCGACAGCAACAGCGAGTACCGGCAATACCTGCCGGACTTGACCATCCCGCGGTTCACGACCATGGCGAAACAGGACGCCCACGTTTACGCCGCGGCGTTCAAGGAGTCCGGGATCCCGCCCTGGCTGCACGCCCTGTACCTGCACTGGCTGGAACTGCTCAAGGAGCCGTTCAAGGGCGTGACCAACGACGGCACCGTGCGGCGGGACCTGTTCAAGATCCAAGACGAGGGCGTGCCCATCGACCGCATCGTGGAGGCCACGCAGGCGCTCATCCACCAGCTGACCCCTGCCCAGGTGGCCAGGGTGTCGTACCACATCGACTCGCCCGAGTGGCGCACGTGGTCGAACCCGGAGTTCCTCCTCAGCGACAAGGGCGTGCGGCTGGACGAGCTGTCGCCGGCGGTGCGGGACGGTGTCATGGCGGTGCTCCGCGCGACGCTCTCGCCCGAGGGCTACGACAAGGCCGTGGCGGCGATGCGCATCAACGGCTTCCTGGGCGAGCTGGTGCAGGGCACAGCCGTCATGAACGAGTTCTCGTACAACTTTGTGCTGTTCGGCGAGCCCTCGACCACCAAGCCCTGGGGGTTCAGCTTCTACGGCCACCACCTGTGCCTGAACATCTTCCTGTACCGCACGCAGATGGTCGCGTCGCCGTGGTTCACGGGTGCCGAGCCCAACGTCATCGACGACGGGCCCTACAAGGGTACGCGCATCCTGCACGAGGAGGAACGCCTCGGTCTCCAGCTGATGCAGTCGCTGTCACCCGAGCAGCAGCGCACCGCGCAGATCTACAAGGAGATGAAAGACCCGTCTATGCCGGAGGGGCGGTGGAATCACGACGACCAGCGCCACCTGTGCGGCGCGTACCGGGACAACCGCGTCGTGCCGTACGAGGGCGTGCCCGTCTCCTCACTGACACGCGACCAACAGAGTCTCGTCGACCAGATCCTGACCCAATACCTGCTGTACCTGCCCCAACCGGCCCGCTCGATCCGCCTCGACCAGTACCGGGCGTTCTACCACGAGACCTACTTCTGCTGGATCGGCGGCTTCGCCGACCCGGACCCGTTCTACTTCCGCCTCCAGAGCCCCGTCGTCCTCGTCGAGTTCGACCACCACAGCGGCGTCTTCCTGACGAACGGCGACCCGGCCAAGTTCCATATCCATACTCTCCTCAGAACCCCGAATGGTGGGGACTACGGGTTCGCGTTGCGCCCGTTGTGCGAGGCGTCGGTGAGGCAGGAGTTTGTGTGGAAGGGGGATGACAAGTGAATTTTATATCTCTATAGAGAGAGCGCGAGAGAGAGAGCATGTTCAATGATGGATGGTTGTAGAGTACGAAAAGTGCCATTCACTAGTGACAATGGTGACAACGGTGACAACGGCGAGAGTTTGTGCATATTTCACATGATATGACACGATACGGAACGGCAAAACAATAACAAAAGAAGTCTGCTTGAACATAGGTCGCGCAGGGGATTAGAAATGAAAAATGAACAATGAAAAAAATGGGATATCTTTTATGGCAGTCTTTGCATTGCACTGTATTGAACTGAGAGTGCTCATGCTCTTCTTCATCTCCAACCAGAGCACAATAGAGATGGTGTATGGTCGTTGATGTGGTCCTCTGATGCCTTTCTCCCGCCTCACTATCACATAGCCCTGTTCAATCCTGTCGTGTCGACTTGCAGCGAGGCCGGCGAGGCAAATCTCTCAAACCTTTCGTGTCAGCAGCTGCACCAAGTGATGTCATTATCAAGCAAGCTGGGGAACAAACGAGGGTACGCAGGTAGCTCGTGGCAATATTGCAAAAGGACTCCCACATGTCGGGAGCATGGTGCAACAGGCCATGTTGAAATCTGCGGGCCGGTTACTCGAAAATTGATGGGTTCGGCTGGATGAGTCGGGCCAGCAAAGAGCACATCGTAGAGTCATTCGCTCATGCAGGACCTTGAATCGCTCCTTGACGACCCGTCAGCCCGCGCGGTTCTTTCAGCACCTCTCAATCTCCCGGTTGATCCTATCAGCGCACAAATTCGTTCCGCAGGCATTCGAAATTGGTCGCGTCTCCTCTCGCTGCCGTCTAAGCCACTCCTCGATCGTGCACTCCCTCAAGAAAAGACGACCCGCACAGCTTGCACGGTATTCGGATGGTTCGTGAAAGTGACCACCAATGTCTTCCCCGTCTCGTCAAAGTAGGGATGAGGCACCGCTGCGTAGATGGAACTGCCCGGCTGGATCGGCGTCGCTTGATACAGCGTGATCGGGTCTGACCAGGGTCCTTCGGGCTGTTGTGCGGTCTTCAGAAGCACCTTGGAATTCATCCAGTTGTCTGACCAAGGATAACAAACACGATGTTAGAGTCATCTTTTCTTATTTGAGTATGAACAAGCGTGTGACTTACCACAATATACAAAGAGAAAGCATCCAAAATAGTTGGACCAGATCACCTGTCCCTGGTTGATTTGCCAGAACACACTCTCCTTCTCGCCGATACTTTTCCCGTCAAGTTTGTCCTTCTGCCAGGTCTCGCCGTTCCAGTACTCATAACAGGCGACGTTGGTGGCTTCCTCGGCAAGAACTCGAGTCAAATATACCCAGGGATTGCCTTCTGGACCGTGACCGTACGCGTAGACGTGCTCGTTCCATCGCAGTGCGCAGATATCGCCATACCACGGTTCGGATGTAGCGTCCCACCAGTATTGCGGAGGCAGACGGCTTATCTGCGGGATGGGAGGATATGCCGACGTGTCAAGAGTGATCGATGCCACACCAGCGCCCACGAGGTTGTTCGTTCCGTTGGGACGGTGGTTGAGGAGGAAGAACATGACGCCCTCGTTCGGCATGGTGGTCTCAACCACATTGGTGATGCCTAAAGCGCAGGTGGCCGCATCTTCTCCGAAGGAAGATATTAGTGGACAGAACTGTGGCGGGAAACCGTTTGGATCAAGGATGGGGTCCACAACCACGAGCGGGTTCTGTGTAGCGATCGCCACCGAGTCACTCGTCATCCCCCGCCACGTATCGCTGTAGTTGGCGTCACTGTACAGAGTGTCTCCGTAGCTGAGGAGGACATACTGGCCGATTTGGCCTTGAAACCCGAGGTCGCGCTTGACGTAGGTTGTGGAGCTATGGACATCTCCAATAGCGTCGACACAGACAATCCCTATAATGGGGGGATAGGATTTGCAAGGGGTTGTTGGGTTTGGCGGATTGACAGAGATTGGTGTGGTGTTTGTCGGTAACGGCGACGCCTGCGATAAAGATGTTAGGTGGGAAAATATGTACATTGTAAATAAGTAGCGAAGATCCATGGATAGACGGGGGACGCCGATCCTGGCATCGCTGTAGTTCCTGGCTTATGAAATATCGATCCACGACTTTGGAAAAGAGGCACAAGAAAAATGTGCGCGGCTTGGGGATTTGCAAGATCAATATATTGTTGAAGGAACAGTCAATAGCGCCGGTAATTGCGTGGGTGATTGATAGACCCATTGTGAAAAGCAGACAGCAGATCGAGTACAATAGCAAGTGACGCAAATGGATCTGAATAGCGACCGGTGGGCAACCGTTCATTGTCCATAGTTGCATTCAAGTGACGAAACAGGATGCGGCAGAAAAATGCAGCAAGAGTACCACGCACCTTGAACCACAAGCGGTAGTGATCAGATGATGTAGGAGAATTTGAGACGCTATTGCCATCATCGTGCGGTGTGAGTTCCGGTGAAGGAGACGTGAAGTCTGTCCCATGACTTGAGGATGAGATGGTTGTAGCCCCCATATCAATGTCAAGCAATTGGTTGACCGCCTGACCGACCCATTGGTAGAGACGTCTGCGGGCTCCCCGAGGTTGTTGTGGTTCCTCTGTTGCGCGTTCCATGGTGCTGGATCTGTTGTATGGGTGCACTCGGGTGGTCGTGTGTGATACGCGATCGAAGATTGTGTCACCGTGGCTTCAGATGATAGATTGCGTGACAAACTCCACATGTGAGGGTCAAGTGAGATATTGCTGGGTGCAACCTTTGGAATCCGTTTCAGAAGTGTTTTGTATTGTGTGAATGTCCAATGAATGGAATGGTCCCGTTGCGCTGGAGTCCTTCTCTGGCAAGCGAGAGCCAGTTGATGGTCGAATATAAGCCGGGTGAATCGCAGTCCAATGGCGACTTGGCGAAGTGAATGAAAGGGTGTGTAGGAACATTTGGATGGTCCATAACAATATATTGAATTAGACATGACGATATTTCACTCCGTCCTCTTCCCAATGCGTGGCAACAGAGCCCAGCTAACTGTCATTGACGCAAAAGAAATCAACACCACGGGGTGTAGGACGACCGTGCTCAATTTCTGTGCCAATATGCCAGTGATGAAAGGAACTAGTGCGCCACCAGAGCTTCCCATCGACGTCACAACCGACAGACTGCTGATTTGGATGCTCCTGGGCAGGAGTCTGGCAAAGACAGCAGTGGCGCACGGGTAGATTGGTCCAAGAAATACACCGACAATGGACTCGGCCACGGCATTTTCGATAATGTTTGGTACAAGCCAGACTAGAAGTTGGAAGACGGCAGCCCCAATGATCAAGAGGAAGACAGCAACCTTCTCCCCGATCTTGTGAGCGAAATGGGTCAAAACAAACCTTCCCACGGTAATGCCACCCCAAAATCCAGAGGTGACGTTACCGACATGGGATGGGTCGCCCTTTCGGTAATGGATCAGATAAGAGATGACCCAGCCTGAGATGGCCACCTCTGCCCCCTGATAGAAACTAGGAGTAAACCGTCAAAATGATGGAGCACCACCCGAACCAGGAACCACAGACCACTTACAAGATGAATGTCGCTCCAAGCAGTGTTGTCCTGTTCCTGACGGCCCTTTTGAGAACCTGAACCCTCGTGAGTTCACTCTGACGTGAAAGGTTGCGTTCGAGAGACGAAAGTAACTGGACTGCAGCATCCTTTTCGAAGCCTCTGAAGGACCAGCCCATACACAAGACAGAAACAAGAGAGATGGAGAGTGTGATAAAGTAGAAATGAGCCCAGCGAATGCCGCTCGACACCATAGCTGTAGCAATAAGAGGAGAGACAATACCGCCCAACTGACAGAAATTAGCTTTCTCAGTGTCCGTGTCAGCGAGATCTAACTCACCCCGTATAAACCGTGGCAAAAACCTAGGATGACAGTTCCATTGAGTAGATTGACAATAAAGGCATTGGTGATAGCCAGGAATAGTCCCATCCCACAACCGAGGAGATAGAAACTGAGCACAACCACAGGAAAGGGTGGAGAGCAGACAATGGCTATGTAACCAAGACTCATCAACGAAGTTGCAATCATGTAGGAGCGGGCCCGACCGAGTCGAGACTCGATAAGTTGGATGACTGGCGCCATTGTAATGAAGCCGAGAGCATTACTGACGAAAATCAGAGACACAACGGCATATCCGATATGGTAGTCTTTCTCGAGGTATGGAATCAAAGCTCCAGTAGCGGCGTCATTCATGCCCATCAGAAAGAACATGAAACTTGCCGCGGCTACCCGCCAACGATTTTGGAGTGGATTAGAGATAGACTGAACAAGTGCGTCGACCGCCCGATCTTGTTTTGGAGTGGGAGGTTGACTTCGTTCCAGTTCGCCCGGAGTTTGAGGAAGAGACTGTCCGACAGGCGACTGATCGTGAGAGGGCAACTTGCATGGGCCGTTCAGGCGGCTTCCCCATTGTATTTCATCGAGCTCGTACGCCGTGGGCGGTACAGCAGTAATATTGTCTCGATGAATGACGGCGGCCGGGCCAGGGACAACGGAGCGAGGCTCGCTTTCATGGGTGATGAAGGCACCGAATGCTTGTACTGTGGTCATATTCACGAGACGAAATTATGGGACAAAATGGAAGATGTGAGCAAAGACTCGCAGGTAACACAGTATGGAGAAGGAATATGAGATATACGACTCTCTTGATTCATATAATGTCCACATGTCAATCATATAAGGCAATAGTTGCATTGATAAGAGGAGAGTAGCATTTCGCGGATGCGACAATTGTAGCGTGGTGCAGCAGTAGTGTGCGGTAGACGGACTTGAGGCTTTGGCTCGTTGTGGGTCTGGGATATTTTTGACCAAACATTGAGTCTGCTTCTGCGAATGAGAGGCATCAGCCACCGTTGGTCGAGGGTCTTTTTGCATACACATGATTGAAGATGGTTGACGATGAGTTGGTGGGCCGAGTCAATAGAGTGGAAGTGGGAGGGAGTGCGAATCAAAGAAACCCATCCGCCTGCGGCAAGACTTCCGCATTCGACATCGACGCCCGCCCGGGCCGACTTTCATTGAGGAACCTGCGCCCACTGAGTGAGGGTCCTCAACACCCCGCTCGCCCTGCATAAATCTCCAAAGGAAAAAAAGTCACCGCAACTTGCATCCACCAAATCAATCTTGCTCTGCTCGCTCCTCTGTTAACAAGTCGAACCAATCTGACAAATATTACACCCTGTCCAGTTTCCTGCCATGTCGCGCCGTAAGACCCGCACTACCGCCGAAGAGACTCTGACTCCTCCGGACTCTCTGGCTCCCGGCCAACTGATTGCCCGGGTTGTCAAGGCCAACGGCAAAGACCTCTACACTGTCCAGGCCCCCGACTCGTCCACGTTTCTCGTCGAACTCGAAGCCCGTTTCAGATCGACCATCTTCGTCAAGCGCGGTGGCTACGTTTTGGTTGACACGACCACCACGGCTGACCGAGACAACAAGATCCAAGGCGAAATCGTGAATATTGTTGGCGATGAAAAGTCCTGGAGGAAACAACCGTTTTGGCCGCAAGAGTTTGTAAAGAAGACCACATTGGTAGACAGCGATGACGAGGACTCGCGGATGGGGAAACTGCCGCCTTCGGACAGTGAAGACGAAAGTGAATGATTGCCCCCCTCAGCTCCTCAACTCCGCCGCAGTTGCTGGTGGAGGACTAATATGATCCACGGGTGGTGCAACAAGGGCGCACATAACCTGCAGCGCTAATTCGGCCACCACCGCCGCCGAGCTCACGTTTGTGCTCGGATATACCAGCCAGCAGTATTCCTGCACGGCCCAATTCAACAGTACCCAGACAGGGCCACCTGCCCTCCACAGAAGATACGGAGTTGCCCAGCCGAGATATGCAAAGAATTGGTAGTGCAGACTCCGGGCGCACAGCAGCCCTATCACCATGCTCCCCAGCATGGTGTCCATCACAAAGCTTGGGGTGACCTTTTTTGAGATTCTCAGCTCCTCCGCCTCTTTCATGCCACCTAAGTACTTCTTGACAAATCCGGTCAAGTTGGAAGAACTGGGCTTGATCCACTTCGTCTGGCAGAACAAGAGCAGCAAGGAGGCGTGAAGGACCAGGAGGCCGACGGCAAAGTTGCGAGACAAAAAGGTCTCTTCATCAACAAATCTCCAGTTGACCGTCCACTTGTACAGGAATTGTCTCCCAAAGTCGAATGAGCGTTGGATGTAGGAGAGGCCTGTTCCCTCACCGAAGAAGGGCATGGACATGATAACATGGAGGACAAAAACATAGAGACCAGTGAAAATTCCGTCACCTGTACCAAGTGCCTGCAAGATGATAAATCCCACGGCAGGTGCAGCTAGCAATAGAGTCATTTTCACAGCCAGTCCTAGTCCCCATATAACGGCTGCGCGTCCAAACTGGCGCCGTTGCATCAAGTAAATCGCGAGCCAAAGCCCCAGCGTCGCCCAACAGTCATTGAACAGCCTCAATAAGAATATAGAATGCATTCTCTTGCTCAACACCAACGGGACCAGAAGCCACGGCGGCGCGCCCACCCGTCTGTAACATGCAATCACCACCGCCAGCGTCACGAGGTATAGCCCGGCAAAGATGATCTGGGCACGGAGGATGTTGGTCCCCTGCTCGGTGAGGACGTAGAGGATCGAGTAGACGTAGAGATGGAGGGCCGGGTAGACGAGAGGGCCCGTGGGACCTGTGATTTTGGCATAGTTGCGCTCGCCCGAGAGAAACATGCGCACCTGGGCCATGTAGGTGGTGAAATCGATCTCGGTGTACGGCACTCGCCAGATGATGAGGCCGCAGAGGCCGACCTCCCCGAGTAGCAACAGTGGTGCTATCCATCTCGTGTGTCGAGGATCGGTGAGGAGGCCGCGGAGGTTCTTTACAGAGAGGTCCATTTGGTGGCAGACAGACGAGGCGCGACGAAGCTCAGTCCGTAAGCGAGTCGGCAAGGAAAGGTGTCGAGAAGGCGATGGAGGATTCCTCTCCACTATAATGAATCTGGTATCATTGCCGCCTCCATCATCATCATCATCGCCGTCGAGGGCAACGCGTACACAAAGGGGACTGTGCTCCAGTCTGCAAGAAATCAGGCTATTATCATTTTTTTTTTTTCAATGCGAGACGCGACGCAACATCTTTTCCCCATCGCCGTTCCCAATGTGGAACTCGTTGTCTCCCACCTCTTATTAATTAGTTCTCCCCGCACTTTTCCTCTCTCTTGGTGCCCTTTTTCATCTCTACGACGTCATGCTCAAAAGCCTCAGTCCAGGCCGTCGATCGCTGATTTCATAGGCGATAGGGAGCTCCCTAGACCCCAAATTCGACTGTTCATACCGCGTCATCATCATGGATCTCATCTTGAGGAGACCGACTTATGGACAGGTGAGTCCCATTGATATCGTGAGTACCCATCAATCCCTCTATATCGGTGTTGGCTTGTCTCTCGCTATAAAGGACTCTGCGTGCATTGCTTCTGTACACTCTCTCGCCCATTCAGAGCACCACGACATATCACATCCCGGCTGTTCGTCCTCTCACGCAAGATGGCCCCAGAGGCCGAGTCCAAACCCGACGCGTCTGCTCCTCGAGCGCCTCAGGCCGAGCCTCACGACCTGAACTGCCTCACGATCTCTGAGCTGGAAGCCCTAGCATACGAGCGCATGGACAAGCAGACACGAGACTATTACAATGAAGGCGCCGACTGTGGGAGCACCCTGTCCGAGAACATCTCGGCCTACGGAAAATACCGCATCCGTCCAAGGGTATTGCGAGACATCTCACAGATCGATACGACCGTGCAGGTATTCGGACACAAAAGTAGCACGGCTTTCGGCGTCGCACCGACGGCCATGCAACGGTTGGCACATTCCGATGGAGAAATCGCGACGGCACGGGCATGTCGCTCTCGTGGAGTTGTCATGGGCCTCTCGTCCTTTTCGACCAGCACTCTCGAAGACGTCGCCCAAGCTTGCGGGGACAACCCCCACGTCCTTCAACTATACCTGTTCGAAGAGCGCGAGCACTCCCTAAAGCTCATAGACCGCGCCAAGAAGGCAGGGTACAAGGCCGTGCTATTGACAGTCGACACGCCGATGCTTGGCCGCCGCAATCTCGAAATAAGGAACCAATTCAAACTGCCCGCCCACCTATCCATCGCCAATTTCGCGGAACAGGACGACGACACCGACACAGCGGTGGGCAAGGAGCACAGTCGGACCACAACCGCCACGGACGAGAAGAAAACCCCGTCGTCTCGCCGGCCGAAAATGCCACGCCAACGCCGCCCAAGCACGGCAGGCTACCACGACGGCCAACGTCGCGTCCCGCCCAGCGGCCCCATCACGTTCCACACGCACGCGGCAAATCCGACGCTGTCGTGGGACGAGTCCATCCCGTGGCTGAAGGACGTATGTGGTCCGGAGATGGAAGTCTGGGTCAAAGGGATCGCGACGGCCGAGGATGCCGAGCTTGCCGTGCGCCACGGATGCGACGGGATCGTCATCTCCAACCACGGCGGCCGACAACTCAACGGCGCGCTCGCGACCCTCGACGCCCTCCCGGAAGTCGTGGCCGCCGTCAAGCAGCGCGTCCCCGTCCACGTCGACGGCGGCATCCGACACGGCACCGACATCTTCAAGGCGCTCGCCCTAGGCGCCAACTTCTGCTGGGTCGGCCGGCCGATCCTCTGGGGATTGGCGTACAAGGGACAGGAAGGCGTCGACCTGTGTTTGAGATTGCTGAGCGACGAGTTCCGCCTGTGCATGGGCTTGGCCGGCGTCACTAGGGTCGCGGACATTACGAGAGACTACCTCTGCAAAATCGACCGGGATGGGTTTGCGAGTCGACTGTGAACCTCCCGCGAGGACGATCAAAAAAATCACATGAACTGGGCGCGAAGAACGGGGCGAGCTCTGCTGTGCCGACGACATGTGCATTTGCTTCTCAACTGTCCCAGAAAACACACGAGAAGAACGTAAAATTTTGCGTGAAGCAAAACCCCCCCAAGAAGAATCCCCAAAAGGCAGAAAAAGGGGCTCAAACGCCATGTCATATGTTCATGTCAGCCGCATTAGCCATGAAAACCAAATCCTAGTCCCAGTTGTTTGGGCAATTCTTGCATAAACCTCTGCCGCCAGCGCTTGTTCTTTCTGCACCGCTTGTTCCCGTAGAGCCAGCTGTCTGTGTTTTTCTGTCTGCCTGTCTGTCTGTGTGTCTGTATTGCTGTAATTCTAGGGGCACATACATACATGTCTTGGAAAGAATCTCCTTTCCTCTGATAGTCATCTTTATTGATTTTGTGTGAATTTTGCCCGTCTCGCCGTGTCCCAATGGTGAATCAATCGCAGCCACCCATTATTTTCTCTTTCTTCGTCTTTGTTGCTCGGGTCTTCGATTAGGGGTATCGTCGATTCCACATCGCATGTTTTCTTTGCGCCAAGTTGTTCAAAGCACCTCCCAACTCCGTGCGACTTCACAAACTCACACCAATGTCCACGCGTCCGAAGCGTGAGGAATAGAATGTAGAGGAGTCAATCTTGTCCTGAAAGTCAAGGTAATATCTTGTCCAGGTGAATCAGGACTACAGAAGTCATCATGAGGGGTTTGATATATTCTGTTCGAGAATCAGGGTGATGCCAAACCCAATATCAGGGAAAAACATCATACCTGGATGGACGTTGCATTGATAAAAGCCACGACAGGCGCCGAGTCGCCTACCAATCTTCAATCTTTGGTGCCACAAACTTGACCGAGCCATTGTCATTGTATCCTTGTGTGCCCAGGAGTCCGCCGGTGAGTTCCCGCATAACCTGATTGAAGTTGGCACTGTTGCGGATGTCGCAGCGCTTGCTTGCAGAAGAGGTATGGGCCACCCAACCCGCGGTGGTTGTAAACCTCTTCAAGCACGAGGGGCAGGTGACTTGACCACCAATGTGCGCCGAGGACAGAAGATGTGCTTTGAAATCAGCGGGTGTCTTGAACTGACGTTTGCATTTGGCGGTGGGACAAGAATACACTTGTCCGATGGAGTCCCAGTACTTTTCAATCTCCAGCCCATTGCTCGTCGACACGATAGAGTGAGCGGGCATTCGGACAATGTGTTGGAGAGGAGCACCTGAGTTCGGCCGCACCTTGTAGGCTGGCGGGACTTTGTCAAGCGTTCCAGAGGATGATGCCTTTCTGTCGTACCATGAGCCAACTTCACTAGAGTCGTCGGTCGGCGGTTCAGCCGTGGTTGCAACCGAATTTAGCCACCCTCTGACCAGTCCGGATTGGGTATCCTCTTTTGATGTGCCGGCATCTTGTTGCGTGCTCCATGTGGGTTGAGAGATGTGCAACTTCGATATGGCTTCCGCAGCACGGTTATCAAGATCCCCAAGATCCCTTGTGACCTTGACACCGTGGTTGGACTGCTGTGGAGTGGCACTGGTATTGACTGCCTTCGAGTCTGCAGCCTGCGAGAGTGACGGGAAGTGCTCGTGTGACGCGGTCGAGATCGGTCCACCGAGGGCGTTGCTGAGCGATCGTCCCGCTTCATAATTCGCCATGTCCGCTAGAAGATCAGGCCGACTGTTGTTGGTGCCAGAACTCGTCTGGTTCCAGGTAGGTGGGTTGATAGCAAATGGATCCGTCTCTGCCTCCCACGCATCTTTCTGGATCTGGCGTTCGGCTCGCTGCATCTGAAAATCCTGGAGTCTGATGACTTCACACTCATCTTTTTCGATATGTTGCATCAGCTCCGATGCCGATCTGCACTTCTGTCCACACCCAGCACACTCCATGGTCTGAGAGGAACGGTGGTACTGCCAGCCCTCGTCAGCCACTGTTCAACTCGGATTTGGGCCCCCAGGGGGAGGGGGGGTTACTTACAGTTTCTATATGAGCATCCCTGGCAATTGTACTCTTGAACTGTTTGGGTCAGCCTAGTCGATATTTTTCTTCCTGCATTTTGTTCCATACCTCGCATGCACAGACCGGACAGCAGACTGTGATATCGTCAGTGACCAACAGCATGGGGCGAACAGAGGACAAGCCAACTCACTGTGGGCCGGGCTTCCGAGCTGATGGATGAAGAGGAACATGTCATTAGCACAGTCCACATCACAGAGCTTGCAGTACGAGTGTCTCGGATCTTTTTCCTTGTGCCGTAACATGGCCTGGCGGCTGTCAAAGTGCTTGAAGCAGTCTTCAAAGGTGCATTTGATCTTCATGATTGAGGTTGCTGTGCCAGGGAATCACGAGCCGACCGAGTGAGTGAGTAGTGAGACGCAGGCGCCGCGGCGAGAGTGTCCGATTTCGAGCTTGTGATCACGGAAGCAAAAGGAAGAGAGAGGGTTGAGTAAAGGAGGACAGAATGGAATAAAGCAGAAGCCAGAAGGTATTTGTATGGAAGAGGTTGATGGCAAGGGACGGGAAAGTGAAAGAGAGCAAGCGGGGAAGAGAGCAAGCAAGTTCCCGATGGCTGCTGGCAAGTTGAACTTGGGCATCCGGTAAGGTGAAGCTATCCTTCTGGTCTTAGACACTTGCCTGCGTCTTGCCGACTAGCGGCGGTGCTGCTCTGTCTACATCGCACTCATCTACCAAAAAAGGGCTGAGGCTACAAGAATAGGGGAGAGAATTTGGAGTGACAAGTGAGAAAGGGTCTACGGCATCACTGAGGACCTTGTTGTGCTTGTCAGTGGTGACAGGTTCATAAGATGGGGCACCTGCTTCGCCGGATTCTTTCCCACCATAGATTTACGGTCAAGCACAGATTGTCCCTGCGTAGCCCCTTTATGGAGAGTGGTGGTAAATGCAATGCTGTGGTTCATTCATTCATTCATCCAGTCGTAACTTCACACAGAGTATCCAAATTGAGTGACATCTAGTGGTAAAGCTTGCTCGTTCATGTATAGACTTCTTCAGTCAGCGCATTCAAAGTCAGCCCTTCCTTAGCAATATCCTCATCTGTGATTCGAATCAGTAGACGTCCAAAACAACATAGAAGATAGCACTCACTCTGAAGGAAACATAACGGCATCTCCACAAGAGTACCCTTGACCTGACTCAGCAGTTCCTTCAGCTCCTGCACTCCCCCAGGGAAGTCGGCCCGGACTACATGGCCATACTCCACCCGGGGTGGCAGTTTGCTGGGTTTCCCTTGAGCTTCAGCATCGGCGCGCCGGTAGAAGAACTCATAAAACTCCTTGTAATCGGCCCACGTATTCACAAAGTCATCAGGGACCGCGCGGAACGCCTTTCTGAAGACTTCGGTGTTCGTCCTTGCTCGACTGTTCCACAACGCCTGGAAAGTATCGCTGAGAGGATCTGCCACAACATTGTCTTCGGGTGAACCCCAATCATACACATTGGGCACCCCGACGGGATCAAAGTTGGGGTCAGGTCTGAAGAAATGTTGTGGTCGGATCAACCCCAGGTGTTTGCGGACCAGCTGTCTGCGCAGAGAGGCAGCAAAGCTATTCGCTTGATATGGTTGGCCGCTCATGTAGGATTGGACTGGCGTTGAGTCGTTAATCAGCAGAGCGATTTCACTGTCGTGTGATCCGAGTTGGCTTCGGTCGTTTAGGTTGGCAGACCCTACAATGACAATTCGATCGTCCGCGATGAGACACTGTGGCCGATTAGATATCTAATAACCCACTTGACTGGCAATATTTACCTTGGAATGGATGTATAGCTCTTCACTAACAAACGCGTCGAGCTCAGCTTCCGGAGGGCCGTCCCAAGGCACCGTGCGTATATCTTGGCCGCCGAGCATGTAGCATTCCGCCACACTGTCCCACCGACCACTTCCAGGAGTGGTCATTTGCTGGGCGGTGGTCTGGTACTGCTGGTATTGCGGGGCTTGAGATAGTTGAGTGGTGCCCGTCTTCTCACCATATTGTCCATAGCCTGCCCCCACAGCATCATCGTGTTGTTTCCGGGCATCTTCGTATCTAACTCCGCTTTGCTGTTCGACTTGGTGCATGACATTGCCGCAATTGATTCGGTCATAGTTTCGGAGGTTGTAGAATCGAATATAATCCATAGGGTTGAAACCAGCCTGCGCAATCTTTTCCATGATACTGTGTCCACCACGATTAATGCTGTTATACTGGAACTCCATGATTGCTCGAGTGGCTAGTGAAGAATCGTCCCGCAGGTCGCCTGCAAATGCTGGCACCGCCGGAATGACCACAATGATTTTGTACTTTTCATTATTCCTGGCTGCTCGAATGATTCGCTCAACGATAGCCTGGCCGATCAAATTCTTGACGGGTTTCTGTTGATCGCCGGTGGCGGTGATGAAGAATTGATTTTCAATGTAGACGAAATGCTGACTGTTCCGAATCACATCGATGTATGCATTCTGTATAGATTGCTCGAGGGGGGTTCCATTGCTCCACGTTGTACAGCTCCGAAGGACTTGACAGGTCATGACGGGTCGTGGCTGGTTATATGGGCGCCCATAGGAGTCAGTACCACCAAGGTATTTGCCTTGAAGTTGGTGTGCTTTATCCCCAAGTCCACCTGAGACGACATTGCCAATCGACGAGAGCTGCTGGCCCAGAAGTTTGCCCTCGGTTTTGTATTGGTCAAATCTGCCTCGGATGCCTCTTTCAGACTCGCTACCCTGTGCGTAATCACCGAAGCTTCTACTCGACTCTTGCCCATATTCATCAAAACCACGAGCTTGTCCTGCATCGGGCTGCTGATAAGCTTGATAGGATTGTTGCTGGTACGATGATGGAGGCGATTGCTGCGACGAAAGTTCCGTTGGACCTTGGTGATATGGAGCATAAGCAGGCTCTGCACTGGGCGGCGGCGGATATCCTGGATAAGTCTGAGTCGGTCCGGTTGATGTTTGGGGAGGTGGTCCAGGAGGTGGAGGAGGGAAACTCTGTGGAAAAGCCTGGGTCGGGGGTTGTTGGTAGCTCGCCCCAGTGTTCACTGGTTGCTGAACTGAGGGTGCTTGCGGTGGGGGGCTAGAGACTTGGCCGTAGGTACCCGTAGCTGGTTGCGGAGTTGCCTGTGGTGGAGGGCTGTACACTTGACTGTAGGGGTCAGAAGAAGCTGGATGCGATGCCTGCGCTGGAGGGGGAGAAGTTTGGCTGTAGATCCCAGCGGAAGTCTGTGATGGTGCTTGTGGCGGAGGTGGAGGGATCTGGCCGTAAGTACCTGTAGAAGTCTGAGGCGGAGCTTGCACTGGAGTTGGTGGTGGAACTCCCTGGCCCACGGAGGAGGTGGTTTGACCATACTGCCCCTGCGAGGGCTGCTGGTGAATTTGTGTGCCCGAGACAGAAGCAATTGCCGCACCACCATATGCACTGGTGTCTGTTCCCGCTTGGCTTTGGTATTGGCCTGGCGTCGGTGTGTGTGGCCTGCCGGTTGTATGCCACGCCGGTTCCGTGTATGGTTGGCTTCCGGGAGGTGGTGCAAATCCACCAACCGGGGCAGGAGGTTGGGGTTGCCCTTGAGACTGTGGACGTGGTTGAGGTCGCTGACCTGGACCAGTCGGTGGGTGAGGGAAATCGTCGAGTAGTCTGTAGTAGCGTTGGTCTTTGCGGACATTGTATTTCTCGTCGAAGATGAAGTTCCAACGATCGACGAAGTGGTGGCGAAGGTCCTGGACGCAAGCTCCTTGCAGGCAAATGGCAATATCCGACCACCCCATCCTCGAGCTCTTGGTCCTGTCGAGCTTGTTTTGGAACGGTTGTGCGACATCGCTGAAGTCCATAACTCTGGCGTTATTGTAGTCCTGGCCAGGAAAGATGATATCGTTGATGTTCGAAGGATGTGCATCAGCAATCGAGTGCTGATTTGTATCCCATCTGCCGAAACAGAGATCCAGACCACCCATGAACGCAATCCTGTCGTCAATCAAGCATAATTTCTCATGATGAGCCCAGTAGAGAACGACATCGTCCGTCACGCCATAAATTCCCTTGAGAGTATCTGCGCCAAGCTTAGAAATACCTGCAGCATCAAGCTTTAGAGCTTGGAGAGACGATATCAAGGACGATTGAGCAGTTTGAGCATCTGGGAGATGATCTGGGTGACGAAAGACTGCAATATTGGGATGTAGCTTCTCGAGTTCGTGTTTCGTATGTGCGGACGAAAGAGTCAAAGCTTGGGTCACCTCTTTATAAACGATCACCTTGACCTTGACGCCACGTTGTGCTGCCCGCTGCAGCGTTCGATCCAGCCTCCACTGTTCGTTCTGAGTGGGTGGCCGACGGAGGTACAACTCAGGAGACAGCCACCAATCCAGGATCCAAATTGAGTGTTTTGCTCCCTCGAGTGCTTGACTAACTGCCCAGAAATAGCCACACCCGTCGACATACCACTTGACATCATTACCTGGCTTCTCTGAAGCGAAGCTGTCATAGCGGTTTGGACCTGACGGGATGCCTGGAGGAACTGCCACACCGGGGTAACCTGCGTAACTGGCCTGTCCTGGGGGCGTCGGCCCATATTGCGAAGGGGGTCGATTGCCAGACCCTAACAAGTTTGTGACATCTGAGCCGATGCTATGAAGAGTACTATGCAACCCATCAAAGAGTTTCGACGTCAAATCAGGCCGACCTTGGGGCTGTTGAGTAGGTGGGCCTCCCGGATAGGCAGATTGACCAACTTGGGGATATCCTGTACCAGGACCTTGTTGCCCATAATACTGCTGGTTCGAGCCGGAGGCGGAGGCCGAGTAGCCATAATTCTGCGAAGAACCACCAGTCTTGTACTTGTCGAGCTCGGATTTGAACTTTTTGAATGTGTCTCCCAGCATTGATCGATCAGTGCCATCTTGTCCACCCCTCCCGCGAGACTGCGAGTAGTCGTCTCCGTATGCGAGGCCGTCGTCATCCGGTCGATTTTGGTAGGACATGGTAACTAGTCTTGAGTACTTTTACCCGGCACTCGACTCCAAAAGGTGGGAGAGGGAGGAGGTCACAAATGGCGACCACAGGACTGCACTCAAGACTTGGGAAACGCTAGGGATATCCAGCGGTGAACTCAAACGCGCTGCATTATCATGGAGGAAATCGTTTCAGTCAGGGCGGGTGACTGAAGTTTCAGCTGATTCATGCCCTGTCAAGCAAGTGAAGCACATGCCAAGCTGGATTTGAGGGCGCCGGGTTCTCTGGGTGCATGGTAGAAGCCCAACCAGGCTGCAGTCAGCGTCCTCGCGACAACTCTCCACATCACCGTGGCCCCAATAAGGAACTGGTTTCAGAGCTGCTGCGCCTCATGGCCCCGCGAAAGCAAAGCAACCCCTGACAAAGCTGCCCCTCGCTACAGATGGCAGTTGAAAGATGCTGCTTCTGGGAGCACCAGGCTATTTCCTCCTCGATTCGCAGACTCGCGTCCTTCGCATTGGTACAGACACACCCCGAATGTAGCCACATGTCGAATGCTCTCTGCTCTCTTTCAGCGACCCTGCAACACCTGGAAACGCTAGGCGTGATGTACCTTCTCGGACCAGCGGTGATGCTAAACCGCGCAATGAGATGACGGCAATTCTCCCGGATGATGGTTGATGCGGGGAGGGCAGCTTCAAAGCCCCTCTACCAAGCAGAAATACAAGTACTGACCAGTGCACATCTCCACAAGAGTCCCTTGTGGATTGGCTATTTAACTGCAGTGTCCTTTGCATCCCATCATGTCTTTGCCTCTGCGTCCTCTACAACGTCTCACTTCCACAGCTTTCAGGTCAAGGCCGAGGACTGTGTTGCGCTACGTCAGACTAACCCCGTTGCAATTGACCCGACCATCCTCCAACATGTCTCTCGCAACTCTGGATGTGAGCTGTTATACCCCAAGGCTAGACGCAGGATAGCAACTGACATGACCAGGTGTCGCAACATCCTAACCTCCCCAAATCCTCCGTAACCTTGTTCGAAGCGAAGGCGCAGAAGCAGGTGACTTTTGAAACGATTGGCAAGGAAATTGGCCGAGATGAGGTCGCGGTGGCGGCTCTGTTCTATGGACAAGCAAAGGCGTCGCCAGAAGATATCGAGAAGCTCTCAAACTATTTTGGCATTGAATATCGTATCCTCGAGGCACAATTGAGTGGGTTCCCGGACCGCGGAAAGAGCGTGGAGATGCCTCCAAAGGAACCGCTGATCTACCGCCTGTACGAGATTGTGCAGAATTATGGATATGCCTATAAAGCAGTTCTGAACGAGAAGTTTGGCGACGGGATCATGAGCGCAATATCTTTCTCCACTCACGTTGAAAAAGAGGTTGACAAGGACGGCGTTACATGGGTAAGATTGATCTCGCACTTTACTCGAGCTCTGGACTGACTCGACCAAGGCGAAAATTACCCTTCGAGGCAAGTGGCTTCCATTCACTCGCTTTTAGACACGAAATATGTATGGACACATACAAGAACCGACCTGATGCAACCCACATACCATTGTGAGTGTGGACGAACCCAGACCACGCTAGAAATCGACGGCCAAGACTCTGTTTGTTCGCCTCCTATGTCGGGAATAGCTTGGTTGTGTGTACAGTTCAGCATTCCAACGCTTTGTGTGGAAAGAACAATACTAAGGGAGAACAATATCAAGCCTCGTCCCCTTCTGCTCAGCCTTGCCGCCCGGTCTTTGTGTGGCGGTGATTTACCAGCCATCATCGACCGAATTGGGATGCGAGAGCGTGATCTCTTTCTGCTTGCTTTCAGTATGTTGGTCTTTATGCAGTATATTAGGTACAGTATTTATATTGCATTTCACTCTGATCGATTTGTCTCTGCAAATACACTTTCATTCACATCCAACTACAAGTCACTCCTTTCAGCTCCTCCGTACACAAACAAGCCCCAACGCTTACCACCAAACACCATCAAAATGTCTGCCCAAATGTACAGCTGCGTCGTCCAGTAGACGGGTGCCATTGCGTTCAATCTTTCCAAACACAGCCCCAAGCTCGATAACGGCAAAAAACCCCGGGTCGCATTCTATCAGATACCCATCAAAATGTCCGCTCAAATGTACTCATGCGTCGTTCAATAGCGTGTCCCCTCGCAATGGCGGCAACCAGGGGGGTGCAGGCACCCTCTGACGATATCATCTTCGACATGCCTTCGCGTCACGGCCGCTGGATCCCAACCAAGGAATCACGCTCTCGCCGGGCGTGAGGAGGTCGCTTACCATCTCCCATGGTTCGAGTGGTGTAAATTGACTTCGCTCGCCGTGCTGCTAAGCAGCGACATGTTCCCCCCCCTTCTGTCCGTCGATTTTCAATTCGAAGATAATCCACATTTTTTTACCCACATGATTGTCGCAAGGCATTTTTGTACCAGTTCTGTGGCACACTGTATTCCTCTTTCCTGGTTCAAGTACGTTCGCCATCATGATTGTGAACACAGCGAGCAGAAAGCATTGGTGCTGGGGAGGGGGCAACTCCCCCTCCATCCACCTGTTTGTTCACTCTGCCATTTCCTTTCCTGGCTGGTCGGCTGCCAGTTGAGGTATCGCAAAAATGCAAAGACAGTCTCCGGTGGACGCACTGGAGGCTTGCATATGTAGCGAATACCATTCACTTCTATCTCACCTGTCACCATGTTACCTGATCATCTGCGTAGGCATCGCTGTCATGATTTTGCGCTCCATCTCGTTGCCTCCCATCCGGCAACATAAACCTTCCCAGTGCAACCGATCTCAGTGACCTCTATTCAAGACTCTTAGTAACAGTATGTGAATCAAAAAAGACACAGTAGCTAGGAAATGAGAGTCCACGCTGCTGAACAAAAACAAAATCGACAGCTACAGGATTTGAACCTGTGCGGGCGAACCCAGCAGATAACGGAGAGCCTAGAAGGAGGAACTTCAGATGGCCCGTTCGAGTCTGCCGCCTTAACCACTCGGCCAAACTGTCTATGACGGCCTGAAAATATTTGACCAGAAGAAATTGACATAATCATGCTAGATTTTGGTCGTACATGTCTATGAATCAAAAATTAAAGGTGCTGCTAATGACATCACATACTCCACTTGCTACTAGACTTGTCCGTCGGAGCATTCGAGCTGGTGACGAAGAATACTATGATCTGTCGAGGCGACTTCCTGAAAATATCATGTGCAACCAGCATGGTATGCAGATGAAGTACAACAGCCGCTGCAGCCATCTCGCGCCCGTGTTGCTCTCCGGGATCTCTTCTCGTTTGTCATGGCGCCCTCCGATTCCGGGCTCGAGCAGAATCCTGCCCAGCGCCAGAAACTGTTCGACGACTACCAGAGCTTCCTGCACACCTCGACGCTCGTGGCATGTTTTCTCGCACCCGCCCTGATCGCCCTCCCACCGCGCAAATTGGATCTCTATACCTTCTCTTTGGCCGGTGCGTTTCTCGGGGCTACGAACTACCAACTCCGAGAGCGCACGGGGCTGGGGTACATGGGTCACGCGTCCAAGAGATTCGACATTGGACGGACTCCCTTCCGTGATCTGGAGACTCCTGCTTCAGCACATGGAGAACAGCTTCGACGCCGCGAACACATGGTGCCAGAAATAACGGGGGATAATGGGACCTCTGCTCTACAAATCAAAGCTCGTGAAGCTTGGGCGAATAGACAAAACGAGGATTGGAAAGAACGCCGGTTGAAAGAAGAACAGGAGAAACTCGAGCAGGGTGAAGGTTATGGAAATATGATTGTCGACCAAATATGGGAAGTCTGGAACCAAGGCGAGAAGAATGCCGATGAGTTGAAAGAGAGGGACGAGGAAGTGGTGCAGAAGCAAAATGACCGGGGCTGAAGGAGTTCGATTCTTGCCTTTGTCCTGTCTGGCCTGTGGTCTACAACTCGAGGTGCGATTTGATACGAACTCGAGATTCCATCCACAAGTAGGACATCTCCTTTGAGACACAGCGCGAAGCACGAGGTCAGCAGATCGTCTGCGGTACCTCAACATCACCGCCCGGCGCACAGAAACTCGATACAAGGACCATCCACAACACTGTCTAATCGTGCTTGTAGCCCGACATTGGTGTACCCCGACCAGCCTCATGCCCAGCGCAGCCTTGGCCGTACCTCCTCGCATCCGCCTCAGCCTGGAAATCACGCACTTTAACGCCGTGTTTCAGTACCTCGTCACGGGCTCTTTCGCTGAGTTCCGTCTGTTCGTGGCGCTGTTTCGCCTCGCCGGCGCTGAGAATGATAGGAACGCGTGCGGCACCAGTCCGTCTGTGGAATGGGGTCATTTGAGATCTGTTCGCCACAGGGCCGGTGGTCACGCTGGCCATATCCACCTTTGGATAGGTGACCTTTATTGGTGGCGGAAAGACGCGGGCTACAAGCCGTGGTTTGTGCACTTCGCTCATGTCTGTTGGTGTGTGGTCTGTCTGATTCAAATGGCGTGGATGTCTGTTCTCCGGTGATGGGGTCGGTCAGATTACCGTGTGAAAAGCTCAAGTTTGGTGTCGTGACGACGAGCGTCGATTGTTCCGGTCGACGACAGGGAGAAGGCTTAGGGCTATCGTAGCATTGCCTGACCCGTTGCATGAAAATTGGTGTGTAAATTCAATGCAGTTGATCCCGGACTGTAGTTTAATAGTCGATGGATGATATCCAGCACTCGCATGGAAGTTAGAGAAGGGCGGAATTTCGAGTCAGGGTACCTGGTTCAAAATTCAGTTGGGCTGCCTCTGACGTTCCAAACTCGACCGATTCGCCCATTTTATGCCAACTGCTCAGGTCGTACAGAAAAGCGGGAAAACGGAGATTGGCCCGGTTGGTGGTATGGAGGGGATGGTGTCAAGTTCGAGTTGTTCGAGTTGGGCGACACAACATAAATTTATCGAGTGTACAGTGAGCCGGAGGCATGTGCAGCGTTTATCGTTGCGATTTTCTGGGAAGAAAAGGCGAAGAAAGTATCAGTATGCAACTGTTCCTCATCCTTGAAGCGTAATACAACATCCTTGGGTAATCTCCTTTCACCTAATGCTTTGACCCTCGGCGTTTCTTCTTACTCGCTCGCCCGTTTGTACCGTTGTTGTTTGACTCGGGTGGAGGTCTCTTGCCCTTCTGCGGCTGTGGATTCTTTGGGGGCGCCGAAGAAGGTGTCGCCGTTGCGGGTTTCGGATCGTTGTTTTCCTTCCGTTTTTTGGTCTTGGGGCCCTTGATACTCCCAGTGGAATCACCGCTCTGTCTCTTGCGCTTCTTGTCCGTCTTAGCCTTTTTGCGCTCTTCCTTCGCCCGTGATCGTGCCTCGACTCTCTTCAGGAAAGAATCGTCCTCTTCCTCTTGTACCGGGTTATCTCGCTGGTCATCGCCATGTTTTGGTCTCTTTCGCATGCGCTCATTTTCGGATGTTGTGGCTGGTTGTATCTGCTCCCCAGAAACTTTCCGCTTGGGACCGTTCCTCGCCTTTACGGCGACAATAGGCTTCTCTTTGTAGAGTTGTTCGATTGGAGTGGGATTTGTGTCGACTGCGAAAAAGCCGCTGGGATCCAATAGTGGCTCAGCAGGCATGGGAGCTTTTTGGCCAGCTGTAGAAGTAGGGATTGGGATGTCGAGGATTTCCGGCTCGGGAACCTTTGCATCCTCGATGACTTGCTCTTCTCGCTTAGTGACTTCGGTCAAGGATTCGGTGGAAAGCTTGAACGTTGCAATCAGACTCTCAGTGGTGTTGAGACGTTCTTGCACCAAGTTCATAGTAGCACTATCAACAAGACAGAATTTTCGCATCTCCGCCAACAGGGAAGCGTGAGCGTCGAGCAAGGCTAGGAGCGAATTGTGCTGGTAGAAGAACTGTGGCCCTGGGTCAGTCTTGTACGCAAAGGCAGTTGTCTGAACTTTCTACCTACTTTTTGCCATGTTTTTTCGCCGACATCTGGGTCCATCCTGAAGGTACAGTCCAGCACCCAGCTGGAGAGTAAAGTGTATAGACGAGTTTGGCTTTTTGGTAGAGAAAATCGTTCAAACAGTTTGATATCTCCAATACTGAAAATGTGAGAATGCGACAATAGATTCACCGTAGATCTCGGTGAAGTTGCTACGGCAGAGCACATACCCTTCCGCCGTTTGCATGTCTGGTCTTTGACTTCACGTCACACCTTTGTCTTCCAACTTACCATCACAAGTTCTTCAGAAGTCAACCCACGCAGAGATGGCAGAATAAAGACATGGGAAAACACTGCCCTGCTCACTCAGACGTGATGTGCGCGCCCCCTGCGGGTCATGTACTCACATGCTCCTGAGGACCTGGCGAAGAAGCCACACGCGCGGTCCTGATGCCCAGAGGGCGCGGTTAAGACTGCAAGGACAAAGGCTAACTGTGGCTTTTGGCCCATGCTGCTCTCAAGATGGGAGAGACACAAGAGAGTCTCTCTTGGCCGTCAGCATGTTTGCATGGAGGATGTTGTTGTCGTTGTCGTCTTGTGGAGTCGAACTGATTCAAGAGGTGTGGCAGCATTGAATGGCTCTCTATTGATGCCCTCTAAGGACATGAGTACAATATGCATTGAGGCCCATTCGAATACCGCTACTGCCATTGATCGTGCTGGCCTATTCACCGGTGGAGGCTACCCAGAATGTTGTCGTTGCTCCTGCCGCCGAGACGACGGATGCACCCACCTCAACGAGTTTCCTCCCCTCCTCCTCTTCTATCCACCCGCTTCATTTTCTTCTTCCTCTTCCTCTACTTTCTTCATCTCACTTCTCTTAATACCAAGGCTACAGCTTTGCTTGCTCAAGTTCCCTGCTGTTAGCTTCTCCTCCCTCTTATCATCCATCCTCCACTGCATCTTGGTTGCTCATTCTCATTTCCCCCTTTGCTGCTCTATTCATTGGGCCCCATCCCATTTCTAAACAACACCCTTGGAAGAACCACAAAGAGGCGTGGTCTGAAGCCCCTCTCGTGGTGACAGATTGAAGGCGAGTCTATCCGTTCCGGACGCTCCTCCACCGTGATGCCTATGCCTTACTGTCAGAAGGATACTAACCAGTGAAACCCAGACTGCAGCAGCCATGTCTGACAAACCTGCAACCCAGTCGGTCTCAAGCAATGCATATGCTGGCTATCATCAGTCAAGAATGCCGTACAATGCATCAGGCTATCCACAGTACAATGGAGGTAAGAGCTGGAGTCACTGTCTGAGGCACAAATTCCTCACCATGTCACAGCTATGAACATGACCAATTCCAATCCCCTTTCCAACATGCAGAACCTCAAGGCCACCCTGCCACCCTCTGCTTCGGTTGAGACTGAGATGAATGCAGTCAATCGTCCCGGATACAACAGCCCCTTGATGATGTTGCCGTCTGGTCAAGCCGTGCCACTCCCCAACTTCTACGGTCAGAACCAGACCTCAACTGCAGATGCTTCCCAATTGCCCTATGTCCCCACTGGTATGTTTCCAAGCTTCATCGGAAATACCAGCATGGCAACAAGTGCTCTCCCAGGATATGGTTGGCCGTACAATCTTGCCTCCAATGTTGCCGGGTTTGATCCAGGTCGTCGAGGATCCTGGTCTTCCAATGAAGAGAATGCTTCCAACAACCAAAACGTGGCACTGCAGGGTCAATCGGACTACTACAACTCCATGGCCTACCTGTCGACCACTCCTGCCAGCCAACACTACGTTGCTGGGCCCATTCAACCAATGAAGTGTCAAGACAACAAATCCTACGAGATGGTCAACCTTGATGAGCTCGTCAACCGTGACCCACAGATCCCTCGTGCAGTGCCCGCCATGTGGACCAACCAGGAGGAACTCAGCCTGGCCAAATGTCTTCAGAATCCCGAGGGCATTACCAACGTCTACATTCGTGGCTTCATGCCGGACACCACCGATGAGGATCTTGAGCGTTGGGCTTCTCGCTTTGGTGAGATCGAGTCATGCAAGGCCATCATCGAGCAGGACACGGGCAAATGCAAAGGGTATGTTGCCCCACCCACCTGTTGTGCTTGCTAACAATGTCCAGCTTTGGGTTCGTCATGTACTATTCTCCCGCTGCTGCAGAGAACTGTATCCGTGGCTTCTTCCATCTTGGGTTTCAAGCCAGCTATGCTCAGGTATGTAGCACTGCCCTACTATGTCGTGGTCGTCTAACACTCCCAGAAATCTCGCAACTCCCGACTCAAGGACTTGGAGGATAAGAACTCTACCAACATTTATTGCACCGGGGTTCCTATTGATTGGAATGAATCAGTTTGAGTTCTCCCACCATGTTTGTAGCTTCTACTTACAAACCTATCTAGGATCTGGCCAAACATTTCTTGCCGTATCACGCCGTCTCCACCAAGATCTGCCGCGATGCGCCATCCGGAGTCAGCAAGGAAGTTGGCTTTGCAAGGTATTGAAAGATGCTTGGATCCATATGCGTGAACTTGTCTGATTGTCACAGATTCGAAACACGTGAGATAGCAGAACGTGTCATCAAAGAATTCCACTCCGTCCTCAACGAGCGTGATGGCATCAAATTGTTCCTCCGCTTTGCCGACACCAAAGCTCAGAAGCAGCTCAAACAACAGAGTCAAGAACGTCGCAACTGGCGCAGCCGCGAATACAGCTATTCGGTTGAACACACTCCATCTCCAACTCTGTCTCGATTGCAGAACGTGAACAACCACATCAGTCCGAATGGCAGTTGGCAGTCTCCGGCTGGAACTACCAATGGCTTCACTCCAGCGACGTCAGTCTCTCCGCCGTAAGTCTGGCCTTGCTGCCCAAGCTCCTTGGTTCTTCAAGTCAACTAACCACGCGTCCTGCAGTGAGCTTCCGGGTGTCAACAACAAGACTGCGACCATGATCCGCAACTCCACGTCGACTTGGCCAATGCAGGGGGGACTGCAGTCGATCACCAACTCCACCACTGTCAGAACCAATCTTCCAGCAGCCCATCCTTACATTGAAGTCCCGCCAAAGTCTGCGGCCGCGATTGCAATCATCCCAGACAATGGCAACATCAGCAAGAAGACCAAGACTCCAAGTCCAAAGAAGGTCACCATTAGAATTGAGCCAGCCAGCGGCAAGGAGAACTACACCGCCACCACTCCGCAATCTTGCAAATGAGCCAGCTACGCCAACGCCGCCAAGGACATCTGTTCCCGCATGCTTCCAACTATTTTTGGCGTGCATTTGTTCTTGGTCTGCTGGTACTATCCATCTTGATTCCTTTTGCTCATTCTTGCCTCGAGCATGCACACTCATCCCCTGAAGCATGCATTTTTGTCACCCCGACATATACACAGCATGAAAAGAGACGGCATTCATTACTCATGTACAGCAAGACCTTCATCATGGTGCATCGATGAAAGAAAAAAACATGGATCAGGCAATATGTTGATAATACAGGTGTAGGAGGAGGAGCTGAGATCGGTCTAAGTCTTGACAGTTTGTATTTTCTAGCTAGCATGTAGTTACTTGAGAGACTGAACTCACAATGCATTCAGTTAACATACAGCCTGTTGCCAGCGTCACTTTCTCTCACATCTCGTTGACAGATAGTGTTGACGACTTCACTTTTGCTCTCTACTTGATAACTTCTCTCGTACACATTTAGTGCTTGGAAGCGGCTTGGTGTAAATATGTGGTTCTTTTCAAGTACTAGCGGATGCCCAATTTCGAAGCCTTGGACTGTGCAGGTTGTGCGAAGGACACAATGGACACCCAACAGCAGAAGGGAGGAGCAACTCCAGATCGCTCGTCAACTACCCGTGTCTGTGATATGCCGACACCCCGCGAACACCAATCTTTGTTAAGGCGTCTTATTGGCAGGTGAGAGGTGCCTGGCCGTGAAAGGTCTTGTGTGATAACGTGTCCCCAGGACGAGCGTCGGAGGAGACGAGGCTGTGGCAAAAAAGGGGCAGGGCCCGCTTTGGTCCGTACACCACGTGATTATGAGTGATTACAAGTGTAGGATTGGAATGGAGTGAGGCGAAGTTAGTACTTGTACAGGCATCCAAACTTGGACGTCATTGTAAGATCTTCATGATTCTGTGTAAATGTACTTTGTTACCTAGGGTTTGTAATGTGTTTGTAATGTACGCAGCGGTGCTACCTCTTCATGCGGCGCGTATCTGGCCAGCCTCATAATGTCACGACACTTCCCTTATGAAAAGTCCAGCCCCCCCGTCCCCCCCGTTGTTCGCTTGAAACCGACGCACTTGATGCTTCCCGCGGTGCAAGAGACCAAAAACTTGTTTGTTGCACCTCCGACAAACTAAAGGTGACTAGATTGTCCTTTACCGCAAAGTCTTAGGGATTGAACAATGCAGGCTCGTCGGCTTCGGCTTCGGCTCCCGCTTCCATTGCCGCTGACGAACTAGGTGTTTGAGCAGGAGAATTGTCCCATGTGTCCGCCTCTCTGGCTTGAGGCCACTCGTTTCCTGTCCTCATCACTGCGGCCCAGTCCAACTCTTCGGGAAACCACTTATCTCTTCTTACTGTTTTCTTGTTCCCGCCTTCTAAGGCCGCCCTTGCTGCTCTTGTACGCCGCTGTCTCTTTATCCCTTGCTGACTTGACCCGTGCAGTTCGTTTCGAACCTGCTCAAGTCGTTGATCGTGAGACACGATGTAGCGGATGTAGGGGGCGACTTCTGTCACAAGTGAGATGGCGGATGGATTATCCAGGGAGGGTGCTTTACGCCCGGGCGAGCTGGGGAGGCCGATACGGGATTCTTCCAAGAGAGGTTCGAACGCTTCGCACATTGATGATTGGAGGGTCGTTGATTCGTTCAGATTCCCGAGGTACAGGCGGACGACTTCGTTCCTGTGGAATGTGTGGTCGCTTACAGCGGCAGCAGCTGGATTGGAGCATTTCCATAATGTGCTCGCGACCACAGGTGTTATTGTGTCATCGACCAGATCCATTGCGCTTCTCGCCTCACAGAGGGTGAGCATGTCATCCAGTGCTGAGACATGGTTCGCCTCAGTGCCGATTGAACAGAAATTGTCCCGAACCCAGTCCTGTGCAGGAATACCCAGATTGTCCTGGGAAAAACGAATGAGATCTTCAACGTCGTCAAAATCGGCCGGCAAGAGATCAAGCCCGTTGGTGACAGTGTCTTGACTGATAATTCGTGTGACTGAGCCATCTGACATGAGTTGGGACTCACCGTTAAAAGGAAGCATCCAATCCAGACCTCCCTGTTGCGATCCGACCGTCATTTGGCACCAGAGATTGAGTTCCATGATTGACGCGCGGAGATCTTGACCTTTCGTAAGATAGAGGTTCTGCAAGACTTCTTTGCTCAGAAGATGTCCTTCAGCCGCACATATTGATCCTAGAAGCTGTACAGCCAAATCCTGTTGGGGAATGTCATATCGCAAGACGGCAAAGAGGTCTAATTCGGCCATGGGCACGGAATTGACACTGTTGCATGTGAGGATGACAGGTCGCTTGGAGGTTCGGATGAGTGATTGAACGCCACTCCAAAAGGCTTTATCTTCTTCATACAGAATGTCGACCTCTTCAAACAAGACGAGAGATTGTTTCTGCGACTTGGATTTAGTTTCTTTGGTCTCTTTCACTTCGCCAATTTTGGACTGTCTGCCACCCTTTCTGCGACCCATAATGTCTGCTGTGGAATCCTGGCTGTCCGTCAAAGGCCCAGAGGTGGAGTAGACTGTGTCACTGTCCTCCAACGACAAACTTGACCTTCGGCTGGACGTGTCTCGGTGCTGAACCAAGTGGTTCTGTGTCATGTCCCCTACCCTGTCTTGGATGTCCCTTGCACTTCGTCGCATACCAGGGTGGATCTCAAATACCTCGAACCCCAGTTGTTGTGCCACGGCAAAGATTGAAGCAGTTTTTCCAGAGCCTGGAGGGCCTGTGAGGAGGATCGCATTCTTTCCATTCGCAAGCGAACGGGCATCCTCGTCGTCTGAATATGCAATGAAGTCGTCCATCTCTTCCGACTTCCGCTTGCGACGCTTTTTGGGAGTCAGAGGTTTCGCCTTTGGTTGTAATTTGCCAGTCTGAACTTGGTGCACTCTCAGATTACTCAGCCAATCATGTAGAGCTTTTCCTTGTGGTTCTAAGACCTCTTGCCAACAAGTCGGTGCGTATTCGTGGCACCAAAGTTGGGGTCCCGCGGCCATGCCCCTGTCAAAAGAACTGCGCGTCGATTCAACAACTGCTCCGAGCCGGGAAATTGAGGCCGACTGATGTTTCGATTGGTGGTCGATCCCATAGAGCGTTTCAGTGAGTCTTGCGAGTTCTTTGCTACCCATGATCTTTCGCTCGGGTGTGTGAATGGGCCTATCGTCGACATTCTGCTCCAAACATCGTGAAAAGTTCCCAAGTATGTCTTCGTCCGCATTGACACGAAAAGCATGTTGTTTGAATTTGGGCTGTGATAAAGAGAGTGTCCGAACTGTGGCTGCACCACGTGGAGCATGGCTTGGTTGTACATGTTGGATGTTGGTCGGAGGCCAAACGGGTAAGAGCACCGGCGCATTTTTGTTGTGAACTGTCCTCCTTGATTCGAAGATAATGTCTTTCCAAGGCTTTGGTGCCTTCGGCCTTGAGGTAGTCTCGTCCTCCGAGGGGTTTGCAACAGAGGATGTCTCGCTTTTTAGGTCAGACTGCTTTTGACTATTGCCTGACAGTCTTCCCAGAAAAAATGGGTGCGTGGCCTTACTCACGACAGGGTGTTGGGGTGCTAGCTTTCCCTGAGCTTGCGGGCCTTGAATGTGGCTCTTTTCAGAGTCTTGAGACAAGATGGCGTCGATCTTAGAACCGGAATCCGGAGCCGAATATGACAACGTAATGCGCAATGAGGACACCAATTTTCCCTTCTTCATTTCCAGTTTCTTATATCGACGGGCAGTCTTTTTTGCGTCGCCACTCTCCCCAGCTGTGTCGTTCGCAACACTCCGTGACGCACGCTTGGGCGATTTCTTCGGCGAGAAGATGAGTTTTCCGTGACCACTTCGCATCATCTTGTTCCTTTGAGTAGAGCCGCGTTCGCTCTCCATGGCTGAAGGGTCGTCCGTTGTGTTATCAGGCGGTCGATGGTGACGATCAGGGGATTTTGTGAGGTCGATTTCAGCTGGGTTTGAAGAAGAACTAAGAGAAGGTCGACTGTCAGGAGTTGTCCTTTGCGATGTGATACAACCCTCTGCGGACAATGTCGGTTGAGATAACTGAATTCTACTTCCATTGTCGCAGAAGAAAGGTCGATCAGCAACTGTCTGGTCCTCAGCACAATCGTGAGGTGGTTGGATATCATCGCATGTCTGTGCTGCAGCCTGGAGCTGGTCCTGCCACGTCATCTGGCTTGTGTGTGAAGTCTCTGTTGTCACGGTGAGTGAATGCACAGAGCTGGTAGACACTCTTCGTCTTTTTATTCTAGTGTTTTCGTGTTCAAGGTCGTCTCCCTCTTCCACACTCCATGTTCGACTAGGGGCAGCCTCTGTTGCCTCTGTGCGTATAACATTGCTGGGATTACAACTCTGCTCTTCATTGTTGTTGGGAGGGTCATCTTCGCCTGCGCCATCTAGCCCTCGAATTCTGGGGAGAGGGCCTTGAGATGAGGAATCGTTGGGTGCGGCGGCTATAAACAGCGTCAGCGCGTGGTATCCCGGGAAGGATATGATGGCGTACCTTTCCTAAAGAACGGATGCATATGGGATCGATGTTCTGGGACAGCGCCATAGTCAAGCAGCGTCGCCATTGACCTACGAGTCAATTTTTGGAAGGCGGTGGTGTCATGAAGGCTAGATTCCGCTCAGACTAGTGAATGGACCGATGAATACGTCGTAGATGAATCAATGAGCCGTGGCCAGCCCTCCCCTAAGGCAATTGATAGTTGGTATAGGATCGAGGTGCGCGTGGTCATGATGTATAACTGGATTATCGGAAGCGCGTCTGTGACGCGATTCCCATGCCCAGAAATGGGGGGTGCACTGTAAATGCCTTCCAGTTGCTGATAGGCTTGCACAGGCGGAAGATCGGCCACTAAGCAGGCCCTGGTTAGGGAAGTGCTTAGCGAGACTTATTACCATTTGGGACTTGGACGGAGGAACCTTGCCGCCCTCCGCAAAAATTTTGTGGAGACCATCTCAAAACTTTTTGTCTGCACACCAAGTTCTACCTCGCAGCACTACAGTACTCATGCTCCAGCCATGGAAATCTCAACTCCCCATGTGCTAGCGAGACTGCCTCGTCCTTCTAGGCTTGACGCCAACCCTCGTTTTGGCACAGTGTATTCTGTGCGCGACGGACTGAAGAAGCGCAGGAAAGAGATTTGTGTGGCCGTGGATGGTGATTCCCTCGGGCTGTATGAGGTACCATTACATTGTATCCTTCCACAGGACAAGCTGCTGACAGAGGTTCAGATCCAAAATGGGACGATCCTAGCCTCTTATCCCGTGCCTCCTACCACACGTTATTTTGGCCCACCATGTTCAATTCGCGAAGAATCGCAGGGGCAAATCCGTCGAAGGACATACTGTGTGACAAAGCGAGACACATTACGCATCGAATCTTTCCAGAGCTCAGGAGATGACACAGTCCGCGCCTCACAGTGTGTGAGTGTAGCATTGGATGAACAAGAGTACCCGGTCGTACTGCTTGAAGTTCTGCTTAGAGGTCGAGAAAAAGAGCCGTTGGTGGTCCAACAAAATGGTACCCTAACAAGTTTCTCTGAAGAATTGAACGCCACATTATTCAAGGGCGCTCTTTGTTCCAAACGACATCCAAACATCAAAGTACTGGCTGCTCAACATCTTACAAGTTCGGAAGCACTGAAGACTGTTCTAAAGCAGAGGCCAGATCTGCTCAGCGAGGTTGCTCCAGCTGGTTCCTACTTGGCGGTCGCATATTGCAAAACCGAGCATTCGGCTAATCCCAACAGCGTGTTCTACGGTGTCTGGTCAGTTGAAACAATCGATCGAAATCTGGCTGCTCATATGGTTTCGATTTATCCATTGTTCGACCATGAACTATCGTTGGGAGGCAACAACTCCAAGTCACTTTCGCCGAAGGATCGATCTTACACCTTTAACCTCAGGGCATCGAATCTATTTCTTCGTGCCGGAGAATCATTTTACTCGTATGATCTGACCGGCCTAGTACCTTCATTGTCTTCTGCTCTACACACTGGTCTGAACTGCTCTTACGAAATCATGGCCATTTCTCCCGCGTTCGCTATCTGCTCCTTTGATGAGTCAGTTCAGCTTTATGACCTCAAATTTCAGTCCGTTCAGGCTCAAATTGACGCGAGAAAGGGGAATCTCAAGCGGAAACGCATGAGAATGGCCGTCCAAGATCGGAGTGGTCCCATCGAATTTGTCGCATATTATCCCCACACTGCTCGTGTCATCGGACGGAGGCGTCATCAACTCCTTGCAATAGATATTTCTGGTGGCTCATCAAAACGACTACTGGAAATCGGAAGCAAACTTCTCCAAAACGTGGCACGCGGTGTTAGTAACCATGAGGCTCTGCCTAGTGCTCTCGATGGGCGGTTGTCGGCGATCGGCTCCGCAACCATCATTCCAGAGTCTACTGTCGGCTGGCAGCCCATCAAACAACGTCTTGACCAGCTCGCTGGGAGTGGCGATGTCGCCGGCTTCGAAAACACTTTCATCAACGACATTCGACAGGCTATTATGCAGTCTTCAGCTCTCGGAGGACCCAGTGGGGACTTGCCTCTGGATCGTATGGCGATCCCAGACTTCAAGATCAACTATCTTCTGTCGAAGATCTTTCAGGTGGTCGCAACGCCAAATGCGCAAGACAATGCACCCAACCCCACAGAGACGCGATTGGAGATCCGGATACCGTCATTCAAACTCATCCTATGGCTGTGCCGGCTCGGGTTGCTGTCCGCCCAGCACCTTGGGAATGCAATCTCGAGTTCCCCTTCTGGGCCTGGGTTGACGAATGTCGGTGTCCATGCGGTTGCACGAGCTGTCCTTAAGGCAGATCCCTCGTATAACTTGCTGGAAGAGTGTCTCGAAAGTGGGTTCAGTCCATATGTGGAGGAGCAAGCAGCGATAGTTCAGCTTCTCATCCAGCAGGCTCTGGCTACATCGTCTGGGACAGCCATTCCTGAAGCGGATCGCCGAACAGAACCCAAGGAAAGCGACACTCCCTTACCGCCGGCCGGCACGCAGGTTCAGGCACTGGCCGTATCAGCGACAAACACTCCGTGGCTGCCTCCTCAACTGCAAAGATCGCTAATCGAAGCGCTGGATAGACTCGGCGTTGCTGCGCCTGCAGTCATCTCCGCTAACTTAAAAGCTTTGCTCGCCCACACCGAGGCGCTGGCTCTCATTCAGTTCTTACGGCAGCAACTCTTCCAAGGCGGTCACACGCGCTCCTTTCAAAACTTGAATGTGAACGCTGACTCTCTACCAACTGTCAAGCTCGCTTCTAGTATCAAGATATTGTCAGCCTGCGTCGACACCATTGGACCTCTCGGCTTCTTTGAAACTCTAGATCACGAAGACTTTATGGGCAATATTATACCCGACCTGGTGACGGAGATTACACATGCCAAGCAGAGTCTGGAAGACGTGGCGGAGTTGCAAGGGATTCTCCGCGAGACGTTGAGATACCAAGAATCTATACGAAAGCAACAAGCTGCCGGCGCCCGTGTACCTTTCTATGGAACCGGATTACCGGCCCCTAATCAGCGTCCGGGAGCCATCGTGACGCTGTACTCGGAGACTGCCGAGGGGGAAGAAGACCTGCAACCTGGTCCAGGTCTCCCACTCAGCCTGAAGGTCGAGAATGTAGTCAGCGCCGTGAAGATTAGGAATGGTGGTGGCCAATTAAAACATCGGACTGTCAGGCAGAAAAAGATGCTCGAGAGGAGAAATAAAGGCCGGTACTCGTTTGAGCGACTGGCTTTGTGAGATAGTTAGAGCTTTGAAAATGTGATGGCGGATCCGAGGACTCTGGATAAGCATGTCTTATACTCCGTAAACCTTCTCGCTATTTCCGGCTGGACTGTAGTAGAAGCGAGATATCAGATGGCCAAAATGGGACGAAAGCGTATGCAGCGGATTCGGCGTGCCATTGGCCATTGACTATTGACGGGCCTAGCCTCGTTCCAGCCCCATCGCAGCCCCGTAGATGCGCATGCTGCGATCCCATGCCCCCCTCGAACCTCTCCTAACGCAGTCTTCCATCAAATTGAGTGCTCGTACCGACGACAAGATCTTCCTGCTTAGATGCTTCTTCTCCGTATAGTGCGCAACTAGGCAGCCTCGGCCATTGACCAGAAGTCCGATGACCAGAGAGAAACCCCCCTTTTGAGAGACCTCCGCTGCGAGCCTCCTCCGGACTGTCTCCTTTGAATTGAGACGACGAAAGATTCTTCAACGGTCCCCAATAGCGGCAAACCTTTTGAGTCTGCAATCAGAAAAGCTACCGAGCAAATCCTCATCATATCGCCGGCCGAGTCTCTACCCTGCCCCCAAGCCTCCATGTGGCTGGGGTGTGAGGACTGAAACCTAAACCTGATCCGAGCGCCAAAAAGGCAGTTGGATCTTGGACGTTATCACCATGGCCTTTCCCAGCGGAACTACATATCACGCCGACTCTGACGCCGATGATGAATATGAGCGAAGCGTCATGACTTCTCCCACTCAGCTACACACCGATTCAGAGACCTCGTCCGAGCCCGCCTCTAACGAACATACCCCCACGACCTTTGACAACTCGGGAGAAGATCCAAGCCTACCCAGGACGATAATAACAGAATGGACACCAGAAGAGTGCGCTCAGTTTGTGTCTAGTTTGAATCTGAGACAATATTGCCATGCTTTTATCGGTAAGCAGCCTTGCAAGCAGAAACGGCGGGGACTGTCCGCAGGACTGACTGTTCTCAGAACACGGCATTGAAGGCGAAGCACTCGTTGCACTTAAACATGACGAACTCAAAGAGATGGGAATCGCTAGTGTGGGACACCGGTTGACCATACTCAAGAACGTTTACGATTTAAAGGTCAACCAGGACATACCTATCGAACCAGATGACTATGTCCCGCCTAGTAGGCTATTGCCTTACCGTTGGCCAGTGTTATATCGCTGATTCCCTTTTTAGCGGCCGAGCAAAATCCACAATATGAAATGGCAACCAAGGAAGATATCGATCGACTCGCGAGATCAATTCTCCGGTTACGGGACGAGCGAATTGCCCAGGCGGAGGCGCAGTTGACGAGGCTTGCAGATGACTACCGCAAGTTGCGCCAGGAGCTACTACCAGTTTTCAAGATGGCCAAGGAACGATCCGAACCTCTCCCCTATGCCCCTTATCAAGGCACTACCATCAGCCCAGAGGTGTACCAGCAAGATGTCATTTCACCTGCCCCAGCGACGCAGCCGGTGCCCGAAAAGACGAGCCTTACACGAACATTCTCGAAGAAGCTGGGCCTCAGTTCTACCCCCAAGAACAACTCTCCAACACATATACCCAGTACAATCCATGAGGGTAGGACTTTCGCCGAAAGCAACTCGCTGGACCCTTCGGCAGCAGCAAGTCTAGCCTCAAACTCGCTAACCGCACAAATGTCAGGTGGCGTACTAGGGCAACACCCTCATCCCTCTCCAGGAGTCCCTTCCCCGACCTCACCGCTCCCCTACCAACATCAACCACTCGCTCCCCGCTCCTACCAACGTGAAGGAGGAACCGTTAGCAGTGCTATCCCTCGCTACGATGGTGTCGACGACCGCCAAGTTACTATCGAACGCGACCGTGACCCTCCCACTTCTGCGAAATCGGCCTCTGGCAAACTCAACCCTTCAAACAGTACAATCTCTAATGCTTCTACCCTCATCCCCTCGAGAGAACAATCCGCCTCGGTCCCACCCCAGCTCCCCTCGAGCGCCGGTGTGGGCCACACGCCGCATGGCAACAAAGATAGTGGCACCGGAGGTGACGCTCCCTCTGTGGAAATTTTCAAGTCTTTCCGCGTGGGCCTAGAAGATCCGTGCTACAAAGTTCTCCCAGCCGCTCTCAGGAAATATAATATCCAGGCCGATTGGCGACAATATGCACTTTATATCGTGTACGGCGACCAGGAGAGGTGTGTGGGACTGGAAGAGAAACCCCTCGCTTTATTTAAGGATCTGGACAGAGAGGGGAAGAAGCCGATGTTTATGTTGAGAAAGTTAGGGAACGTGATGGTTGGAGACGTGCCACCAACAGCAGGCGTGGGGATGAAGCCACCCCTGGGAGGTATAGGTAGCAGCAGTTTAGGGACTGCTACCACAGGAGTCGTTTCTGGAGGCGCACCGAGCGTCAGGGCAATGCCGCCTGCGCAGACGTTGCCAGGCGGAGTTTTATGATTTCGTTGGCTCTTTCGTTTAGACATGTCGGCTTTAGCGAGGCTTTCAAAAGCGTCTTTGTTTTGAATCTGAAGAGACAGGTTGTTTCCATTCATGCTACGATGCTTTACCAGCACAACCAGCCGCTCGAGAACCACCTACGACTCCATGGAGAGCAAGGTATTTAATGTACTGTACCGAGGTCCTTCCACTATCTCAGCAACATCCAGCGCCGTTCGCTATGCCATATGATACACGAATATCCCAAGCCATCGCCTCGATTACAAGCAGAGACCTGGTCAGTCACTGTCGTCGTTGATCGGCTCGACAACATCCTTGATTTTTTCTTTCAAAAATTCCACTCCCAGCTCAACAGTGACCTCCGGGATCCTTACATCTGGTAGTCCATCTGGGCCGCCCGACCATTCTTTTGACAGTGCAATGGCGTTGTTGTTCACCCCTCCGCCATTCAAGGCTGCCGCAGCAGCTGCGCCTCCAGCTCCAGGTCCAGTTATTGTCGTCGTCGTAGGTGTACTCGTGCCATTCGTCTTGGCATCTTTGCTTTCCTTCTCCCCGGCCTGGTTCTTGCCGTCCTTGGGCATCTTCGCCCGTCGCATAACTTCGCTCATCAGCTCTGGGAAAGTGTCGCATGAGCCATTCCTGAGTAACTCGAGCGCCAATGCGCGGACGCGGTCTGTCCAGCCCGTCCGGGCGAGGCTGTCTGCCAGGAGGGCGCTGAGGTCGGGTATAGCGCCCGTCTGTCGGAGGTGTTGAATGAGAGCTTGAGAGGTCGGGGGTGGTAAGGAGGTCGAGGAGCTGGTGAGGGAAGAAGGGATGGAGATTGTAGCCGCGTTGTCAGCTGATGGCCCTGAGGTCGACATTTTGTGGGTGTCTCGCTATGTCAAGGCCAGAAGGTGGATGTGGGTGCGCGTCGAGATAATGTGGGCTCTAAATGTGTTTTCGTGGTAGAGAGGGGCTCGGTTGGATTAATTTTTGAGATCGATAGTCTGGCACACCTGGCCGTATGCCGCCGGTCGATGTGGGCAAGTAGGAGATATCGTCCTCCGGAGGGCTGTCCAGCAGCACTACTTGAAAGGAAATTGTGAGTAGCCTGAAGCTGTCTGCAAGGAGGCGGGCAGGCGGGCTTGATTCTCGAGAATGTTCCGCTCCGCACTTTGAAAATTGGAGGTGCGGGCGGACATGGGTTGGCGGAGCGGAAATACGCAAGGTACGCTACGAATCAGAGGGCGAGTTCCCGTGGGCTTGTTGTGGACGATTCATGGTTGTATAAGGAAGTGAATTGATTGATCATCATGAATGGCTTTCTTCCTATTATTCGTCATGAGAGGCGAAAATGTCAGACATGTGGTATGGACTGCAGGAGGAATACAGAGACATCTGTGAGAGCTGCGGGTCTTAGAGCCGGATGACTCTCAGTACGCAATCTGGCATTACGCCCCTCGTGGCAAGGCTCAGATTCAGCCTCGCCACCTGGAAGGCAGATCTAGAGCAATACCGAGTACTTGTACAATTACTCGAACAGGATGGGAAGAGAAAGGCATTAAGTCAAGAGCTGAAGGAACAAAGCTTAGCGTGCTATCAAGCAAAAGTGTTTGATGCCTACTTCAAGTGCATGTAAAACTCGTGGCAAGGCAATCGTTGGGCGGCATCAGAAGATTCGACCGTCTTCTCTTTCGTAGGCTGCCAGAGGCAACGTATGTTGGTTGGGCTCAAATGACCGTCATTTGAACACGCCAAGACGGGGCTTTCTCCTGCGCTTCAAGTCCTCTAGAGGTTCAACTCATCACTTTCAACAAACGCTTTGCTCACTCTCACCTTTTTGTTACCATCTCCTTTCTCCTCCTCTCAAGGTCCTTCTTATAAGGAGCTCCTTGGACTCATTCCATCCTTTTTCTATCGTCCCTAAAACTATCGTTGCGAAGACCGGCGCTCTTGTCTCTGGTCTCCTAGAAACCACATCAACAAACCTCCGCAATCTCCTTCTCAGACCGTTTTTGATATCTCAAGGACATCAAGATGTCTGCAGAACCTGATCACGCCCATGACAAGAAGAAGGTCAACCTACAGTATGTGTCACCTTCCTCGAAACCGCAAGATGCGCTGCTAACTCAAGCTACAGTGATGCTTCGGGCGCGGAAAAGAGAGAGGTACGGATTTCTCCCGGCAACCTCCATGGTGACGAATCCCAGACTGACAAAGCTATCCAGGAGCTTGATACGGCCACAGCCATCCTGAAAAAGAAGAAGAAGCCAAACTCATTGATGTACGTTGAACACTGGCAACGACTTGGTGCAGACCGGCTGACAAATGACGCAGTGTGACCGATGCTACGAACGATGATAACTCCATCATTGCTCTCTCAAACAACACCATGGAGACGTTACAACTGTTCCGAGGCGATACAGTCTTGGTCCGAGGAAAGAAACGAAAGGACACCGTCTTGATCGTCCTAGCCGATGACGACCTCGACGATGGAAGCGCTCGTATCAACAGAGTGGTTCGCCACAACCTTAGAGTCAAGCACGGCGATATCATCACTGTTCACCCTTGTCCTGACATCAAATATGTGAGTACTGTCTTATTGCACTATTTCCAGCACAGTTCTGACTTTCCCTGCAGGCGAAGCGCATTGCTGTTCTTCCTATCGCAGATACCATCGAGGGTCTGACCGGGTCTCTCTTCGACGTCTTCCTCGCCCCCTACTTCCGCGAAGCCTACCGGCCTGTCCGACAAGGAGACCTCTTTACAGTTCGAGCCAGTATGAGACAAGTCGAATTTAAAGTGGTCGAAGTCGATCCCCCGGAGTACGGCATTGTGGCCCAAGATACCGTTATTCACTGTGAAGGAGACCCGATCCAGCGTGAAGACGAGGAAGGAAACTTGAACGAGGTCGGATACGATGATATTGGTGGTTGCAGAAAGCAGATGGCTCAGATCCGCGAATTGGTGGAGTTGCCACTGCGACATCCCCAGCTGTTCAAGTCGATCGGGATCAAACCTCCCCGAGGTATCCTCATGTATGGCCCTCCGGGTACTGGTAAGACCCTGATGGCACGAGCTGTCGCCAACGAAACCGGTGCTTTCTTCTTCCTGATCAACGGCCCCGAAATCATGTCAAAGATGGCTGGTGAATCAGAATCCAACCTGCGGAAAGCTTTCGAGGAAGCTGAGAAGAACTCTCCTGCCATTATCTTCATCGACGAAATCGACTCTATCGCACCAAAGCGAGAGAAGACCAACGGCGAGGTAGAGCGACGTGTCGTCTCGCAACTGCTCACTCTCATGGATGGCATGAAGGCGAGGTCCAACGTGGTCGTGATGGCTGCCACCAACCGACCCAACTCGATCGATCCCGCCCTTAGACGATTTGGTCGATTTGATCGTGAAGTCGACATCGGTATCCCGGACCCGACTGGCCGTCTGGAAATTCTGCAAATCCACACCAAGAACATGAAATTGGCCGAAGATGTTGACCTTGAGTCGATCGCCGCCGAGACTCACGGTTACGTCGGTTCTGATATTGCATCACTCTGCTCCGAGGCCGCCATGCAGCAGATTCGTGAGAAGATGGATTTGATCGACCTGGACGAGGACACAATCGATGCCGAAGTGTTGGATTCGCTGGGAGTCACCATGGAAAACTTCCGGTATGCCCTGGGTGTCTCCAATCCCTCTGCTCTCCGCGAGGTGGCGGTTGTCGAAGTTCCCAACGTTCGCTGGGACGATATCGGTGGTCTCGAGGGTGTCAAGCGCGAACTCATCGAGTCTGTGCAATACCCTGTCGACCACCCCGAGAAATTCCTCAAATTCGGTCTTTCACCATCTCGAGGAGTGTTGTTCTACGGTCCTCCCGGAACCGGTAAAACTATGCTTGCCAAAGCCGTGGCCAACGAATGTGCCGCAAACTTCATCTCCGTCAAGGGTCCTGAGCTTCTCAGTATGTGGTTCGGCGAGTCTGAAAGCAATATCCGAGATATCTTCGACAAGGCGCGTGCCGCAGCTCCCTGTGTCGTCTTCCTTGACGAACTTGACTCGATTGCCAAATCCCGTGGTGGTTCCGTGGGTGATGCCGGTGGTGCATCTGACCGGGTTGTTAACCAGCTCCTCACTGAAATGGATGGCATGACCTCGAAGAAGAACGTCTTTGTTATCGGCGCTACCAACCGACCTGAGCAACTCGACAATGCTCTTTGCCGACCCGGACGTCTGGACACTCTTGTCTATGTCCCCCTTCCCGACGAAGCATCCCGTGAATCCATTCTCCGGGCGCAACTGCGCAAGACTCCTGTCGCTGGAGATGTGGATCTTAAATACATTGCCAGCAAGACCCATGGTTTCTCCGGTGCCGATTTGGGCTTCGTCACACAACGGGCTGTCAAACTCGCCATCAAGGAGTCGATTGCCGCAGACATTGAAAGACAGAAGGAACGTGAGGCCGCTGGCGAGGATGCCATGGACGCCGACGAAGGCGAGGATCCCGTCCCCGAGCTGACCCGACGACACTTTGAAGAGGCCATGCAAGCTGCCCGGCGGTCCGTTAGCGATGTGGAGATTCGCCGCTATGAAGCCTTTGCACAAGCCATGAAACAGAGCGGTGGTAGTGCTTTCTTCAAATTCCCTTCTGCTGGTCAAGAAGCCGATGCCGCCAACGGTACTGGCTTTGGTGATGCTGGCAATGATGACAGCTTGTACGACTAAGGCGATGGTGGTGGCGGCACTTGCGACAAAACTCATCCACACTGAGTTGGGGGCCTGGGTGGAAAGCACGATTCTGCAGAGATACGAGGCGCAAAGAAAGTGAACGGCGTCAAGAACCATACCGACATGTGGCTCACCGAACGCATGGACATGGTAGGGAAAAGGGTGTACTTGATGGCCGTGCTTGCAGTATGTCCCATCGGATTCATCGACTGGCCTGGCAAATTTGTATTCTACCTTCTACCTAGACAGATGAGATTGCATGCAAAATAATAGAATGGCTGACTGAGGAGCCATGGGGTTATTATAGGTGATCGGTCCTGTCTTTTGTTATATGAAGCCTGTTTCCTTTAATGCAGCCTGATGCACATCAACTAAGCCTTGTGCATGATGATGTAAACACCCAACGGCCGTTCCGGGGGTGCCGGGGATGCCGCTTTTGGGTGGCTGTGGGTGGCTCCCTTATTTCTCGCCCTCCACCAACCCATCAATCCATCCAATTTCCCGCCCTTTGCTGCCATCTCAATTCCTTTCCTCTCGCGCGACTTTGGTCGACGGTAACGACAGTATCTCTTTTTGTTTCTCTCTAGAACTTGCATTGACTATGGCGAACTATGGCATCTCCGCGCGCCTCTTGCGCCTGGGCCGTCCAAAGGTATGCCAACAGTGTCGAAACCTCGAGTTTCTCCCCTCCATGCTGACTTGTTCTGCACAGCGCTTCTTCTACACGATGACGCTCTCGACGGGCGCCAGTCTCATTACCCTCTCGATGCTGGTCAATAAACTCGCTGGCCTCTACGGCATTCTTGCGCTCTTTACGGGATACCACCTATCGCCCTTCCAACTGTCCATGTACATCTACTCGACCGTCGCACTCGTCCTTACTGCCTACCTTGCACGACATATCCGAAAACAATCGCCCCTGCAGTGCCTTGCGCTGGCTTGGTTTTACATCTTGGACAGTATCGTTAACGCCGCATACACCGCCGTCTTCGCTGCGACATGGTTCTTGGTGCTGGCACAGCATGACGCAGGGAAGACGGACAAGAAAGGACCTGGCGCATCGACTATGGACCAAGTATCGGGATTCACGGATCCACAACTCAATGTCTCGAGAGTAGAAGTCGTTGCCACACCCCAGCCTCCCATGACGGGTGGTGGTCAGGACGCTGTCGCCGCTGGGGTCCCTGCCACCAACGCTGCGGGCAGCGGAAGCAACGGCGCCCTGCAATCGGCCGTCTTGGACTCGCAAAACATGAATTCCGTGGGTGTTATTATTGCCATGTGGACCATCCGGGCTTATTTCTGCTTGATCATGCTCGCTTTCGCCCGTATGGTCATCCGACAACATATTGCCTCGAGCGGATCTAAACTGGGCGTCGATTATACCACCGCATCAATAAACTCCCAATTAGCAGAGAATCCATTCTCTGAGAGCAGACCAGAGGGAAAGGGTTGGGGAGGCAAACTTGGTCGCTTTATGGTCGGCATTGGCCGAAGTTATTGGCTGGGCAGTGACGAAGATGATAGCTGGATGAACGGCATGGGTGGGAAATTCCGAAAGAGTGGTATTGCCGGCGACGAAAATGGGTTCATGCTCAGTAAAATTGAGAGTGGACCTACGGAGAGGGAAAGGAGAAGACGATCGGGAACTGGACCGCCAGCACCGGCCCCAGGTGTTGTGCCTGGTGTCGCTACGGTGGAGGGAGACAAGATGACTTTGCAGATTCCCCCGCAGAACAACTAAGCCTTATAACGGTACACAACCTGGGTCAGAGTTGAAAGAGAAGGGGTTCTACAGCTTGATGAAGGGAGTGGTGGTCGTAAGGGCGACCGAGGAGTAAGGGTACACTCAACACGTTGTATACAAATGGTGTGCGGGCGTTTACCATGAGGGACGGTGTTTGGCTGGCAGAACAACACATGTCGGGATGATTCCAACCTGATGGAGAGATGTGTGGAATGTATATCTGTACCGAGTAGATCTAATGATGTCGAGTGCGTATCCGGAATAATGGCTCGAATAGCCCGTTGCCATAAGTGCACGTAGGGCATTTGCCTTGGGGCACCTTCTTTTTAAACCTGTCTACTACTGTAAAGCTGCATGGAAGTACACAGGGAACGAGAATGGACCACTGGTAGGTCTACAGGTGCAGGAGGTGGAATAGATCATGGTTGTATGAGGTAGGGTGGGCTGGGTGGGTGGTAGGGTACTTGGTGTATATCAGAGCTACAAGTGGTTGACCAGGTGAGTGTCATTTGAACGTCAATTTCCCATTTCCCTGGCGGGCTAATACTGTCATTTGAATTGATATCCCAGCACTACCAGGTAGGACTTCATCGCATATTGTCTCATTATTCCTCCCCGACATCATCCGTGTTTTCTCTATCTGACCCCTGTCCAGAACCGCGACATCCCTATCGAGAGTCCTCGGGCCCATCAGGACCACAGCCGAAGTAATCATGCCTGCCAGCTACGACATTGGCTGCGATGCCATTCTACTCGGTGCACCCTACGAATTTCACCAGTCTCCCTGATAGAAGGGGTTCAATCTCTCAGAACATACGAGAAGCACTCTCGGCAAGCTCTGCACATAGAAGCGCCATCTCTACTGTCATATCTACAGTTTCTCGTCGGAGATGACCACTTTAAAGACATGCCTGCCATCTTTCGCCTTGACTTCATGGACGGTCTCAAACGCCTCCAGACTCTGCTCAAAGGGAAAGACGTGGCTGATCAGTGACTTCGCATCGACCAGGCCTCTGTCAATCAGCGATATGGCGTCTTCGAAACAGTTGGTACTATATCTCCAGGTTCCTGTGATTGTTTTTGTTAGGGCCAAAATAAAGGTGGTGCGTCGGGTCTGGAAGCCTCACCTCGCACGTTGAGCTGCTTGGAGCAAATATCCATTATCGGAAGCCGAGGAAACTGGCCGTTGAGCAGTCCAACTTGGACGTCTATCAGAAAACACCTCAGGTTAGTCTGGCAACACTTTGGAAGTGGTTTCCATCTTGAAGACGCTCACAAGTCCCTCCAGGTCGACAGACGTGGAGTCCGATCTGCATGCACTCTTCGGCGCCTGCAGCTTCCACCACAACGTCAAACCCCCGGTGGAGCCCATCCACAGAGCTTAGGATGTCTTTGGCAACTCTGCTGGAATATTCTTCTGTCGTCTCGTTCGGGTGGCGGGGCGGATTGACAAATGCCTGATCTGCACAATATGTCTTTGCGAATTCCGCCCGGTGAGGCTGCACCTCAAAGACGACTACTTTCTTTGCGGCATATCTTCAACAATACTGTGGTCAGCATGTACACCGGTACCCCTGGCTTTGATCATGACTTACGCTTTGGCGATTGCTCCCAGCAGCAACCCGATACACCCACCCCCGAGGACCAACACGGTTTGGTTTGCCTTCAGTCCAGCTTGCCGAGTCATCTGGATAGCGATGGCAAAAGGCTGTATCGCACCAGCCTCGACCCATGAGATTTTGGGCGTCAGGCGAGCCAGTGCGGTGACCGGGACAATCTTGTAGTTGGTGAGCAAACCATCCTGCCGCCCGGGTCCCGGTACTCCGTAATACTCTATCGAGCTACAGATATTGGAAAAGCCGGTCGTACACTCGTCGCAACTGATCACATTTCAGTCCCGTGGCCAAGGTCTTATTCAGGACACTCTTACGCCAAACAGGGAAGAGCCGGTTTAATCGCGGCACGATCACCAGGTGCCCACGATTTGACATCATCAGCGACCTGAATGACTTCCCCAGCAGCTTCATGCCCGATGATGAAAGGTTCTTCGATGATATCAGGGCCTGCACGGCCCTCTTTCCAGAAGTGGATCTATAAATCTCGGTCAACATTTCGATTAGCTCTGTCAAATACTGCGCCCGGGTACTTACATCTGAGCCACAGATTCCCCCAGCGCGAATCCGGACAAGGGCTTTACCACTCGGTAGTGGTGAACCGGCAACGTATGTCGGGCTATCCCGGTACGAATCCAGCTTCACAGGCCAGTCTTGAACGGTGATGTCATTGATCCCTGAAATGACCACCGCACGGTTCTTGCTTATGTCCGCCTTGACCGGAATGGAGCCACCATTGCTCGTCGCTGAGGGAGCCATTGTGGTCAGAAGCAAATGTCCCAGAAGATGGAGGAATGATGGTGCTGGAAAAGCCGCTGGTGTGTGAACTCTTTAGCGAGCAAGGACGTGTCGCTACTGCAGGAACCTTGTCTACAAATTCGCGAGGGCCTGTAGTTTTCAAAAGATTGGGGTTTCGACTCTGAGAGCAGCGAAGGGCGAGGCTGAAGTATTCGCGAAGTTGCCGGACGGCGTTAGCGCACGACGGGAGCGGGGAAGAAAAGACACAAAAGAGGAAAAGGGGTTGGAGACTCATGCTTGACCTCGGGAGACTGCGTTGTAACGACGATGCTTATGACTCTCTAACTCTCGCTAGGGCTATGGCACATGGGCACAGGATGGGTCTTGCTGGCAATGCGGTTGGATGTCCGAGCGCAATCGGAGCTTGCCACCTCGATGTTGAGTCCCCTCGGCTCTCCCGCTGAGGATCTGACAGGAGTTGGGAAGGATAGCCATCTTGGTAACTACCCACACTACAACTGCTTTGAATCTGCTACCAGCCTAGAAAAATGGGAGGAGTCAAGAAGTTTCTCAATGCTTGCCAATCAGGCGTCGCTTGCTGTACGACAACTTGGGACTATCCGACCGCCTTGCTGTGCGAGAAAGCGGGTATGGACCTGGTCTTGGTTGGCGACAGCCTCGCAATCGTGGCACTGGGCCACGACGCGACGAACTATGCGACGGACGCTGGACGAGATGATCTATCATTGCAAGGCCGTGGCACGGGGCGCAAAGTCACACTTGTTGCCGGGCGATATGCCCATGGGCTCATATGAGATCTCGGATGAACAAGGTGAGCGTCGACGTATCGAATCCTGCGCCTCATCTTGGAAGAGGCCGCAGTGCTGTGCTGCTGCATATGTCCTTCCATGAGCTCTGCTGTTGGGCTACGAAAACTCGCTTTTTGCCGCAATGTGAGTATTCATTTTCCTGCATCACACATCACCCCGGGGGAAATTCTCTTTCTCTCTGTGTCTGTCTGTCTCGGAGAGACACAACCTCCTGGGGAGGAATGATACGGCCAGAGTGCTAACGACTACCCATCCCTGTAGATGGCACATGAAATATGCCACCGTGGGCGAGACGTCGATCGAGGCCCTGAAGCAGTACAAACGGGACGTGTCGGCGCGCTCGTTTCCGGAAGCAAAGCATGTAAGCCACGCCATACCACACCGGGCCACGTCTCTCCTTGACAGGATATCCCTGTCAATCCAATTTTCTTGCTCGCTCGCTTGCTTGCTTGTTTGTTTGTCGATCTGTCTATCTATCCACCCACCTCATGGCCTTTAAGCCTGGCGATCCATTGCAAGAGACATTTTGAGATACGCTAGCACGATTGGATGATTCAAACTTGCAGGGATACGACATGCCTCCCGAGGAGGTTGCGAAGATGAAGGCTCTCCAAATCTAAATGTCTAGTTCTATCTCGCTCGCCCTCGCCACCCCAGTCGCCGACAACCTCCGAGTATCTGATTGATGGCCTGCCATGGGGTTAGATCGTTGTTCACGCGAAATGCACAGTTTCTCGCACAAGCACATGAGACTGGACAGGACAGACATGATCGGGTAGTTGATCCCCAAAGCCGGCAGTAGTGGTAGTGGTAGTGGTAGTTGCACAGTACGAGGAAACGATGGAGGAGGGGATTCTTGAAAATTCTGAGAGATCAGCGCGCATTTATATTAATCATATACCGTTTCCTCTTGGTGAAACTGAGTAGTTAAACTAACCGACTTCTCCACAGAGCGTGGAATGTAAAGAGGAGTGAATGAATATTCTTTGATCGCAGATCGCCAGGCTTTGTGTGTAAAATTTCTTGCGATCCTATACCGCTTGAAATGTAATACCGTTCACGCTTGGCCCGTAATGTATCCCTGCATCCTGCATCCTGCATCCCTGTTACCGTGTTGCTATGCTGCACTGCCTCGCTCAGCTATAACTATCTAACCATCTAGCTCCCTTGTCCCTCATGTCTTCGTGACTCGATTCGTCTCGTCTCGTCTCGTTGCGCATTACTGCTCTGCTCTGCCCTGCTGCTCTGCTCATCAGTCCTGTTGCCTCCCGGGTTATCCTTCCAAAGTCGGTCCTGGGCGTTGTTCAAGGGTTCAGGACCCGTCACCCGCGTCTTTCATAAGAAAGGCGGGTCAACACGTCGGAGAGGGTCCGTTACTGCAGCGTCCTTCTGGAGAAGTGACTATATCTTGTCGTCGAGGCGCGCGCCTTGGTCCGGCAGCTCTTGAACGGGCTTGTGAGCGCGGAGACACCAGAACACGCAGTCCTCGAGGGGTAGGAGATTCTTCATAAAGTGGTTGTAGCGTAGGGCGAAGAAGCAGATCATGCCGCCCGCCACGGCGTCCAGGATGAAGTGGTTCGCGGTCGCGATGATGGCGATCAAGATTGAGAATGGATACAAAAAGCCAATGATCTCGCAGAGTAGCTTGGGTAGAGAAGGGATCCGGAGGACAAAGCCGGTGCGGTCGGACTTGAGGAGTGGTACAGCGGGAACGGAGATCCTATATCGTTTGGTCGTGGGAGCGAGGGGAAGGCGCATGACAGAGACGCCCACCAGTAGCGAGTATCCGAAGTGAAGTGAGGGCATTGCGGCTAGACTGAAGTCTCAGCATTCTTCCTGGACATTCACCACATGATGCAGCTCCTACCTAGCTGGTTGGTCCATTTCCTCGTGTTGAAGACGCTGACAGCTCCGTCGCGTGCGTGCACCGTATCGATAAAGGCAAAGCTTCGCGCCAGCTCACCGGGCTCACCAGGCAATTTCGAGTCCGGTAACAGACGGGGAGGCATGCATGGCCAAGTGCTAAAGACACAAAATGCAAAGAGGTTGCACAGCGCCAGCGCCCGACGCCGAGATTCGTAAAGTTCCGGACCGTTGGAGCTTACGGCATGATCAGACCAGTTTGAATTGGCCGTAGATCGATTGCGCGTGATGGCAAAGTAGTATAAGCCCACTAGGAAAGTGATCGTTGCAGGAAGGTGGATGAAACTGTAGATCCGGTTGATCCACCACATCAACCCGGGATACTGGAGGAAAAATTTCTGGATGCTCAGCTCCCAAAATATGTGGAGTCGCTGTTCTAGTTCAATGACGGCCAGGGCATGATGACAGGCTATATCGACTGTCTGTTCAACGAATCTGACGGCCAACTGGCCCCGACCAAACTGGTAGACCTAACAAATGCATTAGTCGCCTGCGTAGTACCAGGGAGTGTCTTCGACTCAACGCCGTAAATGAGGCCCCAGTAAACGATCTCGATTAAGAAAGGAAAGCGCAAAAGCACTCTGCTGAATATTCTGTCTCGGAAGACGGCCGTGTTCGGTGTTTGAATTGTCGTCTTTAGCCCGAGTAGGGACAATTCTCTTGGACGCCAACGCTCAGCGTTGCGTATTGACAGTGGTGCGTCTCCGGTACGTGTCGAATCTAGAGCCTCGAGCCCCATCTCATGACCGACATCTTCGACAAGGACGATGTCAGACTCTCGAGTTGGTCGTGCAACGGGGGTGGTAAAGTCACGGTTGATCCATGCCCCAAGGAAAATGATAAGAGTTCCCCAGGATGGCTCGCCCAAGCCCAGGAATCCCATTATGTACCCGTGCAAGCTTCGCCGTGCCAGATAGAGTTGCGCACATTGACCGTCTTCGTCCAAAGGCCGGGAAAGGATGGGTCTGGCCTCTGAGTCGTCGCGATCGCCCACGTCCAAGACGGTTCGATGAGACTCGTCAATGAGGTTTCCGGTAACTGCCCAATTCGTGTATGATTAATTAGCACCTCCAAGGGTATCCTCAGATCCCTGCTCTTGTTTGATTGGATAGGCAATCCAGGTATTCGCTCAGCCAGCTATTGGCCACCTGACCGCCGAAGGATCGTGAAAGGAAACAATGATGCGAAGGACAAGTAGGACAAAGGTGGTGAGCAGAAGGACAAGATCTGTGCGCAGCCAACAAACAACGAACAGAATCAGGTGCTCGATAGGCGCCCCTCATGACGGAGGTGCCGGAAACACAGACACTTTGAGTTTGTGAGAGTGGCCTCATCACTCTGGTACATTTCGACAAGCGAGGCTCCACGAGAAATGCAGATGGGCATCCTCGGGCACGCGACACAGGCCCAAAAGCGATAAGACTTTGTCCATGTCGACGGAATTGCAAGGCTCCGTATGGACATCCAGCATCCGAGTAAGGCTCGACGATCCACACCACGTCATCTACATCCCAGGACGTCCGACTGGATGACAGCCGTGGAGCAATTGACAGCAGGGGGCCTCAAAGTCAGGAAGACGGAAATGTGGGATGTGTGGTATCCGAGATACGAAGGGATTGGTTGAGGATGGGAGCAAAAGTTGGACAATGATCAGGTTGTGGTGGTGATGGAGGGGGAATTATGCATTCGTGGCACTGCATGATGCGCAGTTGGCCTATTGCCAGATGTAGCCTAGTGTCGCCAAGACGCCAATCATCTCATAAGCATCGACTCCGCAAACCTCGACGCCTCTTTTCACTTCCCGATTGTGTCTCTCTCCTTCTCAAGTCATACCATCTCAGTAGCTGTCAAATGACTCTGAGCTCGTTCCTCGAACTCTGTAGACAGGAGCTTGCTGCAACTGCTTCCTCTCAAAATTGCCTCTGTTGCCACTTGCCAAAAGCTTCGTCGAGTCGCACCTGGGACTTGTCCTGCGCCATCGATCAACTCCGACTTGCTGCAGAAGACGGCTGCTCTCGATGCTCCCTCCTAGCTAAGTGCATTACGTGCTACGACCCTAGTATTCTCGCTCGTGACGGCTCTTTAGACGGAACGTGGGATTTCTGGTTCGATTTGACTTTGGACGGGGATGGAGACCATCCGGACGACAATGTTCAACTTGACATTTTCACCCCTGGCTGTGAGTACTGTTCCAGCTCTGAGAGCGGGACGTTCTCATAGACTCTTGGCTGAGTAAATGCCGTGATGTTCGTTCCGAGAGACTAACGCACCGGGTATAACTAGCGCAACCTAGAAAACACCCAGGTTCAAACAAAACAAGACATCTACTTCCAGGAGATACGTCCTCGGCTGCGAGTTTTGACACGATCAGGGCCTGGATGACAGACTGTCTGACCAACCATCCAAATTGTCCCAAACCTTACGTTGGCAATAGTAGTCATGCGCCACGCCTCCCACGCCGACTATTGGAGGTCACGAACGGCAAAGTAGTGCTCCGTGAAGAAAGTGTACACAAGAGATACCCATACGCATGCCTGAGCCACTGTTGGGGCCCGTCCCCTCGTCGTCCGGAGAGTACTATTCTCAAAGCAAAACGGACTACGATAGAACAGTTCAAGGTGGAAGTGCCGTGGGCAGAACTCACTAAAACGTTTCAAGACGCCATAGACATCTGTCGCCGGCTACACATCGATTTTTTATGGATTGATTCCCTCTGCATTCTTCAAGACAGCAGTGATGATTGGTCTCTGAACGCCACAGAGGTCGGTTCGATCTACGAAAACGCTCTGATCACCATTGCTGCTTCGAAATCCAAGGAAGGCTGCCAAGGTTGCTACAGTCGCACTGATGCCCGTCACCTTGCGCGTTTGCTTGATGGGAGCAAAGATGTCTATGTACGCTTGAAACCCCCAAGCTACCCAGTGCACGATTTCCACCTGGATCTGGACAACTTCCCCCTGCTAGACCGTGCCTGGGTATATCAGGAGATGCACTTGTCAGTTCGCGTGCTGCACTTTTGCTCTCAAGAAGTTATGTGGTCGTGCCGATGTATGAGAAGAAGTGAAAGCGGCGTCAGTGATGACGATGCGACAGACCAAGTCGAGTTTCTGTCGGATTTCCACGGCTGGGATCCTTCATGGAAGACTCTGGGCAAAATAGGACAGGAAGACCCGAGAACATTGTGGTATCGCACCGTGGAAGAGTATACCCGTCTCCATATTTCCTATCCAAGTGACATCTTCCCAGCGCTGGCTGCCTTGACTCAAAGAATGTACAGGCTAAGACCTCGTGATGCGTTTCTAGCAGGACTCTGGAAATCTACTCTCCTCCTTGATCTAATGTGGCGGACTCCAGTGGGGCCACAGTCGGCAAGACCAGCCATTTGGAGAGCTCCGAGTTGGTCGTGGGCGTCTGTCCAAGTCCAGGTAGCCTGGGATCTGAGGATAGGGTCCGTTTTTGGAGTGGTGGAACTATTGGGCATCCACTGTGATACCAAAGGCCCGCCGGAGCTGGGCAATTTCTCCTCGAGCCAGGACGAGGTTCGAATTACCCTTCGTGCCCCTGTCCTCAAAGCTACCTGGAAAAGGCCATGGATTCGGAGTCGGTGGCCAGAACTCGCAAGGACCGCAGGGATGAAAGATGGCAAGATGGATGTGAATCGATACTATCCGGACTACGACTACGACTTGCCGGGAGAGCACCATGTACCATGGGATTCCGAGGTCTTTGTCGTCCCGATTGCGACATCGACCTTGATTCCTGATGGAGACAACAGAGATGGACCCGATAACAACCTGCATCTAGGGCTGGTCTTGCGAGCAAGAGAAAAACACGGCGTATATGAACGGATCGGCTACGTCGAAATCGTCGAAGACCATGTCATTGTGGATTGGAGCCGTAACGGATTCCAGTCTCGGTTTGGCCGAGTGGATGCTATCCTGAGAGCGATTCCCCGGCAGGAAATTACCATTGTCTGAGGCGGCAATATCCCTTGGTCATAAGCTATTGACTGACTAGAAGTGCAAACTGTCGATGTGGCTAAAGGGTGCACTCATACCCCGTACTTGATGCGTGCTGAGCGGTTGTTATACAGTATGCGCTTTGATCCATTTTCTTGATACTCCAAATACCACTATACTCAGAGGCGAATCTTGACCTCTCCAAAATCCATGTCCGTTTCTAGACCTGAGCATCCTGCCTGGGTGCTGCGATTTGACCTGAGTCGTGACTAAGCCGCTCTGAGCTGTGGCTGTGCAGGCCTGAGCCATGCCCTGTGGAGGAAGTTGGCTACGAAGTATAGCTATGAAATGTCGGGTTCGTATATGCCAACGCTAAGGCCTTGTGTATTGTTTGCTCTGTTGTCGGGTGGAGGTCCGGTGAGATCGCATATTATGTCCGTATCTTTCGGAGGACAATTCCAGTGACGACGCGATGAAGACGAGCTCGAAAAGATGGACTGGGGAGTGAGTGGAGGGCTAATTTCTCCGTTCTCAGTCACTTCTTTCCCAGTCTCACCTTCAGACTCCGACTCTTCTCCCTCGGTCTCGCCTATATACTCCGACTCTCTCAGGTGTTTTCCTTTTGCCTTGGATAATTTTTCGGATGCGTCTTTGAAAAGTGCCTTAGCGATCACCTCATCGCTGTCATATCTTCAGTTTTCGCTCATCAACTGGAGAAAAATAGTTACCTTAACTGGGTCCTCTCAGTTATGGCTTGAACAGGACAATATATATCTGGATGTTGGTCCAAAATAGTCAAATCTTCTTCTTCTAGATCCATAAGGACCCATGATATTATCGAGTCAAGTTGAGGGTCGGAGAGACCATGGCGAGGGGAGAAATAGTAATTTTTCACTGCGATCTCAATCAGCCAGCTCACTAAGAAACTCGATACGTACCTCCGAGAGCGGCATATATGACCCGCGAGTGACCCGGGAGGCGATGGACGATCGTGTTGACTACTCGAGCCAGGGTACGCCGGCGCTGCCAGTACTTTCGGTTTGCCATACGCCCATCTGTTCTCGTGTCGGTTTCCGAATTAGCCACTGATCGGAGTGGAAGGGAATTGGCAATGTAGTCAAGAGCACCAGCACTGAAGTTGGCACACCACACCAGAAATTTCGACGTCCAGCTATCGCTCTGGTATCGTTTTGCATCCTCTAAGAATGTACCTATAATAACGTCGTAGGTAGTAGTAGCGTCAACCTGTCTCTGGCCGCCAACCGGGTTGGATGTCTTTCCCGAGAGAGTATCGATGATACCATGCCCTTGCTTGAGATATTTCTTGATTTCTTTAATTCCACTCTTGATCTTCTTGCTGAGGGTATCGGCATAGCCTTTGGCAATCTCCAAATCTCGATCTCTAAGCGTCGTTCCGTACAAGAGCTGGAGTGGCACAGGACTGGCGTCCCGTCAGCGGTCTCGTTCCTCCGCCTGTCACCGAACGCGACTTACCAAGCCACCGGCAATTGAAATACTTGTGCCGCTTGGAGCGCGATCGAGATATCGACTGTTACTTGAGTGTAGAGGCGGCCGATAGTGCTGCCAATCTGCTTGCCAACGGCCTCGAACACATCATCGTCATGGCAACAACGATGTATATGTCTGATGGCCAGCCCAAAGAAAACGCATCCAGGCCACTCGGAGCTGGTTAGACGCTGAATCACAATGACCGCAAGCGCAGCGTGTCCCTTACAGGGCACGAGCGGTAGAAGAACGTGATGTGGTTGGTCATGGTGAAGGGCAGACTTCTCTGCTGATTTCAGGGTAGACTGGGAAATCACAGAAAGGTTTGATATGCCACGATACTGGGCAATGACCTTGTCCATCTTTCCTGCAAATTGACTGAAGAAAGAGCGGACAATTTTGCGAGAGGTCTCTCGAACCTCCTAAAGTAGTCGGGTGAACTGACCAGGGGGGTGTCGCATTCTTGAAATGCGACACCCCCCCGGTCGGCGCCAGCTGCCGCCACGGACACGGGGAACGAGGCTTAGGCTCAGTCTGCAACTAGCAACCACTTAGGGTACACCCACGCGCGGGGTGGTGGAATGTACTCTGCAGTGACTCGCAGAAGCGAACTGTGACAGGGAGGACTGCCTCCCTGCCTGGGCTGGGGTGTTTGGCGTGTGATTTCACTGTCTGGTGGCCCTTGTTTCGGGCGACCGAGACGCTTTTTGGTCGCCCACATTTCAGCGCCTGCACGAGGCACTGGACTTGCATCGTCGCCGGTTGACCGCTCCCGGTATGTACCTTGTCAAATCTTTCTGGGATATTCAAGCGGCATCAGCCTTAGCAGGTTATAACCCTCTACAAGGGAACCCCGAACCTTCGTCTTGGGAGCTCCAGTAACTCATCTCGAGATGGAAGACCAAGGCGATCGGAATCTCGCAGTGACCAGCCCAAGCTCACCGAAGAGCTCACTTCCTCCTATTTGTGTCCCTAATATCTATGTTCTTGATGAGGCATCCGGTCAATGTTTTAAGGCACTACGACGTTATGCTCATGCCATGGCCTTCCGGTCACCCATGACCATCTTTGAGAGGTCAGCACCCTCTTCGCCTAAATTGGAGCCGCTTCCCCTGACTATTATCACCATGGCCGTCCCACCTTATCTCCGGTGGTTGAATTTACACGTTGACGAGAAGAGCACACTCTCTATCTTACACGGAGGGCCTAGGTTGCGAGAGATTGCATCCACCGTCTTTGCAAGGAGTTCCAGTTCCTAACCCTGGGTTCCCAAAACTGTACCCTCGCGGATAGTCGTGTACACTTTCCATATCGTCGAAGAGAGATACCTAAGAAGTATGACAAGCATGGCGTGAGCATCCAATGACAGCGGGGAGCAGGGGGTGAGCGGCTGCCTGAGCAGGCTGAGCCGAAGTTGAGCCAGGTCACATGATGCCTGAGTAAAGCGGCAGGCCACGGTCCCAAATGGGTGCCAAGGCCAGGCGCTTTGTCGCCGCTGAATACTGAGTAGATGTGAGGTACTTGAACTTGTAGAGCCACGATGATTGGTTTGTCGACTTCTGCGCACGCTGATTGGTGCAATGTCTGATTTGTTGATGTTCTCGTCCCCATGGGAATTTGTTCCACCCCTTTCTTTGAACTCAAAAAAAGGTCCCATCTCCTCCCACCAAAGACAACCCCTTCCTTCTCCTTGCTCTGATGTCCCTCCCTGCAGTGGCTGTCTCTGCACCGGGCAAGGTCCTCTTCGCCGGCGGATTCCTGGTCCTGGACCGCCACCACACGGGCCTCGTGTTTGGTCTCAATGCGCGGATCCACGTGGTCGTGCAGCCATGGCGGGACGGGGATCGTGTGTCTGTCCCTGTGTCTGGGGCTGACACGCCGAACGGACCACATGTCCTGGTCCAGTCGCCGCAGTTCGTTGATGCCAGGTGGCTGTACCGACTCGACTGCGCGGACGGGACGGTCAAGGTCGAGCAAGTCCGGGATCGCGAGGGGTCCGGGTTCACCGCCAGTCCGAACAGGTTCGTCGAGACGACGCTGAGATACGGGCTCACATATCTCTCGCATGTTGCTGGGCTGGAGCAACTCTCAAAGAGTGTCAAAGTGACGATATTGGCCGACGATGATTACTATTCACAACCACAGTCACAGTCCCAGTCTTCCGAGTCGGTCTCAGCCAAGTCGGCGAGGTTTACAAGCTTTGGGGTCAAGTTGAGCGAAGCACACAAGACTGGATTGGGATCTTCAGCGGCATTGGTCACGGCGTTCGTTTCTGCACTTCTCTCGTTCTACTTAAAACATGATTCTGCGAGCGGACAACCTCAGCTGAATCACCACACTATCCACAATCTGGCCCAGGCGGCACACTGCGCAGCTCAAGGGAAAGTTGGCTCAGGCTTCGACGTTGCGGCCGCGGTTTACGGACCTTGCCTCTATCGGAGGTTCACGCCTTCGATTCTAGAGAATGTGGGCGAACCCACAGGTGCAGGTTTCGGCGAGAGGCTACATCGCTGCGTGGACGACTTGAACTTGGACGCAAAATGGGACGCCGAGATTGCGAGTCGTGCCGTGCAGATTCCAGAGAACCTCTCCCTCGTCATGTGTGACGTGGATTGTGGATCGGAGACACCGGGCATGGTCAAGAAGATCTTGCAGTGGCGCAAAGAGAACCTCGACGAGGCAACGCTACTGTGGAATGCGATACAGCAAGGTCAAGAGGAACTGTGTCAAGAACTAAGGCGGCTGGTCGAGGTCCAAGGGATTGAGGATGGGTTTACAGCACTGGGAGACATTATTCTCACCATTCGAAGCTTCGTGAGGGAGATGTCGATCAAGTCCGGAGTGCCGGTAGAGCCCCCAGTGATCACAGAGCTATTGGATTTCTGCACGAGCCTCCCCGGAGTGGTGGGAGGAGTTGCACCAGGCGCAGGCGGGTATGATGCCGTCTCCCTGATGGTGAAGAACGATGGCGAAACCGTCAAGACACTGCAAGCCAAACTGGAAGGATGGAAGAGTCAGGATGCGAGTGGAGCGACGATCGGACATGTCAGGTTATTGACCGTCAAGCAGGACAATGAAGGCGTCCGAGTCGAGGACCCCGGACAATATGAGGCGTGGTTATAGAAGCTGTTGTAATCAGACGTTCTTGAGTAATGTCGTCATCCTGCATTGTAGCACAGCGTTGCTCTTGGGGAAATAGGAACAGGAACAAGGGGAGACAGGAACCAAAGGCAAAAAAGAGGACGAAGTGGGTGGTCTGATACACGTGTGAGAGGAAAGTGTCCGGTCGGAAGTTTGAGGCTGTAACTGTGGATGATGATTATGAGTGGTGAACCATCGGATCAGCATGGAGAGGCGGACGCCGGTTAGAGAGTGCCAGGTGCCAGGAGGGGCATTCGGGGCACCCGGTAAGAGAGTTTAAGCCTAAAAGTTTCTCAGGTGCTTATAAGGGAGATGTAACTGAGTTACTAGGCACCTAGGACCTACTAGGTAATTAGATGCTAACTCCTATAACTGCAGGGGCGCGCCTACTCACCGGGCCACCTACTCTAACAGTACAGTAGTAGCACCTGGCCATGCTCTCCAAGGACACTACGGGCATCCAATAGGCATCCCCACGAGAACGGGCCTCCCCCGGAATAACCCACTAGCACACGCTCTTCTGCCCTCTTCCCTCTCTTCCGTTTTCTATCCGCCCTTCACCATTCGCTGCGCCCTCTCTTGATTGCTTTTCCCGTTGCCAAACAAGCAAACGGTGCTGAAGATATTCTTTCCTTACCAGATCTGTTTGTTGGAGGCCCATCAAACTATCTATGTATTGACCCGAGCCCATTGTGTCTCAGTTTCAGGACATCTCCGGGGTCGTCCGTTCCAGATTCAAAGTCCGAGGCTGCGTGCTCCGTGCTCCGTGGCGGTTTGTTGGTCTGGGCTCCTCGAACGTTACTCTTGCGACACCCACTGCGGCAAAGGCAGAGGACAGGCACAGGCACGGGCTCAAGCCGGACACCCATCCCTCCCACTCCTCCATCCTCTCTCCTCAGCTCGCATCAATTCGATCCCCCAGTCAGGACTATCCGTGACCCTGCTTTTGCTCCAGAAACTTGGCATAGTTTTCCCATTCTAGTCACTCGCTTGACTTGGATGCATTGAACTACTTTCCTCCCATCACCACCTATCCCATTTGATCAGTCCTCTACTGGCGTATCTGTTGGGTCTTGCCAGTCTGTTTGCGCCTCAGATGAGGTGATGATCGTGACCTCCGACAACATCGCCGCCAACCACTCGAGCGCACCCGTCCAGGCCTCTAGTGTGCCAGCCCCAGGTAGTCCTCGGTTGCAACAGCAATCTCGTGCGCAGCAACAAGACCTCTCCTCAACCACACCCGTCGACATGTCCAACCTCTCTTCGGATCCGGCTGCCTCTGCCGATGCTCATGCTCCCTCATCATCTCCAGAGACCACGTCCTCGCCTACCAACGAGCCTCAATTGCCACCCTCACTCGGTCCGCAGAGAACCGACACAAACACCGCAATGGTCCAGTCGATGAATCCTCCTTCTCCTTCCGCTGCAGTCGCCGAACAAAAAATATCAAGACAGTTTTCTACCGCCATTGGCCCTTCCTCAGACGAGCCGTTGCCTACAGTTCCCGCCAAAGACGAAGCACCAGCAACAACCGCCGCAGGGCCAACTCTGACGGTGACATTACTCCTCACCTCGGGAGCACGACATCCTTTTAAGCTAGATAATAAATATTTCGCGAAGCGCAACGTTGAGGTACCGGAGAATGATCCTTTCAACCTTAGTGTCTACAAGCTGAAGGAATTGATTCTGCGCGAATGGCGGGAAGAGTGGGAAGCAAAACCGTCCAGTCCGACTTCCATTCGGCTGATAAGCATGGGCAAGCTGTTGGATGATAAAGCATCCCTCAAAGGTGAGTGCACATCCCAGAAAACAGATGGAGCTATAGCATTCCGCGATCGGCTCTGTTGTATATTGACTCTGTGACTAACTTGATGCCTTCTCGGGTGTGGGACAATAGATTACAAGTTCTCAGTTGACGCACCGAATGTGTTGCACATGACAATCAAGCCACAAGACTACGTCGAAGAAGAAGACACCAAGGGCGGCAAATCCACCTATTCCACCCACCGCGAGGGTGAGACCAGAAGTCCTGGCTGTCGTTGCATCATAATGTGATGTCTGTGCCTCACTTCATCACATATGCTATGGCCGAAATGCCATTTGAAGAGGCTATGTTATAAAAATATGAATTGGTTAAGTACAGGCTAAGGGAGAGCGCGCCTGACGTACGGCCAATCTGTGGTGAAAAGGACATTTTGGTCCCTCTTGAGTTTCTGATCAGGGAGGATCTACGCGCTCATCCAACATCAAGGGTGGCTCCTTCAGCTTCTCCAGACTTCTTGTGGAAGACATCTTTTTCTTGTCCCGAATTCATGGCGTGGCGTTGGTGGGACAGACGGATTTTTGGCATGTTTTTCTTTACGCTGGGACTGTACAAGGACTGAGATACGGGTCCTTATTTCGTCCAGCATTTTGTCTGCACCTGCGCGCAGATGCGTGTTTGAGATTGCTTGAGACCAAAGACGCCAGTGATATGGATTGAGGAGCAGGAGTGGAGATGGAGAAGCCAACGAGACACTGGGGTGGAGGGTCAGATTGCTCTTGCACAGAGCGATCGAAGGCATCAGAGATGGAGTTGCATCGCGGCATGACAGTCGTCACTTTGCTGTATATAGAAGGGGCACGAACGGCTGTTTGGGGCACTGGGTGTGATGCGTCAAATGTGTGGCAGCCGGGAATTGATGGATGAGACTCTGGCCGGCGGACAAGGGCGGGCAGGCAGGATCTTGCAGCATTGCAACGGAGTACATATTGCGCCTGGCACGAGGAATACACTTCTTTTCTGCGTCTCTATCATCTTGGGTTGAAATCGGGTTCAAGTTGAAGTGTGAGACCCTCGCTCGTCTGTAGGGACTAGGTCCGGAGTGGCCGTACTGTATGCCATGTAGCATCTCACTCAGTCATTCCCTTTTCCGACCGGGGAACGGGAACAGGGACTGGAACATCTCATCGTGTTGGATATGTACAATAGTACCTACGGATAGCTGCTGGATAGCTGGATAGCTGGATAGACAGGATAGACGGTGTCACTCAATGTATTCTTTGAATGAATCCCAGACAGATAGACGGGCGCACAGGACTGACGAGGAAGAAGGAAGATGTAAAGTATGGTACGGTATGGTTATGCAGAAGGACTACCTTTCTGTCTGGTATTCCTTCTTGTCTTTTTTTCTCGTTCTTTTTCTTTCTTCTTCGACTTCTCTCTGCCTGCCCGCTCAGTCCAGAGATATCACTATTCCCCATGCCAGTAGTGCCAGACGCCGGACTCCGCGAATTTACATACATACAGTAATACCGACTGGTCTTGCGCGAGGGTGGAGAGGTGTAGATGGGTGGATAGCAACCTTCGCGACAAGCATGGAACACGGAGCGCATGGGTATGAATTTGCCTGGATCAGGTGGTATCAAAGGTCGGACGTGAACCACCAGCTCTGCTCCATGCTGCCATTCTTTCTTGTTCTTCTTCCTCTTCTTGTTCTTGTTCTTGTTCTCGAGTCGTAAGACCAGATTAGACGGCACTTGACCGAGATCGAAATCACCACTTGCCCATGCCGACCTTGCGCTCCATCTCCTCCATCCACCCAGTCCCCTGCCCGTCGCCTCCCTGGAAAGCTAACCTCATCCCGTCCTGTCCAGCGTAGACATCCTCCCACGTAATCTCCGCGTCCCGCCCCGTCAAGATCTCTTCGTGAACGCCCGCCGGTCTGCCCAGCACGGACGGCCGAAACGAGTCGGCGTCCCGCACCAGCTTCAACTCCATGCCCCTGCGCAGAGGTTCCGCGATGCCAAAGTTCCGGCGCAGGATCTGCAGCCGCGTCGCCTCCTGTGTCGCTTGCCAGTTCGCCAGGCGGGATTCCAGAGGGTGCGCCGTTGTCACGGTCTGCGTGCTCGCCATCGACTGGGGGTACAACGAGGCGCGGAGGGTGTCGTGCAGACCGGGGGCCGAGGGAGCGCCGCGGTCAAGGTCATCTTTGGATTTCGTGCTCGTCGTGGCAGAGAGTTTTGAGGCGGTCGTGTTCGAGGTGCTGGTTGGATGCGCTGCTGGGGGTGCGACACGGAGAGACTGAGGAGGAAGAGCACAGGTGTCAGTATATATTTCTTGTAAAATGATATATTCCTCGGTGATCTCTAGACTATAGAGTAAGTAGTACTACTACCCCGGGGAAGTAAAACTCACCATGATGGATGGTGCGGAATGTCAAGGTAGGCAGGTAGATGCAGGTTGAGGGCAGGGAGAAGATCGGTGATCTGCTCGAGTAGCAGGTCCTGATGAACGGATTCTGAGGTGTTGGTCTCGAGGTAGAAGTTTGGGCGAATATTGGTGATGACAGATATCTTTGTATGTTCTTCCAGAGCTGAGAGGAGGGGATGCTTGTGGGTTGTGGTTTGTAGAAAGAAACCTCATTGAAGGAAGGGTTGCGCAGGCATGCACAGGATGTCGCGTTCTTGATACTGCGCTGGGCCATTTATGCTCCGAAGCACAGAGTTGTACGTTGGAGTTTAGCGGTGATGGCGCCACTTCGTACTGTCTCAAGACGCAATGTGGCAGTGTGGGCGGGTGGCATTGCACATTGTTACCCACACATACCAAACAAGAAGCTCAATTTTCTGATCTCTATTGTATTTGAATCATCCGTCTCGACTATCCAAGAGCGCAACCTGTCTTCTATGTCTATCCTCCATGACTCTAGCGCTCTCCCTAAGCAACTCGACTCCTTCTAACTCTTCCCCCCTTAGATATCGTGTGACGCTCACAGCTCCCGCTCTCATGGTGAACAGACAGACATCCTTCGTCCCCATACAGCTGCATGCTTATCCTTCCGTGCCCAACTCTGAGCGCTCCTCGATCCCTTCCCATCACACTGTCAAGCGTGATAGAGCCTGAGAGCAAAACTTCGCGTGCAAGCAAGTTAACTTCGCCCGTGGTCACCACCCTGCCCCAACACAGTGCGTTCGAGAACATTAACCAAGCTATCTTCTGCTCTGAGAAGAGGATTGCGTGCGCCCGTGCCTGCTTGGGCCGAATCGGAATTTTCGAGGGTACGGGTGGGGTGGAGAGGCGAGTTGGAGGTAACGCTGGAGCCGTCGTGCTCTGTTTCAACACCATCCTGCTCAAGCTGCTTCTGGAGATCCCTCTTGCCATGTTCAGGATCGTTGCTCCCTTCGCCCACAAGCGCTTCCAGCGGTTTCTTGACGATGCTGTTCTTTACTAGCTTCGCCGAGACAGCGGGCATGATAACCTCGGAGTCCCCTGTCTCAGCGACACCCTCCACTTTCGCGTTCCTAAGAGGAACGACATCACGTCTATCCACCTGTTCGACGCTCCCTATATATGGGTGGACTTCTTCCGGCTGTGGGCACCCCACAGTCAGGCATTTGATGCGTTGGCCGATGGAAGAGGGGTTTTTCACTGGTGCGGCTCCAGCGAAGCAGATGATCATCACCGACGTCGCAGCCAATTTGGTGAAGGTAACCATGGTGAAGTGAGCTGTTCTCAGTTGCGAGATCGAAAACGGCTAAGAAATCTGCGAGCCTTTGATCTGAAGACTACCAGCTTCGAAATGTGAGGATGTCGTTGCAGCAGCACAATATCGATGGGGGAATCCGGCATGTGAACGTGTCTTGGGTGATGACGATGCAGGTCTGTAATATTGGAGATGTTGATCGAGTATGACCTTTGCTCGAGGAGATCTCTGAAAATACAGACGTCGAGGATTATATATGCATTTCAAGGTCCTCATCCAGGTGTGAGGAGGTGTGGATGTCGCGATTCGTGCTCCACCTTGACCAGAGTTGTCTGCATTTTAAGTTCTTGCAGATCAAGAGGTTTCGCTGGTGCTGTCTGGTGTACCGATGGATGTGTTCGCCCCTTGCAGTAACCAGAATTTTCCAGAGTCAGGGGCCTCGATGACTGGGCCTTTCGACAGGGATGAATGTCTGGATCAAAGACTGACAGCCTTGGCCCCGAGATGCGACAAATTGACGTGATGAAACCCAGCTAACAGCCAAAGTATCTCTCCTCTACCCATCTCTTCTCATTGTCTTCGACAATCCTAGCCACCACCACCTTGATCTTAGGGAAAACTGTCATCAACCTCTTCAGACCCCGTCGCCCAGCCATACACGTCACAAAGACAATTCTTCCCTCGGCGACCCCATGATCAACCAAAACTTTGACAGCCATTAGGGCAGCTCCACCGCTCGACATCTGTGGGTCTAATAGCATGACTGTTTCGTGTTCGGCGAGATCAGGGAAGAGCTTGAGGTAGTGCAGTTCTGGTTCTCCAGTACGAATGTTGGATTGTATAAGCAGTCGTCCAGTCAGACAGTCTGGAATGGTTCGCTTGAGCCCCGTCTCCATACAGCTTCCGCCGCGAAGAATGACCACTGCAGAAACTTTGCCGGCCGATTTGAGTCCAGAATACGTATAGCCTGTCGTGGTTGTAACGTTGGCGGCGATATAGTTGTGGCAGTCAAGAGCTTTCTCGATCAAGAGCGCCGTCAACCTGTCAAAGTAGAAGACGAATTCAACCTGATTAGTTATCGGGTTTCGAAGGATTGTTGATACCCCGACAATTTGTGGTGTTTCACCTAGGACCATGACATTCTCGGAGAGGGTATAATCTTCGACCTGCTGGCCCAGCTTCTCCAGTTCCGCGTTGTGCCTGATGGACTTCTCCTTCAAGATCTGTCTGGTCTGGTTGACGATCATCTGAATCGCCATCTTGTTCTGCATACCACGGGGTACTATCAGGTCGGCAATCTCTCTTTGCGGGTCGACGAATTTCTGAAAGACGGGCTTGACATAACTGAACCACTGTTTGATGGTCCCTTCAATAGTTCGACCCCGCTCCCTCACATCACGCACGATGCGCCTCGACAGACAGACATCTGGATCTGCTTCAACGAAGATCTTCATGTCCAATAGGTCGAGTACACGTGGATCGTGCAGGGCTAGAATTCCCTCGAGGATAACAACATGCGGTGAGTATATCGAGACGGTCTTGTCTAATCTCTGGTGTTGCTGAAAAGAGTATATTGGTATATCGGTTCTCTTCCCTTTCTTGAGATCTATCAGTTTCTCCACAAGGAGATCAAAGTCGATCGATTCTGGTGAGTCGAGATCGTACTCATTTCGGTGTGCCAGAGCATTTTGTTCAGGGGTTAGCGACTTGTAGAATGAATCGATGGACAAGATGATGACCCAGGGAAGATTCAAGGACTGCACAATTTCCACCGCCAGACTTGTCTTGCCGGAACCTGAAGATCCAGCTATTCCGATTATGCTCATGTCCGCCCATGGTGGGGAATAATGTGCTTTCTGAGGGATCTCGCTGGGGACTTCTGCTTTCCGAGCTGATGCAAGGATGGAGAGATTTCTGGTATCTGTCGACCCTGACATTCCGTCGCACAGTGTAGAGAATGGGATTGCAATGTCTCAATGCGAGCTGTAGGCGATCCAAATCCTCTGAGCGGGATAGCTCCTTCAAGGTAGAAGCAAGATAATGATCGTTTTTAAAGCCACAACCACAGAATTGCTACAATTAAAATGAACCCGTCAACACCAGTCGCCAGTCAGATGCAAGCTCCAAGAAGCTATGAAATCACGGATTTCTTGTGCAACAAAGTAGCAGTGAACAAACGCCCAGGTATATCGAGTAGACTTGGGAGCGTCGTTTGAAGAGTGACATCGGGTGGTGGGTGAGTGGAGGATGAGATATAATGGATCGGAGCTATATTGTTCCATTCCGCTATTTACTTAACTGTGCTCTACACAAGTTTCTCCGCAGTTTTGTTTTCAACCTGCAGTAGTCTGTGTCTTTGCTTATAATGCTTCCTTCCAAACCGCTCTGACGGTCTGCCATGGACCTAGATAACTTGTCAGCAAATTGGAAGAAACTTCAAGCCACTCTAAGCACGAAGACAAGTATCAACTCCACGAAATTGTCCAAGCATGGCGTGAAACGCAAACGGGAAGTCGTGAGGCATACCGCGCCCAAGAACGCAGCAGAATTCGCGGAATCTAGGAAGAGACCACGTATCCGCGGGATTATGGCTACAGATGGCAGCGTGTCTACGAAAACACTGTCTATCCAAGAACTAGAGCAGTCTGACAACGCTCCTCGCCCACGGTTTCTTGCCCACCCATCATCACAGGTCAATGCTGGGTTGTCTCCCGAGTATGTTTCGCATCCCCCTTGACGTCCTTTGTCCTGACCAGCTGTTAGGGTGGAAATCGGCAGGTACGTTGCTCTAGATTGCGAGATGGTCGGCGTTGGGCCGAATCCAGACAGAGAATCAGCACTTGCTCGTGTCAGCGTTGTCAATTACAATGGCGACCAAGTCTACGACTCCTACGTTCTTCCCCTTGAGCCTGTCACAGACTTCCGAACGCATATCAGTGGCATATCACACAATCACATGAAAATTGCACGAGAGTTCAAAGAGGTCCAAGTGGAAGTGGCAAAGATTCTGAAGGATAAAGTTATTGTTGGCCACGCCATACGGCATGATCTGGAAGCTCTGATGATCAGCCACCCTCAACGAGATATTCGGGATACAGCTCGCCATCCACCTTATCGCAAAATAGCGGGAGGTGGATCACCGCGATTAAAAATCCTGGCGTCAGAATTGCTAGGATTTGAGATACAGCGAGGCGAACATTCAAGTGTGGAGGATGCCCGGGCGTGCATGTTACTGTTTCGTAAAGATAAATCGGCTTTCGAACGAGAACATTCCAAGCGATGGCCGGCACCGCCTCCTGAAAGACAACAGGACGTGGAAGGCGAGAAGAAACCTCGCAAACAAAAGAAGAAGAAGAGGAAGAAGCATTGATCCACGCAGCGATTGGCCTGATCCTGGCACTGTGCGTTTCTGCCATGATAGCAGAACAACCCGCTGGTATGAACTCATCCGATTTACGGTGCTTTACGGTGCTTCCTGGTGACATCGCCAATCTCTTGGTGTCAAATGCAGCCTTACAATAAATGACGAGATACAACAGAACTCAACAACGCAAGCAGAACTGATGTGGCGTATAGAGAATTCACCTGCCACCTCTGAATCGCCAATGTCTCGAAGATGTTTGGATGCATGACGCAGCACGCGGTCTCCTGACAGTGGTATGGCAAAGCTATCCTTCCCAAGGCCCTTCCCAAGTCCCGGGGCCTTTCTTTCCTTGTCGATCGCCCTGTTTGATACCCCCATTCAGCACGTCTTTATCCGTAGCTCAGGCATAGCTTCTGGTTTTAATTGCTCTTATATGGGCCATGCCAGCCTTAGACATCCTTGCATAGTAACCCCAGGGCCTCACCGTGGTGGTTTCATGAGACATTGATAACGAGGTGTATGTTCTATTTAATCATTTGCGCATGCTTCTATACCACACACCTACAGTGGACTTAGGTTTCCGACTAGACTATGCTGTCGTGTACGTTCCCACTTGGAATACTTGTTAGACATATAATTATGCGAGGCAATTGGCGTCGGCCAGACATTTATCCGAAGATTATCCGGGTTAATTGGATTCCTCTTTGACGCGTCTTCAGCGACGCGTCGAAGCCTCCCTACAGTTCAAATCCAAGCCTTCCGCATCAACTCCTCACTACCACAACAGGTGGCTTTGCGTGTCCGGAATCATTTGCAAGTACCTGTGAAAATGCTGGCCTTGCAGCGAAACGCAAACTCTACAGACAAATGTGTTGTCAACGTCCTCCCCTGCCGTATCCATCACAATGGTCCAACCAAAGTGACAAAGAGATATTGGTCGCTAGAAGTTGAGAAAGGTACTTGTCGGCACGCGTTCTCGAATATCCCAACGAGACGCTAACATTTGCATTCCAAGATGGTACGGCAACTTCATACTTTCGAGGCCGCAAGTTACGAGGCAAACGCATAAATATACCCTCTGGATACCAAGGTAATAAACTCCGAATCCAGATCCTTAAGAAGCGTTACTGAGAGGGCCGTAGGGGTCGTCGCAAAGGACGCCGATCAGTATCTCCCGCAGCCTTCCAAAACGCAGACTGGACCCACGTATACCGTGGTGGATGAAGATATTGAGATTGCCGAAGAAGACGACGACGACCCTCCCGAGCCAGTCAAGGTCCTCGAGGAGCTATCCACCTTTGAAGAGGTCATTGTTTGGGGCCATGATGCCGTGCCAACAAACGAAGATACCTTTGTGAAAGGGATTGAAGAATGGGTCGCTTTTGCCGAGGCGATCCACGGTCCTTCCACAAAGAACTCCCTGCAGAACGACAGCCAGCAGGTCTCCCAGGAAGATAACGAGGATACAAATACGACTACGCAAGTCTCGACTCCCTAGCCTCCTTTATTCTTTAGGTGTTGTTGCTTGGCTGTGGACCACTCCTTCTTCAATCGAATATATTCCTCCGAAGCGATACACCGCCTCCAGTAGCTCTTGAAGATTTCGCTCGCCTCTTCTTTCTCCTTCCGCTTCCCCTCGACATCGCCTCCGGTCCATTTCTCCAACTGTTCTCCATCAGCACCATATTTGCGACCGCCTTTATGGTTGGCGTATCGACGGGCGCGCGTCATGCCCATTTGGATGAACTTGCGACTCATGTCCGCCCCCACCAAATCACCACGTTCCACATACGATTCGAAGATGGACCACAAGATCTCTGCTGATTTCTGCGCCAGTGGAACAGTGCGAAAAACCCAGTAAGGCAAGATAAGACTCTTGTATGGTTCAAATGACAAGACGCCCATTTCTCCTCGTGCGATTTCGTACGAGTATCGCAGTCGTAGATCATCTAACGCGGGCGCTTCTAGAGGGTGGCGTGGCGGCGCTAGGCTTTCAAGCGTCGTCTTCGGCATGGTTTTCGTGAAGAGCAGGACTTGCTGGGCCTAAAGGCAGAAGGGGTTGGAGGTTGAAGAGACTGGGAACAGAGATGCGACCACTCATGACGACACTCGACCCCAACGACGCAGGTGGCATCTTATCTGCTGCGTCTAGACCAAAGTTTGTTTCCCCCTAGTCTTTCAAACAAACTCCAAGACAGCCACCTCTTGAGAACACAACATCAGGGGAATTCCGCATCAGCATTTCATACCGGGAAATTTCAGTATCTCTGAGAAACCAAATCAACGCGTCAGATCAGGAGATTATTAGTTGCCCCGATTCGCCGCAATGACACCAAATCTCTTCTCCATGCAGTCATTACCGTGAGTGGTAATAGGCATCGCAGCAAGACATGCCGAGACCTCACAAAAACAAGAGCTTACCCAATATCGAATAGAACGATGGTCCACTCCTCGAGTCGACGGATGATACAGCCTTAGGTAACTATGCAAGCCACAAATAGCTGTTTTGGGATAGCGACAAAGCTTTCGAACTCTCTCTCTACTCCAACCAGGAGTGTTTTGGAATCTCGAATTGTCAATCCGCTTCGTCTCTACTATTACCCTCGTTCGATCAACAGCATCTGGGAATAGGAATAGGAACGCATCAACGACCATACAGAGATCACGATAACCACTGCCCAAGCATGCAATCATGGTCCTCCCCGACCATCCAGCTGGGCAATTCAAACCACACTCTTGGCCACCGCCGTCCAAGATACCTGTTGCCTGCTTGTTTGGTTGCTTGCCACAGTGCTTCTATGAGTAAGCACTCGCAGGGGGTGGAGTCAGCTAGTCTTGAATGCCTTTCATGTGCTCTATCAAGCGAGAGAGACACTTAGCGTCCCGCCAGACCACACCCAACCAATGACAGCCTCTTTGGGTTACCGAATAAGGAACCGGCACTATCGTCTAGTGTCACTTCCTTGAAGCTTCTGCGGAGCGTACCCCACAACCTACAAGTGTTCTCTGGGTTCTGAGGCTGGACCATCGACAGATCTACCAAGGGTAAGTAACCTGAAGACTGCTTTTGTAAGCAAAGAACTTTGGGTGAATCTGCTTAGGAATGAGCAGACGGCGCGACTTGCTAAAGCAGCGAGGCCACCTACAATGCTGCCCCAGACGCAGTTCGCCCAAGTTGAACAGTGTGGCATGACCATGGCAAGCACTTGTCGTTTTGAGGATAAGCGAAGCTAAGGACGCCATATAAATCACGCTTATATCACCTGAGTTGCCGTCCAGCTGATGAAAGGCCTGTTGCTTGGCCGGTTGATCGCCCCGGGATGACCACTCCTCCTGACAGTGACAGGCATATCTGAAGTCCTTGGCTCTGGACAGTATGGATACACAATTAACACCTTAAGAAGAGTGACCATCGCTGACAAAGACTTGGTCGGGACAACGAAGACTTCATCCTACCGATAGCGTTCCGTACCTCTCGATTTGCGAAGCTCTCGCCCAATGGTGCCCTCAGCAAAATCCAGGGGGGTCGCTCGACAGGACCATGATTGTGGTTGGAACTTGAGGTTTGGACACTAGAGGCATGTCTTCTAGGTGTATTCCCGGTCGATGTGCTCCAGGCCATTCTGAAGTTTCATCCTTCTCGGTTATCCACAGCCAACTTCCTCGGTCTTGCACAGTTGCAACGAGAGAGAAAAGATGCTCTTCAAGGAATGATACGCGTTATTGTTACCGCGTATCCTTTTTGCCGACAGCGCCTCCATGATTAACCCGCCCATCGCATGCTACATGTGTCCCATGATCATGGCGTACCCGATCTCTCTGATGTATGCCAATACATACTTGAGGGAACAGGGGACGTGAAACACGGACTCTCGAGCATTGACGCTGCCTGATCATGCGTTCCATTCGCACTGTGGCTATACAGTTCTTTTAGGATCTGGTTCTCCGCCTCTAGCTGAACAACCGTGGCCTTGAGCCGCTGAATGATTTCGAGAAGGTCGCGGTTATGATGGGTTAAAGTCCGGAGTTGTGAATTGTTGGCAGCCAATGTTGACGATGCAGCCTTCAGCTGAGCTTCCTTGCGTGCTCGATACGCTCGTTGGGCTTTTCGATTCTGTGCACGTCGCCGCTTGGTGACTTTGTCAGCGGCACACCTTGTCGCGTCCGTCAAGTACACATACCTCGCCCCGAGTCTGAACCACTTCGCATTCCCTGCCATACTGGTCCACCACAACAATATGCATATCGCGGATGGCCCGGTCTCGCGGGGCTACGGGTATTGAGCATGCTTCGCTCTGATCAGGGGGTTCGAGTGGTGTCGAGGGGTTCAAGCCATATGTGTCGAAGGAAAGGGGCGACGCTGTGACAGAGTTCTGAGAAGAAATAATCAGTCAGCCGGGGCCGTTCGCCAGAGAGTAAAGAAGAGACCTACGTCGTCCCAGCCAGAGGCGTCAGAGACGCATATCTGATCGAATTCCAGGAGCTCTCCCACATCCAGGGAGTTGAGGTCTGCCATGTGGTGAAGATGGACGGCTTATGTCGCCTTACTAGGGCGCGTGTCAACCATGGGCGAAGAAGGTCCCTGCTTCGAAGATGCAGATCTCTCAATCTTTTATGGTGCTTGATTCGGTATTTCTACCCTCAGTCCGTGCTCAACCGGACGAGTAGCCTATAGACCAAATAGCCACCAGTCATCGCGATGACTTAGGCTGAAACCGGTCTCTGCACCCCTGTTGAAGATCGATCTATACAGAGTTCTTCGATCTCAATGACCACCTTCGCGTCCTTTGGCGGGGGGCAAAGGCGTTGAGAGTACCTGAGCCTGCCTGCCCTCACTACGGACCTCGAAACGAATTGAACTAGCGCACATTCGGCACCACCAGCAACGGCCATGCAGTCGGGGTGGCGTCCGCAGGCAGATTCTACCGATCTTTTACTCAATCGAGACATGGTGTCTGAGCCAAGAAATGACCTGGGCGGGTTGTGGCCAGGGCGTGGTGTCTGTGTGTGCATGTGGAAGCGAAGGCGTTAAAGTGGCAAGCTGGCTGTAACATTACTCGGTACTCGTACTCGCTCTTTGACGAGGCTGGCACGGTGTTGCGTATTTGTACGAGGAAGTTGTATCCTGTGCGCTTGGGTCGGTAAGCGACGGCATCTTTGATTGCTGAAAGATATACTGCCCGGTCGGGACTAGTACGTGAACGAGTATCCACAGTTGCCAAGAGTTTCCAGACGCCTTTAAAGCTGAGCTGCTGAGATACAGCAATCAACGAACGACCCTGATGATCTCCACGCCTTGTTCGAATGTAGTTGTTCGCGGCCGCCTTGTGAGTGGCTACGCTGTTTCGAGCCTACGCGTCGCCAGTATCAATCAGAGATGTCTCACTCCCGCAAATACAAACCATGACAAGCTGGAGGAACCTTGGTATGGCACCAGTCGTGGTACCCGGGTCACAGTACGTCTTCACCTTGGTATGAATGGTACACGGGCACCTTGTTGATCCCAGCGGACCAATGCTCCAAAGGATCGCCTGCCTGAAGACTGACATATGGACGCTACACAACCTTTGCTCGGATGAGACGACCATTCTCCTCGCCTGGATTGTACACTACCAAAGCTAGGTGAAACCCACAAACTTCGATCGCCTGGAGTCTTGTCATCAGCCAGCACGACACGTCTCGCAGACGCCGTGATGAGTTTGATGAAGCGCGTCCCTCACTTCACTTACCTGGGTCAAGCTTCAAGCAGTATTTGAGTTTCTCCCATTTTCAGTCCGAGATCTCTTCTGGTTGGTGTTTGGCATCTCCAGTCTATCTTGACGAGAGACCATTCATATTACTCCCGCTCAACCGTCAGAGGAAAACAAGTGTTTGATGTGGATGTGGTTGGTGGTGATCGCTTTGTGGACCGTGGTGAATAGGACAAGGTCCATGTCAGAAACTCCTGTCGTTTGAAATCGTGGAGAAGTATAGTGAACTACGTGATTGAGCCACTGTGAAGAGATTTTCGCGGCAATTTACTAAGAGACATACTTGGTCCATCTTCAGAGCCTGGAGGTACGCATGACGTGGGAAAGCGCCAGAAATTCCCGATACTGCCATAATCAATCCATCTGGCCAAACAGCTCAGACTACAAATGAACGACCAGATCAAGGCGGCACACCAAGGGTCATACCGCCGTCCACCGCAAAAACCTGGCCAGTGAGCCACGAGGATTGTTTACTACACAGGAATAAAGCTGTGCCTGCGATATCCTCGACCGTGCCCAGCCGAGGCCAGGGAGTGGCCTTCTTCATGTGCTTGATAATGTCTCCATCCTCGAAGTTTTTGCGGGCCATACCGGTAGCCACGACGCCTGGGGCTATACAGTTGATGTTGATCGAGTCCTGGGCATGGTCTAGTGCCCCGGCGCGGGTCATGTGGTTGATGGCCGCCTTTGTCGCCGAGTACGCCACCTCATACGGAAAGGCGATGCTGCCGGCGCAGGACGAGACATTGACGATCTTACCCCGGCTCCCCCATTCCTCATCGACTTCCTGCTTCAGAAACTGCTGGATCGCCAAGCGGTTGCACTTTGAAGTGCCCAGCAAGTTGACGTTGGCCATCTTTTGCCACAGGTCATCGTCCTCGACGGCGAATTTCCGGAATGGTGCCCAGTAGCCTGCGCAGTTGACGACGATATCTAGACGTCCGAATTTCTACGAGGATCCGCGAGTTAGTTTTTGAATATATCATGTACAAGGCGACCGCAAAGGGGACATTGCGTACCGCTATACCCTCGCTGAAGGCTTTTTCAATGTCCGCCATGACGGAAATGTCCACTTTGAAAAACACGGCTTGTCCGCCTTGCGCGAGAATCACATCGACCGTGGTCGTCTGCAGGTCCTTTTCGAATCCCTCCGGGTTGGCCTCTGGCTTGAGATCGCAGCAGATGACGGCGACGCCCTGGTTCGCAAGGCCAAGGGCAATTCCTCGACCCATGCCGCTGCTCGAGCCGGTGACGAGGGCCACTTTGCCCTGCAACGTCTTTTGCGCCATGATAAACCAGCGTCGATGCGAGCCGTATTCCAACTCGATTTGCAGGGTTTGTGAAGTTGGTGGATGGCTATTCAAGCTTTTTGGGTATGTATGCCACTCGTCAACGCCTCACAGTTCGACAACCTTCTATCCAGAATTAGGGCAAGTGCTGATCTCGATAAAAATTGATGAGGCGAAAGTTGACATTCAATTTAAAAAGAGTGCCACAGGCTGACGATGTGCCGTCCGCGCTTGTATACTCTTGCCATGGCCAAGGATGGAGTATCCGGGGTTGGACGGTGCCATGTACTGTATTCCCCCTGAAGATAGTCCGGTGCCCCGCCGCGGTAACTTTTAGCTGTGTGTTTTTAGGTACGAAACATATTCGAATCACACCGTGTCATAACATTGCCGGGGGCATCCCAAATAATGGTGTAGATTGGATTTTGTGATTTATGCCGGCGACTTATACCAAAAGGCGCTGTCGATATTTCATCACGACGGAGAACCATCGGTCAGAAGACACATCGCATCATACCCTGTCCCTTTCCTCATCCGTCCCATACTTCAAAGCACATTTCTACTAAACGTCGAGAGTCGACAGCGACAGAATGCCCGACATGCAAGGCAAGGTATTTGCCATAACCGGTGCTGGCTCGGGCATCGGCAGAGCCACGGCTGTGAGGTTATCAGAGCTGGGCGCTCAAGGCGTCGCAATCAGTGACGTGAATGAGGCCATGTTGGAGGAAACAAGGCAGCAATGTACGCACCCTCACCCTCACCCTCACCCTCACCATTGAGACGTCGGCGTGAGCCTTTCCCCTCATATATAGGCATGTGTGCATGCGTGTGCCACGCTGATTTGGGCTTTTCTCTACAAGGCAGCCGGTATGCGACGAAAGTGACGGTAAAAAAGGTCGACGTGGCCAATACCGACGAGGTTGATGAGTGGATTCGCGACGTCGTTCGGGATCATGGCCGGTTAGACGGAGCGGCCAATGTCGCTGGCATCGCGGGCGGCGAGGGCCAGATTACAGAGGCGCTTGTAAGATTTGACCAACCACCACCATCACCACCACCATCACCATCACCATCACCCAGTCCTGTCCTGTCCTGTCCTGTCATGTCATGTCACCTAGGGTACCCACCTCATGCACGAATGTCCTAACTCCTCCAGGTCCAAAAAGACTGGGAACGAATGATCTCGGTGAACCTGACCGGCGTGATGAACTGCATGCGGGCCCAACTCCGAGAGATCTCGCGGCCGGGTGGCGCCATCGTCAACGTGTCCAGCACGTCAGGCCTGCGCGGTCTGGCGCGCAATGCGGCGTACGCGTCGAGCAAATTCGGCGTCGTAGGGCTGACAGAGTCGACGGCCGCAGAGTACGGGAAGCTGGGGGTCCGCGTCAACGCCTTGTTACCGTACGTCAATCTCCCCCCCCCCTCTCTCTCTGTGTGTGGATTCGCTAATAATCCGCTTTCAGAGGTCCAATCGACACCAAGATCTTCCGCGACGGCGAGAAAAAAGGCCTGTTTGACTCCGACCTCCTCAGCGCCGGCACCCTGCTGGGCCGAATGGGCCAAGCGGACGAAGTGGCCAAGGTCCTGGTGTTTCTGCTGAGTGACGATGCATCGTACGTGACGGGCGGTGAGTCTTTTTTCATTCATTTCCGCTTTTCACATCGCTTCCTCCCTCCTATTATCAAGAAACGTTCCCGAAAGGACTGACAAAGATGGGCAATTCTAGCACGCTGGACCGTCGACGGCGGGTACTCTGCTTGTGGATTCTACAGGTCTGGATGAGTTGGGCCTGTTGGAGATGGATCGATTGACCATGCCGTCGGTCTTAGACAACTCTTTCAATGGCTGAAAGTAGATGGGGCATGAGATAAAAGCACTGGGCACGCTCTCAAGATCTTCAGACTGGATTCCCACATCTGGCTAGCTGGTTTATCCCAGATGGTTTTTTAACTGTCTATATCCAAAATACTCTAGGAATCTAAGACTCTAGGTCTGAAGTAACCATGTCATCTATAGAGCGCGAGTCAAACAGTCCTGGTTGATATGGCCGATGAATGCCTGTGAACGGTGCTTCTCCGTCTTTGTCGTGATCGGCTTGACGTGCTCCAACAGCCGCTGGACGGTGTCGGAGGCTTCGAACGCTTCCCACGCCTCCTTTGACCGGGTCCTAGAAGACTCTTGTTAGCATCCTCTCTTATCATATCCTGTCCCATACTGGGTGCTGTGGCGTGACATGGTATGGTGTGGCAAGTGTACGGTCCGGACTCTGAATGGAACTGGCGTAACGCAACGTACCTGATATAGAGACTGACCAGACTCAAATCATTGACTTCTTTGAGGACGGCGAAACTCTGGACCGCGTCACAGGGAGCAACCCCATTCCCGGCCTCGGCCTCGACCAGATCGGCACAATCGGTCGCGACACCCAAGAGCTGTTTCCTGCTGCCCTCCACGGCCGAGAAATGCACGACACAGACGAAACTGTCCTGCCGGTCGCGGTCGGGGTCGTCCTTTCGCGTCAAAAACCCGCCGAACAGGTCGTAGTAACGAAGATCGTAGTCCGGGCTGCCGACCCCCTGGACGGTGCGGAGCAGCTTGGCGTCGTCGACCTTGAGCATCTCGGCCTTGAACTCGTCGCTGGAGACGTGGTCGAGGAAGAACCCCGTCGGGTGGTAGTAGCCCTCGAGGCCCCAGAGGGTGTCGGTCTCGCCGTCCAGGTCGTGGCCCCAGTAGTAGGAATTCGAGTACCGCTCCGTTTTGGAGACTTTGCACAGGCCGGCGAGAACTTCGCGCCACTGGCGATGAGAAATGACAGACTTTTAGTACGTTCCCCCCCCTCGCCTTGGGGATATCTGGGAGAGAAAGGGACCGGGGTTGCGGCGGAATGTGTGTGTGAGTATGTGTGTGAGAAGATTGTTTACTCACCTTTTCCAACGCCCCGTCTCTGCTCACCACGCGGGCAATGACGAAAAAGAGCGGTGCCCCCATTTCTCTGGTTGTCTGTTGGCTCGCTCGCTATTCCGATTTCCACGTCTCGGTCTTGCAAGGTTATGTTATCACTGTGCTGAAATAAGATGACCTGCGGTTCAGTTTGTACGCTGGAGAAAGCCGAATGTTTCTTTCCAATCTGATCTATATGATCTATAGTCTTGAAAGACACAAGAACGAAGATAGTTAAGGTGGCACGGACGGTGGGCACAGAACTTCAAGCCTCAGCAACAAATGTCCTCCTGACTCCTCCAACACCTCTGAGATCATTTGACGGTGAATGAACGAGTACCAAGTCAATTCTCTGACCTACCTACCTTCCTGGTGTGTCGAAGATGATCCGCTGGAAACTTTTGGTTCTGATAGGCCGGACTAATTGTGCCCTCCCTGAGAAGGGGGGGTTTTCCGCCCGTAAATGCTACACATTATTCCGTCCGGACCCCAACAATCGGTGTAATTTTCAATGACTCCGCCAAAAAGCTGGGGTGGTGCCGCCTTCTTCACCTTAGCGTGCTTGCCTTGTTCGGATTTCCCTTGCATGACACCACCGTGGCCATTCAGATGAGACTCTTGAGGACTTGGTTGATGATTGTTACAGTCCTACATGCCCAGAGCTTTTTCTCCAAAAATTGTCAATGACCTATTGCATACAGATATAACGACTCGGCGTTGCTGGGCCCGGGCCCCTATCCACACGATTCAAGATTGTTGTTGGTTAAGCACATCCAACCATGGTGACAACAGAAATTTCTGTGATAGTTCCAGTGGATACCACGACAGGGTTGACGATAGTCGAGGAATAGGTCGTGGCAAAGTGTGCTGTGGTCACGGTGTCGAACTGACCGCAGCGAAACGTGGTATAGTTGACTTGGTTGTGTTGAATTTTGTACGTCATACATTTCGGATAGTCCTGATCTTCGCCACTAATGTCGTTAGGATTGATCTGTTAGTATATGGACAGTAGGAAGACTTTGGAGGGGAAGATTCTACCAGACGGCCGTTTTGCTGGAACATCCAGTCGTGGCACAAGACAAACTGCTTTCAGCCTGATCCACACATTTGGTTGGGATGGCACAATCGGAAACGAATTCCCCATCGCTATCCACCGCGCAGCAGGCAATAGCCAGATTCTTATTGTCATATGCGCAGTATTGATCGGATGGACAATCGAATTCGCACAAACATGCATTTTCCAAGTCGTCGACAGATCGGAGGAACAGAGAGGATTCAGCCATGGTTGCGTACAAGGGAGGCCAACCTGATAAACCGGTTGAGGCAATCGTGGCCGTGGCCGTGGCCGTTGAACAAGTCGGAACAGCGCTTGCACTGGCACAAGATACGATGGTCGCAAGAGATACGACACCGAAAGACAGCATATCGAACATATTGGTCAAGGTGAGGTTGAGAGCTCGATATCTCTGAGGGTTTGCACAGATGGGAGCACATGTCGGATGGTCTTATACCTTTCTCTCACGTCGATTTGCCGCACAGAGGTCGAGAATTGCTTTCATTCACGATGGACCTCAGCTTCAGCCTTACTATGTCGCCTCTCTCGCTCCTCACACCACCAACTCCCCAAAACCCCCAGCCAATCGATCAAGGCGAAAGGTCGTATTCGCTTGCGCTGGGTACCGAGTTGGTCACAATCGAATGCACAAATCGAAAGATGATTCTCGGCCTTGTACGACTGAAGGCAGAACTGGACATCAAGAAGAAGCCATCATGCATTTATCTCCTGAGACATGCAGAACTCGTTGCCACGTGGACGTTTGTGTCGAAGACCACATGTAAACCGCTGATGCCGGGGACTAGGCCAGGAGGTTCCCTCCTCCTTCAAAACCAAACATGATATCCGACGGACCACTGCTCGCACGTCTCAATCGCTAGCATCACAAACAGTTGGTGACGGACAAGTCTCTGTACTTCATTCCACAAGCACGTTGGACCGCGGCCATGCCTTCAACAGCTGTCAAGGACAAATTCTTCCACTTTGTCCTGACAGCTGTCACGACAGCATTCTTCACCATGACCGCTCTGTTCGGCGCATACTCGACTTCGGCCACCTCGATCTCTCTGGTCGTGAAGAGGTTCAGCTCAGCAATCGCCGTTTTGAGAATCTTGCAAAGCTTGACCTCTGCCTCAACCTCGTTTCTCCTCAACTATACCCTCGAAGTCATCCAGTGGACCTTGTGCAGTCGAAGAGATGGACTGCGCCTTCTGAGCTTTCTAAGCATTTCCCCCACTACCGGCTTTCCTGGTATGTACCAAGTAATCCGGAGGGGAAGATGGAAAGATTGGGATCGAGCGTGGGCGGTGGTGAGGTCAGTACAGTCCTCTAGGAAGCCCGTCACCCCTGACGCCGAACAGGCTCATTCTCATGGCAAGTTCTTGGGTCGCTGGAATCGTCTTATTCAGTTTGTCATCCTCGGCATATCTCCCACTGTCATTTCGCTCACGTCGACTTGTCTAGTCAAAACCAAAGTCGCGACAGTCTACGATCCTTACTACACATTCAGTGCTACGGCTGGCGTGGGGCTGTTTAACGGATCATTGGCGAGGCAGATGATAGGTGCTTTTCATGGGACCATCACATATCAGGTCCTGGCCTACTCATACAACTTTGTCACAAACACCCAATTCTCCGTCAGGTCACCCCCCGTGGCATGCTCCGGACATTGCGACTCGTACATCTTTCCCGGCGCACTGTGGTCCTTGCAACCTCCCTTCCCAAGGGATGCACCACTTGACGCTGTCGTCAATATTGGCGTATCACCTGCGATACAATTGGACTTTATGCGCGGTCTGGATATCGGTGACACATTTTTCCCCCAGGACTGCACCGTTTACCATGAGAACGGGGTCCGATATGGTTTGATGGTGTGTTTGGCAAAGAGCAAGCTGCACCCTGAGTCAACTATTGCTGGTGGGTGTGACAAAAACCTCGCACTCAGATCCCTCTCGTGTGCTAATCTGGTCTCGATCTGTGGCTAGGTTTGTTTTTATGCTCCGAGGTTCGTGAGGGAAGTTGTATTACGTCTCGTGTTCCATTCAGTCTCACTACTACCCTGACGGTGTACGGTCTCAGCACTTCGACAGCTTGTTCCAGGGGGAATAACAGCATCCTCTCTATTGCTGATGTCGGAAAGCCGGCAGTGCACGAGGTCGACGTCGGCCCGCTGGGCTCAGCGCTGGATTGGCTTCTGAACTCGACCGCACAGGGGCTGCCACCAGCGTCGTCCCTGATTTTCTTGTTCTCAAATGCGGCACCAGGGGCAAACTATGATGAGTGGTCCATCATCACGTATCCGTCGCTGGAGAGCATCCTCGCATTCCCGATCTGGCAGTTCAGCATCAAAGGGGATTCAACGGCAGAATCACTTCCGCCCGAGTTCCACACCTCGGCTTCCCTGTCCAACCCTCTCGACAAGATCGTACTCAACCAAGCGGCCTTTCTCGTCTACCTTGTCCTCCAAACGACCGTGGTTGCCTTTCTCTGGGTGGTTTTGTTCTGGCGCTGCCTCTGGAAGTCCAGCACTCCCCCATTGTCGGCGTATCCCTTGATCGACTTTACCGCCAAACTGGACACTCGATACAAGATTGGTGAGTTTCGTCCCACATGTGACCTGAAGAAGGAAGTCGCGACCGACGCGGAGAGCAAGGAAGTCATTGACGCCTTGGTCGAGGTGATGGTCCTCGATCGAGCTTTGGGCGAAGAGCAGCTTCTGCGAAAGCGGATTTTGATGATGTAGCTGTTGGAGCGCGCGATAATAGCAGAGACCATGGTATATAGCTATTTTACAAGCACACAACGCGTCCTCGGCTCCTGTCCCGTAGCTAGCGAACCTCAAGTATCTTGATCGCTGTCCACATACTCTACCTGTGTCTGCCTATTTTCTGGGACTCAAGTCTGCTCGGAATGTCGACCATTAAGACTTGCAAGAGGCTGCAGGTGAGTTGGCTTTATACCTGCCGCAAATGAGGACATATGCAGATGCAAGATGCTGACCGCTTTCCTTTCCCCCCCCCAGGAGTCGGACTCTCACTATCCCCTGGACCATGGGTAAGAAAACTCAGTTGGACGTTTCTTCAAGGTGACCAAGTACTCAAGTCTCTATGGATCCGCTTCCCTTGTTTTCCCCAATGGGTCATCAACAGAGTGCTGTCATCATTCCTGGGACACTGGGGTATCTGGCTGCAATGATACATCTCTTTAATTCAGCTAGCTCTTCGAGCCTCAGCGTGAAACGTCGTCTGCTGCTTTCCTGCTCTTTGCAGCCCTTCGCGCCATATTTCCTCTTCTTGCTTATCGAATTGCATCACTTCGGTCTCGGACTTTGAAGCAAACGCTCATTGCAGTCAAAAAGCCAGCACGAACGGCTGAAGCGGCACTGCAGGACCAATCGGCCTGCGGAGAATCAACTCCGGTCTTGAGTGTCTATTATTGCGACATGTTTCGAAATGTCCAAAATGTCCATAATTGGAGACTCGACACTTCCAACCGAGGCTTAAGTTGCAAGTGTCATCGTCTCTACCAATCACGACGGTCAGTAAATACCGAGGAAACCCGCCGATGGGGGGAAAAGGGAACACTGACTCTGCGTTTCTTTGATCGATACATCAAACCCAAGACAGGATGGCGCCAGATGGGAAAAAAACACTGCATGACTCGGTGGGCGGGTTAAGAATGACTTTCTCCCCAAGAAGAAATACGAAGGTCTGTGTGGGTTGCTGGTGTCGAGACACCACTCAGAATGAGAATGACCAAGGCGGAAGGCCAGCCAGACGTCTCTCAGGCCGAATGTCACGATCCCCAAGATGTCCACGCTCTCGGTGTCGCCGCCCCGGATGGCCCCTTCGAATTGCCAGAGAAGGCCGTCGAGGTTCCCGTGGCAGGGACACCTTCATCACACAACTCGATACCGTTGATGGATTTGGAGAGAGACATTGTCGGCTGGGATGCGGTGGACGATCCTGCTAACCCCAAGTGAGCCGCCCTATACCGCTAAACAGGGGGGTGGGGGATGGAGTGTTGACCTGAAGTTTGCAGGAATTGGAAACGGAAGAAAAGGGGCTTCTTGATGGTCCAGGTGGCCACCATGGCGACTATCAGGTGTGTTACTCGAGACGGAAAGAGTGTCGACTTCGAGATTGGACAAAGAAGGTTGCTTACCGGTGTCTGCAGTCCCATGGCTTCCTCACTATGCGCTCCGAGTATAGAAAGTACAATGAAAGACCTACACGAGTCGTCTCGAGTGCTCGGATCGCTCATGATCACCATCTACGTCCTCGGGTACGCTGTAGGCCCCCTGTTCCTGGCACCTCTCTCGGAAATCTACGGTCGATATCCTGTGGTCATGATATCTTCCTGGATGCTTGTGGCATGGCTCTTGGGATGTGGTTTCGCGCCCGACATGGCGAGTCTCATCGTCATGCGTTTCCTGGCTGGACTGGGCGGATCGGCCATCATCACCATCTCGCCGGCCGTGGTGGGCGATCTCTATCCCGTGGAGAGACGAGCTTTTGGCTCGGCCATCATTGCCGGGAGCCAATCTCTTGGTCCTATCGGTACGAAGCAATCTCTGCCAGATTCTGCGCGTAGATAGATACTGATGCCGATCTCGCAGTGGGACCAATTTGCGGAGGGTTCATCACCGAGTATCTCACCTGGCGATGGGTATGCTCCCTAGTCTCTTGCTAAAAAGGCTGGCGGGCACGTTCAATTGACAACCGATGCAGGCATACTGGATCCTGGTGCTTTGTGCCGGATCTACCTCGGCAGTCCTCACCCTCTTCATGCGCGAATCCAACGCTGTCGTCCTCCTGGAGCGAAAGGTCCGAAAGCTGAGGAAGACGCTGGGTCGACCGGAGCTGGTGTCGGCTGTTCAACACCGCATGAGCGCACACGAGCTGTTGAAAGTCAGCCTGATTAGGCCGTTGAAGTTAAGTCGTGTCGAGTTGGTCAATCCGATGCTGGCTGATGGTTGAGTTTAGCTCCTGGTCAAATCCCCGATTGTCCTGTTCATTAGCATCTATGTTGCCACTGCCTATGGCTTGTTATGTGAGTGGCTTCAAACTCTGCTGTCATTGACACATCGCTTGCTTCTTGACTCACCGTGCTGCAGACCTCATGTTCACCACCCTTCCGACTGTATTTCAAGAATCTTATGGCTGGTCCCTTCAGCTCACCGGCCTCTCTTATCTTGGACGTGAGTTTGCAGCTTGATTTTCCATACCCAACAGTCACGAGCTGGAACCTAACAGTGTACACAGTTGGTTTTGGAACATTTGTGTGTCTTGCCCTCTTGACCCTCTATCGAGGCATTTTCCTGACGGCGCCACTGTCTAGGCGGCATTGTTTGCTCTGATCAAGTACAACGACGCACAAGTCGTGAAGCTCATGAAGGAAAACAACGGCGTGTTTGAACGTAAGGTCCATCGCCGCTCTACACTTCCTGATGCCAGGCTGACCATGTTCAGCTGAAATGCGACTCTCCACGACAACGTATTGTGGGATCATGCTGCCGATATCTCTGATCTGGTATGGCTGGGTAACAGACAAACGGGTCCACTGGTACGTTCCACCGAAGGGGGGGAAATGTGCAACGATGATTCACCTCTCTGATCAGGTTCTCGGCCATTGCTGGCACCGTGCCCTTCGGCATTGGCATGTTCGGCATCTTCCTCCCCTTCCAGACCTACATGGTCGACGCCTTCCCCATGCATGCGGCCTCTGCCATTGCCGCCCCGACCGTCATGCGCTCGCTCTTTGCAGCTTTCTTGCCCCTGGCGGCGCCACCGCTCTACCAGAACCTAGGCTTGGGCTGGGGGAATACCCTGTTAGGGTTCGTGGCCCTGGCCATGGTTCCCATTCCATTGGCGTTTTACAGGTAGAACACTTCTGGAAACACCACGATCGCCTTCGCTAATCTGCTCTTAGGTACGGTGGGAGAATCAGGAGGAAATTTCCGGTTCGTTTGTAGCACGAGGTGGTGGGCAGGCGTTGAAAGATGTCAGCACCTCTCCAGGAGGAATGTGAGAGATGTTCGGTATGATGTAAGGCAGCCGAGCAAGCCTGGGACAAAATGTCTTTCATCTATAGAAGGTAATGGACGGAAAAGCATTAGATCCGGACAAGAGAATGACTGTAGTTGAATGAAAGTAGTGTACCTTGTAGTTGAGGGCAATATTGCGTGACATTGGCCCACCTTATTGTCTCGCTCCAGCAACATCTCGCCTTTCCCATATCGAGACATCACCGAATCACAAATGCCAAATGTCTGTAAATTATTCTCAGCCTCGCAACTCCATCCCTTGCCAAGAAAGCCAAAAAATCAGCCTTGCAGCGACGTCATCGTCAGGCTGCGCCTTGCGAGGTCGTTGCTTGGCATCACACCGCCGGGCCTTTTTCATCTTGGACGAACTCGGAAGGTAACACAGTTGCCTGGTTTGTGCAAATATCAAACAGCGAAACATTTGGAGCAATGTCTTGCTTGACCGCGACATCTTCTACCATCAACTTACCTTCGTATCCCTAGTCGTTACGGTTCAAGGCTTGAAGTGGCAGTCTGCGTCTCTCGAAGATACCAAAGTCGGTTCAGATCAGATTAGATCAGATACTAAGCTTCGAGCGCCTACTCGTCAAGGGACGAGTCCATGAGCTGTAGCTCCGGAGTGCCGGTATCGAGATCACTCTCCAGGTAATGTGTCATGTCCACGCCGCAGGCGGAAACCAAGGCCGAGGCCGAGGCGCTGGTGCCTCAGTTCCAGCTCGAGAGGGTTCTCAACCAAGGTGAGAGAGAGAGAGAGAGAGAGATGCGACCAGTTTCGTCGGCGAGCCGGCATCTGAGTCGGATGCACTATTGATTTGCTCAATCCTTGACATGTTCTTTGCATTCTACTCGCGCACATCCGCTCTGACCGAGATCTCGGGCCAGACCAGAATGGACGACGGATCTCTCTGCTCGGCAGCATCGCCGGCCGGCCGGCGCTCATCACGCTTGAACGGGCGGCGTTCCCCACGGAGCCGGAGCTCGTGTCATCCCTCCTGAAATCTCTCATCAACACCACAAACCTGGGCGCCAACGATATTTACAGGTGGTACATGGCGAATCGGTCAGTCGATTCCTCCTCGTTTTCCAACCGCGCCTCGTCAACGTCACCATCTACGACCTCGTCCCCCCCGATCATCCCAGACTTCAAACTCAACATGATCTATCCGTGCTCGCCACAGCATATACGGAAATACTCGGCGCAGCGTGTGCGCATGGTCACAGAAACACCGCACATCTACGCCACGCACATAAGGCCATACATAGCCAGCCAACGCGCCGCCGGCCGACTCGACTGGGTATTCAACATCCTCGAGGGCCGCACGGAGCAAGAAGACGTCATCGCCCGAGTCGACTGGAACTCTGCCGCCAACACGGGCTTCCTCCTGCTGCCGGACCTGAACTGGGACCGCAAATCCGTCGAGGGCATGCACCTGCTCGCGCTCGTGCAGCGACGGGACATCTGGTCTCTGCGCGACCTGAGACGGAAGCACGTCCCCTGGCTCAAGGCCATGCGCGAACAGATCGTCGCGGCCGTCATCGCCAACGTCTTCCCGCCGCGTCGGGGTCAGGACCCCGCCGAGCTTATTGACGCCGACGAGATCAAGTGCTACCTGCACTACCAGCCCACGTACTACCACCTGCACGTGCACGTCGTGCACGTCATGCTCGAGGCCGGCACGACGCAGAGCGTCGGCAAGGCGTTCGGTCTCGGCAACGTGATTGCCCAGCTGGAGGGGATGCGGGGGGACGACGAGGCGGGCATGCACGAGGTGGACCTGCACTACTTTTTGGGCGAGGAGAATGAGTTGTGGAAGAAGTGTTTTGGTCCGCTGAAGAGGGGGGAGGCTGTGGACTTGGGGGGTTGAACTGGATGGAGCTTGTGGGGTAGGCTATGCTATGCTAGGCTGGGCTAGACTCGCGATCATGATCATGATCATGACAATGACAATGACATGGCCGGGATGTCTTCTTTGAAACAGCTATCTCCGTGACTCGAGGTCCTCACTGTACCTACCTACTGTGCTCGCGCGCACAGTCTACTCTCGGCAATCTGGTAGACGGGAGGGAAACCCCAGCGGCAGCCCTGGCTCCCTTTTATCCGACCCCTTTGCCGACTGTTGATCTCTTCCGAAATCATGAAACAGTCTCTAATATATCTCCGTCCCCATCTCCCTTTGTAGGTTCCTCCCCCTGAAACCTCACCCACCGCGCCACCCTTGGGCCTTGACCGTCCTCACCCCAGACGAGCACGAGTCATTATTGAGTCAGAGTCGAGTCAGTCTGGTGAGCGGCGACCACCCGCTCGGTATATTTCTTTACCACAGCATAGCATGACTAGCCACCCATCATTCTACGGCCAAGATATTTCCTGACCCCTGCCTACACTCACGCTCTCTCTCCCGTCCGCGTTAACGTCACCTCGCGATATATTATCATTATCATCATTACTATCAAAGTTACCTTTCCGTCTCGTCAGTCAGGCTGCGTGGCTACGTACGACTTTGACCAAGGTAGAAGCCGTGCCGATGACCGGATTTCGGTGGGGAAAACGCCATACGTGATGGACATAAAGGGGGCGTCGAGGAGAGGGCATCAATTGGTCTTGCTCGACGAAGAATCTGCTTCGAGGAGGGCTTGGAGACGTCAACTCAGTCATACGACTGAATGGGGCTGGACCAACGCAACCCTCACTGAGCTAAAGGGGGCATTTTCAGCCTCATCGGGCCCACCAGATAGACAGACAGACACACAGACAGACAGCTCCGTACGGCATCGCCACGGTTGGGCAGCAGAACCTGCATGCAGGGCGACACAGAATTTTCCGCAGAGGTAACACACACGCATGGCTGTGAAACCGTCATGATGTACGACCAGGCAGTCGGCGAATAAGACCGTGGCATCAACATATACATGCGTTGTACCCGTCCTTGCATGCCTTTGCGGATGTGGGTGTGTTGCACAGCTTTTGACACGTATTTTACTTTCTCGTACTCCATGCTACAAGCAAGCCCCCACCCCCCAAATGACCAACTCCTCCAGGCCCGTGAGCATTGCATATCCATTAGAGAGTGCAGGGCGGTCGTCGTTATGTAAAAGGAGAGACTCTGTTCCATCCTGAAATGTTCTGAGCTGGGCTAACTTGGATCTTTTGGAGAAAATAGAATCATGGCGAAAGAAATGAGGCTCCATCAGGCTGCCGTCGACCTGGATAAAGTCTTGACAGAGAACGGGATCGGATATGGGTGTTTCGGGGGCTGGGCCATCAATGCGATTGGTTACGATCGTGGCACAAAGGACATTGACTGCCTCGTGGGCGCCGAAAAGGACGACATCGCCCGCATTTTCTCGGATAAGGCCGGTTGGCATCGAATTCCTGGTCAGAGAGAAGACTACATCGCTTTTCTCGTAGGAGACAAGACGGAAAATGTCCTGGTGGAGATGTTTCCCGGTAAGCTTGGAGTTTCCAAAGTCGTCCCATGTCACCGACTAAGGACGATAAGCAACCACCAAAGCTTCGGTGGGCACCGAGGCCATCAAGTCCATGATGCAGACCATTGCAATTCGAGAAGTCCCGGTTCGAGGTTACTCAATGCGCGTGTTGGAAATCGTGTACATTTTCAAGGGAAAGGTCAACGCCGCAGCAAACCGGTCCAAAGTCTCCGACTGCAGCGACATCGAGTACTTGCACGCTCATTTCGAGTCGAATCTCCGAGAGCACGTGCATGAGCTCAGTGTTCAGGACGTTGGCAAGGCGATCAAGAGGTACCCTTCGTTGTCCAAGGTGTTTAGCAATCTTGGTATCGATGTCAAAGAGGCAGTCGAACAAGCAGGAAGCCTCGAGATCACCTCCATGCATCCTCCTCCTTTCCTTTGTCAAAAGGCCTTGTTGGAATAGTGGCTAGCGTATGGCTTATACGTCGACCGACCTTGTCACCAGGAATTCCCTTTGACTCTGTCTCCAGCGACGGGACAAAAGTCTCTTCGGCCAGATCTCATTTTGCGCCTTCAGCTGATGCGGGACTTGCGGGACTTGCGGGACCCCTCGTTGATTGCTGCAGACGGTGGTGTCACGATACACAAACTGGGTGGACCAGTGTGTGTGACCGAATATCCAGCATCGAATGCTTCTGGCGCCGGGCCAACGAGGAACCTGGGAAGTGAGGACATCGGAACAAAACGCACAATTCCAAGGGTTGGACACATACTTCGGGTCGCATGTATTTTTGAGGGCTGGAGCATGGTGCGTCACAACAAGTAGCTGGCTTTCCGGATTCGCTTGCGCAACGTCCTGTACGCATGTTCTGAGCCATTCCGTATCTCGGTAGTGTTCTGCATTGTGGCTTTCCACAGTCCAGTCGCCGATGTGGCTGAAATCCGCAACTTTCATTCTGACCCACAACTCGGACTCGCTTGGTATAGAGGTGTGCAACGTGCATCCGAGGATGGTTATTCTTCGATTCAGGTGGAACATGGTTCTGTTCAAAACCGTCAGTTTGCCCCCTAGACATGGCTCTTGCTCCAACGACCGGGCCGCTTCGAGCCCTTCCTGTCTAAGGATGCCATAGAATTCGTGGTTTCCAAGGACGATAAAAACCCGCCAAAACCGGTGACATTGTACGCTGAGAAACTCCAGGTATTTGCCATAGTCCTTGAGACGGCCAATATCGCCTGCCAGGACTAAATACGGCGACACTCGAGGGATCTCAAAGTCGTAAGTTTGCTGGCTCTCCAGATGAAGATCTGACATGTATTGAAATGATACCGAGTGTTTATGGGGTGCCAGGCGAGATATTGTGCTTCGGAAAAGGGCGAGGTCGAATAAGCAAGCCCGTTGAAAAGCTGATTTCCAAGATCGACCATTTCGGCTGCTTTTTTCCCGGTCGTGAAGCGGCTCTTGAGTACCTGGGATCTTCATCAATTCTCGTTCATCTTGACAGAGATAATCGCTCTCCAAAAATAGATTTTGACGTTGTGGCCTGGTTCCTATCACGCCGAGAACGTATTTCAGCTCTTCTTCTCGACCCTGGTCGAGATGCGTGTTGCACCAGGCTTCACTTAACACCATTCCATCAACAAGTTGCTCCACGCAGACAGCACAGTAGATGTCTTGCGTTTCACAAAACCTCCTCAGCAGTCCCTGCAAGAGCGATGACAGACGAGGGACAGGGATCCTGGATAGCTCGGAGATATCGGTGGAGAAGTTGAACTCGTTGCTAAGGAAAGGACGAGCTGTACCATATGCAGAGCGGTCAACTATTGAACGCTTCAGCGGCTGAAGGTAGAAATGCGTGTCAGGAAAGATGACAAGAGTCAGGTAGTCTTCTTCAATAAATGCTTCAAAGCGAGGATATGGCTTCTTCCAGTCAGGGTGTTGATCGGTCCATGCTGTGCGTACGAAAACATCGGTGTGAGCATTGATCAGTCTGGTGGCAGCATCTAGCTGCGAATGCGGGACACAAATACCCAGGGTCTAGTATAATAAGTCAGGCTTCTTTTGTTTCTGTCACACAAGACTCACATTGAGAATCCGAGGCACATTGTAGTAATTCAACGCAACTTCTTCGACAACGCAAAATACAATCTTCTCACGAGCCAAGGCAGCCCACACGGCCGCTATGACTTGAGATACGATCATGCTAAGTAGACGTCGAACCACGCACACATTCCTTCTTGTCCTGAACCACGGACATTTGGTGAATGGAAGGCAATGTTACGTCGATTCTCGCTTCGCTGGGGATCTCGACAGTCTCGAGTTGTCTTTGATAGACTCGGTAGAGAGCACTCGACAGGTGCACGCAGAAATGGTCGCAGGCCTGGCGGACGATGGAGCTGGTAGAGTTATAGAAGAGAGCAAGGGGGGACAAGGGGAGTTGTCTCAGATTCTCAGACTCAGTGTTGCCAAGCGCAAACCCTGATTGGTCCTCTTGGCGCTGGAACACGGACCAATGATATATCACAGAGTGTCGTCATTGCCAAGTAATCGTTCCGGGCCGAACCTTTTCATGTTCTCCATCAAAAGCAATGCGGCCCTTTGCAATGCAAATGCGTCAAGCCAGACGACAGTCAACAATACTCAAGGGCCCGCGACAATCCCAGACTCTGTCCACCACCATCCCAGCCGCCTGCACGATCCTGTCAAATTCGGCCGGCGTCCTCTCCCGCCCGTTCGTCATCATCATCATGTTCAGGTCCATCATGTGCGCGGGCGCCATGGCCACGCCGTAATTAGCCAGCAACGGGGTCGGGGCTGGCCTGAATTTGTCCGTGGGGACCGTGGTGCGCATCAGTGTCTCGGCAATCAACACACGAGAGGTTGGAGTCATGGAGTCAGCCACTCGCGAGAGGATCGCGATTGCGTCGTCATCGGCCCAGTCGTGGCTGAGGGTGCATACGTACGAAATAAGTATATGTATCAGCTGCAAGAACGAGGAAATTGGCACAGAGTGAGAAAGTCCTCGGCGCTTTGTACTTACATGATATATCTCAACCAGTAGATCTCGGCGCCCACCACGGGGTTCTTCTCAAAAAAGTCATGCGGCGTTAGGTGGACTCTCCCTTCGGCAAGGGCAGAGTGATGTTTGGTTTTCCAAAGCGCAAGGCCTTGCTGAATCACATGTGGCTTATCTTGGACGACGAGGTTGAGATGGGCGTGGTGCGCGTGGAGTTGCATGCAGAATGAACCTGTCCGCCTCCATCAGCCACCAAGATACACACCTAAAACACCCGCGCACAGGACGGTGAAAATAAATGAGAAACCTACCAATCCCGCCACCAACATCCACGACCGTCGCGCCATTCGGCAGATCCTGCCAGGGGAAGTCCAACACGCAATACTTTTCAGTGCCTTTGCTTTGGCCGCTGATTGCGAGGTTGAAGAGATTCTTTTCCGGACGGGGCACCATCTTCTGGCCGGATAAGTGCGGTCTGGACGGTCCGTCCTGTCCATCACCGTCCCCCTGTCCCTCCTCGTCGTCTTCGAGGGGATGCCTCTGCCGACTCCGCGGCCGCCAATCCACCTCCGACTCAAGCACCGTTTCATTCATCCAGTCGAACAGGGACAGTTTCGTGCCGACGGCCTGCTGAAACGCCGTTTTCCGCGGGTCGTAGCTATTCCGAGTCGCAGGGTTCGCCAGGACTTGCGGCAGATACTCGCTGGCGGCGTACTGGAGCTGGCCCCTATATTAAAAGAACGATCAGGAACGGGGTCTAGGTCCGTGCATACCCGGGATGGCCCTCCTAGTCGCCCTGATGCCTTACCAATTGACCTCCCTTTTGAACTCCTTGTCATCCCCCCTCTTTTACGGTCTACGTAGCTACGAGCAAAGAGTGAAACTGAGAGGACTTACTTGATGAGGATATTTGCTTGAAACGCCGCGTCTTCAACAAGTGCGTGGGAGATGCGGTTGTTGGCGAACCGCCCATCCTCGACCTCTTCAAAGACATGGTGCGACGTCAATGTTCGCATGACTCGGCCTGTGGATGTACTTTTGTTCAGCGAGTCCTTTGTCGTCAATAGATTTGTCCTTCTCTGTCGGGGGTAGACAGAGGCGCAAGGCCCGGGGGGGGAGGGATACATACATAACTTCCCTTGCTCAAGGCCGGTCGTCCTCGCGAGGTCTTCGGCACTGACTCCCCGGGCCTCAGGCTCGTTGTGGCTCAGGGCGAGCAACTCGGCCACGCGATGATCCGCGACGACATGCAACGCTCGCGCGATGAGGTACGACATGGACAGGTTGAGCAGACGTGTGTGCGGGTCGAGCACGAGGCTCTCTATCGAGCCCAGCGCGGCGAGGATGGTCTTGACGGCGTCGTGCTCGGCATGCGATCCGGTGCTGGTATCGGGGACGGCAGTCTCGATACTGGCATCGACAACTCCATTGCCTGAAGACGACGATTCCCATTCACACGCGAGATTCTCCACCGCGGTGGCGAGGAGTGCCAACACCGCGCGGAGCTGCGCAGCAGACTTGCCAGGATTGAGGGGGGACATGTTTCAAGTACACCAGTTGGGACGAGTATCGCTCTGGCATGAAACACGGGTGATCCGATGCTACCTATGTACCTACCTACCTACCCAGTGATATCATGTATATGACGGCAGAGGGCGGTAGAGTGCGACTGACTGACTGACCGGCCCGCCGGTCTCAGCAGAGACCTTTTCGCACGGAAACGTCACTACGGGCCACGGCGCTCGCGCGAATATACCAGGGAGGAGTGTAGGCATGCAAGTTTGGAGGCGGGGAGCACTTGACTAACACCGACACCGACACCTAGACACTTCTACACCTGGTGCCTGGTGCCTGGTGCCTGGGGCCCTGTGCCTGGTACTCGTTTTGAGTGAACGCCTTGCATACCTAGAAAATACATACCTACTACTCGAGTCACGCGCACGAGTGGACACTGGTCCAGACACGCAATGCGAATGCCATGCAGACTCCGCCCTGGGTTCTGGACCGGAATCCAGATGGGGAAGATACGAATATCCGAGGATCGAGGACCGAGGACGAGCATGCATGCTCGATGCTGGGTAGATAGGCACCTACTGGATGGTCTTATTAGAGTGCGGGAACACCTTCCTCAAGGGGACTTGCCCAGGTACCTACTTACGAGTTATTTACGTACAGTACAGCATAGTATAGTATAGTATGATAGTATGATAGCATGCGAGTACAACAAGGGCGTACTTTGTAGAGAAGTAGCTCCGTCGACAAGCGCAATTACTCGTATACCACTTCACACGCTACCCAGCTTGCCTTGGCCATTATACACTACACACTAGCCATTAACAGCAGGTGCTTCATGTACCTCGTGCAGGGATGTACAGGTATCTACGAGTTAAAAGTGCTCGTGTGGTCGCGTGCTCGCGTGCTCGCACTCCGTGTACCGTTACCCACGTCCAAGGACCCGTCTCGCCGTATAGCCGTATACCCGCAAACCCGTATCGCCACCCACTGCACTATACTCCACTCCACCCCACAAGGCAGAAGATCAGGCGAGGCTCCTCCATTCCACATTCCTTCAATGATGTACTCGAGCTCGGCAAATCTCCTGTAAGCTGACGACCACCGACGACCCACGACGGGGCGACCCAGGATCCAATACCGAGGGACTTTTGATTGCCGGATCGGGGAATGCTGATGATCAACCAGTGACGAGTATCGAGTCACGATGGACGACTCAATAACTACTGGATGACTTTTTGATAGCCGCATCGGGGCTAGTGGTTGGATAGGGAGTTGACTGAGTGGGCTAGATAAGTAATCGACTGACAGAGTAGCTGGTTTGACGGACTGAGTGGCTAGCTGGGCGAGTAACCGTGGGGACGAGGTACCCAGGGCGAGCTATACTCGTTTATACCTTAGTAAGCAAGTAAACAGGGACAGTCTATGTAAAGCACTACGATGACGCATTTACCAGACTATATCCCTGAATAGATGGATTGCGAATCTTTGCGTATTGTGTAGTGTGTAGTGTGTGTTATGTCCTATGCATCGTGGGTGGAGAAAAAGCCACAGCCTCGTCCCGATCGGGTAACAATCACATACCGACTCGCCGAGTACATGTCCATTCTCGGAAATGTCTACCACCTCCGTACACGTACAAGGTACAAGGTACGATGTACAAGGTAGAGAAGATATAAAAGCCGCGCCTGTCGACCACGCGTGGTGATCCAGGCACCTACGCATCCCGGCAACTGGCAAACTAGCCCGCGACGCCCCATTCCCCGAGTCCCCCCACTCATACATACGAGTAAGGCCGATCAAGGCGCGCCATTGGCGCTGCTGGCTGCTGACTATTAGCTGCTGGGGCTATATATGTGGAGAGAGGGGCGGTCGACATCAAACGTGGGTTTCTCTCTCCAGAGTTACGAATGCTCCGTAGAGCTGATGGAAACATGGTCGAGTCGAAAAGGCCATGTCGGTCAAAATGCCTACCCAATATCGGCTCGCAGGAATATACATGCCGAGTAAACTTCGCTTGTCTCCACAAGAGCCAAAGAAAAGAGGGTCCCCGAAGCTTTGAACCATGCACGGCATCATCCAATTCAACCTGTGCGTCTCGTTTCGTCTCGTCTAGTTTCGCCTCGTCTCGTCTCCAGCATGTGCGCTCGCAGAAGATCCACCGTCTATTTGTCTGCATTGTCGAGGAAATGAACTCTGGTCGTGAACGACATCGCCCTTGTCGTCAGCTCCAGGAAGAGCGGTGAAACCTTCTGGACCGAGAGGACGTCCCAGGGAGTCGCCAACCAAAGCTAGCAGACAATGACCGATTGCGGTCGAACCAGGCCAGAAATCCATGTGACCTGGATGCCTGGGTAGTCGGCTATGACGGCGCTCCGATAACATCATGATTCTCAAGGCCATCGTGACGCTAGCACCGTTGTGTGTGTTCTGCTGCCTTTTGCAGCTCATTGGCTTCTCGCCTTCTTCAAGGCGTTTTGGGGTTACGTGAACGACGGGATCGAGTGTCGCATCACACGGTCATCGAGGTAGGGTAGGGTAGGGTAGGGTAGGGTAGGACCTGAAACCGGTGTTTCGATATCGCCTCTCCGACCAAAAGAAATGCGAGGTCAGGATCATCCCTCCGGGTTCATTCTACCATTTGCCCCTTTCTCACCCCTTTTCTCGTCTCTTTCTTTCTTTCTTCAAACGGCCTTTCTCTATTCTGTATTTTCCCACCGTTTCAACCACTCTCAGCTCCTGTCGTGCGCAATGGTACGTGTGGTGATTGTGGGCGCAGGCCCCTGCGGCCTCGTGGCCCTCAAAGAGATGGTCGAGAGCGGACACGAGGCGGTCCTGTTTGAGCGGTCGGGACGACTGGGCGGCGTGTTTGCCAGTGCAACGGCATACCCGAACCTGCACCTCACCATCAGCAACTGGGCCATGGCCTTCTCCGACTTCCCCGACCTGGCGAGGCTGCATTATTCCACGGCCCAAGAATACCTATCCTACCTCGACCAGTATGCCCGCCACTTCGACCTCGACCGGCATATCAGATACCACGCTGAAGTGCGCAGCGCCACCTTGGGAGAGGACGGGGTGTGGTCGTTGGAGGTCCAGATTCAAAGTTTGACGGACTCAGAGCAATTCACTCTGCGTGTGCAGGCCGACGCCCTCATCGTCGCCACCGGGTCGAATGGGCTCCCCAATACACCACCCGCGAGTCTGTCAGGGTTCACAGGCCGCATGATCCATTCGTCGCAGTACGATGAAGCCTTCAAGCAAGAGGTGGCGGCGAAGAAGATGAAAGTCTTGGTGGTGGGCGGCGGAGAAAGCGGTGCCGACGTGTCCGCCGAGCTGGGAGAACTGTCGCCTCATGTCACGGTGTGGCTTCGACGATCTGTCTGCGTCGGCCCTCGCTACCTCAACAAGAAGGACGAGATGGAACAGGTGGCCGCAAACATGACGGTCGATTTCCCCGCCAACAGCTTCCTCGAGGCCGCCACGACCAACCGCATGAGCGCCGCACAGAACGTGTTTGCGTACGGCGTCTTCCGCAGGCTGCTCTGGTGCACGCCCGTGCTGAACCGCACCCTCTCACACATGTCGCTGGCCAGCACCGCGAGTGCCCTTCTACGGAACGACCAAGCCACCTATGTCACCAAGAACCAGCGCATGTGCGAGGCGCTGCAAGCCGGCAAGATTGAGGTGCTGGTGGCGCCGACCGTCTCGACCCGCGGTCGCAGCTGTGAGTTTCACTCTTGTGCTGTTGTCGACGGCACATCGACGATGCAGCAGCGCGAGTTCGACGCCGTGGTTCTCTGCACCGGCTTCCGCCTCGAGTTCCCTTGGATCCGTCTGCCAGGAACCCAGAGCCTGTCGCCCAACCCTCGCGGGTGGTATCTGCACTGCTTCCCCGAGGGTCTGGGCCACTGTCTCTTCTTCGTGGGCTATGCTCGACCGCACCAGGGCGGCGTACCCGTCATGGCCGAGATGCTGAGTCGATACATCGCACAGCTGCTTCGGGGCGAGAGAGACCTGCCGCCCGATTACGCTGCTCGGGCCCAGCGAGACGCCACCGCCTCGCGCGCGTACTACTCCCTCAGCCCGGATCTGCACACGCTGGTCGACTACAACGCGTTCCTGGAGAGCGTGGCACGCCGCATCGGTTGCGAGCCGAGACTGCCCGCGGCCTGCGTGCTGCTGGCCAACCTACACATGGCGACGGTCCTGCTCATGGCTGTCCAGCTATGCTGCCCGACGTCCTCGCCTCCACCACTGCTGCTATCGTTGCCGCTGCTGCCGCTGGTGATGATCTGGGCGGCGTCAACGGCCGGGTTCTTCGTGCTCCACGACGGCCTGCTGATAAAGTGGTGGTTCTACCCACACTGGGCCGTGTGGTATCGCCGACGCGGGCCTGGCGCCAATCCCGCGTTGCTCGACGGCGTCCTGGCTCGCGTGAACCTGTGGAAATCGACCGCCATCACTCCCGGCTTTGTGCTGCTCGTCCTCTGGTCCATCCCGACGTACTATGCCCAGCGCATCCTCTCAATCCCCCTCTTCGCGGTCAATGCGGTCCTCACTGTCCTCGGGTATCGCCTCCCTGCCGCGTGGGTTCGTCCGCCTCGTCCAAAGCTCTTTGCCTTGCACGACTGCCCGTGGCGGCTGTCGGATCTCTACATGCCATAAACTGGCAGGAGTGGAACAGTTGTGGAGACCAAGTTTTGTTGTTCGAGTCCCTGTTGTACTCGTGAACTGATGAAATGGTGTCTCGATTATACAAGATAGTGTCGATTCAGAAGGAAAAGCGCGTCAAAACAGTCACACTCCAGTACCTGCGAGCAGTTCACTCCCATTACACACCGTGCACGTTCTTCCTTCTCAAATTCTCGAATGACAACCCCAGCATGATCGAGATCGGGATTCTCCTTTCGAGGGCTTGTCGAGCTTTCCCCCATTTGTCAATAGCGCCAGCATTCAACAGGACCTCCACCACCTCCCAACGGCCGAGTCTCGATGCCCTCTGGAGAGGAGTACCAAGTACGCGGCTCACGGCATTGATTTCTGCTCCAGCTTTCAACAGTATCTCTACCACTTCCGTGGAGCCACTCCTTGCGGCTTCGTGTAATGCAGTACTGTCACAAGATACAGCATTGACTTCTGCGCGAGCAGCCAACAGGACCTTAACCACCTCCCCATGGCCGGCTCTTGATGCCACCTGTAGAGGGGTACCACGGCCGAGGCTCACGGCATTGACATCTGCTCCAGCGCTCAACAGTATCTGTAGTACTTCCGTAGAGCGACCACTCTCCGCTGCTTCGTGTAATGCAGTACCGTCACAAGATACAGCATTGACTTCTGCGCCAGCACTCAAGAGCGACTTGACCACATCCTCATGGCCCGCTCGCACCGCAACCCATAGCGCAGACTCATCACCGTCGCGTCCAACGGCATTGGCATCTGCCCCAGCGTTGAGCAGTATTTGAACCGCTTCGTTGTCGCCTAGTTCTGACGCCCGCCCTAGCAGAGTCTCAAACCCATCCACCCAGCCATTCGGATCTGCCCCAGCCTCTAGGAGCATCTTCGTAATGTCTTTGTGCACCCCATTTCGAGTCATGCCTATTGCTCCTCGGAGTGCATCATCTAGCCCTCCTCTAGGCGGGTCAATATCGAGGAGCATTCTGACCACGCTCTTGTGGCCCTTTTCTGATGCTATCCTCAATGCCCTGTGGCGTCCAGCACTTACATCCGCGCCTGCATCGAGGAGCAACCGCACCAGCTTTTCATGACCATTCTCTGCTGCCACACCCAAGGCAAAAAGCGGCCGGGGTCCAATCAAGCTATTTATCAGATCTCGCCTGTCTTTAGTCGTCTCTTCAAGAGCCAGTAGCTCTAGTAGAACTCCATCAAGCCCGAAAAACGAGGCATAGAGAATTGGTAGAGCTGGGGACAGTGGCTCATGCACAAACTCATCATCCCAGATCGACATGGGACGTACTCCGTTTGCCTTATTCAACCTCATCCAGGTGCGGAGAGTGTCTGGTTGGCGAAACAAGCGCAATATCAGGCCGTTCAAGGAGGACATCGTATTTCCAGCGTTTCTGTAGTGGTCGCACCAACACTGAGCAGCTAAAAGAGATAAGGGAAACCTCGTGGTATCCGCCAAATTCAGCGACAGTCCGGGCTCCAAGAGGTACACCAGGTAAATCTGTGCAATCTCTGCGTTGGCAGGACCACTCTGCAATGCAAAAGTCGCTGCCTTTTGCTTCGTAATCCGATCAGATTCCAGGTACTCCTGAACAGAGAAGTGAGCCAGGCGAACAATTGGTGTCGCTCGGACATTGTTGTATCGCCGGTCCCTGGATGGCCGATGAACCTCCTCGAGTCTTATCTCGATCAGGCCCGGGCAAATAGTGCGAATGTCGTCTGCATCATGTAGCCGACGTCGACGATTCAGCCCTGCAGGCTCATTGAGGTCGACAGCAATTCCATCAATAAGCTCTGGCATTTCTAGAGGCCGGGTTGAGAAGCATAGTAGGGTTAGAATTCGCCGGGCGTCCTCCACGCAGTCTGCATCGATGTTACACAGCATTCGCTCGTATGTCGCATCCAAACCTCGTGGTAAGGAGCGGAGGCAGCGATCGAGGTGGTCTTCACTACCAGGACATCGCCTGAGAGACTCAAACTGGCATTCGACCCACCGGAATCTAACCAAGTCTGTTAACTGGAAGCTGATATTGTCACAGAAAGCGAGTCACTTACACGCCCTGAGCCCGATCAGTGAGCGCACTTTTGATTCGTCCATGATGCTGCTGCCACCTTCGGAGTTGCGGATCGACGTCAAGTTGGCTCGAGATAAAATCGCTGATATCTTGGTCAATTCCGGCATTCTTCATGATCAGCATTTGGTTTTGATCCGGGTTCAGTGCATCGCGAATGTCTGGTTCGTCTCGGCTAGTGACTAGAAGGTGCAATCCTGGCAGTGACCACTTTCTCATCTCCTGCAACGCATTCAAGACCCGGTCCCGTTGAGCGTACCGGGGACACTCGTCCAGAGCGTCCAGCAAGATATAAACATGATGAAATCTTCGTATCAGATCTCGGAGGTGCTCGAGTAAAGAGTTTGTCGGAGGGGTTGCAACCGTGGACGAAGTCCGTATGCGGTCGAGGAGTTCTGGACCGTTGGAAAGCTGACCGGAGAGCTGGAAGAGGAGAGCCCGTAGCATTGCAGACTCGTCTTGCTTAGAATCGTCGCTAAAAGTGAAGTAGAAAAAAGCAATGCCCACATTCACCATCGAGTGCTTCTGACGAAAGGTATGTTGAATGGCAGAGGCGCATAACAGCGACTTGCCACATCCCGCCGGACCATTCAGCCAGAGGAAAGATCCATCCTGCCTCAGCCATGTGGTAAAGAATGATCCATTGATGAACCACATGCCGGTGCCTGGGTGGCGCTTCGCGCACGCAGCATTGTGGTTGACACTCGCATCCGGGGCTTTGAGCCACTCGCGGACTGACGTTGAGAGCTGTGATGCACTCACATGCCTGAGGAGCAGTTTGAGGTCGGCGATGTCGTCTTGGGCCTTCTTTTGATCCTTGAGCTGGAGCACGTCCAGTGCCAGTGACAGATTATCCCGTATCTCGCCAATGTCTTCGTCCAGTTTCTGTAGCGTACTTTGGCGAAATGGGTAGGTCACTCGTCGACCTGCGACTTTAAGGGACCCCTTGATATCACCAGGAGAACTTCTGCTTAGTTTCGTGCACTCGTCTTGTAGTTCTCCAATAGCGTCTTCACACGTTTGAATGCACGACTCGATATTCTTGACGATGTCCTGCTCGTTCGGCTGAAATATCCGCTCTCGCAGCGCTGCCTCGAGGCTCCGGAATATCAGCAGGAGGCCTTCGACCTTTGTGGTAGTGCGAGCCACATCGGCATCTTGACCCTTGTAGGCAGTGTAGAACTCGAAGAGAGATTCGGTCACTTGCAACCCCAATGATAACAGCCCCGCGACTCCAGTGGCAATGGACAACGGGTCTGTCATTAAGTCTGCGCTTGACAAAGACAACGACACTGAATGAGAATGACAGAGAGCGAAGATGGAGAGATGGGAGAGAGGCGCAGGCGGGAGAAGAGAGCAATGCGGTGATGAGGCTGAAAAACACTGCCCCGCGTTGCTCGTCTAGGTCAACTGACCAGCCCATTTCAGCCTCATCCAATAGTGTCCTTGTAAAATGCCTTTGAGACATACGATGTACTCGGCATAATGCTATGCATGCTCACATATCCGTGCCCTGTAATCAAGTTATGCTCCGGATCTTGAATCTGAATGTCCATATTTGGCCAGGAGCTCCAGGGCCGTCACCCATTCTCTCGCCGTCAACATGGCTCTCGTTCCTCCCACTCGGCTTTTAGCAAGGTTCGACGACGATAATTTCCTCAGCGTCGAAGGGCAGTCCGGATAAACTCGACTGGGACGTCCACCCACAGCTCTGTGTGAGAAAAGAATCATTACTGAGTCCATGTAGCCGGGAACGCAGGAAGAAGCACACGGACGGCTCGCTCCGCGACCAAGGCACCCACTCGTCCCTGGGTGCCGCGCCCACCAGAAAAGCTTGGATTTTACATTGAGACACGCGGGGAAATTGACGGGGTTGCCGTTTCGCCGCCGCATTGCTGTGCTTTGCTCGTGGTGGTTGGCGACAAACGACGGGCCTAAAGAGGTATTGCGGAGATGGGTTGGACAATGGAAAACAGACTCTATTGCGAGTTATTACCATCTGATGGTTCATTTGGAATAGCCATTAGATCAGTGGCTCTTTGCTTCGTGGGCTCTAGCTTTGAATCCGACGTCAGATGGAAAGGACGAGAGTCAAAGAAGGGAGTGAGTATATCAGTTCGACTTGTCTGTTGAGGCCTTTCCTGCCTCCCTCAGCCCTTGTCCGTCGGGATAGGTCGAACAAGAGATGTCCTGATACTGTGGTTTAGAAGCCCCAAGTGGCCCTTTGCTGAGTCTAATACCTCGACGCCCTTTAGGGCCATCTCCAGCAAGTCTTTGGATCGTCACAACGCTCAGCCAGCGGCTTCTGCTCCTCCACGGCCCTCCATCACGGTCTCTTCGAAACAGTGTTCAGTCTCGGCAGCATAAAATCAATAGCTACCAGAACAGAAGCCCCGACCCTTCTATCATAGAGTACCCTGCCCTTCACGTAGCGGATGCGCTCTATTCCATCCAGATTCTCATGCGTCAGCCTCCATGAAAGACGAGAGACGTCGGAGTGACCATTTGTGAGCTGCAGGTTGCCATCCAAAACGGTGGACCAGGTAAGGTATGACCGGATCGACATGACAAGTGCCTGGGTGCGAGTAAAGCCGCGGGATTGAGTCTCTTGGAATGACGCAGACACAGGTGCTGAGAGTGTGGTGCCTGAAGAGCATCCTCCTCCTCGTGCTCAAGCCGAGGCGTGAGCCTGCCCTGCCTCCATACCTCGCATTGGACAAGGTCAATTGTGTTGCCGAAGAGGTTGCCGTGTCCACAAAGCCAGCGGTGTCGTGATCGAGACAGGGGTCGTCGAAGGAGAGGTTGTTGCGATCGAGTTGGCTTGGATGGCGAGGCGCTTGGGTCCGTTTCGTTTTTAGAGGCTACGAGTCGATGCCTTGTTCCGACAGGACATCGATCAGACTGGCGCAAATTGCCTCTTCACGTGGACAAGACGACACATCCCCCATGGGAGTTTCCTTTGGGCATTCCTTTTGCACATGCTCTGGACAATCCAGGCCAGGACGCTGGACACCATTCAAACCATGACTCTGCGCAGCCCGCTTGTGCCGCCGAGGACTCGTCTGCCGGTGACGGCACATCTTCCCTGGCCGCTCTCCCAGCTTCCCTCACGGCTCTTGCGCTCTGCCTTTTTGGACTCATCGCCTGGCCGTCGGTTTGCATCCTCTCCCTCTTCCTCGTCGTCATCGTCGTCTTCCCACTCGCTCATTTTCTCGCCCTTCATAAACGCCTCCTGTCGCTCATGCGTCCCCTCGATCCACTGGAATATGCACTTGTAGTCGAAGACGTAGCCGGTCTGGCATGCCGCCGCCGTGGAAATCGGATGTAGACAGATAGGGCACAGGTCGCTGGATGGTGGGGCCGGGACTGTAAAAATTGGAAGGAAAGTGATGCTCGAGACCGGCGGGGTCCGTTTGGCTGGGGTGTTCTTCGTTGTCAATCTGCGCAGAGGACCTTGTGGCTCCGGCGCGGTCTTCCGAGCGAGTTCCATCCCGGAGACAACGGGAGGCGGCAATTCCAACCCTTCGGCGGCTTTGCGGGTCAACTGGCGTGAGAAATCACTGGCGTGCCACCATTCCAGGAATTTCAATGCGAAGATACTCGTGGGCAGGAGGATCCTCAAGCTTGACAGTAGCCGGGGATACAGCGTCCGCGGATTCAAGAGGCCACTCAGCCCTTGTCCCGGTCTCCCGGCGGCACTCGCGGCAATGGCCTTGTCAGCAGCCTCTGTGGCGGCATCAATAGCCTGCTGATCCGCCGCGCCCATCCTCCTCATCCGTGTGGCCACCATCCAAAGGAATGGGCTGGAGTATTTCGTGCCGTCAAATAGGTATCCCAAGCTGAAGGCCAAGATGCTGAAATAGTAGGCGGCATTCAGACTCGGATAGACATGCCGCAAAAACCACTTGTAATACCACATGATCCTTTGTTTTATCGTAGCATTTGGCGGTAGCTCGTCCCGGTCCAGATACCGCCTCCCTTCAACTCCTCCCAACCCTCCTCCTCCGCCACTGATCAGTAACCCCGCCGACGGGGCGATGTGGATATCATAGCTCTCGTCCAACTTGCGCTTGATATAAGGCACGCCGACCAAGACGGCGAGATTCTTCCAAACGTCGCGGCCTTGGAGCTTCAGCCGCTCGCGGACCTCGGTGGGGACGGCGATCTGGGTCCTCTTCACCTCGCCGCCGCGCAGGCTGAGGACCTTCTCGCGCTTGAGGCCGTAAAAGTTCTCGGTGAAGCTGCCGCCGAAGTGCTCGAGGTAGTACTTTTCGACCGCGAGCGACAGCAGCGCGTACACCTCGTCGTAGTTGTTCAGCACGCGCAGCAGGTACCGCGGGTACCGGTGCGTGAGGAGGGCGAGGAGGTATCGGATTGTGGGCGGGAGGAGTGCCGACAGCTGTTGCTCCGAGAGCAGCTCGAACAGGGACGGCTTCAGGTCGTCCACGGGCGACTGCAGCGTCGAGAGGTATTCCATGACCGATGGAGGGTTCTCTGGAGGACACTAGGGTAGTCGTGATATGATATGACGGAGGTTTATATCTCGTCACTTGGGGTGTTTCGATTCAGCAGACGACGCCGATATCATTCTTGTAATAATGACAAGACCAGATGCATAATGTTTACGCTCAATGACACGCTGGGAACTAAAACAGATGTTGGTGGAACATGATGTGGAAGACTTGATACGGACTGCGGAAGTTTCGATTTTCTGACTTGCGAGGATTCAAGCCTCGGCTCGAACTTCGGCCATAAACTGCCCGAGCCTCGTCCACAATGACATACGAGGCAAGACGCATGAAGATACGAACCACAGCATGAATATATTCAGATGTTCTCTTTCTCCTTCACCCAGGTATATAATTGTCCCAGTGCCCTGATAATGCCGCTACTACAACAAATGGAAGTCTCCAAAATAAACAAGGCCCGAAGACGTCCAGATCAAATACAATCCAACTTTGCACGATTGACAGGGGGTCGATCGATCAAATCACGCGTAGCTGGTCAGCAAACGTCTTCAACCGCTTGATCCTCTCATTCAGTGTGTTCCTCCTGGCAGTCAAATTCTGGTCTCGCTCGGCGTCTACGGCGCGCGTGAAGACGTCCTTGTCGACACCAAAGTCGCCCTGGAACAGCGTGTGGAGGGGCCTTAGAAGATGCCGCTCGACGACCTGGACGACGACGTTGTCAACAAAGACTTCGCGAGAGATCTGTTCATGAAAGAGTCAGTTTTATCCGTTTTGTCCCCGTCCGACTAGTGGCCACAAAAGAATGGTTACTCACCTCGTAGTAAATGATCATCCTCTTCCCAATCTCCTCCGCTGACTCGGCCCGGCTGTCCTGGGCCAAAACTCGATCTACATGCGCCGGGGTGAATCGTGTGGCGCTCCCAGGCGTAGGTGGTGGAGGTGGCATATTCTCCCTCTCGTTGACGCTCTCCGTTCTCGCTGGCGACGCCGCGTTTGGCATGTACGCATACTCCTCCTCCGCCACCCGGTTGACCAAAGCAAAGTTCTTGTTGATTTTCAATTGCCGCGCCAGCTTCTCAAACCGCTTGCTCTGCGTCTGTGCCGGCTGTTTCCGATCCTGTTCGATCGCTCTGAGCTCGTCTTCGGCCTTCTTTTTCTGCTTTTCAAGCGCCTGGTACAAATGGTCTTTCATGGCTTGCGACACACGCGTCGGCAGTGCAGGTAGCTCCTTGCGCAGCACATTCTCGACAATGTGCTCGACGAAGGCGACGCATCGTCGGTGGGCGTGGTCCAGATGCATCCTGGCAATTCCGTACCAGGGTTCCGAGTGCTTGCGGAAGAGCAGGTTCAGGCGATTGGGATCATAGCTGTCCTTCAGCTCGCGGCCCCGGGTCGATTCGAGCATTTGCTGGACATAAGTGCGGAAGCCATCTCTGTCCTCGGTGAGGCTCCGCGCCGATTTGGACTGACGCAGACCGTGGCCATTTAGTTCCACTTCACGTGCAAATTCGTCATGGTCCTCTTCAATACGAGATCGCAGGTAGTAATCGGGTGCTTCATTCCAGTCGGCCGCACCGTCCAGGTAAGTGCCATCTACGCAGCCCTTTGCCTGAACAGCCAGACCGGTCCGCTCTTCACAGAACCTCGTCCAGATCTCGTCGGCATCTGCCAGCTTCTCGTTAATCCCGTCCACATCTCTCATCGCTTTCTGGAGGCGGTGTAAGATGTCGTCCTGGATGATCGGGAGTTGTCTGCGGGTGTGGTCATAGTAGATGCTCCTCAGACGGCCTAGCAGTGACTCAATCCCCCAATATGCTGGGTCGACCTGGCTCCATCTGCGTTCGGGAGACATAAAGAACATGCGTTCAGCCTCGTCCCTCTCTGCCGTCGAGGTCTCGTTGCCAGTTTCGCGGACGCCACGATTTCTAAGGACATGCCAGCCCTTGGCAAAGTTGAACTCGGCCATGCTCTCAGCGCCGTTCTGGGCTTTCTTGACCCAGAAATCCTCCAAGCCGGAAGGCGACTCGACGAGATCTGGCTTCGTGATGATGCCAAAGGTCCGCTCTCCAGTGGGGTCAACCTCTTTGGCGATGGTGAGCACGGACTGCTTCTGCGGGTCGAGGTTGGCCTCTACCACAGCCAGAATCAGGGTCCGTGGCTGCTTGATCCAGTCATCGACGATGCGGCGTACCAGGTCGATATACTCGCGGCCTTCGTTGTGCGAGGCTATCAGACCCGGAGTGTCAATCAGAGTCAGCGGCTGCTGATGAGGCCTCACGACCTCGACCTTGAGCACGTCACGGGCAAATCCTCCACGCCCGCCCAGCAACCATTTCTCGGCTTCCTTGATGATTTGACCCAACTCGGCCAGTCTCCTGGATTTGAACCGGGCATTCTGGAGGCGCGCCTGATCGTCAGGATTCCGTCCCGTATCGGGGACTATCTCAATATTGATTGACTCGACATTCCCTGGACGAAAGCGTAGTCTGGTAAGAAATGCCACAGTTAGCTAAAAGGTCGTTGCGTCCACACCATTTGAGGACCAGGGGTTTCAGAAGACAAACCTACTCAGTGACAAATTTGGTACAAGTAAACTCTCCTCTCGGAAACGAAAGACCACTGATAGCCTCGAGGACGGAGCTCTTGCCCGACGACTGGCTCCCACAGACGACAAGCTGGGGTAGTTGGAGTTCCCTGTTTACGTCGAGGTCCTTGAGTTTGTCGACCAGGTCAAACAGCCGCCTTTCCTCCTGACTCTGCAGACTCTTCACGCGATCGGTGAAAGGATTCGAGACGTCGACATAGCCATTTGCGGTCGGTGTTTGTACTGGATCAGGCACGGACGTACCAAAGCCTTGCTGATAGGCCATTCGAGCGCACAAGAGAGTCGACGATGGTAAAGAAGCACGATAGATCTTGAAACAGATAGCACAGATAGCAGATGAAAATGAAAGATTTCTAGTTGTAGGGAGAGAAAGACAGGGCTCAAGTGCTGGGGATGAGCCTGAATGGACCAGCCGTGGGAGAATAACCGTTTACACACTGACAGCCTAGTACGAGGTACATGCAGTGCATACATAAACACACGTTTCTAAGGGACTAAGCCACACGTACCGGCTCCAGGTATCTTGCATGTGCCAAGGGGGGCTGATGGCCATTGCAGTTTGTTGTGTTGCCTCGCCCTGGGAGCCAGAATTCGCCATCTTGCGCGGCCCATGGCGAACCCCATGTCGATCCCACCTTTTCACACACACACAGAGACGCAAGCCACTTAGTGTGTTGCTTCGATAACAGAGCGACCTGGCCGTCTCCCGAACAGGCTACAGTGAAAAGGCGGAATTGGGGCGAGAAGGGGGATGATCTGCGGCGTGATTGGCGCCTTGTGGCTGATGGACACGAGGATGTGGTGCCCAGTGGCGACAGCGAAACGCTGCAGCCTAACAAATCAACGGCAGACGCAGGAGGAGGGGTAGGACAGAAGGACTAGGAAGAGAGGATGAGGTGATGGCTAGCGATGTGTTTCTCAATGATCGGGGCCTTTTCGATCGGTGCCTTGTTTGGGACAAAACACTGGCTGCAGAGGCTGAAGTGATGCTGAGAAAGAAAAGTTCGTCGAGTTGGATGCGCCCCGGCCCTGCGTTGACTGGTCCGTTGAATGCTGTCTGCCTTGACTCGTTTGGCCATCTGCATACTCGGTACACAGAACCATCTCATCATTGACCGGCTCGGTGTTGTATCCGTCAATCTGATCAGGGTCTGAGTCCTGGAGGCTGAACGTGGCGCATCTCTTGTTTACACTCGGTACAACAAAACAGCCCGACCTAAAGTTTCAATAGTACAAACTGCGCAGCAACGACGCCCTGCCTGATCGCCAAATCCACTCGAGTCTCGATCCGCCCCAACTACTCGTTTCCAGAAGAAAATAGGCGAAGCAAGGCATAGGTACGTACTTGTCTGTTATCGAAAACCCCATCACAGGGCCCTTGAGCCACCTGTGTTATGTATCGCCACCCATCATCCAGTCTCTATTGTCTGCTTGGCCAAGAATATCGGGAAACTGACTGATTGACTGACCGAATCCCTTGTAATATCCAGGTGCTGCACTCAGTTGCTCAGTGGTGTATCCTACCGTGGTTCGACCTCATTGAAAGGACTACCGCTCATCACGCCGCTTCTTTCACAATCTCGCCAACAGACTCACCATGGTCTCCATTTCCAGCCCCATGGACATCACATACTGCGAAGGGGCACGTCTTCTACAAGACTCACAAGCAGACCTCGAGGCGATCCTGGTCCAACGTCCCAATGGCAACCTCACCTGCAAACATTGTTACCTCGTCATCGCCGACACCGATAACCTAGGGTCCATCTCGACCGACAAGGACTGGCCACTGGTTGTGAGCTGTCATGTTCAGGCATGTGCCTCGCTGCACGATAGACATGCTGCATACTCGTGTTATGCCTGCCTTGAGAGAGGGAAGACATCCATCGAGACCTCAGCTGCGGCGCTGAAAACCCACCTTCAATCCTGTGACCTGATCAAAGATATCCAACCTACCAAGCCTCAGCAACGGCAAGCATCCGGCAGAGAAGAACAGGTCCCAGCTCCAGCTATCCCCGAAAGGCCTAAACGCAGTTCTCGTCCAGCACCAGCATCGGAGGCGACGGTAGCAACGCCCGAGAGACAAACGGCTCGAAGCAACGTGGACTCAAGTCAAAACCCTAGCAGCCGACGACCTGTTCCCTCGAATCCATTCTGGCCTGCTCCAGCCGCAGCGCCTGCTGCCCCAAACAGCCCTGTCACACCCAAGCAACCTCACCCGAACGATGTGTCGGCGGCACAATTCCCACCGCCGCGGTCGAGGAGAGAGGTCCCGGCACAAGCAGTGAGAGCTAGCCAACCCTCGAATGCACCGCTACCAGAGCAGACTGAGGCGCCCTTCCGTCCTCATGCGGATGCATCAGACGCCTTTAATGTTCCAGGCGGATTTCCGCCTCACGACGCTGCCGGCCATAACGCTCGCAGCCCGTTTTTCCAAGACTTTCCACCCACGCCGCCGCCGCACCGAGCGTCCAACTCGATGGACCAAACCGCCTCGCCGATCCGGAGGAAGGACGTCAAATTGGAGCCCAGTTCACTGCCGTTCGCGGAGTCTCGAGAGGATCGATCGATGCCGACGCGACCGACTCGAGCACCTCCTGCGCCACCGGTGTTGTCCGCGCCAGGGCCAGGCTCGGTTCCACGCTCTGACATGCGGCCAGCCCAGTCCGACGTGCCGCCTTTCCAAAACACTGTTAGCAACGGAATGGAACGTGGACAGGGTCAGCAAATCCCGCGCGCTGACCCCGCGATGGTCCAGCAACTGGCAGCCCTGGGAATCAGCAGAGCCAGGGCCGAGTTTCTGCTCAACCAGACGGGAGGGGACGTGAATGAAGCGGCAGAACTGGGGTTCTCGGAGCAGCAAGGTAGTCTGGCCAGTGGTAACCCATGGCTACCAACGGCGGCCACGCAGGCAATGCAGCCTGAGTCCGTTCCTGCATCTCCCGGTGTCGACAGACGCAATCGACGGTCAAAGTAAATGGCTTGGGGTTGAGGATGAGATGCCGCGAATGATCTAGACGGAACTTGAGCCTGCTTTGCCGAAATTTGTATCAGAGATATATATACCACATGAACGGCGTTTGTCGAATGTATTTATTGTTCATCCCCCACGATCCAAAGGGGAGCTCGTCCGAGTGAATGTGGACGAATGAATGAAATGATGTGTTCTTCCCTCACCTATAGACTTGCTCTATGCTGCATGTTGTATGTGGTAGTCAGCCTTGTGGCCTTGTGGCCTTGTGACCTTGTAGTCTCCCTCTATCACTTACTCTCTCTACGTCCAAGTTTGTGTGTGTGTGAGTGTGTGTGAGAGAGTGAGGGAGAGACTGTGACATTGGCCCACCCATCGCACCACATCACACCATGTCTTGCCTACCTGGGCACCTGGGCACCTACCCACTCACTCATCTACCTGCTGTATACCGTACCTCGCATGCTGTATACCACATCCTGTATTCTCTCGCCCGCGCACCCCGCATGTGGACACCTAGCGTGCCTAGGTAGATTACCTTGTATACAGTATACCCCATAAACCCTTGACGTCAGCTCAGCTCAGCCCAGCTCAGCTCTTCAGGGGTCCGCACCAGGAACACCAGGAAATCGAAGTCCGCTCTTCAATTTATTTTCACTTTCTCTTTCTCTTACAATTTGTGGTGTGTGGTGGTGGTGTGGCACTGTGGCACTGTGGTTGTGGAACCCCAACCCTCCACTCCATCGCCCCCAAGACCTGACGATCATTTCGACAATCGCCGATAGAGTCCTTGAAATGGGACACATCCCCAGATCGTATAAAGTATACCTCGTACATACAAATGAGACGAGTTCTTACTTGGAATATAAACTCAAAGCCCTCTCCACTCCTCCCTCCATCCCGTCCCCCCCTCTCTCTCTCTCTCTAAGGGGAACGGGAAAAGTCCGATCATGGACTGGATTATCCGTGTCCAGATCAGGATCAGCTGTCAAGGTTTCTTGTCTATCCTCTTACGTGCCTCTATACTCTCTATTTTGGGAAGGGTATAGAAAGTTGTGTGGATGGGCGTGTGGATAGGTGGGTGATCTTCATCCAGGAACTCTCGGATGGTGGCTCCAGGTGGCGTATGTTCTACCTCCCTACCTGTATACCGACCTGTTCTCATCAATACCGAGAATTTATGTAGTTGTTCTGGCGCAGGACATACGTAAAAAAGTCACGAGGATGCCTTGAAAGTTGTTGAGCCAGAGCATAGGTCACCGTCAGCAACCAGCCGTCTTACCTATGTATATGCTTGTACCACGAAACTCCTAGAAATTTGTCATTCGTGTCGATTCAACACGGATGAGTAAGGACATAGCGAGCCATATCTGTAGCCATCTATATTCATAGTCAACCAGGCTGATCCTCTCCTCAACCGGGTATACTCAACAACCTTCCCCACGGAAGAATTTGTGTTGGACAAAGGATTTGGAAACAGACCCGAGCAAGTTTTTCGTGTTCCAAATAAATAAAAATAATTTCCTCGACTTACTTGCCTGGCCTGCCTGAACCTTTGCTTTCGTTCCATCAAAAGCTTACCAAGTATACACGTACCACGTATCACGTACCGCCTTGCGTGGCAGGTAAATGCCGCGCGCCTGATTCGCAGTGACAGTACGTGCGCACTCTGCCCCATCCCACGGCATAGAATGCATGGTCTTGCTTCTTGCCGCATAAATGAGCCAGCCAAGGTTGAGTGCAGTTTGGCTCAACCTGTCAATACTTGTTGACGAAGCTTTGATTCCCTTAGATTCCTTACTTTCCGTCAGAATTCAATGCCGGCACCACCGGATCAGCACTGTACATTACCTGGGCAGCCTAGGCAAGCTGGGGCCCTAGACTTCCTAATCGGGCTTTATACTTTATTGATACTTTTGCAGCACAGAGACACAAATTGCCATCCACAAACTTGTACGCAATTGTTGCCGGATATACCGAGTACTAGTTATTCCTCTGCTGCTAATAATTAATAGCTACCATCCATTACATGTCGCATATCCTCGGAACCTAACCATGGTGCACGGCCCGGCACAAATACAAATGCACCTGTGAGCAACAAAAACGTACAGCGACGCAGCGAAACTCCACATTGTGGGAGAATTGCCATTCCCTTCCGGTGGCCTCTGCCTCCTTGACTCTTGTCCCGCTCCCGTCCAGATATTTGCGTAAACTGCACTACATGTGCAAGCCATGAAACCTAGTTGTGCTGAACCATTCCATGCTCGTCAACTCGTTGCGAAGCCCAGTCAACTAATCGCTAGCGACAGAAACTCCGGAGCTGCATAACCCGAGTCCAGAAAAATCAAGGAGCTTGCCTGGGCATCCATGCATCCTGGACGAGCGCAGCTGAAGTGGCGTTGATAAAACGCCAAATGGCTTCGAGTAGGTGAGCAATTCGGCCACTCACCAATCCGCACCGCCACACGAAGCGGGGTAGAGGCAGCATTCTGAGAATTTCTGACCCCGCCCCGCGACATGCTAAACTGTCTTTGACAGCAACGACTGCACGTCTGATTGACCGAGTGGTCCTGCGTGTTCCGCAAAGTAGCAGAAGCCAGACACAAAAATTGCTCTGAGGGGTATCATCGAATAGAAAGCCGCCCTGTTCCGGCAAAGATGAGAAGGACCAGAAGGACCTGCTCGCCTGGGCCGGGGGTCCCCAGGCAGCAAACTGATTCCGCGCTAAGTGGTACATGGACTAAAAACAATGATGATTGGCTGTGGACGCCTGGATTTTTTCTCCTCAGTCGGTGGGCGCCGGAGTGTGCACCTCAAACTCTGCAGACCGGTTGAACTCTGGTAGAGGCGGGTGCAGCATTTCGTCGTCGGTCGACCCTGCAAAGAAGTTGTCGGGCATCACGGGCAGACTGCCAAAGTTCACCGGCGGAAATTCTCCAAAATGCTGACTGGCGAGGGCGAGTTGTTGACTGAAGAAGTCGTTGCCAAGTGCGTTGAGGTGGGCTTGGATCTCCTCGGGGGACTTGCACCCTTCACAATTGGCATGTGCAACAAGGATGGCGTTCATCTGTTGGATTTCATCCTTCATGCGCATCACTTGATCCTTGAGGTAGGCATTCTCGATGGCTTTCTCCTGCGAGTCTCGTTGTAGCCGCTCCGTCCTCTCTTTTTTGTTGATCCGGCACTTTGCCGCAGCCAGTCTGTTCTTCTCCAGCGACTGTTTTCTCTTCTGCTCCTCAGGCGAGTCTCCTTGTTCGATGGTGGTGGATGCTTTGCGTGTCGCCTTTCGCTTACGCCCAGTGGTCGTCTTCGACGGCGTGGGGTCGGTCTCTGTACCTTTAGGCCGGCCCTTTCCTCGTCTTCGTGGCTGTGGGTCTGCTGCTTGAGATTTGGGCGACAATTTCTCCTCCTTCGAGTCGGTACTGTCAGTCGAGTTCGACCGTGGCGGAGTCATTTGACCATATCTTGCCACTGCCGTCGAGGTGTTTGGCAGTACCGACGTGATAAACTTGTCCATCTCGTAGGCATCAAGATTGATCGGGGTTTCTGTCGAAGGCTTCAAGTCATCTTCCCGCTCAAACTCGGGCCATTGAGACATGGGATAATCATTCGGTGGACTGTAAACTTGGTAGTCATTGAGTGCCAGAGGCTTCTGTGGTGGATCAAAGCCGAAGTCGTCGTCTTCAAGTTGGACGGGTGCGAAGTTGGAGCTGGAAGGAAACTGGTAGTCACGGAATGTGTAGCCATCCAAGTCACTGATGCTGGGGGTGGCGGATGAAACGCCAGCCGACGACAGGGCTGAGTGAGTCGCGAGGGTTGCCATGGTTGACTGTCGGAGACTGTTGTCTCTATGAGGCGCAATACTCTTGAAAGGTTTTAGAGCTCCAATGCTCCAGGAACAATGTGGCTTGTACACAGGTTCCGTTTGGATGAGACCCGATTGGCACCTAGAGGTGTATCCCTTTAGTTCGCTTGTTTGTCGGATGGAGGTTGTGTTTGCCTTGGACGTATCTAGAATGGTGGCACAGAGGAGGAATATATGATTGCTTTGGTAGGAAGCGGAGGGGGCTTGAAGCTGAAGAATGTTCCAGAGGGAAGAGGGGGGGAGTTTGCAGAGGAAAAAGCTTCCAGAGACAGGTAGGGCGCGTAGCTTGGTTCGCAAGGGATCGAGTTTTATTTAGGATCAGCAATCGGTGGGTATCAACGGGGGTTGGAATTTGAAGCCAGGTATTTCGACTTGGAAACTGAGGATGGATCGGAGAAAACCACAAGGCAGGCTTTCGCTCGCCGTGAACGTATTGAGGACTGTAGGTGGACGCGGTGGGCTGTCTAGCTACACAGGTGGGCCGCGGCTTGTGGAGCGAGATGGTGAGAGGGAGAAAAGAGAGAGATCGACCGATGGCCCTAGTCGTGGCGGCGGATGCTTGACCCGGTGAGCTGGTGGAACTGCGGGCTGAGAAGTGGCTTTTATTCTTTCTGAGGTGTTTGCTTTCAGCTGGGAAGCGGCCCAAGTGGCTGCGACGCGGCAAGGGTGGAGTGGCTGATCTGAAGTTTAGAAAAACCTGGTAGGGCCCAAAGGAATAAACTTCCAGGAGGGAAACGAAGGAGGGGTGGCTTGAGGGCTAGAGAGGAGAGAGAGGATGGGCAACTGTAGGAGAGCAAATGGGAATCACGAAGAGAGGCGCAGTTTTCCTGGAACGGCATGTGAAGGAAAAGAGCGGGATTGAGGTGTTTCTCAAGTGCGGGGCAGACCAAAAGATGCAAGGAAAAACAGGTTGGACGCATGGATGAGATGGCGTGTGATGGCCACATTGGGTGACTGACTGGAAACAAAGAGCGCAGGTGGAGAGAAACGGCCGTGCAGAGCCACTGTTTGTACATACAGACACATGCAGCCACTGCAGGCCAAGTGATGGCAATAGGCGGTAATCCCCTCAAACAAAGAAACCTCACCTCCCCCCTGTCTCGCTCGTGTGGTTCCCTAACATTTAGGTTCCTACCTATCTAGGTACTGTTTGTAGTTGGCATGGGCATGGGGCATGTCACCGCTGCAGAAGAGCGAATTACCCGGGTTACGGATTGGGGTGTCTTGATCGAGCATCTGTGCCTGCATCGATGCCGCTTCCCAATGGCCCCTCATGCCCCTCCGCTTCTCTGACCTTCTTTAGCCTCTCTAGCCTCTCTAGGGCCCCCTAGACACTTCGTTAGGCTGCCCTGGCTCCCCCAGCCCATGGATCGCTTCCCGGCTATGTCATCGACGATCGGGCATGGAGATCGGCAGAGATCCCCCAAGTTTCTGGGTGCGTTTCTGGTCATGGGAATTCATCAAAGTGCCATCTGGCCAGGCTGATCCTCTCGCTACTGGGCGCCACTTGGGCCCTGTCATCCGTCGAATCAACACCCTGTGTAAGCCCGAGCAAGGAGCTGACAGGCTCAGTATCGACGATTTGCCCCCCTTTGATCGCCCTGCCTACATAAACGTCCATGTCCCATCCTACGACTCCCTCGGCTATGTCAACTTGCAACGAATCGCTGGTCTCACCCTCGATCTCGAAAGCCAAAGCCTCGTGGCAGCCAAAGACGAGGAGAGGCTAAAGGAGAAAAACTCAGTCGGACATGGGACAACTCCTGGTTTATCCTTTGTGGCTCTAGGAGCTCGCATTCTTCTTGACCTGTTGAACAAGGACGGAACAAAGAGCACGGAAAACTCCTGTCCTCGAGGTACGACGAGGGTGACAACAATGCGGTGACTTATCGGCCATGTAATCGTGTACGTCATCCTCGCATCGATGGTGCGCTTCTGTCCCGGACATGAGATCCGGACGTGGCCACCATTTGCGTATCGCGACGCGGATGATCGAGCCGCGCAGGCAAATCAAAGATGGAATCTGCTGTTGATTGTGTCCTTGTTGGGTATCTTATTATTTTATGGTGTTTCTCCGAGCCTCAAGAGTCCCACTATTAGCCAAAGGTATGCCGTCATAGCTTGCACCAGGATCACCCAGATGGCCCAATTGTTGAATCACTTTCCACATGCTCCTTTGCTATGCTTGGACAAATCCGCGCAAACCACCCCATCCTTTGTTCTACAATAACATCATCGTCAGCCCGATCAACCCGGCGCCCACCGCGGAAACAAACTCCCAGCGAGTGGCTCCCACGCTTGCGCCACTGTTGCTGTCATTTGTTGCACTGGCACTTCCGCTGGCGCTGTTAGACGCCGTACCACTTGTTCCCGATCCCGTTGACGTAGCTGTGGATTCAGTTCCGCTTGCCCCAGTGGTGCCAGCACTAGTATTGTCGCTAGAATCGGCGAACGCGGTGATGGTCACTGGCATGAAAACACTATTTTGCGGTGAGTATAAGCAAGATATCCCAGAACATAAGACTTACATTTCCGACTGCGAAAGGACCGTGACGCTGGTCGTTGTGATGATCTGCGTATCAGTGTCGGTTGCCGTCAACGCATCCGCATCCGTGGCGGTCTGCGCGTTCAGGACGTCTGCTGGCCCGATATATGTCTCTGTGCACGTAACGGCTGTTGTTCCTTTCACATTGCAGTCGAGCACCAGCGACAAAGGATCGAAAGTCTCCAGTGCCTTGAAAGTCGATGGGCCGAAGGTAATGGTAACCGCATCTGGGCCGAATCCGCATTCGCTCATATCAGCGTTGGAGGGACACGAGATTGCCATTGTGGTCTTGGAAGCATCCTACATTGAAAGGTTAGTCTGTGCATATCCAGCAGATGGCAGGGAATATGGACATACAGAAGCAATGAGGGACCCCATAAGAGTTTGCTCGTCCGCACCAGGAATGAGAACATTGACAACAGACGATGTTTGAGCGCTGACTGCGGTAGCCATCGCCAGCGCGAGGGCAGATTTCTTCATGGCGACCATCTTGTTCGAGGTTATACGCTCTTCGGGGCTTGCTTGGGAAGTGAGTGCTTGTGGAAAGTCTATCGGATGAGGCCCAACAGGAACATATAAAAGTCAAAGACGTTGAATGAAGAAAAAAACCCACAGGCGGTTGGAGAAAAGACGCACAACTCATACGAGGAGTTTCTCTCTCCAGGCAAGTTTGACCCTTTTTTTCCCAGGCCCCGTAGTATGTTGGGGGAAATTGGCATGTGTCAATGGCGTCGGGGCCACTGTTTTCAAACTGCCCCTTTTCGCCTTGGTTCGACCACTCGGCAAGCTGTGCAGGCGCCCAAATCGACCGGAATGTGCCCTGACCAGTAAAACTAATCGGGAAGCCGATTAGAGAGTCCCCACCAAGCCCGGAAGCGAAACAGATATGCTGCTAGCTCGACAAAACGGTGTTCGTTGGTGCCCCCGGTTTGCTCAGATTCTTTGATTCCATGCTGTTTGACTGCCACTGCCCAGGACGGCGGTTGCTACCGAAAGCTTAGATCTTTGACTCACAATGCACCGAACACATCTGTACTTGCGGGTGAGAGATTCGGCAAGACTGACGGCCGTCATTTGAGTCGATATGCTTTCAGGGCAAGCGAAATTTGACAACGGAATGAAAAGTTGGTAGGCCGTTCAAAAAGGGCGCCGGTGAATCGTGAATTTGTGTCTGCTTGCTCCCGAGACAAGCACTATGGCTAGACGACCCGGTTGGGTTAGACCAGATGACCGCCGTTGATACCAGGGGTTTAGCTGCAAACTTGAGATCGAGGTCAAACGCAGCTATGCCGTTTTGAATGATTACGATCATGAATACTCGGTACTCCTGGAGTCGTAGCAGCTAGGAGAAAAGCGCAGTCAAATGCCAAGGTTTCACCGACGCTTCAGGAAATGAGGCGCTTGACCGTTCCTGGTCATTCTGCTCACGTGCCATGCTGCCGATGGGCTTCCACTCTCGGGTACAGTTGCCTGCTACTGCAAACAGCCAAGTTCGAGTAGGAATGCTTCGAAAGCCATGGTAAGCTCACTCAGTGTCAGATTACCCAGGAAGATGCGTTGTGGAGTTGGTAAATGGCGGGCAGTGATCCGGGGCACCAATGCAACCGAGCTGAGTCACATGACACTGGCATGAATACCCCTGACTTTCTCCCCAGACACATGAGGTAGTGAGTATGAGGCTCTACCGAGTACCTTGTGCCTAAAAGTCCATCGAGCTACGTACTCTGTAGGCATCAAGCAATGCCCTTCTAGCACTGTCAATTGCTGATGGGAGTTTTTGTTGTCTCAATTTTCGGTAGGTACCACCTACGAGTCCTCAGAAGCCGTCGATAAGTGGCACTGCTGAGTCACTCCCAATTTCCTGGTTTCTGATGGTTTCAACTTGCTGCTCTCGGTACTCGGTACTCGCGAATGTCCAGATGGGTTAATGATCGTTCTATTTGACGCTCTTTGGAATTGCTAGTTGCTGAATCTTATGAGGCACGGTCATCGCCGGGAGCAGTTCCACCTTCTCGACTCAGTAACAATTCCTCTGCTTCTCCATCTGCTTCACTCAGACTGTGAACTTTCCTCATGTCGACGCCCTGAGTACCACTAATGCCTCCGTTTCCATCATGCTTGACCAACGTCTTGGCTCTGGTCAATACCTTATCCAGCCATTGCTTAACGTCCTCGCATCCCCATCGGCGCCGGGGGTCTCGTTCGATCATTCCGGATACGCATTGAACAACCATTTCACCTGTACCTATTTCGTGTCCTTCATTGTCGATCTTTTCAGCAAGGCCAGTTGGAGTCCGGCCTTTTTGTAAGTCACGCAATACATGCATCCGTTCTGTACTGGTCAAACAGGGCCACAATAGTTCGACAAAAATGACACCAAGCGCAAATACATCAATCTTCTCGTCCACTTGTGCGTTGGCCTTTGCTTTGCCTGTGGAATCAGCCCAGGGCGGAGGTCGATAGTATTCTGTCCCAACCATCCTGTTGGTCTTTCCGCTGCCATCTCTGTTTGTCTCGAGGCCGTCTTCTTTAGCCAACTGTGCAACAAGTCCGAAATCACCAATTCGGGGATTGACGTAATATTCACTGTAATCTTTGCAGCCGAAGCAGGATCCTACATTGTAATATCCGTCCGAGACCAACCCGACCGTGGGAAAGCTCAAGCCAGAGATGAAAATATTGGATGGTTTGATGTCGCGATGTATCAGTCCTTTTGCATGGATATACTGCAAGCCGCACAAAATGCCCATGAGCAATCGTAGAGCGGGAACCAGGTGAAAACAGTGTCTGCGGATGGGGTTGCTGGGTGCACTTCTGGCGTTGGCTGGCGCTGGTGCCAGATACTGTGCGAGAGTCATGGGATATACTGACATCTGCACATGCAGTACATACACGGATTCATCCATGGCTGGATCGTGTGAAGCGCTGGCCCTTGCGTTGCCATCTGTAAAAATCTCGGAAGCCCGTGCGGAGGATTGGTCATGATTAGTCTCACTGACGGATTGCGTTGGGTTGGCGACACTCTCCACGTCCTGAGCAGGAGTGTTCGGTCTACTGTCGAAACCGAAAATGATACCATCGCCGTGTTCCAAGAACTGTCGTTGGGTCGCGACATTTCGATCAACTGGTCGCGAATGTCTCGGCCGATCGGCAATGAGTCTCCTGCCCTGAAATGTGGGGCTTTGTTTGGTCATCTGGGGTGCTATTGCAGATGTCCCTCTCGGCTCTTCTATCCATGTTGCATGGTAACGGACAACGTTGTTGTGCTCGAGCTGTGCCAGGGCCTGAACTTCTCGGAGTATGTTTTCCAACTCTTGATGTCCCGATTCCCTGTATCGCTGCGACAACCGAGGGCTTAAAGGAATCTTCTTGACGGCGTATTCCTTTTTGTCAAATACGTTGTAAGCATGGTATACTCTACCAAAGCCTCCTTTTCCGAGTAATCTTAGTTGCTGGAAGCTGGACTCGTAGTGGCTGCGATGGGACGTCGGCGTAGATAGGACTAGATCAGTGTACGGCGAGATATGAGTCGGGCTGTGCAGAGATAAGTTGATCAGGTCTGATGCGAGCAAGTTGGAAACGAGAGATTGTGGCTGATTGTTGACGTTGCTCGGTGAAACTTGATGTTCGAGCAATGGTCGAGTTGACCCATGGAGGAGATCATGATTCTGAACGCCTCCGAGTGCAACACTCTCGATGCCCGCCAAGTAGGCCGCTCTTGTCTGCTCGTTGTCCCTTCCGTTGGTGGTCGGTATGATGCCAGTTAGTGATAACGATTGACTGAGTTGTTCGTAGAGCTTGTCCGCTAATGGCTGGACTTCCGCCGATGTTCTGGTGAATCCGGATCCTGGCCTTGCATTGTTCAGGATCTCGCAAGCTCTGCTCCTGGCAAAATCTTCGAGCAGTGCATTGAGAAGGTTTGTCCGGTGCTGGTCGACGTTGGATAAGGCACTTGTCGGGGCATCCACCTCATCTGCGAAGGAGATACTGCCATGACTGGACAGTGATTCAGTGATAATGGTCTGGCCTTCCTCAATGCTTTCGATGACTTGATGTGATGGGGCCTCATCCTCCCCTGACCTATCGCTGTCAGAGCTGGAGCTATCGTCGGTAGGTCTGCGGAAAAAGGCAGAACTCATCCCTTTGATCAGAACCAATCGACCTCGCTGTCAGCAGTTGATCAAGGACAATGACCATGGCACGAAGGTGAAGCAATGCTGAAGGGATTTGGAGATGGTGGGCTTTGTGTGAAGAGATAGACGGCCGTAGATGATCGTAAGAGTTTGGCCAGTCGTCTATACTACACCGTTGACACGACCGTGTTGTAGCCTTACACGCGATGCAGGATACTGGACACCTTGTCGGCAGCCATGCATGGCTTGGCGAAGCGTGCCACGCGATTCGATGCCGTTCGGTCTCGATTGGGAAAACCGAAGGGCGTGCGCACTTTGACAATGTCGATAAGGCAGGCACCAAGAGTGAGAAGTGGTTCAGCCTCGATCTACACCAACTTGCATATGAGAGATAAATTGTACAATTGGAAGACTAAGAAGGCCTTAGATGCTCTAGCCACTTGGTAACTGAGTCGGAGAGCACGGGAGAAAGTTATTAACCATGCGCGCTAGTTATTAGTGGTGCTAGTTGATGTCGTATGATATCATACACAGCACGTGAGAGACAGTTTAGCGGATGAGGCTGTGCAAGGCTGCACGAGGCTGTACGAGGCTGTACGAGGCTGTACGAAGTCCTTGAAGACAACTTATAGACAACTTGTTCAATGGATGCAATTAAGCCTTTCATCGTCAAAGAGAAATCAGTGCTGCCAGTGGTATCGTTGTTCCTCTCTTTGAATGCCTGCATCATTCCTCATCGTTCACGTCGAGGTCTTCAAAGTCATCCAGGAGTTCCTCCATATTGATCTGAGGCACCTCATCCTCACTGGTCTCCCCAGTCATCATGCTCATCTCGTCTGCATCCTTCTTCTTCTGATGCTTCGCTTTGTACAACGCTAATGTTTGCCTGAGCTCCACATCTTCCTCCACATCTCGCAAGAACATTTCATAATCGGCATCCATCCTGTCCTGGTCGGCCTTCTTCGGCAATAGGTCGCCCTCATCTTTTGCCATTCGCTTGAGCCTCCAGTTCCTGCTCTTGGGCTTCTTCTTCCTTGCGTAGAATTTCTTGACCAGCATCACATCTGGAATGGTCGACGAATAGTTGTTACTTTGCTCCAACTCTTCAAACTGCGGATTGTTGAAATTCGTTCCCGTCAAGTGATAACCAAGCACCGAGTCCCCAGCATGCAAAACTCCACCGAGATGTGTTCTGCAGTAGTAGGTTTTGTCGTTGACACCGAGATCTGAAGCTCTTGCTACCGTGGCCTCCGCCCCAAAAAAGCGACCATTTTGGGTGCCTAACGGTTCGATGTCAAGTACAACAAATTCCACGAGTTCTTGCACATCTGCAAGGCTTTTGAAAGGCGCTCGCCAGTACGTCGACGTTGGCATGTCTGTTGTCTGTAGTGTAGTCGGATCCAAGAGGTTGATTGACGTCCCCACTCGGTAACAAAGGGTCAAAGGTGCAATATTGCCGATGGACTTGGCCATCTTGATGGGTAAAGCAACTAGATCGTCTTTGCATATTGGTAATAGTTCGCAAGAGTATGTGAATTTGTATGATTTCGTCGAGGTATGGATATCCATGGAAATAAGTTCCTGAGATTTCTTGACTTTGATCGGTGTCGTGGAGGTGAGGAAGTCGACAAACTTTTCTGCATGATTCCGTTGAGAGAAATAGAAATCGAGCCCGTCCTTGACCTCCTTGATGTTGATCGTGTCCTTGTGCGCTTGGTGTTTGAGAACCAGCTGCTCAAGGTACAAGAAGGTTCGTTTATGAGGCACTTTCTGTCGAACTTGGACTGAGGCTCGCCAAACATTGGGTGTATATGATTTCGCGCACTCAGGGCATTGTTGAAAAGCGACCACGTACTCCACCTCGAAAGTCTGTTGCAGGATCGTTCCTTCATATGCCTCTTGTTGAACCGTGATCTTTACCTTGATCCGCCTAGAATGGGGTTCCGTCCAGAGGAAATTAGCATCGATGATTCGAACTTTGTTAAGACCTCGGAGTTTCCGCAGACAGAGAGCGAGCAACTCTCTACTCTCTGGAGCTGCCGAAACCCACTGTGAAGGTGGGCTGAGCCATCTTTCACAATCTCGGCAAGTGTGAAGTACACCTTCTCTCTGAATGCCTTCCGATACGTCTATCGTGAGTTTGATACAGTCATAACATAGAGCACCTGCAGACGCAGTCCCATCGATGGGAGCGCCACAGTTACAGCAGAGAATTGTCGCCGCTTGCGGCTTGTTCACTGAAGGCAGTGCGACTGGAGCGTCAAGGTCCATCGACATCGTGAAGCCCCTGAATGTTGTCTGGGTACACCGTTGACACGAAATCACAGCCAAGAGAACGAGAGTGGTAAAGAGGGAGGAACAGAGAAGAGAAGGCTGAAGAATGAGAAAAAGTGACTGTCTATTATTCAGAATTCGCCTCCCGCTGGTTGAGCCCGATCGCCGCCAAGAAAATATTCTTGCCGCAGCCTTACACGTGATAGTCTTCGCTCTACCTTCACTTTTGAGACATCAGGCTGAAAGCTGGGTATGGGAGGAAAGCCTCGGAGGGACGGACAAATCGCCGAGGTTCGTCCTTCGCAGTCCATTACTCAACAAACGGAACTCCCTCGCCCATCTGTGTTCAATGTAATTCTCGTTGTCGCTTTTCGCCGACATGAAAGCCTGTTGTGGGAAATACACGGCCTATCTTGTGGCACCCAGCGCTATTGCCAGAACAACGGCGTTTGCAGCAAGATCCAGAGCTCCATTTTCTCCATTGGCACTGGGCCGTCGAACGGTAGGGTCTGATCAGTAAGAGACAGTCCATTTGAGCTCACAGGCAATGCAGATGTCTTCCACGGCCATTAAGTACGGCGGACTGCCGAAAGAACTTCCCACAGATGATCCTGACGACGTCCTGTTCAACTCTCTTTACGGTGTGCGAACCATTGAGTTGAATCGGCCCAAGAAGCTCAACTCCCTCAACGGCTCAATGGCGAGGAAAATACTCCCTCGACTTCGGGAGTGGGAAAAATCGCAAATGGCCAACGTCGTTCTGATAAGCGGTGCTGGCCCGAAAGCTTTCTGCGCAGGCGGTGATGTTGCAGAACTGGCGTCACAGAATAAACAGGGACCAGAAGGTCAAAAGAAGTCTTCGGACTACTTTGCTCTTGAATACAAACTGGACCATCTGATTGCCACATACAGCAAGCCATACATAGCGATCATGGATGGCATAACAATGGGCGGTGGTGTTGGTCTTTCGGTCCATGCACCTTTCCGAATTGCGACTGAGAAGACCGTCTTTGCCATGCCCGAGACCACCATTGGGTTCTTCCCTGATGTTGGTGGGAGTTTCTTCTTGTCTCGCCTGGATGGCGAGATTGGTACATATCTAGCCCTGACTTCTGAGCGACTCCATGGTGTGCAGGCCTTCTACGCTGGCATCGCGACACATTACGTCGACAGCTCTGTCTTGGCACAATTGACAACTCGACTCTCCGAGCTGGTCTTTAAAGACTACGCTGATCTGAACGAACGACTGGAACTTATCAACTCCACGATCTCCGAGTTTTCAAGCTCGCTACCCTCACCCGATTCCTACGAAGCTGCCAAGTATGGGAACCTCACCGGTGCCTTGCGAGAAGCTGTCGATCGGGTCTTCAAGTACAACACAGTAGAGGAGATCTTGGGCGCTCTCCAGAAGGAGGCAGAATCAGCAGACGAGAAGACCGTCGAGTGGGCGAAAGCAACCCAAAAGACCATTGCTATCCGATCACCCACGAGTCTGCGTGTCACGCTACGTCAGCTCCGAGAAGGAAAGCACTGGAACATAACTGAGACCTTTATTAAAGAGCACAAAATGGCCAGCAGATTCATGGCACACCCCGACTTTGTGGAGGGTGTCTCTGCACGCCTGATCAACAAACCGCCCACGAAACCTGTATGGAATCCTGCCACGTTAGCAGAGGTCTCGACGGCCGATGTGGACGAATTCTTTGTCGCTCCTACGGAGCAGGAGGCTCTGCAGTTGGTGGAACCCCATGAAGGAGCACTTGATCAACACTACACAGACTACCCACACGCCAAATTTGCTTTGCCTCGGGAGTCGGATATTGAGGCTGTTGTCAAGGAGGTAGGCCAGGAAGGTTCAAAGAGGGTGATTGATGATGTGTTGAGGCTGTGGAAGAACAAAGCTGGTGTGAGAGAGAAAGTCCAGGAAGTAATCGCGCGGAAGACTGTCTCCAGTGACGGAAAAGCACTTCGCTGGAAGGGCGAGAGCGCTCGTCTATAGATCCCGTACATAAAAGAGCCGATAGACAATTTGTAGCAATATGAAGAAAATATCTCCCTCAAATATACTCAGTACGGGGTATGGCTATTGGGACTGGCCACTCATTATTGACTCTTATCATTCCCGCCGGACTCTCTCCAACCAGAAATTTTTCTCCGCATTCTCAGTCACCACCCACAACCACCTCGACTCTTACACATGTGGATGGCTTTCCCACCTTTTTGGTCTCTTCACGACTACACCTCGCCATAAAAATAGCAGCAAAGAGAGAGATATCTTCTCATTCCCCTGTTTCGACAAGACTAGATCGTTTTGACATCCTGATACCATGAGTTCCGAGCGGAGGAATACGTACCTCGACGCCGGATTCTCAGACGAATCCGACCAGGATGCGGGCTACGATTCCGAGGCGGCCGAAGTGTCGAAGGCCGGGAGGGCAAGTAAGAGGCGGAAGATCGAACGCGAAAGCAGTGACGAGGAGGAAGAACTGGATGCGTACGATGTGAAGCGCAGACGAACCCCGGAGGAGAAGAAGAAGAAGACGGCGAGCGGCCCCTCCGCTACGGCCCAGCCAGAGTTCGACGACCGTGACAATGTACATGAGAATGAGGAGGATTACGACGATGGCGAGGATGCAAAGCATGTTGAGAAGCAAGGTCGGGATGCAGAAGCGACCACCGCTACAGCAGAAAACCAAGAACGCCAGTCCGCGTCCGCGACAAGCGAGCCTACAAACCAGAAGAAACCCAAGAAATCCAAACACAAGGAGACAACTCCCGGCGTGGTGTACCTCTCATCCCTCCCCCCGTACCTCAAACCGTCTGCGCTGCGTAACCTCCTGGAACAGCGCGGCTTCTCCCCGATCAAGCGGCTCTTCCTCTCCCCCGCGTCGCGGCACGCACACAACTCGAAAAAGAACTCGCGCCAACTCTACACGGAAGGCTGGATCGAGTTCTCATCCAAGAAGGTCGCTCGAAGATGCGCTGAGACTCTGAATGCCACGACCGTGGGCGGGAAGAAGGGCGGCTATTACAGAGACGACCTGTGGAATATGAAGTACTTGAAAGGGATGGCGTGGGAGGAGCTGATGGCTGGCATCAGGGAGGAGAAGAGAGAGGAGGAGGGCAGAAGGGATGAAGAGAGGAGGACCATCGCCCGGGAGACGAAGCGCTTCATCGAGGGCGTGGAGGAAGGGAGGAGGGTCGAGGGAATCAAGAGGAAGAAGGCTAGCAGGAAAGGAGACCGCGAGGAGACGGGAAATTCTGGTGGAGGTGACAGTGCTGTGGATGTCAGGAGGACATGGAGGCAGACCGAGGTCAAGGGCAAGAAGAAGGGCCAGGACTCTGCTGTGCCCGAGAGGATAAGTGACGATGTGAAACAGGTATTGAACAGGATCTTCTAAACGCTTGCGCCACCTCAGAACTACCATCAAATCTCGAAGGACCAGCCCGCAAGATGTCTAACTTCAAGGCAAAGAACACGTTCACATAATTCACATCATGTCATCTCTTCTTTGGGAGTCGAAGCGGATGCGCTTCCGTGTTCAAGACGAACTCGTCGAGACTCACAACGCTGGGATCCTCGAATAACAGCCAAAAGTACTTGAGCGTCTCCGCCATCCAGAAGCTTTCCATCTTGTCCGTCTGCCGTGGCTCCGCCTGCGTCACGTCCTCGATGCAAGAATACCCAAACTCTGTGCGCGTGTGCTTGGTGATGGCCTCGAACATTTCCCACGCACCTTCACGCAGGGTCTCCTCCCCAGTGATCCGGTAGAGGACGAAGATCGACTCAATCGCTTCGGGGCGCAGTTCGTAGGCACGGTCGGCGATGGCCGAGACTCCCTTGGGCAAGCGCAGCCGCTGAGACTTCGTGCGAAGGCGTTCGTCTTCCGGAAGCATTTTGTCCTGGGGACTCTCGTCCTGGGTGTTGAGGAGGAGCATGTGCTTGAACCAGGCCTTCTCATCCCATTCGCATGGAGTTCCGTCGGTTGGACACGATATAAGGTGAAACATCTCTGGCATGATGGCCGTCGCAGTCTGCTTGTACGCCCACATGCAGCCGCGGACCAATCTCGTGGCCGTCTCCAGATCTTCAGGGGAATTGAAGAGCTTTGCTGCCAAAGCGAACATGCCTCCAGCGAAGCAGGCGAGGTGCTGAGTCTGAGGCGTCACTTCGGTGTGGCCCGGCCTGTAGGCCTTTAATGTACCTGCCATGAGAATGTCTTCGTTGGTAGGAGTCATGGGCTTGAAGAGAATGAACTTCTTTATGGGATCTTTGGCGATTTCATAGAGTCTCTTGTACTGCTGATTGGCGCCGCTGAGCAGCTGATATTCTTTGGGGAAATACTCGTAGACAGAATCAGCAGATGCGCCGATGGAGAAAGAAACCCCGTCACCGAACCAGCATTCTCTCGCATTGACGATGTGTGGGAAAAGGCCCGGTGCCCTTGTGTAGTTCTGCTGGCTCTCTAGGCAGTCGGAGATGCGCTGTACCGCGTCGTAATACTTGGGCTCTCCGGTCAGCTGCGTGAGCCTGGTAAACTCCAGGCTCAACGTCCCGAGTTCAGCAACGAGCGTGTGGCCTGATGCACCTTCTACACCAATCTTTGACCACTTCGTGACCGGCATGTGGTTCGGAGTGTCGAATGCACCGTACAGCATTTCACCAAGCTCTATGGCTTTGTCGAGCAATTCGGGATATCGTCGATTGCTCACATCGTACGCACCGAGCAGCCCTCCCAGGTGCCGGATCGTTGTCTCGAAGACATTGATGGGCAGTTGGGTGGCAGTGTTGAAGTCAATGCCGACCACAGCATGGACTGCGGCCTCAAATTCGTCTTCCATACCCATCAGCCAGAGCGTGTCTAACGCATCTACCAGCGTCAAAGACCAATCCCCGAAAGACCTCCTATAACCTCCCGTGACTGGCGCCAGCTCATCTTGCAGCCACGCCCTCTCTCGGTATCCATTCCACGAGTGCACCATGGCCTCTTTGATAGCCTCTAGACGAGCCAGTCGAGACTCTCTAGCAAGCCCGTCCTCGGCCTTGAACTCATGTTGGATTCTGGGGAGAATTTGAACCCCTGTCGGAAGAGGAATAAAGCTGGCAATGGGGTTGATCAGATGTCCCTTCCCGGGCTTCAATGGCCGATGAGGATGGACTCCTTCATTCCCAAACGATACCCTGGGCAGAGCGTCTAAGGCTGATCCACGAAGATGCAGGAGGAGGAAGAACAGAGTGCACGCAACAGCCACCACGAGCACCAGCCGTTGCCTGCGAACTGCCATCGCATGGTAGGCGCAACACGGTCCAATATCACTCGTACAGTGTCCCCACTAGGTCATACTGACAGGTGAGGTCTCCTTGTGTTCTCTTGCTTCTTGCCTCGTCAGAACATGTGCAGGTCCGGCCTTGTCATCAACTCTCTGATTGCGCTCTTTCGGCAGATTGAACTGGGGTCAAGAAGGATTTTGGGTCGTGGAGTCTTCATTTCAGGGCACCATGTCAGGGGTTAGACCCGTTCAAGTTTAGAGGCAACGGGAGGCGAACGCCCACTTGTCTTGCCGGATCTTCGCCCGACGAGCCGTTGCTGGTGTCCTTGGACGAGACCTCTACCTCTAAACAGCACTTCAATTCATTCCTCTCTTCATCACAAGACCTAGGCGAGACTGCATCTTCGAGTCCACGAATACGAGCACCCCTAATTGCCCGAGGCTGGAAATAAATGTCTCTGTTTTCGAGGGCCACCCGTTGGCAAGACACCCTGGAATCTGGAACCCATTCGTCAATGAGCAGGCCCATTCAATCTCTCAGGCTGCGCTAAGGCAGGTACAGCCACAAGCAACGTACGCTGATCCTGCCCCGGATCGATGGGTCAGTGGCTGTCGACCGGCGGATATAGCGCCCCTTTTTGGTTCTTTCAGGCTTCAATTCTCCACCATGGTAGATGGCGGATAGCAGCCCCGGTCAATGTCTCGTTGGTTGCAAGGGCTAACCTTGAATATTTTGGATCTTGTGTCTGTCGTCGAGGTACATAATATTGTTGCTGGATTGCACTTTTCGTCCTCTTCTTCAACCTCGTCGTTCATGTCACTCGTTTAACGTCCTTCAAAAGTCCCTTCGTTTGGCTGCTTCAGTAGCCATAGTCGTTCGTTTGTTCTTTTGCTCGCACAATTCTATTTGATTGCTCCTGGGTACAACAGACCTCTTACACGGTCTCTAATTGAAGATGAAGACCAGTCAACTATTTGCTCTCACGGCTGCCGCCGTCACCGGAGCTGAGGCATACTACAAAGGATTCAATATCGGGGCCAATCTCGCCAATGGGGCCTGTCGGAGCGAGTCAGATTGGGAATTTGTCTTCAACAAGATCGCCAGCTTTCCGGGCAACTTCAAGAGCGCCCGGCTGTATGCTTCCAGCGACTGCAATACCCTAGCCAACGCGGTCCCTGCCGCCATCAAAACTGGTACCTCGCTGCTTGTTGGCGTCTGGACCGAAGACAATACCCATTACGAGGCAGAAAAACAAGCATTATTGGAAGCCATTCAACAATACGGACACGATTGGATCTTGGCCGTATCGGTCGGCTCTGAAGACCTATACCGAGGCGACACGGATGCAAATACCCTGGCGTCACAGATCAACGATGTTCGCGGTATGCTCTGGGGTCTTGGAGCTAGCAGCAAGTCTGTTGGACATGTTGATACCTGGACCGCGTGGGTAGACCCTGCCAACACGGCAGTGATCGAAGCGGTTGACTGGCTCGGAAACGATGCATACCCCTACTGGCAGGGCGTTGGCATCGACAATGGTGCTGCTAGTGACGCATATTGGGCTGCAGTCAACCAAGTGCGAGCGGTCGCAGGAGGTCGGGATGTATGGACTACTGAGACGGGCTGGCCAATTTCTGGCGACGCTGTTGGCAGTGCAGTTCCCTCGGTCGACAGTCTGCAAACGTTCTGGTGGCAAGTTTCGTGTGCAAGCTTCAGCAGCCTCAACTACTTCTTTTACGATGTCGACGACTTCACTGCCTCGCCTAGCTTTGCTGTGGTCGACTCTAACTACGACCCTCTCATCGACATGACTTGCGGTTCGTGAGCAGTCGGGCCCTGCATGTTCAAATCTATTCAACAGGCTCATACTGAGCTGTCCAATCCTTGACATGTTTGCATAGCGTGGTGGATAGAGGGTACTTGGGAGCACCCCGGATGGAAAATAGACTCAAATTCTAGAGTATCTCCAAGCAGATACAGTATACATGTAATACCATGGCACATATCACAAGCCACCAAGCATGTATGGTTTCTTCACCGGGAGACCGATCCATCCCGCCATTTCTCAAACTAACTCTTCATCCCCAGGATTCCCAACAGCTCGAGGGTCTAGTCATTAAGGAAACAAAACAGAAACCGGTAGTGAAGCAAAAACCAGAGCTCAGATCGGCAAAACTTGTGATTTTCACGAGGGAAGTCAAACGATGTCGGCTGGACAATCGATATAAACGTTCGTCATCACTGCTGCTGGACTGTTCACGAAGAACTCTCCAACAGCTGGAGGAAGTTATGCTCCCTTTTAAAGATGCTTGTCGTGTTGGATCTGAAGTTGTCGTCGACCATCGAATAACTCTATCACTGTCGTTGAAATTGTACTGTGTACCGTTCAGGCAAGTGGTAAGAACAGAAGACGACCGACAGCAACATCCCGGTCCTGTCCCTCTGTACGTTTGTGGTATCTGGAAGTCTGTCCGGCCATTGATTATGTGGGGAAGGAAACAGAGGCGGAAGAAACTCTCTCTTGATACATGATTTGTATCCGTCCCCGTACTTGGTATGTCCGAGCAGCGAGCGAAAAGGGGAAGTGGCTTCTAGAATTGGCGCCTCGGTCCTCCGAATCGAATCGGTTCGATGAAAGGTAGGAGGTTACACCATTTGGTCGGACAGAGCGAGGCGCAGCGTTGTTCACTGTAACGTGATGGGGGAGGAGTGAGTCATTTGTCCGCTGACCAAGAAAATGCTGCTTGTCAGACAAAAAGCCTTAAATCGATGATTGAGGCTCCCAAGACAATGAATCTGCCGTGTCATTGGGTGGTGCATTTGACTTTCCTCCTGTCAGACCGAGCCGCCCGTCCCAGTTACCTTGTTGGGTCTAGATTCATCCGCCTCGGACGACGACAGGCTCAAAGTGGTTTTTCAATGCTTTCATCCCACTTCCCTCTTTCTCCTCCCTTCCTCTCTCTTCCCTTTCCATACCCTTACCTCCTCCCCTCCCTGCCTTGCTACCAGGCAAAAGAACAGCAAGGCGTCTATCACCCTTCCACCTGTCCTGACCGGGGGTCACTTTGGACAGTTGTTCACCATGGTTGTTACCGTTACTCCACAACCTACCCGTCAACTCGTCTCACTCTACCCGCCATAAGAACCATCAATGGCCCGAGTGGGAGTCTCCGGTTTCACAGAATAATTACCTACGGTCCTATCCTCTGGCTGTCAATGATGGCCAGCGAAATGTTCATTCACAATACTACAACTGTCCCATCAGCAACGATGATAGCTCTTCGGCGCTCGGATGGGGTAATCTAGACGTCTCTGACGACTGCATCAGCGACGCTTGCCGCGATGAAGATACATATCAGATCCTGAAGGATGCCACGCACCATATGGGTGAGGCTGCTCCTCTTTCAGTTGGGGAGGTGGCGCCTCCGAGGGAGGATCCGTCCGACTTGATGGGCAATGTGCCTCTGAGTTTCCCAGAGAGCTTCTTTGCCAATCCATTCGCGGTTTCTTTCCCAGGAGATATCCCGTGCCCAGGAGCACCCAGCAGCCAATTTATACCTGGATGCACCTCAATCTCAATCCCTAGTCCTTGTGATCTCAGCACCGAGTCCTCTCCCATGACACCGGATATCGGTTTCTGCGGGGTTCCGGATGCAAACAACTCGATCAGAACACCAAAGTCGATGGCCTGCACTCCATCTAGTGCACCTGACGCTCGTCTGTCTTCAAAAGGCGTGACGAGTGCGAAGGCGAAATACGGACCACAAATCCATTTCGTCGACATGGCCGACAAGAAAGGGGCTCAGCGGATTCGTAACACGATCAATTCTCGAAAACATCGCCAAAACAAGCTTGACAAGATACGAGAGCTGGAGAAGAAGCTGGCAACCATTGAAGCGGAGAAGAAAAGGTGGCAAGGACGAGCAACGGAGATGGGATGGAAACCATCTCAGTAGGAGTTTGACAGTCTATGCTTTGAAATATGCTGGTTCAATACAATTCATTCACAACACCACCCATTAGCCTTTGTCGAAGCGTGTCTACTAGAATCCCCGAAGGAGAGAAGGTTCTAGAGAAGTATCGACTTGAATTGTAGAAGTAGAGGCTGCCCTCGAATCTGATGTGATGTTCGAGGAAGACAGCAGGTAGAAGTAGATGAACCTGTTCAAGGGGCATTGAGATGTCTGCTCTCAGCACTGCAAGTGGGTTCGTCACGCACGGAGCGGCACAGCAGCATGTCGAAGAGAGGTTTGTGGACGGTGGCCACAGCCTTGCCCAGCCTCGTCCCTTCGACAACTCAACTCGTGGTATCGAGTAATATCACAATCACTTCTCGCCAAATGTTCAGTTCCAATTAACGCGGACCCACGCCTAAATCATCCCTGTGTACGAACCTCTCACCATAGAGAACATTCTTTGATATCGGTCCATCTTTGAAACTCGAAGGGGGTATAAATTGGTTTCCCATATCTGGGGGTCAGAATCAGCCACTTGAGCGAACACTGATTTTCTCTTTATAAAAATCTAGTAGTATGAGCACTTGTTTAACATTTCGTCGTCAATTTTCTTTTTCTCCTTCATTTCGGCTTGGCCATTTCTTCACCTCTCTCCTTGATGGTCTTTCGCCGCGCGTACCAGCTCCAAAGGACTTCCCAGGAAGCGACTGTGGCCATGAGAGGCGGGCAGACGAGGAGGAGGAGACTCCACCACCGCGGACTCTGCGACTTGATCTTCGCCATGACGTCTGCGATCTGGAGCTTGAGATCGTCTTTGTCGCCGTCATTGTAGAGAACGTAGCCTTTGCCTGCGTTCGGCTTGCCGTTGTTTCGACGTTCGCACCGTGCTGCTTTCTCCCGCACGTCCACCTGGCTTTTGACTCTGTTCTCGGCGTCCTCGGGCGAGAGATGCGGGTCGCGTTCTCGGAGGCGTTGCATCTGGATCGCCGGGTCAGACACGGCGACGACGATGACAGTGCTGCAGAAGATGTCGAGGCCGGACTCGAACAGGAGGGGCACGTCGACCAGCACGGCCCAGTACCCGCGGAAATAGTAGTACAGCATCGCGCGGGCCATCAGAAACCGCACCGCGGGGTGGACGATGGCGTTCAGCTTCTTCCGGTCGCGTATCCTCTCCTCCGTGTTCCCAAAGACCCTCCTCCCCAGCGCGGGTCTGTTCAGCGGTCTTCCCTTCCCGTTCGGCCCGTCTTCATTTCCACCACACTGGGGATCCGAGGCCGGGAGGAGGAGGTCGGGTGTGGTGGGACCAAAGGTCGCGACTATGCGCCGGTATCCCCATGTGCCCGGTTCCACGGCCTTTCGTGCGAGCAGGTCGGCGTCAACCAAGGGCAGCGAGTGCGGAGGGGAGGACAAGATCTGGGCGCAGGTGGATTTGCCCGTTGCGATCGAGCCTGTGAGACCGATCACAAGCATCGTGTGTTTCTTTGCTGCAACAAGGCCAGTGTTACTCGAGCATAGAGCAAGTCTTGGGGAAACAAGTTACCACAAAGCTTCAGATCAAGCGGGCACAAGTTACGGCTTGACTTCGCTGTAGATGGATGGCACTACAGCACCTTGTTCACTCGTGAAAGCCGACAATGGCCGAGGTTGACATCGCGATCCGGTGAAACTATATTCCGTTGTCAAACAAGGTGGGCTGGCGAGGCTGATAGTTAGCCTGGTAAAAATCAAGTGTCAACCACATCGAATGATGCTGCAGGCCAGCGATGGGAGAGCAGTCTCAAACAAACAGCCGAAGAGTGTATTGGTTATTCGATACAACGCTTACATTTGATGTTGTATCTGTCAGGCTAGACCTCCCCGCCTGCAGTCTGAGTGACTCATGCTGGTCATACCAATCTTCCCTCCTGTTTGATCAAACACCGACAAGTGAAATGGGACGCTATCGCTTGGATTGAGATCCATCAAACTCCTGGGCTTGGGTCTCACTTATTATGACCTTTCGACCTCTCATAAACATCCATCGACTTTCAAGCCTTCGCCGCAGCACTTCCCAAATAAGGGCTTCATCAAATATGACCACCATCCACCTGCCGTTGACACCGGCGGAGAAATTGTTCCGGCAATGCCTGCTCGACTGTCGCGAGGAGATGAAATCTGTCCCTGGAATGAAGGATCTCGTGCTACGGTGGACGGGAGGCTGGGTCCGAGATAAACTGCTCGGGGTGCAGAGCCACGACATCGACGTGGCACTGAGTACAATGACCGGGTGGGAGTTTGGTCAAGCTCTGCAGGCCTTCATCAAGAAGCACGGGGCCAAATACGAAGAACAAGCCGCGCAACAAGGCTTCAACTCGCAGGTCAAGGACATTCACAAGATCGCGGCGAACCCCGACAAGTCGAAGCACCTGGAAACCATCACCACGAGAATGTTTGGCATCGACGTCGACTTTGTCAACCTCAGGAAAGAGGTCTACAACCACCACAACCGCCATCCACAAGTGGAATTCGGCACTGCGGAGGAAGATGCACTCCGTCGAGACGCAACCGTCAATGCCCTCTTCTTCAACCTCGACACGCAAGAGGTTGAGGACTTCACGCGTCGAGGACTCGAGGACATGAAGCGCAAGATCATTCGGACACCTCTTGCACCGTATCAAACATTCAAGGACGATCCGCTACGGGTCCTCCGTCTCATTCGGTTCGCGTGCCGACTTCAGTACGAGATCGAGGCGTCTGCGAAAGAGGCGATGAAAGACCAAACCATCCACGAGGCTCTCCGCTTGAAGATCAGTAGAGAGCGTGTGGGGGTGGAGATCGGTAAGATTATGGCTGGACCCGATCCCTACACAGGATTGAAATACGTCAACGAATTTGATCTGTACTTCACCGTGTTTGCCGATCCGGCAACGTCGCCGACAGACGACTCGGTCGATGCTGGACACGCGGTCATCGCCTACGACGGACTTCGAAGGATTCTGGACGAGAAATCCTCCATCTGCCTCAGCCTGCGACCAAAAGAAGACCAAGCCCTGAGTTGGTTCCTCGCGACGTATACGCCGTGGTACAAATCATCTGTAAAAGCATACCAGGCCTCCAGGGAAGGCATCAAGGCCACCAATAGCATGAGCAAGGTCCTGAAAGATGCCATCGACCTACGAGCCTCCATTCTCGAAGCCGTGCGGTCAGTGAACGACGAGAAAGCCGTTCGGGGAGACGTGGGCATGACTCTAAGACAGTGTCGAGAGGCGTGGAGATCGCATGTTCTCTTCTCACTGCTTTGTGACATCGTGGAGCAAGGTTTCTCGACCGCGACGGACCGATATCAAAAGTTCGCTGCTTACCTGCACGATCAAGACCTCGAAGCCGCGCATGCCATCACTCCGATCCTCAAGGGGAACGAGATCAAAGAAGCTTTTGGCAACCCCAAGGGAGGTCCGTGGCTCAAGAACGCAGTCGATGAACTGGCACGCTGGCAGTTCAACCATCCAACCGGAACGAGGGAAGAGGCAATTGAGATGATCTCGAGCAAAAAGTCGGAATTCGGTCTCGGTTGAGGCTGCGAAACAAAAGAGGCTGGCTAATCAGGGAGGCATCACGGAGCTGGGGAAAGGCGGAACTCCCCCTCCATCTCACGGATCTATCTCCGGCAGGTGTGAGGAACGCCTCCCTCTCATTTCCTTTCGGCTCGCCTCGGTTTCCTCTGCACTCGGACACATCCCAGAAATTACAAGATACGTGGAACGTACCTTATTACTTCTACGAACACCATCTAGCAAAAACCCTCCAACAGCAGCCTCGGCGAGAACCTCGGCAAGAGTTCTATCTCGAAACTAGCCAAAATAACAAAACCCTCTTCTATACTCAGGGGTCGCGACCAATGATGGTGGAGTTACAGCCTCGTATCGAACCAAGCTCAACGAGCAGTAGCGGAAACCGAGGAGCCGAGGCGAAGGGATATCGGTCGGGTAGTACCAGAGCAAGTGATGCAGCAGGCAACACCACAAGCTGCTGGGCAGTCTTGGACTCGTTCCATCAATGGCATCAGCACTGCAATAACAATCTCGCTATTGCTATGTGGCAGAGACTTTTGAAATGGACCTGGACCATGGAATTGAGCAGCGTCGACTTCTATACTAATCGCCATGGCATGCGGGAGCTCGCATGAGATGAAATGAACAATGACCTGTACAATCCTCACAACCTTCTTTCCTTTACAGCTTCGCACCCGCAAGCCTAGCAGCTCTCAACTTGACATCCTTGACCTCTTGACGGACGGCCAGGTCAAGCATGATCTCTTCACTGCCACCACCGACAACGTGAACACGCACATCTCGACTGATCTGTTCGATCCGGGCACCTCTCCCCGTCTTTGAGTAGCCGGCTCCACCCATGATCTGCTGTGCCTCTCGACACACTTTTTCCAAGCACCTTGTGCTCATCACCTTTAGCAAGGCTGTCATGCCGCCGATATTAACCGGCTTTCCTGTCACGCGTGAAGTTTCAATGATGTAGCACAGCTGCTCGAGGAATGCGTGGGCGGGTTCAATCAAGAGTCCGAATTTGGCAATCTTTGCCTTGATGGGAGGATGCTCGATCAGTTTCTTGCCAAAGGTCTCGCGATCGCAGGCGTAATTGTACGCATCTTGGGCGCAGACCCGAGCGAGACGGAGTGAGGCAGTAGCCAGAGAGAGACGCTCTGGGTTGAAGTTGGACATGATCATGGGGAAGCCGCCGCCTTCGCGTCCAATGAGGTGGTCCGCGGGAACTTCGACATCGTCAAAAGTGATGTAGGTTGATCCTAAGAATGTTAGAGTGGGGTGGTAGTCAGAAACAGGATCAAATGTCATACCGCTGGCGTGGACGCCTGTGTTCTCCAATCTTCTTAATGTGACACCCTCTGCCTTGAGCGGGATAACCAACAGGCTGATACCTCCATGGCCTGGTCCACCGGTCCTCACCGCAGCTGTACAATAGTCGCACCAGAGAGCGTTGGTGATCCATTTCTTATTGCCGTTCACGATATAACGATCTCCCCTCCTCTCCGCGGTGGTTTTGATATTGGCGACGTCGCTTCCTCCGTCTGGCTCGGTGATGCCCAGACAAAATCTGAGCTCTCCTCTGGCGATCTTCGGCAGCCACCTTTGTCTTTGTTCTTTTGTTCCGTAGTGCGCAATAGGCGGTGCACCGATCGCGTTGCCGCCTGAAATGCCCCACATTGGACCACACCAGCCCAGACGGCTGACCTCGTCGGTTACGATAACGGAGCACCACGTATCCCATTCGTCGTAAGGTATTCCGGCAGGCAGTTGGACACCGCCCGCATCAGCGGGATCAACGACGGGATGGGTGACCGCGAACCCGAGCTGGCAATGTCGTAGACGGACATGCTCCGGCACCTGGCCTGCCTCTTCCCATTCTTGCGCATAGGGAGCGATCTCGGTCTCAAGGTAGTTGCGGACAAAGGCACGGAGGCGGTGGTGTTTCTCCGTGTAATACGGATTCCCGAGATCGAGCTGCGGGAGGAGTGGTTCGGAGAAAGGAGCTGGGGCGGTGGGAGCCATTTTTGGGAGTTCGATCGTGCAGTTAGGTAGGCAGCGGAGACTCAAGCTGCCCAATGTACCACTGGTTACATTTTTATACTTGATCTGGGGCGCCTTGGGTAAGACGCGCCACAACCTTGGAAGAAAGACGCGGGGAGAGTGAAACTAACGACGAGCCCGAATCGAGCCTCGGCCGGTTCGATCTTGGCAGTCTTGGCTAGAGTAAACCCAAATGGGAAACAATATCACGATGGTGACATCTTTGGTGCATTCGTGTCGGACATCCATCTCCAACAAGGAAAGGCTGCATCATTATGGCCCCTATCATAGCATCAATCATGTCGACCCTTATGTGCTGACTACTGTGACTGTACTCCCCAACTCAGAAAGCGAGTGTCGTCGATGGAGGTGATCAGGTGTTGTTGGTTGCCACCCCAGGCAACGTGAGACGCGGTTTTCAATCATGGAGTCTTTCAGAGAGTTCGTCGCCAATCAGGTCTTGGTCAAATCTGGCGATGACTCTGCAGATGCAACTGATGATGCTTCCGCCGATGGTACAGACGGGCAGGGCGGCGGACCCAAAACGCCTGCACAAGACGTTGATGTTGACAACAACACCCCTCGAGTCCTCGAAGTCAACAAGTCCGATTCGGACGAGACAGAGAAGGAAGTTCCTCAGAAATATCCTCAGCTGTCCAACAATCCTCCGGAGTCGCCGCCTCTGGCGCCAGGGCAGCGAGAGGTTGAGGATGATGAGGACGAGTATGATCTGTCCAAGTCTTTCCACCGCACGGCGAGTCCTTCTCCGACGGCACTGCAACGCAATAGGGGTGCACTTGTCAGCAAAGTGGGAGAGGAAGGCGTCAGCAAAATGCACAAGTTTACCCTCCACGAAACCGCCAACTATTACTATATCGTTGGTTCAGACCTTTTGGACTCGGCATTTCGGATACTGAAGATCGATCGGACGTCAGAACCGGGTGAGCTTAACATTACGGAAGATGACATTGTCTACACCAAAAAGGAAACGCAGCAGATTCTCAATGCTATTGACGAGGGCAATCGAGCAACCGGCGGGCTGAAGATCAAGACTAGCTTCTGGGGGCTCCTGGGATTCATCCGCTTTACAGCCCAGTATTACATGCTGTACGTGACCAAAAGGAGTCAAGTGGCTATGATTGGGGGTCATTACATCTATCAAATCGACAAGACGGAACTGATGCCTCTGGTAACGGCAGCATCCACCCGAACGAAATCGGACCGACACCTCGAAGAAACGCGGTTTATCGGTATCCTGAACAATCTCGATCTTACCAGGTCCTTCTATTTTAGCTATTCGTACGATGTTACCCGAACACTGCAGCACAATATCATGCGCGAACGGCAAGCACTCCAGGAGGGACTGACAGAGCCTCACAAGCCAGACCATAACGATATGTTTGTCTGGAACCATCACCTCTTGCAACCCGCCAAAGAAGTTCTCAAGAACCCGTACGACTGGTGTCTGTCGGTCGTTCATGGGTACGTCGATCAAAGCTCACTGTCGGTATACTGGGGCAGGGTAGTCTATGTGACAATCATTGCCCGTCGATCGAGATTCTTTGCCGGCGCCAGATTCCTAAAACGTGGTGCCAATGACCTTGGATACGTGGCAAACGACGTGGAAACCGAGCAAATCGTATCAGAAATGCTGACCACTTCATTTCACGCCCCAGGCCCCGTGCTGTTCGCAAACAACAAATACACTTCCTATGTGCAACATCGTGGCAGTATTCCATTGCACTGGACTCAGGACAGCACAGGTGTCTCGCCAAAACCTGACATCCATCTTAACGTGGTGGACCCGTTCTTCAGCGCTGCTGCTCTTCACTTCGACAACCTTTTCAAGCGGTACGGAACACCCATATACGTGCTCAACCTGATAAAGGCCCGCGAACGCACTCCAAGGGAGTCCAAGCTTCTGAAAGAGTACACTCTTGCGGTGAATTACCTCAACCAATTCTTGCCGAAGGACAAGCAGATTGTGTATCATGCATGGGACATGAGTCGAGCATCGAAAAGTAGAGATCAAGATGTCATTGGCAGTCTGGAGGCAATAGCTGAAGATATCCTTCCCAGAACAGGCTTCTTTCAGAACGGCCGTGATGAGGACTCGGGCCTGCGTCTCCAAACCGGTGTCGCAAGAACCAACTGCATCGACTGTCTCGATCGAACCAATGCTGCTCAATTTGTGATTGCGAAGAAGGCTCTCGGATACCAACTTCAGGCGTTAGGGGTGATCGAGCATCCGTCGGTCGAGTACGACTCCGATGCTGTAAACCTGTTCACCCACATGTGGCACGACCACGGCGATACTATAGCTGTACAGTATGGTGGCTCACACCTGGTGAACACCATGGCCACGTACCGAAAAATCAACCAGTGGACGAGCCATTCGCGCGACATGGTCGAGAGTTTCAAGCGGTATTACAACAACTCGTTCATGGACGCGCAGAGGCAGGAAGCGTACAACCTGTTCCTTGGAAACTATGTCTTCGCCCAGGGCCAGCCCATGCTTTGGGATCTCACCACGGACTATTACTTGCACCACTCCGATCCGCGATCCATGTTTGGCAAGCGGCGACCGAGTTACCGCCACTGGTACACGGACGAATACCTCGAAACGCCGCAGATGCCGCCATCGCTCTGGCCGCATGAGCTGCGCGACCGACCGTTGACATTTTTTGACGATTATTGGGTCGAATACTACCGGCCTCTATCCATATCGTCATTCCGGAAGCTCTTCTCCTTCAAAATGCGCTCGAATCTACAATATATCCCGATCAGCTCAACTTCGGCCGGAAAGTACGACCTCAGCCCGTTTAGGGTGCGGACGGCGAACGACAGCGACGGAGAAGGGCATGAAAAGGGGCAGGGGACTCGGAAGGGCGTCAAGATAGTTGCGCCGTCGGACGATACCGCGTCCACGATCGGAGGAGAAACGATGGTGTCGTCCGCCGACGGACGTTTGAATTCGGCCACCCCATCAGCAATTGAGCCGACTCCGAAGCCCAGCACCCTGGGGCCTTGGCTCGACGCGCAGCAGCAGCTTCACAACGCCCTGAGAGGCCGCCGATACACGGGCATCATCAAGGAACCCTCGTTCGAGGTCCAGTCAACCTCAGTGCCTAAGATCCCAAGACTGCCAACCACCACGAGTAGTGACCTGACCAACAGCTCCCTTCTCCTTGGCCCACCCACAAAAGCCGAGCTTGCCCTCCACGCCTTCACATCCCTCATCGAAAACTCTCTCAACCCTCAGGTGCGCCAGTTGAAAGAGTACCAGCGCTACGTGGCACACCCGTCGACGATCCCGTTGGTGGTGTCCAGCGACATCGACTACTCCTCGGCGCCGCTCGAATTCCTCGAGTATCTGTCAAAGACCTCGTCCGACCCGGCCGATCACAAAGTGCTCCGGCACTTTGACGACGAGCGCGGTGCGGTGACGCTGACGATGGAGGAGAGGGCCGAGGCCAGCATCGATGATTACCTGGAGTATGTGGCAAGTGGGCAGGTCGAGGACCCGCTGACCGTGCTGGAGGAGGACGGTGGGAAGAAGCGATACAAGGCCTACAGGAAGTGGCTGAGGGGGAAGAGCCTGTTCAAACAGCGGCCCGTGGTCGGCGATGAGATGGAAGGCAACGCTGATGGGCCCGTCGTCGGCTAGGCGGGTGTCCGCGCGGTGTTTGATTCGAATGGCTGTCATCGGATCGGGGAGTCGACAGGCGATGGCATTTTCTGGGGGGTGTTAGAATGGACCTTTCTTTTGTTGTTCTGATCCTTTTGTGATACCCGTATAGATTGACATTCGCCCTGGAAAAGGAGGTTCATAGCGTGAGTTTTGTTTTGTTCAATGGAAAAGGACCACGGGGCGAAATATAAATTGACCGCCAGGGGAGCGAGCATTCGCCATTTCCCTCTTCCTTCGCACATAGGCAACTACGTGCGTGTTTGAACATCCATCATGAGTGAATGGCCAACTCTTGTAACAAAGAATTGCATACGAATCCTCAATGTGATGATACATGCGGTCCTTTTAGTCTTCGAATAATCCAGTCAGATCACCCTCCTCGCTCAGCAATTTCTCCTTGATGTCCGCCCACTCCTCCTTCGCCAGGACGTCCTGCAGCATCTTCACCACATCTTTGGTTTTCTTTATGATCTCTTGTATAGCCTTCGCGGAGGGCACGTCATTCGCACCGTCTGTCTCGTCCAAACAGTTGCACCAGCAAGCGACGCAGGCCCCGAGGATCTCGGCCCACCACTTGTCCCTGACCCGCGGTGCGCACACGTCGACAACCACGTCCAAGACGTTTAGCGAGGCGAGCGCCATCTCCGGCGCCGCCAGGACGAATGGGTCCATCAGGACCAGCCGCATCATGGGCAAGAGCGTCTGGAGATGTTTCACGGTGTAGATCCCCATTCGTCTGAATGTTGGGGGAACCTGGTTCAGCAGCAAGGTCGTGATCGGGGCAGAGATTGTGTTTGAGAACGAATCCGTCGCCGAGGACAGGTGCGACAACGACGCCATGATCCCGTGTCTGAAGAGCTTGGTGAGCAGGACTTCCCTCGCCACCAGGTCCTCGCCCATATTCCACGTTGGTCCCGCGTCGGGTTTCTTGCCCGTCGAGATGTCAACTCCCTCGGCGGTGGCCACTTCCAGTCTGATGAAATTTGCATCCACGAGTGAAAGGTAAGCGGGATACAGCTCCCTCAGGACCAGCAGACTGTCGGCCTCGGGCGTCAGAGTCGGCAGCAGCAGGAAATTCGTCTTGAGCGCGTCGACAAATACGTCTGTCAGCCCGGTCCGTTTCAGCATGTCGCTTTGCGTCGAGACCAGTGTCGTGCAAAGCAGGCGCAGTAGGAGACACCCGTCGGATTTGTACGTCGGCGATGCGTCATCGATCATGTTGAGAAGAGGCGGGACGAGGAGGTGGAAGTGGGATTCTATCGTAGACCTGCGCACCGGCTGTGGGAGAAGCATATAGCTTCGTAGGACATACTTCAGCAGGGGCGCGGTGAAGGGCCCCCGCTTCCATGGTTTCTGGGCCTGTTCATCGTCGTCTAAAGATGTGAGAAACCTTGCCGCGCCTATCGACGGCGGCGGTCCTGGTACGAGGGACTTGCGGCCGGTGGAAGTCAACTGTGGATGTTTTGTGTTGGTGAACAGCGGTTTGATGACTTGTGTGAGAAGGTCGAGGAGTGCGGATGGGAGGTGGTCGTGGTCTTCATCGGATGTGATGCCGGAGATGATGGTGTGAGCTTGTCGGCGAAGAACACCAGTCTGTGGTCGCTCATTCTCCGGCTCGAGTGAGAGTATCTCTAAGATTTCACTTCTGTCCATGTTTGTCATGGTCTTCGGCGGGGAAGACGAAGAGGGAAGAGAATTCAGTTGGCAAGGCACGCAAGGCTGCCATGTTGAGGTTGCGGCCAATCAGATCCCAGACTACACAGCCTCGTCAGCCCGGGTTTTTCAAGCTTCGTCAACAGGCGGCTGGCAAGACACATTGACCCATCAACTGGCATTTTTGAATCCCGAAATGAATCCCATCGGATTGAAGTAGCATTCGCTACCCAGCACCCAAACGATTGGCATTCTCGAAATTCTCGGATCGCAGCCAAACCTTACCCATGCATCTAGTTGTCAAGGCAATGTCTATCTCACGGTGTCCAGGCTACACCACAGCACGCCCATCTAACTCCGATCCTACCCAAAGTACCGAGTGCATCCACCTACCTCTGCATGTTCGATCCTGACGCCGGCGATGCTTGTCCAACTGGCATCTCTCAGGCGTGAGACCAGCCAAGGCCCACAATCCGCGGCAAGATTATCATTGGACTTTCGTTCAAGGTTCCCTTTCCGCCCTCCGCGTCCCCATTTCTCGCTTCTCCCAATCGCAAGGAGCCAGATGTGGGCTGAAGATAAGGAAAGGAAAAGCGCCGCGACAATTGGATAATGCAATGACTTTTGTCAAAGGCTCAAATGCTCAAAGCTTCCACGGCTGCATCATGCCCTAGCTCACTGCATTCACTCACTCTTGATAGGCGTCTCCCCGTTACGTTTTGCCATTTGACATTGGATTCCCAGACGATCCAATCCGACCATCGCCACTGCATCGCTGCTTATGCTGGCCAGCTCGAGGCATGGCGACCCGTCCAGGCGTCGGTACCTGGGATGGGGCGTCTCATGGATATGTTTCGTCGTTGACTAAGTCCATTTCTCACATGTTCTTTTGTATTACTTCATAACTAACCCTGTCGGATTTCCCAAATCTAGACATTCCTGTCTTTTTTCTTCTCCAGACAATGGCGTCAGACTGTTGATATTGATATTAGACCTACGAGGGAATGTATATGGCTTTGCCAATCGACGAGTCATGCGAAGATATAGTTCCACCGGTAAGTCTCGGGTCACAAAGTGTCTTCGAAGGGTTTCTGCTCACGAACGCGGTTCTATAGAAGAGGACCACGACCAGCGACGGCGTTCGGTAGCATTGATGAATGAGGAAATTCAGCCAGAGGAGCCCGATGAACACACGGGGCTTCTCCCCAAGAAGCGCCATGATGAAGAGCAAGCACCCAGCCATCAGGAAGGCGAGCTGCTCGATATCCTCCCCGAAGACGACACCCCGACACAGAGGCTCGTTCTTCATGAATTCTGGGTCCTATTCCGAGGTTCTATACCTGTCATTTTGGCCTACTCGCTGCAGAACTCGCTCCAAACAGTGTCAATCTTGATCGTTGGCCGAGCATCGCCACAAGACCTCTCCACTGCTGCGTTCTCTTACATGTTCGCCATGTGTACGGGCTGGCTGATTGGCATGGGAGGATCAACCGCTTTGGATACTCTGGCGAGTTCCACTTTCACCGGAAGCAAGAACAAGCATGACTTGGGCATCCTCCTGCAACGAGCCTTCATCGTCCTGACTCTGTTCTATGTCCCTGTCGCCATCCTTTGGCTTTGTTCGGAGCCCGTGTTTAAAGCTCTGGGTCAAAGTCCCCAGTTGTCACACGACAGCTCTAAATTCCTAAGTTGTTTGATCCCCGGAGGACTGGGATACATCTACTTTGAGACGATGAAGAAGTATCTTCAGGCTCAAGAGATCATGCGACCAGGGACTTACGTGCTCTTGATCACTTCTCCAATCAGCGCGTTGTTGAATTACCTGTTTGTCTATGTGGCGGGTTGGGGCATCTTTGCGGCGCCGCTCGCAACTGGCATTGGCTACTGGCTTTCGTTTCTGGGCCTCGTGCTCTATGCCAGATTTGTGGCTGGCGGCGAATGTTGGGGCGGTTGGACCAAGAGATGCCTTCAAAACATGGGTGTCTTTGCCAAGTTGGCCTCCCTGGGGGTGATTCATGTCGGGACTGAGTGGTGGGCTTTCGAGATTGTGGCATTGGCGGCTGGCCGACTCGGAGAAATCCCTCTCGCATCCCAAAGTGTCATCATGACAGCAGATCAAGTCATGAACACCATCCCCTTTGGCATTGGAGTTGCCGCCAGTGCGCGGGTGGGCAACATGCTCGGTTTACGCACTGCCAAGGGAGCAGCACGATCGGCCAACGTGGCTGCCTGGCTGAGCATGCTCATGGGAGCTATCGTGTTGGCCATCCTGATGGGCACGAAGAACGTCTTTGCCAAGATCTTCAACGACGATGAGCGGGTGGTCAAGCTTACCGCCGATGTCTTGCCGTACGTGGCTCTATTCCAAATTGCAGATGGTCTCAATGGCAGCTGTGGCGGATCTCTACGAGGCATGGGCAGACAGCATATTGGAGCTGCCGTTAATCTCGTCAGCTACTATTGCGGCGCTCTTCCCCTGGGCATCTGGCTGGCCTTCCATGGCTGGGGTCTCCCGGGGCTCTGGGTCGGTCAGTGCATTGCGCTGTATCTAGTGGGCATTGCCGAGTGGGCGATTGTCGCCTTCAGCAACTGGGAGCACGAGGTTGACAAGGCTTTTGCCCGGATGGACAAGGACGAGCTAGTGGAGGGCGGCTATGCCACGGCGTCTGTGGCTCCTTCACCTTCGGAAAATGGCGCTCAATGAGTGAATGACAACATAGAACATGATAATCCAAAGATAGATAGGGTAACATAGGAGGTAGATGATCAAAAGTATTACATAGATCTGGTTTCTGATCTTGAGCTTAGATATGGACCTGATCCCCATCGCTGGCCCCGTATTGGCACTACAAGCTTCCTTTTCCGGTTTAGCGTCGTTCACATCAATTGAACGTCGGACCAAAAAAGAACTGCGCATGATACGAGATTCTCTCTTCCTTTCATTCCCACTGATAAGCATCCCGCCCTGGACAATGACTTGCGTCACGCCTTCAATAATGACACACAGCATTCGCTCACGGCCTCTCCCTCTCTTCTGACCTACCGCCGGCCAAGTCCACCTGCCATTCCCCTCGCATGGACTTGTGCGCTGTTGCGGCCTTCGACCAGAACCCATCCGTGCATGCGGCTCCCCTCGTTTCTGCTCACCGGTCCTTTGTTCTCCTTCTGCTGATGGGCCAAACACCCCCGCGATATGGCTCGAGAGAAATGTCCGGGCCAGCTTCCCCCCCCCAAAGCCCTGGTCTCGGCCTCGCATGAATGTTCTCATGCTGTCATGATTTGGCAATTCCTCATGTCAACGCTGCGGGGCCTGCATTGATAGGGAAAGCTTCTGTCGTGCCCGGAAGACTCCCGCGCCCATTTACATGCTTGGGGGCATTTTAGGTAAGAGGACAGTCCAAATCTGCATCATTGGATACGGTCCTGAGTAAGGCGCATGGACCTGTCGGAGCTGGGAGCTATCTGCAGGAACTCATGGGCTGAGAGCTCCTACCTAGCTTGTGGGAAGAGACAACAACAAAAAAAAAGCTGCTTACGCTTGAGCTCCAAATTTTCTGCTTCGTGGGATTTTTGCTACTCATAAAGATCTCTCTTTTACTCGTCGCTGCTTGAATCTTCGTTATTGCGTTGGGACGAGATTGACCAACTTGACCACCAAGGCCAACAAGATGTTAATCAAGGCCTTTGCCCTCCTGGCATGTGCCAGCTGCGCGCTCGCCCATGGCGACCACGACCACGATCAAGCTCCCATTGAAGGACCGCACAAGTCGCTTTGGTACAACACCCTGCCAGGTGATGGTGGCACACAGGTGAGATTCAGTATGGGCGAATGCGGCTGTAGGACAAGCTCATTGACACTCTCGAAACCCAGGCGGACTCTGTCTTCTCTGGCATCTCGACCTTCGGCCGCCTCCCCTATTTCCCCTGCCTGACCAGCGACGAGGAGAAATATGACATTGCATTTCTTGGTAGGGGGGTCCCAAATTTTTCATTTCTGGGGTTTCTCCCCCCAAAAACCGATACAAGAACCTGGAAGAAGGCTAATTTTTGTGTCGGGGTTGGCTCTTTTTGGTGACAAACAGGCGCACCATTCGACACGGGTACTTCGTACCGACCGGGAGCGCGGTTTGGACCCAGTGGGATCAGGCAAGGTTCTCGACGCCTCAATCTCTAGTACGTCCTTTTTTTCGTTCCTGCTCAAAGGCTTACGTTGCGACACCGTATGTCACAAAAGGCTCACGAAAACTGGGGTTTAGCGGCGGGTATAATGTGTACGTGTGGCCAGAACCCCTTTCCTCTTCCCCCTCCCTTTTCGTCCAATGAACCTGGCGGTACTCGGACATGCTGGAAACCGTGGGGTGAGAGACAACGACGATGATACAGGGACCAGCAAGCAATACGAGGCGGCAGAAACAAGAAAAAGGCTGACAATTTGGGGGGAATCAACCCCTATACAATGCAAACAGACCCATGAAATCCAACCCCTTCAACTTCTGGGGCAAAGTCATTGATTGCGGCGACATCCCAGTCACTTCGTGAGTACAACCCTCCTCTGCGTCCCACTGATGGGCCTTTGCCTTTGAAACACCACGAAACTGTCGGTATTGTTTATCTTGCGCATGATACTGACAAAGACGTCCAACAAAAAAGGTACGACAATCACTACGCGCTCCAGCAGATCGAGGACGGACACAACACGCTGCTCATGCGCACGCCGTACACGGCGGCGCAGGAACCGGGCATCTCCAAGGCGGGCAAGACGCTGCCACGGATCATCACGCTCGGGGGCGACCACACGATCACGCTGCCGCTGCTGCGGTCGATCAACAAGGCGTACGGCCCGATCAGCGTGATCCACTTCGACTCGCACCTCGACACGTGGAAGCCCAAGGTGTTTGGCGGGGCGCCGTCCAAGCAGGCGGCCATCAACCACGGGACGTACTTTTACTGGGCGTCCGAGGAAGGTCTGTTGGCCAACGACAGCTCGATCCACGCGGGGATCCGCACGACGCTGTCCGGCCCCTCCGACTACGAGAACGACGGGTACTGCGGGTTCACGCGGGTCGAGGCGCGCGAGATCGACACCATCGGCGTCGAGGGCATCGTGCGCCGCATCCGCGACCGCGTCGGCACCGTCGACCCCGTCTACCTCTCCATCGACATCGACACCCTCGACCCGGCCTTCGCCCCCGCCACCGGCACCCCCGAGACCGGCGGCTGGAGCACCCGCGAGCTGCGCACCATCCTGCGCGGCCTCGAGGGCCTCAACTTCGTCGCCGCGGACATCGTCGAGGTCGCCCCGGCCTACGACACGAACGCGGAGCTGACCACCATGGCCGCCGCGGACGTCCTCTACGAGGTCATGACCATCATGGTCAAGAACGGGCCCTTGACTAAGAAGGCCGCCCAGGGCGACGGCAAGTCCGACGACTTCGCACTACCCGAGCACGCCGAGGAATTGAAGTAAGGTTCGGAAGAGGTGAGAGGTACCGTGTCGTGAGAAGACTGGTGTCATGGAGATGGTGTTCATGGTAGTGGTAGTGGTGGTGAGCATAGTTTATACAACGGCAGTGGAGACAAGAGCGGGGACACACACACACACACACACACACACACACACACACACACACATGTATGCCATGGCGTGCGTGGGTGGGAGAAGGGAAGGGAAACAGACAGACAGGGGCAGGGCCAGTCGAACGGATCAAGGATAGATACGCGTGCTTTGGCACCTGTCTACGTCTTCGAGGTACCAAGGAGAATCTCTGCCAATGGCGAGAGCTTGGACGGGAGACTCAGCAATGCCAAACGATCAAAAGACAAAACAATAACAGAGCCAGACGAAACAAGAAGCTCTTTCCCAACCTTTCATTAATGGTCTTGTAATACATCACACAAAAGGCCGAAGCCCTAGCAAAAGGCAGCGCGCGAAGCAGGGGCACCACACCCGTCTGGCAAGTGCATGATTGAAGTTGTATGTCTATCAAACATCGCTTCTTTGTATCTCTTTGGAGGGCAACCTACTCATGCGCCGCTTGCGTCTCCGTCCACACCCATCAGGCTCATATTTGGTCTCACCCCTCCTCTCAGCCATGATATCTGAGAGTCACTTTCGCTGGCTGACCAAATGCTTTGCGGATCCTCCTCCTTACACGGTACTTTTTCTTCCCTGGATATTGCCTCTGTGGTCTTTGCTGGGATGTGTGACACTGATCTATCAAGACGCAATGGATACCACCCACACCGCCCAATGTGTGAGTTCTGGGGTTTAGTTGTGTAAGGCAGGCAAGATTGTGCACCGCTCTCGATTAGAGGAAATAGTCTGGTGTTCTTCGACTGACCATTGGTTCGCCGGCTCGGGGACATGGATCAAATTGCAAGCTGCAGATTCATTCGTCAGAATAGCAACCGAGAAATGGGGGATTTACACTTACAAGGTATACTTCAGATGCTCATCAATCTCCATGATGGCAGCTTGATTACCACATCTGTAGCAGTAATTCGGGGCGCTGAAAATCGTCACCACATTGCGATCCTGACTCCAGTTGTAGCCCTCCATGACCAATTGATGAGCTCTGGCAACCAGCGTCAAGCCATTGTTATGGTTGAACGCTTCTGAGATGTCTTGCCCAAATGTGTATCCAGCTCCTCTAGGACTGATGCCCCATCCGCATCGGTCATCAGGATCGCTCCACAGAAGATCACACATGGGACCTTCATGAGGAACTTCTTGGATTCGGTCAAGTGATCGGATGTTGTCGAGGGTGTCAATGCTGGGAGAAAGCCCGCCATGCAGGCAGAAGATCTGGTTGTCGATCAGAGCAGTAAGCGGCAGGTAATCGAAGAGATCGGTGAAGTATTTCCAGACATTGGCGTTGCCATATTTCCGCAGGCATTCGTCGTAGAAACCGTAGACCTGGGTGATCTGCCTGGACTCATGGTTTCCGCGGAGAATGGTGATGCGGGATGGGTATCGGATTTTGAGCGCGACAAGAAGGGTCACGGTCTCGACGGAGTAATAACCACGATCTACATAGTCTCCTGTTTGTTATTGTTAGTTTGTGTACACCAGTGACAGCATGTCTCAACCCACCCATAAAGAGGTAGTTCGTATCCGGGTTGGGACCCCCGATGCGAAAGAGTTCCATCAAGTCGTGGAACTGACCATGGATGTCGCCGCAGACTGTGACAGGACATTTCTGTAAAAAGTCAGACATCTGTCTACAGCCTTACGCCGCGAGAACGAAGAACTCACCACCGGCTGTACGTTTGACTCTTCTTGGAGAACTTCTCTGGCCTGCGCGCTCACGATTCAGTCTTCTGGCTTGCACATGGTCGCAGACAGTACTCACTCTGTCGCAAAGTCTTGATACATCACTCTCCGCCAACTGTTTACAGTCCATCAAGCTCTCGATCCATCCATCAAGGGTCGGTATTGATTGTGGGTCAGTGGCAGGAGATAAGCCATGAGGCTGCGCTGGTTTTCCCACGTCAACGTCCATCTTCGTATCCATGACAGGGCGTAGACCCGTCGAAAAAATCGAATTGGACGAAGAACGGCAAGGGATGAGGGGGAGAGGTGAGGTCTGAAGGGCGATCGGGGATGTCGTGTACTAAGGTGGGATGGTAGGTTGTGGTGTCAGTTTGGGACAAAGTAACGCAGCAGATTCGAATAGAGGACTAGCGTGTGAGGGAAGGTCGGCGTGGAAGGGATGTTGGGTGAAGTGCAGCCGGCTTCGATATTTGTCGCAGATGCTGTTGCACTGAGGATGGCGTTGGGTTTTGGTCAACTTGTTGCGACAATGACATGTCAGTCGAAATCCTGCCTCTCTGAGGTACTCGGAACCAATAATCCGCTAGCCGCTTAGGTGCTTAGCCAGCTCGGGATACCTACGAGGACAAGTTTTAAGCTTAGCCACTACGTAATAAACCTGCCCCTATAGGTACCCAGTACCTACCGGTAGATATTCTCGAAGGTACAGGTGTGACCAAGCCCGACGGTGAATGTCTTGAACACCTTCATTCTCTTTGCACCCTCACCGACTCTATGAGAGTTTACACTCGCAATCCGCTAGTAGTCCCATTTATGCATGAGATGAACATTGAGCTGATTGGCTCTTTTCAAGACATTGTCCCCATTCGAGTCCTGAGAATCATACAGGCAACATCGTCGGCCGTGATTTTTGCTCATTATGTCCCAGTCATCTCCTCACCCCAGCATTGTCCCACTCATGCTTTCTTCTGAGGCCGTTTGCAAGGAGACTATATAATGTCACCACCTCCAAACCCTCCGAACGGATTACTACCCCATCCTCCTCCACCTCCACCGCCTCCTGGGAATCGTGCGCCTCCTCGAAGATTTGGAGGACCATCCCCTGGGCCGACTGGATCATACCGTGCCCCTGGAGGGACCTGAGGATCAAAAGGATGTCGACCTCCTTGGCCACCAAACAAGGGATCGTCAAAAGTGGGATGCATGCCTCCCCCGCCACGAAAGCCGCCTCCAGGGCCTATCCGGAGAGGATCATGTGGGCCTAAGCCTGGAGGATAGAGGTCTCTTTCCCCAATGTTTCCAAATGGCTGATGACCTGGTAGCATGCCGCGTGGAGGTCGATTGATCTCATATTCATCTTCAAAACCCGGTGGCGGAAAGTCTCCAGGAGGATGAGGTCTTCGAGGGGGTATCGCTAAAGGATCGTCGAAAGGGTATGGTCGTGCGGGTGGAGGATGATCATCTCGTAACGGGTCACGCTCAGGAGGGCGAGTTTCTTCATGTCGTCGTGGCTGTTCGAGGGTGGAAGTTGCTTCCTCGTACCCGGCCTTCTGGATTCCCGGAGCCAATTTCTGGATGATATTAAGTTTGAACAGTGACGCAAGATCTGTGATCCGGCCATTTGATATAAAGACATTTCGAAGTGCAGAGACTGTATTGGCACCCGGGGTTGCCTCTTGTAATGATCCATCGGAAATGTAGTCATTGGCCTTGACCTCAAAGGAGGCAGTCTTGTCGTCGCCCATGCCAACACCAAATATGATAGCCTTGCTTCCTAGTCGATTCACCTTGATAAGGTACTCCATGGCAGACTGTGAATGAGCATAGCGGAAGGCGTAGGAGGACGATTCATCCCACTGGGAAGGCAACGGTTGAACATCCTGGGGTTCTGATTGTGCTTCTGCAAGTGGTGAGATGTCTGGTTCACTGCGAAACGATAGACCCTTACCTATCTTGTGGTCTTCTCCCAAGCCGACGAGACGGAAGCCAACTGCAAGCATGCAGGCATGTGAGAACAGGGCAATGGCAGCATATGGATCTTTGATGAGTCTAGGTTGTTCCGAGGCGGAAGGCGGGGTCGGTAGGCTCTTGACCATGTAGTCGAGGATTGAGTCTGCGCTCAAAGCGCTCACCGAAGCGGGGGCCATGGCAGTGTCAGGTATCAGGGTTGATGTAGGTTTTTGACGAATGGAGAAAATGCGGTTGACATGTGTTCGTAGAGAGTAAGTAGGTGATCGGGTGATATGTAGCCTAGATTCTGGCCTCCAAGGACATGCGCTGTGGGGGACGCGCCCCGCCGCAAAGACACGCGCAACGCACTGCGGCCTGACATCATTCGGTTTCTGGGGGTAAGTCCTCGGCTAAGTTGCAACTTGTTTGAAGGGGTTCATGTCAATAATTGCACCATCGAAGTCCTGAGTTGACCTTTGGACCAAGATTGATGAAATTTCATTAGAATAAAGGAATAATTGACATCCATTACACTTTTCTATATGCTCCTAAGCCTGGTGAGACCACCCATTGCCTACCTTGGTGATATGAGGTGGAAGATTGGTTATCACCGGTCTAACCTGGAGCATGTCGAGATGCCATTTAGAACCGGTGGTTGGGACAGGGCCAAGAGACTGTAAACCGCAGTGAAAGAGGTTTGGAAGGTTGAAATGCAGCCAACATGTGGATCACCTCGTAGATGGAATGGAAAAAAGTGCAAGCGGAACCCGGGGCTGCAAGACAAGGCTGAAGGGTGGGAGTCGTATGAAGCAACATAGCCGAGTCTTACGTAACAAGGTTTTTCTGGAATGCGAGAAACAAACTTCAAGATCTCGACCACCACATTTTGACGCGTTCCTCTAAACAAAGGAACCAAATAAGACCCTACAGGGTTTCAACAGTCGACTCGGATAATATCAAATGGAATGTCTCAATCGCAGTCTTCGACTCGACTTCCTTGATTCTGCTATACCCAGCTAACCACATGCGACCAAGTCGATATCTGATCGGGTCAGCCTATCCTCCTCCAAACCAGCTGTACCACCTCGACGCAAATCACACTACTTTTTCACAACTCGGACTCGAGGATTTGATTTGCCCAGAGGCAGGACAGTCTACGGATATCCCTCGCACGAATACCCGGCTCTTCTATGCCCGAATCCCCGACAAGTTCTGGCTCTGTTGACCGGATACGTGCTGGTGCTTTGCGACGAATGTCGATGAAGGGTGGCCTTTGAGTCCTCTCTCACTTTGGCACTGATGGGTCAGAGGGGTAGTGAGTGTTTACAGAGATAGAGTGAAATTTCCCAATCATTCTGGACCATAACCGCAGAAAATGGCTCCACGTCGATCTACGGCAAGAGGCTCAAGTGCAACGCCGGTACGGGCAGTATCACCGGCGAAACGGTCGAATCGTGCAGGCAGCGCCGCATCACCAGACAATGCTATCCCACGTCGAGTCACTCGTGGTACCTCTCAACAACCGAGTCTTGCGGCAGATGGTATTGTGAACAACCCGAGGCTGCCTGAGGTGCAACTCCAGCAATCTTATGCTTATGGATCAAGCAAGACTCCCGTCCTACCTACCCAGTTGCTCGCGCGAAGTAGGATGAATTTGACAGAGATGGCCGAAACAATCGATGTTGGAGTCGAACAAGCGCAGCAACATCTCCAGAATCATATCGAGGAAACTCAAGCAAATCTACAAAAGGACCCTCGGGCTGAAAGGGCTCGACGAAGAGCTTCTCGCGAGAACTCACGGGAAGCCTCCGTGGCGAGTGATGATGCCGAGAAACACCGCACTCAGCGAGTAGCAGCGTGGGCAAGTTCTCTAGATGACAACCGACTAAACGGTATACCAGAAGAAAGTCAAGAATCAGTGAGGCTTGAAGCTGACAACGATGACGGAAGCTATGAGAGCGCGGCCCGAAGTATCCCTGATGATGATTCCAACAAGGGAACAGATCCCTCGAGCTTTCCCAGCGGGATATTTGATCATAGCTACAACTATGAAAGAGGTCTCCGGAAGCCTCAGATCACGATACGAGAACGAAAAGACCCATGGTTTCGAAAGGCCTGGAATGGCAGCAAACATTCCGCCCAACAACTTCGGCAGACATCCTCAGACTGCTTTAGTTCGATATTGGACTGGTGGATACGGTTATTGCGGGCCAGCGGCAGGGCGATCAGGAGCATCCCAAACTCGCCACTTGTGGCCATCACGATGAGCATTATTTTCGCATTGGTACTTGTCGGAGGAGCGAGCTTTCTATTATGTCACGCCTACACTAATTTTGTTTGCGATCCTTTATCGACTTCCACAGCCGGATTAACCCTTCAAAAGTTCTGCGGAAGGTGTACGCGGAGCTCCAGTATCGAATCTCTGAATCTTACCGCTGGCAACAGAAACGATCTGTCAAAGCTCACGGCAGCTATACACAACATCAACCAACAACTCGGGATTCTTGAAACACGATTGACCGACAAACTCGACTCACAGTACGCGACAGTCGGTAAAGATATTGAGAGCCTTAAGAGGCACTATTCAGAGCTGTCAACCCAGATGGGCGGCTTGAGACCGGGAGACGAATTGGGTACCTTGCCTGGCAATGCCCCGTCCCCGATCATTCGAAAAGTCAACTACTTCGCACCAAGCAACGGAGCCATGATCGACCTAAAATTAACCTCACCGACAATGCAGAAGCCCCGGCCATTCTTGCACCGACTGCTCTTACGGATTCTGCTCTCGGCGCATTACGTGACCAAGCCACCGCTTGAAGCTCTAACTCCATGGCACGATGTGGGAGACTGTTGGTGCGCTGCGGCCGTTAAGGGCAGCGACCCTGGACCCGAGGATGACTTGATGAGACTCGGCGTGACAGTGACGGAGATGATATATCCCACTGAAGTGCTTCTGGAGAACTATCCGAGCACTGGTTCACTATTGCCGGGATCGACGCCCAAGACCATCGAACTTTGGGCCGATTTTGAACACCTGGATAGTTTGGAGTGGGAGAAGCTGAACATCCGGGCGATGCAAGGCGTGACCGGAAGTCCCTTGGGGCCGACCTACGCACTCATTGGAAAAATGGAATACGATGTCTCGAGCGAGGCTAGTTATACCCAGGCTTTTCCGCTGGATGTGAACCAGGGTTCATTGGCGTACCCTGCACAAAATTTCGTGGTGAGGGTGACTGAAAACTATGGCGCGGAATTCGCCTGCTTGTACAGGGTTCGGCTGCATGGCGTTCCGTTATCTGGCACGAGATCGTCCGCCGACTCGGCAAGCTAGATGGTTTGCCTATTCACAGAGGGGTTTGGGATTGTGCTGTTTTCTGAGAAAATTGTGCGGGTTTGCCCACCTACCTACCTACCGCAACGCCACGACTTTTTGGCATGGTATGTGCCGACAGCGGAACCGGCGTCTAGAGGGAGGTTTTTTTGTGGCACGACTTATGGAAGAGATACCGTGCGGACAGACGTCGTGGGTCGCTTTTGAGTCCAAAGAAACGACAAAGTCGCCGCCATGCCTTAAGAAGGAGACACCAGGGCAAATCAAGTCCATGTATGTATATGAATGATAGAGGATCCCCTCCATCGAAGAACGCTGGAATCGATGAATCCAGAGTTTCTTTTCCGAGCGAAACTTTTTTTTTCCCCCAATTTCGTTGTTATTGCGTTCTCGAAACGTCAATTAAGTGACATTGAGCCGTATATTGTGTTTCGGTGTAGATGCGTATGTAGCTTCTCGTCACTTTCACCTACCTACTTACCTAGGCAGTAGTGGTAGTGTTGAAGGAAGGAGACACCAAATGAGGTTTGAGGGGATGGATGTGTGGATGTGATGAATTGATTAATGACCCCCTTTCTACTCCAGCCTCACAGGGACAGAACTCGTCAGCCTCTCTACCGCATCGATTTGATCAGACCAAAAACAAAACAAAACAAAGAAATACGAGGTACGTCGCAAGTCACCTTTCGCCTCTGGTGCTTGACCTATGGAAGGCAAAGTTCGGGTTCAGAAGAGTACGAGATACAGAGACGAATGAATAAATATTTCTTATCGAGGCGCTCGTCGCGACGGCGTGATGTTAATGTATAGCGTCAGACAAGGTTCTTAGAAGGCGGAGATATATATCTTCTACCAAAAGACTGTAGTCTCTCCCTTAGTTGAACAGTGGTGACTTCTCTCCTTGTCGGGTTGTGCTGCTGCCCCTCCAGCGTGAGTGTCTGGAACCTTGTAACAAGTCTTCGCGTTCCCTCCCTGCTGCGTCTCCGGCGGATAATGCCAGATCAAGTCGTGCACTTTCCCTTCGAGAGTCTCGCCGGCAGGGCCGCGCTCGACCCAGTCGTCCTTGGCGATGCCCGCTAGGTCGGCTACGGTGTCGAAGCAACGCAGGACGGTGCTCATGGGCGTGATCTGGCCCGGAAGAAGCTTGTCCAAGAAACCCAACGGCAGACCGCCCGTGTCGACGATGGCGGGACAGACCGTGTTGATGCGCACGTTGGCCGCGAGGGCGGCGTCAGATTTGCCCAGTGCGCGGACGAGGCCGATGAGAGCGTGCTTGCTGGCTGTATACTGAGGGTTGGATGCGGATGGGACCAGTCCTGCCCCAGACCCGGTGACGACGATCTTACCGCCGGGCCTCGACTTGCCAGCCGCTCCATTGAGGACTGTCATGTAGTGCGCGGCCAGCTTGATGCCGTAATATCTAACACATCGAGATTAGAAACGATTCGTCACTCTCGAGTCCATTTCCGACTAGGGTAAAAAAAAAATGAGAGGTGCCGTCCATAGCACAGAGATTGCGTACGTTCCAGTGACATTGACAGAAAAAGGGTCCGTATTGGGCTTTTTGGGAGGCTTGTGCATGTCGTACGACAGCGTATTGAATATGTCGTCTCGATCGTCGATTCCTGCATTCAGCGCACAAAAGTCCAGCCGCTTTCCCCAGTCATAGGCCTGTTTGAACATGTGTGCTTGCTGTTCCCAGGAGGACACATCGGTATGGACATAGAAAGTGCCCGGCAGGGAGTGCTTCGGGTGGTGGATATCTGCAATGACCACATTCCAACCTAGGGAGTGGAGGTATTCCACGAGGGCTGCGCCGATGCCAGATGAGCCACCAGTAACGATGGCAATTGGAGGGCTCATGGCAGTGGTGATAGCGACATTGAGTTGAGGAATGATTGATGTACAAGTATATCAGTTCCCTGAGACGAGGGCAAAGGGCAAAGGGATGGGAGGAGCAGATATCCTTTTCTTATATCCTGTACTTACCTGTTCTTGAAGTACTCCGGCCTTCCGTTGCCGTTCCAGTAGGATTGTCAGGCTCCCGCACCGACTAGGCTGGGTACATCATAGCCAGTCAGTCGGGCCTATATTCTAGCGGACAACGGACCACCCAAGTTGGTGACATTATGGTGGCACGGGCACCAATCTCCTGACTGTTGGAATGGAATTGGGTAGCCTTCGCGGTAGATGTGCTTCTGTGTCTCCGAAGCATCTCCATTAGCGGGCTGAGAAAAAGGTGATAAGGAGGTAGAAGGTGGTTCGCAAGGGCAAGCATTGACATGGGGGGTCATTTGACTTTGGTACCTGCCGTGCTAATATATTTGTATGGGGCTGGCAGTGGCCGGTCTAAACTATTTTTGTCAGACTGAGCCACTTGTTTTCGTCCCAGCCAAGCCCAACGAGTCATTCATCCAAAGAGTCATTCCCTGCCCGCCGCCTGCGATGTGAATCTCACGACTCACCCATACTTCACCTCCAGAACCCTATAGACTGCAGCGGAATACGGCAAGAACTGGTCACTGGAGACCGAAAGGACTATACTTGTTCTTCGCGTGCTAAACAAGAGGTGGACTTCACCGACGTGAAGGACGCGGCAGACCGCGCAACAGTGAATGAAACTCCGCACGCTGCTCTTCACTCCGCAACGCAGTCTTGTCGAAAATTTTGCCAGACAACGAACATCCCGAAGATCTCTACTTCCCACACTCTCTACCCTCAACGCTGGTAAACACTTTATTGCCGTACCCTCTCGAACCATCACCTCATCAATGACGTCCGAAGTCCCCTCGACTTCGCCGTCAAGCTCTGCTCCTGCACAGCACAAGCCTCTGGTCGTTGGCCGCACCAAACCTCAGTCTGCCACCATGGATAGCTCATCGAGTAGCGGTCCTGTCGACAAAGCCATACCCGCCGAGGCAAAGGCAGCCCTCAACCATGAAATCGCCGCGAACGTCAAATCCAATACGTCAGCCCCCGCACCAGCAGAGGAGACCGCATCTCCGTCAGGCAACAACAAGAAGAAAGAAAAGGCCCCCAAGCAGCCCAAGCAGCCAAAAGCCCCCGCAACTCCCGCAGCCCCTGTCTCTCCCGCCCTTATTGACCTGCGAGTCGGCCACATCCTTCGCGCAATCGCACACCCCAATGCCGACTCCCTCTATGTCTCGACCATTGCGATGGGCGATCCGGAGGGGACAGAACATACTCAAGTTGACGAGGAGACAGGCAAGGTCGTGCGGACAGTATGTTCAGGTCTGAATGGACTGATACCGTTGGAGGAAATGCAAAATCGAAAAGTTATAGTGGTCGCAAACCTGAAACCAGTGAACATGCGCAGCATCAAATCCGCGGCCATGGTGCTGGCTGCGTCTCCGCCTGCGGAGGAAGGTGCAGATCCACACGCAGCCGATCGAATCGTGGAACTGGTAAATCCTCCCGAGGGCAGCGAAGCAGGGGACAAAGTTTACTTCGAGGGCTGGCCGTACGGCGAGGGCAAGGGACCAGAGAAACAGTTAAACCCGAAGAAGAAAGTGTGGGAAGCCGTGCAACCGGGCTTCTTCACGAGTGAGGAGTGCGTGGTTGGGTTTGATGCGGGCAGGGCGGGCGTTGAGATTGAGGGAGACAAGGAGAGGAAGGGCTGGTTGATTGTGGAAGGGAAGGGAAAGTGCACAGTCCAGACGCTGAAGGGAGCCGTTGTGAGGTGAACATTTTACCAATCTCGAACCGACTCTGCCAATTGAATTACTAGAGGATGCCAGGCGTATCTGATGCGGATGGGCAAGACGGCCTTCTCTTGAGTTTGGGAACCAGGCGTCAAACAATGACCTTTTACGCGGTGGTGCATACGAGGACGAAAAAGTTTGGGCCACTGACTGCCTGCCTGCAGTGAGCTAGAGCATAGAAAGCTATGTACTAAATTCGGCGCATTGCGATGCATTGCGTTGTATTGCATTGATTGTGTGGTGTTTACATTGACACCGCCCAAACGAGACAGCAGGACCGTGAACTGTGCTCTCTCGCCAGAGAGACTGACTCATTGACCAGCGTTCAACAAGACAAGATATTCACCTACCCTCAAGTGACATGGAAGAGCAAGAGTAAGTCTTGACCCGGATTTAAGTCTCGAGATAGAAAGGCAAGACAAGGCTGAGGCTGAAGCTCAAGCTATCCCCGGGTCGGTCTGGCACAGGCACCAACGGTATGTCGACGCCATTGTTAGATAAGTAGTAATGAGCAAGGGCTAATTGATGACTTCCTGGGATATGCCACTGCCGAACTCCTCTCCTCTCCAGCCCGCATCCAACGGTATTCATACCACACATATTAAGTTCATGGACACTGGAGGACATGTCGTAGCATACATTTCAAGGCATCATATCGGCCTCGCTTGGTCTTGTCGGCCCCGCAGATGGGCGAGGCCCCAAGATTCCTGTCGCTATACCAATCTATACATGATCGCTGGCGCCCTTTCCCAGACACAATACAGGTTTCGCTGCGTAGGCGCGCTTCATTTCAACAGTACAATCAGTAACACCAGAATGACAATTAGCACGACGATCGTCGTCATGCCCCAATTCTGCTTTGCCCGCTCCGATACACCCTTTAACCGCCTCTTTGCACCATCAAGCCGACCTTGGTGTCTATCTACACCCCTGTCGACTTCATCCAAGAGAGCGATCTGACCCTCGAGTTCATCGCCCACCTGCATGGCCAGGTGACGCTGACGGCCAATAGATTCCCCCAGCCGGTCAAGCTGTTCGTCTTGTTCAGCAATCACTTGTTGGTGGTAGACGTGGATCTGTTGGTTGTCCATGCTCTCGGTGGGGTCGGGTGTATGAACGCGAGAATCCTCCTCGTCTGTGTACCGGGAAGGAAAGAGCGCAGCCCGGTTCGCCTCGTCTTGGGTATCGAGTGATTCTTGCGAGGGCTCATCGCGGAAACGGACATTTTTGGCACCTGGGTTCTGCGCCGCCGCCGCATCCTGTTTCCGCAGGTTCGAGGCTCTCTGTTGGGCGGCGTCACTGGGTTTGCGGGTCTTTGCTCGTTCAAAGTCTTCCTTCAATGCCGGATCATTCGGCGAAGAGAGTGTGTCTTCCGTCGTTGTAGAACTTTCCCCTTGAAACTGCCGTGACAGGTCATTGTATTGACTCCACAGCTGAGACAGCGATTCCTCTTCGGGAGAGCGGCTGGAAAGGGACTCGATGCCTTCTCGAAAGGATTCTAGTGAGCGGGCAATATTTGAATCTTGGGAAGGATTGACGTCTAGATTTAGCGAGATGGCGCGCTGGCGCTCGAGAAGAGAGAGTTTAATGTGGTCGGCGAGAAGCAAGAGCTGCGATGGATTGGACATTGTAGGTTCGGGAGAGGTCGAAGTTTGAGGCGAGTCGTTGCGGGGAGGCGGAGGGTCGCAGGAAGTTCCGCAGTTGACGCCAAGACACAAGAGAGAGAACGAGAGAGGTTGAATGAAGATTGTAGACGTTCTATGTACGAGTAGAGAGTGTCTCAGAGAGCTGGACGAATCGCATGGACGAAGATGCTCTTTGTATAGAGAGTGCATGGATGAAGTCAGCTGAAGCCTGGAAGAAAGAACACGAGCGGGACCGGGACGCTAGGCAAGCCAGCAAGAACCGACCTCTACTTGGAGGCGGGAGTCGCACCAGCCAAGCCCCAGGATGGTGAGTGGACGCCCAGATGCCTGTACTTGTCCTTGGTACATGCAAGGGCCCCCAATAGAGTCTAGGTTCCCTCCAACCCGCGAAAGAGCCCTCATTAGCCTGACCTAGGCACAGTTAGGCACTGTTAGGGTCAGATGAGGCAATGGCGGGGCCTAGGCCCAGGAACAACGCATTCTCTCGCCGTCACCATCGTCCATCATGCAAAAGCCACCACATCCCGAGCCCCGAGGCGACGAATCTTGTCTCCACACGTCGTCTTCCGATTCACGTTCAACAACAAAACTGACTTCAACCAACCTGCGTCCTTTATAAAATATGCCCCTCTGGCTGCCGAATGCGAAGCCCTCCCCTTCTCCTCCCCTAGTCCGTCGATTCAACCCCATCGACTTTCAAAATGGATGAAGATGATGTGAGATACTCTGCGGCAGGTTATGGCTCCCTGCCCTCGCCGAGCCCAATTCAGTCCCAGTTCGATACCCTCTTTGCCGAGTTCGCTCGCTCTCGTCCCCGAGTCTCACCTCCGCGATCGCCTTCCTCCCTGTCTTCCGCGCCAGTGTCGAGACCGCCGGAGAAGAAGACCATAGACCTCCGGGCACTGGACTACGTTACGGACTACGACACGAACTTGATGTGTCCGATCTGCCATGTCCCTTTTATCGAGCCGGTTGTCCTCGAATGCGATCACACATTCTGCGACTCTTGCCTAAAAGAATATCGTGAGGGAGGGTCTAGCGGCTCACGCAATCAATGTCCTTCGTGCCGTTCCTTTCTCTTGTCAACTTCTCACAAGGCTTCTCGCCTCATAGTCAACATGTGCAATGATATCCAGGTCAAGTGTCCCAACGAGGACTGTGAAGAGGTCATCGCACGAGGTTATGTCGAACGCCACGCAACGAAAGAGTGCCCGCACGAGCGACTTCCGTGCCCAGACCCAGACTGTGGGAAATTGGTCAAGCGAAAGAACTATGTGGAAGAACAGTGCATCCACTCTTCACACATCGAGTGTGACTGCGGCGCCGTCATCGAGCTGGGCAAGGGTGATTGGTTGAGACACAAGGATGAAGATTGTCCAAATACCGGAGTCAAGTGCAAGCAATGTGGCCAGAGAATTTCAGCGAGAGACTATTTGAATGGCATTACAGGCCATGTTTGTGGGGCCGACGAAGACCAGCGCTGTCCCGGCCGAGGATACGGCTGCACAGAAGAGTTCTACCCCGATGATCGGGACGAACACGTAAAAGCGTGTCCACTGGCACGCATGGCTCCGTACCTCCAAAAACAGTCGCAGTTGCTCAAATCTCTTCAAGAACAGCTTGCCATGGTCAAGGTCCGAAACGAGGTGCTTGAGGCTGGGTTTGACAAAATCAACGATATTGTCAACGACCGTGTCCTCCCTCATATTGGCCATTCTGACCAGTCTCAGGCTGGTGAGGCCTCGGACGTTGAGGAAATTGAACGAGACCACATTCCGTCAGCCATATCTCACCGTGATCTTCTCATGCCAGCACATCTTCGCGCCTTGACACCTTCGCCAGACCCTGAGGCGTCCTCGATTTCCCAAACACAACAACACCTCCTTGCTTTACACGAGTCCTTGCGCGGGACCGTCTCGAATCTCGAACAGGACATTTCAGCCATGTCCAATGCACTTGCAGATCTCGACGCCCGATCGTCAATGCAGATAATGAACGAAACATTGAGGATAAAGGAAGAGCTGGCTCATACCAACGCTGCCTTATTCAGTACCAGATCACAAGTGCAATGGCTGCTGAACCGCGAACGAGTAGGACAACAGCAACAACAGGCCGGGCTAACACGTGGTCGCGCACCGTCGGCCCAACCCCATCCCGCAAACACAGCGTCATCGGCGAGGAGTTCGGTATCTGAAGGCACTGATGGGTCAGGTCAGGGGTCGAATCTGGACAGTCAGCCTTCTGGGAGTGCGAATCTAGCAACAAGTCCTAGTTTCCGACCTCAGGTGCGAAGGCTCAGCGGCAGTCAAGAAAGAGTCAAATTGTGACGTGTTGTGACCGGTCGTAATTATTTTCCTAACAAGTCGGTATGTCCAGATGCCGATCTGAAGAAACCCATGTGAGAGGCTATATAGTGAGATATCCGTCAATCAGCGGGTCAATTCGGTACGCTTCACGCTTTACGTTCACTAGGTCCTGCGAACAGATGCACTACTCAAATGAAAGAGCGTGTCTGACATTTACATGCGCTGAATGCGCGACGGCGAATGGAAGAGCGCAAGTTTCAAAGCACAGAGTTTCCCCAGGAAACTCCTTATCTTTGCGAGCCTTGCCGATTCGCTTGTTCTCGCTTTATGCTCGGGTGGACCTACTCTTTGTGGGGCGCGGTCTTCTGCGGTCCTCGCTTCAGCAACCAACTTGTATACCGAGTACCGTCCAGGTCAACGCAGATTCATTAGGATTGGCCAGCTACATGTGAAAGGGGGAAAAGGGGGCAGTCTACCGCGATCGAGGATGGATGGCTTCAAGCACCAACGTCTGATAAGGCTCCGACTATCTGGCTAAGTACGGTGGTGGAGGATTGGGATTGGGTCGCCAGGGTGCATTAGTATACTCGTACCTCTGAAAGGCGCGGAACGTGGTGGTCCTGCCCATTGAATGAGTTGGTATTGATAATGATGTCTACGAACTAGATATACGCCATATGACTATTATGATTATGACCATGACCATTGCCATTCCTATGTATATCGTCATGTTTTATCTGTCTCCCTCTTTCCAGACATCATCATCTTCTACCGTTTTATCCGAATAGGTAAACGAAAGGCACGCACCTGTTGTGTAACAACAATAGAGCCACATTCACTCATCAACCATCCTCATCCCCTCGAACGCTAGAAATTTGATCTCTTTTTGTTCTGCACTGGACAGCAACTTAGGTTGTGGTTGCTGGACGAGTCACACATACATTCACATATACACACAATCCATACGCCCTCTTTGACGGACGGACTTCACCTCGCCTCGCCTCGCCTCACTTCGCCTCACTGCGCGAAGCTTCACACATCTATACACCGAAGACAGGTCCACGACGCAGTCAACATGGGCCACGGCAGGACGCTCGAGTATCCCAAGACGTCGGTGAATAGGGTCAATCGGTATAATCAGCGAGGTGAGTCCGCGCAGCACGTACAGAAGCAGAAAATGTTTAGGGAGGGGGGGCGAGCAAGCATTTCGTCCTGGAGCATTTCGCGCAGAGCACGCAGAGAGAACAAGCAGATCGGAGAAGAGAAGATAGACGGATTCGATGGTCGTGTTGTGGTTGTGCTTCTTTACAGGAGGACTTCCCCTCTCCTATATCTCCCACTCCCAAGCGTTGAGAAGGGCGATAAACACCCAAGTTTCGGCGTGATTTCTCGATCTCACTCTTTCTGCTTTTTATCCCTTTGACTTCCCTAGAGTTCCCCCATAAGCCATTTTATAAAAGGAAAGAGAGATGCGCCGGAAAATCACCCAGAAGAAGGAAAAAGAAAAGGGCAGTCGGGGGAATCTCTCTTTGACCACGTTTGCTCACAAATCCTGGCATAAAACAAACAGCAACGTACGATCTCGAACAAATCCACTCCATAATCAACACGAGCACCGTCGTCCACGTCTCGTTTAACACGCCCGACCCGTCAAATCCGTTCCCGGTCACGTTGCCCATGGTCGGGGTGGCGGCGAGCTTCGAACACCCGTCGGCGTCGCTGGGCGAACCGCTCGACATCTACCTGCACGGCTACGTCAGTTCGCGGCTGATGAACCTGTCGCGCAATGCCGTCCAAGCCGCGCCGGATTCGACTTCCCCTCCTGCATCCACGGCTGGCGGAGATGGAGGAGGAGAAGGGACGGCACAAGGCCTGCCCGTGACCATATCAGCCACGCTCGTCGATGGCCTCGTTCTGACGCTCACACCCAATACGCACGACGTCAACTACCGCTCCGCCACCCTCTTCGGGTACGCAAACCTGGTGACGTCGCTCGAGGAGAAGGTCTGGGCCATGGAGCAGGTCACGAACTCGGTCGTGCGCGACCGCTGGCGCCACACCCGCGTGCCCCCGGACGGCGCCGAGATGCAGAGCACCAGTATCCTACGGGTCAAGGTCGTCGGGGGCAGCGGCAAGGTCCGCGTCGGCGGGCCGAGAGACGAGCTGAAGGACTTGAAGAGGGACGACATCCGCGACAAGGTCTGGACCGGCGTCATTCCTGTGTGGGAGTGTTTCGGGGATCCTATCGAATACAGAGGCGTCGCGCAAGGGGATGGAAAAGAGAACCGTGTCGGCAGTGTGCCCGAGCATGTGAGGGAGTTTGCGAGGGAGATGAGAGAACAGAACGAGAAGTATGCGTTGGCGGCCGTGGTGGACACAAGCCAGGATTGAAGGAGTGGCGACCGCTCGTTTCCTTTCCTATGGCTATTCAATGACTGCCGGTCCGTTTTCATTCCCACCGAGGTGAAGCGGAGCGAACGAGAGGAGTTTCGAGTTGTCAAGGAATAGTAATACTCGAGTGTTCCATTCCGCTTGCTAAGATAAGAAATTCCCTGTCTCAAGCAGCGAGTCACTGTCTCTCCCTCATCTAGCAGAAGCGCAACACCAGCGTTGGGATTGACATGATGCCCATCAATCAGAAATTTATCCCTAGAATATATCCCCCTGTTTATTGAATGCCTCGACAAACTTCCCTTCCCCATCGGTCAAATCATGCAAGGGAGGCCCGGGTTCGGTTTTACGGGTGTGGCTCGACTATTGAGACGGGTAATCTTCCAGAAGCCCTCCTTCCCTGCTGGCTCTGCTGGCTCTGCACATGTCGTGTAACTCGGGGAACCCCGGTAATTGAAGAGATGCCAATCAAGGAGCGGTTGAGGGGTGTGCCATGAGCCTGAAAATGAGCCCGGACCCGATGCCCACGCCGTCGGATCAACCCGAGGAATGGGAACACGGACATTTGCAGACACGTCTTTGTAAGAGGCGGTAAATGTGTCTCGTTTGTGTCAACGGTCCCACAGTTTCAGAAGGTGGTGCCATGAGAGAGAGAGCGAGTCGTTGGCCCCGGCTGTGTTGGAAACCGTATTCTGAGGATCGACTTTGTCGGTCTCGAGGACAGGGTTGATATTTGGTCGACCTCGTCCACCGAATAAGAAGACGGGCAAGTTGTGATCCCTTGTGTTTGTGAATGAGCACCACCTCGCAGGCAAGGCATGGCAAGGTCGACGTCCTCTTCAACACAGCAACCCTCCCATTGTCTCGTTTTGTACGGGGCGTGTGCGTCATGAATAATGGATGGACCCTCGGTTTGACATCTTGAAAGAGCTCCGCATACTAGGCATTCTGCCATCGCCTCTCCATCGCAGCTTGTCTTCACCGTTCCTCACCAAGGCAACCTGCGCGCCACGACACCAAGTCATGGCCTGATCCTCTATCCCTCTATTGTCTCTTTCCTTTTTGTCGATTCGCTGTTTGTCTTTTCCTTCCTACTCTCATTCACATCCAACTTAGCAGTCACTCCTTTTGTACACGTCTTTGTCGGCGCGCGGTAAACGTAAATTGGTCTCTTTGCTGTTCAAACGAATCGACCAAGTGGACAAACTGGCGCTGTCAGCTCTACCTCACTTGCGTACTTGTATATCTGAACAACTCGATCTCAAAGGCGTCCGTCCGAGCACCAAACAAGGCCATTTCACTCACAACTCCCAAGAAACCCTCAGTCCTACCCTTTCGCAACCAACTTGTCAATGCCATCACTTCAAAAGGTCAAGACGGCCACAATGGACAAGTTGCGCTTGGCCCGCAAATGGCTCAAAGGAAAGCTGCGAGGACGACTCGAAAAGGCTCCAAAAGAAAGCAAACTCGTCATTGTAAGTTGAGGATGACATGCCTCATGCGGAACGAGTCACTGAACTGATATGCGCCGCCTGAAGGGACATCCAACTGATTTTCGACGCGAGAACATCACCTTGGGAACAGACGTGGACGGGTACAAGTCTCCGAGACGAGCACTTTTCCTACGGAACATTTGCTGATGTGTGATCTCTCAGAAACGCAGTACTTGTGGAACAGGCCCGAGAAGATGCCCAAGCGATGCACGTTGCCTCGAAGACACAGACCACAGATAACACAACAGGATAGAAGTACAACATGCACAACACACAGGATTTCGTCAGCCAAACGAAGAACAGCTATGCTTGAGGTCACGGTGAAAATGAACCCAAGCAATCGACATCTGCTGAGGAGGATAGCAGATTGTAAAGATGCGCATGTACTCGAAGATGTCGCTGCTGGCCAGCTTGTGGTTTTCTGAGCTGTCATGTCGAGCAAGACCTTGGATAGGCTGATTCAAACAGGATAAGGGTACAAAGTTTTGTGGCGGCACTCAAATGATGAACATGGGCACCTCCTCGAGTCGCGATTTCTTGTCCTGTTCCTTTCCCTTTAACCCGAGTTTTCCATTTGACTGTGGCACTGCTTTTGGTCTGAGTGCTCCATTAGAAGAGTCATGCACCGTGGCTATTGCGCCAGAATCATCATCCAGATCCACGACAAACTTGCGCGCCGTGGACCGCTCACTTGAGCTGCCGCTAACTACAGGTTGCCTGTGCTCTCGGACACTGTGGTGAGAGATTCGAGACGTCGGTGCAGCTGCCAGACCGTGACCGTCCTGCAAAGTTCCCTGCTTCTCCATGGACCCCAAGGTCGAGAGGCGACTGGAATTGTCATGTTTTGACGATGTACGTCGTACGTGAGCATCTTCTTCGACCAGGTTGCCAGTGCCGTCTTTGCTGTTCTGAATTCTAGCGAGACCCATGCCAGCCTTTGTACTGCTCGAAATTCCCTCCAAGCCAACGAGAGATTTCTTCTGTTGACTGTCACTCGCCATCAGTGGGCCAAGACTGGTGCCGGTCCACAAGTCGTCGACGACCTTGTCCTCGTTCTCCTCATCTTCGAGTGTTGGATCTCTCAGGACTCGTCGTAACGTATCTTTCTGTTTGTTTTGCAAGGCAACCGATTTGAGTCGTCTCTTTGTCCTCTCGGACATGGGCGATGTAGGTTCAGGAAGGGGTTTCGGAGCTGCTTCTCGTGCTTGTTTCATCAATCGCTTGTACTCGGCATGATGCAGATGTGCGGTATATGACTGTGCAACCGTCTGGAACTCGTCTTCCACCATAATGTAGATGTCGTCCCCATCGTACCCTTCCCGGATGAGCCTGGATGGCAGTGAGAACAACGCTCCGCATAAAATCGACTAGCATCACTCACTCTGTGGAAGGAGGGCCGCGAATAGAAGACGACGAAGGAGCTCTCCCTAAGCATACAACTGTCAGTCGCAATCTCTTCTATTCCGCCTCATTTCTCTGTTCTCCCGGGGAACGCACGACTTGGATCTGTCAAGGGAGTTGGCTTGGGGGAGCGGCCGCGGTCAAACGCATGCGCGTTACCGGCTGACAACTTGTCGCTGCGCGATGGGGAAGATGCTCTCTCATGCTTGATCCGAGATGCGGTAGCCACCCGTGCTTTCTTTGCTGGCGGGAGACGGTCATCCGCCCAGGGCAAAGTGCGGGCCATGGTTCTGTGGTTCTGGAGGACTGCAGCCTGTAAAAGACCCTAATGCGCAGGAAGCTCAAGGGGGATTTGCCCGTTGCGGATTGCTGTGTCTCAAAAGCAGTTTACCCGTATACATGTCTGCCTTCTTGGTTGGACGTGAAACTCGGAGGCTGTGAGCACGTCGTCACGGCTAGAAAGCGTGAACAAACCGCATGTGGGAGGTTGTTGAACGGCGGCTGAAACAAAGTGCCCCGCTACGCACCCTCACTACACACGTTACGGGGTACGTTTCATCCACCAAACAGTCTCTTTCAAGAGCTGAATGGTAGGGCTATACCGAGTGCTCAATACGCAGATGGCTCCTGAGCCCGATCTTAGAGGCAATGCAAAGAAGTGATTATAGAAGAAATTTTGATATTCTGAGGTGCCTTTTTCGCAGCCTTGAAATGCATCGAATCAGCCCAGGGTATCATTTTCCACTCACGCAGAGCGCTCATAACCCATATTGTCGCCACCAACTCCATGTAAACGTGGTCGGTCATGTTCTATCCCGTCCGCCCAAATGCACTTCGTAAGAATATCTGAAATCTGCATGCGCAACTCGTAATGCCACCCCACCGACAGAACACCGTCGTTGTATGACCAATAACCTCGTTAATCAAAGCTCCTATGCCTCGCCAGGTTTTTTCGAATTGCAGCTGACAATCTTGACCTTGTCCGCGTGGAACTCTTGACCGCCATCACTCTTGAACTTGACGTCCTTAACGAGGAAAGTCCACACATCGTCGCAGAATCGATAGGTCTCCAGGTGACCCTGCGCAACTGTCAGCAGATCCACCATAGATTTTCCAATCTGATGCCGACCTTGAACGTCAATCTCGACTTGACCTTCTCTGCTAGTGTCTCAGCGATCGCGCGATCGAAGTTGCTCAGGATCTTCATAGCCAGTTGTGGTTCGATTCGGCCGTCATTGATGAGATCGTCAATGGTATCGATAAGCGCCTCGCCGATGCTATATAGACTGTCAACATCTTCTCCGGCTGGTTTTCTTGGGTGACTCGCTGGGTAGCGGAGATATAACACCTCAACAGTCGCTGTGTCGCAAAGAGCAACCTACCTACTGCCGCGGTACAGCTCGTAATACTGCTGCGTCGCCATCCTTGTGCTCTCGTGGTCTCGTCTGTATTGCTCAAACTTTGGATACTCCCTGGAGACTATTATAGACCGAGTGGTTCCTCCTGCAATGAGATAGACCAGAGCTGAGGCGAGAGTGAATGCGGTGGGGATGGACGAGATAGATGAACCAGAGAAGTAGCCTGGATTGTCTGGCAGCCTTGGGAGGCAAGGAGGGTCTGATTGGCGAAAATCATTGGCTGGGAGAGAATCTCCGGGCTTGGCATTAATGAGGAATATGATTGGACAAATCCTGCTTCCGTCGTTACCCCCGCAATACCTTCTGGGGCTACCTTGGGCTGCACTACCTCGTACAGGTAATAGTAATGGGCGAACCTCCATTCTTTCGCAGCCGATCTGGGGCTGAAAGTACTTCCCATCTTGAGTATCTGCGATAATGAAACAACAGGCTCTAGCCCTGTCAACGGCCATCTGCTGTGGCCGGCGACATGTGTTGAAATGTACGACGATCCAGCATCGCTTCAAGTCTACTGCGACGAGTACTAAGAAGGAATCCGGGGACAAATCAGCTAATGCGGAGGACGTTGCGAGGAAGAAAGAAGCGTTCGACAAGCTGAAGAAGACACACAAGAGTATGGCCGACGCCGATGAGGAGATGCGGCAAGCTATGGAGAATCTAGCAGGAGATGGGGGAGAAGCTGGACTCGAGCTCGAGGACGGCAAACCTGTCGCCATGAAGAGGGGTGTGCGAGAGAACATGTTCAGATATATCTGAATATGGGTGGCCAAAACGGCAAACGACATGATCGCAGTCTTCATAAACGCCATGTGTTTGAGACCAAGTTTCTGATGAAGCTCGGACTCGGGTATCGTGCAAGCTGAACAACGGAATCTGCTGAAGCTCAACAACCAGCAAAGAAACAAAGCGCCATCCTAGCCATACAAGTTGTTGATATCACGAACAAGAGCGTCCACGGAACTGCCTCCTGGACAATCGTACCACTTTCCCCCATCGCGGATGCATCGAACCTTGTCTGCGAGCCTGACTGTGCAACTCTTTGTCACATTGTTCTCTTGACTCCTTTCGATGCTGGCTCGAAGCAGATCGATCCCTTCTCCCTCGTCACTGATGCATGAATTGAGCAGTTGGAAGTCGAGACCATGTTCCATGGCACAGCTCTGGACAAGGTCTCGTTTTGGGATATCTGGGTACTCGGAGATCATGCAGTTCGCAAATCCGAGCCAGAGTTTGACTTCGGGATAGACTTTAGCTGCGCAAAGGAGGATAATGTTGCCCAAGCACTCGCCTGGTCCATGTTTACATGAAACCGCGTCGGAGTGAGGATCGATACTGTGGTAGAGTGAGCGATGGCTCATATCTCAGGCTAAGAGCAGGACGGCATACCTTCCAATGAATGACATTGTTAAATTGACCTTTTCATTCACTTGGATCATCGTGGGCACTATCAGCTCACGCAGGCAATCCCGTGCATCTGGACATTTGGACATGACATGTATTTCCAGCGCGACTTTGTCTCTTGATTCCCCATTCTCCACGATGTCTGATGATCCTTGGGATAAGGTTGGGTCATAGTGGTGGTGGCAGACGAATGTGGTGCGGAAGAGGGAGAAAATCACCAGTATCGTGAGGATGGCTGGGATGACCCTTCTCACGAAGAAAGGTCGTCGAGGAGCATGTTGGTCGGGGAGAGCATGACCCGTAGACTCGGCGTGTTTGTGTAGCGGGAGCTTTTCCTCGGAGTGCGGCGGCTGGAGAACCATGATGGGTACAAAGAGCGTTCAGTGTACCGAGTATACTATTAGCGTGAGGGATGCGGTCGGGTGCAAGTGGCTTTTGCAGGTATCGTTTTGTTGAAAGATGAGGGGGAAATATCGGGCTGCCTTGGCGAATCTGCTCGCCTGTAACCCCGTAGCGGGTGGCCTGCAGGGGCTTGTGCAGTGGGGTGGCAGGTACCGATGCACCATCCGGAGTACTCCGTGGCACCAAGTGTCATCCTGGCGTCTGCCTGATGCCACCCAGATGCGACAGGTTTGCGAGATGAAGCGGCTTCATTTTCTCGATATGATGATATTACAACCCTCCTTGATAGATTACCGTGACAGATACAACAGCCTGTGTACCTAGGTAGTCCCTGTCAGGGTGGGGGGGGTAATATTCCCAAAGACACCCAAGGTACATGTCAAGATGTACACGTATATTACGTAGGTACGGTACATTAAGCATGGGACAGGTACCTACTCCAACTCCCCTACGGAAGGTGCCTAGGTAGGAAAGTGCCGAGTCCTTCCTCCCAAGCTGTCTACCACCCGTCGAGCCGTGCACCCCTAATAATAATACCTACGGTGCTAGGTAATCCTTCAGGCCAGAATCCAACCGCGCCGTTATCGCAGGTTCAATTAGGCAAAATAAGTCACCTCGATTCATTTGAGGGGGTTCTTTACGTAGTACCTCCATCTCTGCGGCCCATAGCGAGCTCCGAAAAGCGGTCGTAGCCCTACCTTAAGGTAACCTGCCATGTGGCAGCGCAGTCAAGCGCAGGTTAGAGTACGAGGTATAGCAGACAACATCAATTCGCTGGTCTAGCCCCCCAATTTTCTTCACCACCCACGCATCCGCTCCCAAGCCTCATTCACTAGCCACTGCATCTTATGCACAACACCCTCCTCCTGTTGGTCTCCGCCAAAAGCCTGTGCGCCTAAAGATGCCCTGAAACCTTTTTCAGATGGTTGCTGATTCGCACTCGAAAAAAAAACCGAAGCTTGAGGCTGACTTTTCCCCCTTCCCCTTCAAAGTCCCAGGGTCACATTCCGACTCCCCAGCGTCACATCTGAACCACGAGATATAGCGATCGAAACCTGTTCATTACGGGTACAATCTTCTTACCCAGGCCTGTTTCATCTATGAATCTTCACGATCTCGCTCCCGCAGCTTGATTCTCGAACTGACCTTGAAGAACTGAAAGATTTCGACAACCCTGACACCCTGCTGCTACTCGTAGATCGGCCCCGACTCATCCTTCGATGCTGACTTGATCGCCTCGCACGTGAGTGTACGGGAGTATCAATTTGTGCACCTGTCAGCGATTCGAGCTTGCCAAACCCCCAATCCGCCACCCGACAATGTCGGAGCAAGCCTCACATCGGTCGGCCAGCAATGGAAGCCCGCCCCCTGATGATCTCGAGCACGAACTCGATGCCTTTGTACAGCCGCTGCTTATTGACGATAACGTGGTACACAGCCTGGCATATAAGTTCTCCAAGGTATATGGGGAGCTAGCCTTATGCTCCGAAGAGCAATTCCTGCCTACTCCTGTTACCAAGTTGCCCACTGGTCATGAGACTGGTCAGTTCCTGGCCATCGATGTTGGAGGCACCAACCTTCGAGTTGCATTCATCGAATTGCTGGGCGACGCGGAGGAGCTGCTGCCTACAGCCAATGGAGTGGAACGATCACGTGAGACGATCCGGAATGCTCAACGTCCTCGTGTGCGGCGGACACTGGAGAAGGCGTGGCCTATCGGAGAGCATTTGAAGATGGACAAGACAGAGGACCTCTTCGCCTGGATTGGCGACTGTATAGCAGAGGTCGTTGGGGATCGGTTGACCTCAGATATGGGCAAGGTGGATGTTCCTGACGAGCTCCCAATGGGCATCACTTTCAGCTTTCCCATGATGTAAGTCGAGACGGTGCATGGAAAGATCCAATTACTGACAAGGAATCTAAGGCAAACCGAGTTATCCGCCGCGACGTTGATGCCCATGGGGAAAGGTTTCACTATCAGTTCTGATCTCGACCTTGGATCTACTCTATTACAAGGCTATGCCCGCCACACGCGCCGACAATCTCCCACAAGCTCGTCACCAAAAGCAAAGCGGAGGAAGCTCGGCCCACTTCCCCGGCTCAAGATCACTGCCATCACCAACGACACGATTGCCACTCTCGCTTCCCTGGCATACACTGTCAAATCCCTCCCCAACTCTCGGGTCGTCGCTGGCATCATTGTCGGCACAGGGTGTAACGCTACGATTCCCATGAAGTTCTCAAGCTTGGGAGAGGCCAAAGTCGAACCCATCAGAAAGAACAAACCTCATGCTACCGAGACGGTCGTGAATACTGAGATCACAATCGCTGGTGCTTGTGGCCCTTTACAGGATATCACAACTGAGTGGGATCGTCAATTGGACCTGGCGTGCGCGCGGCCGGGATTTCAACCCCTGGAATACATGACTGGAGGCCGATACATTGGAGAGCTGATTCGCATTATTTTCTTTGACTACATGACGCGTGCCCACAAACCACCGGTGCCAGCAGCGTCTCTTCCCGCCACGATTGTACACAGCTATAGTTTTAGCACCACCTTTGTGAGTGCCGTCGTTGCTCGAGCCCGGTCAGATTCAGAACTGGCTGGTGAACTGAAGCGTCGCATTCCTCCCCCCGAATCTTCGAACTGGGGATGGACACCGCATTCGGCCGGCGCACTTCGCAAAATTGCGCAGCTGGTTCAGGTTCGGTCTGCTGGGCTTATTGCAGCCGCTACAGTCGGACTTCTGGCTACTGTGGGCGAGATCGCACTGACAGAGCCTGGCAGCCCTGCGTCAGTTCCTGATGCGATGGTCTTGACCGACAGTAAGCCAGCATCCCCCAAGTCAAGCGTACCTTCTCTTCCACAACGTGACGTGAGAGATGGGCTATCGCCCGCCCCTGGAGCAACAGCGTGGAAGTCAGGACCCGAGGAACTGGTTATCGCTTATACCGGCGGTATCATTCAACACTATCCTAACTTTAAAGAGCAATGCCAACGGTTTATCGACCGGCTGGTAATGAGAGCAGGTCCTCAAGACGGCGGTAAGAGTGTGTTCTTAAGAGAAGCTCGGGATGGCGGCATCATTGGTGCTGGTGTCCTTGCAGGGATGGAGACTCAGGAACGGGGCTTGTCATGACAAGCCTAAGCTTTGACGGGTGCGACATGCTCGTCGCATCTGAATATGCTATTGCGACTTTTAGTTGCGGCCAGCAGAATGTAGGCACTGCCAGCCTTTTCGATTGCACAGATGAGACGATTGATCGACAGGAGACAAGTCTCGAGGATTCGTGGGAAAACCCCGGTGATTCAACGATAGGGGAAATTGTGAACTCGAAGCACGCATGATGCAGGGTCAACCCCCTGCGTTTGGAAGACTGTGAAAGGAGCTGCCGGACCGTTTAAGAAGCCTCGGGTCCAGTGGTACGGAGCACCATTAACGAGGTGGTTCCTCAATCTGTCACGGAACCCCTCGTACAAACATTCCGTGCGACGGCGAGTGATGCTGACGCAGACATGCTCGTACCGAGTACTCGCACACACTTGAACACTTAGCGAAAGGAAAATTGGCCTCGTGGATTGGTGGCGAGGCAGGTTAGTGGGTTCCAAGGGCGCAGGCACGCAGGCTTCAACCCCGCGAGTTTTAACCGAAGGATCCAAGGACCAGGTCAGGATCAGCACCAGCGCAGATACCACAATGAAGGGGTCCCACACAGGACTTTGGAGACCTCAGTGCGCGACCGAGTGTATTTCGAGGAACAAAGGCCGCATACTGAGTACATACCTTATCAGTACCAATATACATAGATTTCTAACAAAGGAGAGAGGTCTGGCTGGGTAATCATCGATTTGACTGATGATTACTCGAAAAAAGACTCGATGTCATCAGATGAATCATGACCTCCCGATTCTGAAACGGAATGACCCCGGGAGACGATTCGACAGCTTTTGGAGATCTCCGGCCGTTCTCAACAGCCAACAGACATGAGTGGCTGCAGAGCTTGCATCAAGCTTGGACCATCTCTTGTGTGTCTGTGTGTTCATTGCCTTGAACGGGCCATCTCAGCGTCGCCGAAGTGTATCCATCAAACCGCTGCAGGTCTCAGGGCCCAGGCCAAATTGAGGCATTCTGATGGTGCTCAATGGTTGCTCCGGATGAGGTGGAAATATTCCGTCCAAACTGTATGAGGTACTGCTCGGCTGTGTGACCGGACTCGATGCTGTACTGGCTGAGGAAGGAATGCGTGAACCCCGAAAGCGCGTGTACTATTAGGCGATTCGGTGAAATCGAAATTTGTGACCAACAATGGTGCATGGGGGAATTGTTGTTGGTTGGGATTGAATTGAACACGAGGATCGGTACGTGTAGACGAGCGCAGCCCATCCAAGTTGACTGACGTCTCGGAGACACGCGACCAGCACTTGGACAGCAATTCATGCAATACTCCTGCTCCTGCCCTGTTGGTAGGCTTGATCTTCCCTAGGCACCCTCGGCACCGAGCGAATGTGCTCAGTAGGCTCCGTGCTGGATACATGGGCTCTTAGCTTTTGCCCCGTCAGCTCTCGCTTTAACCCAAGAAGGGGCTGATTGACCGAAAAATGGCGTAAGGAGATCAGCCCATCCACCCTCTGGGCAGCGGGCACCACTGGCAACCCGCCCCGACCACCTTCCCCCGGTCGACGCATTTTTGGTTGCGGAATTCCTTTGCCCCCAAATTCCCTCCAGGAGTCCAGGACCAGGTCTGGGTCTCAGGTGCCGATGGCGTTTTGGCTGGGTCTGGTGCGCATGTCGGTGTGGAGAAGGGTCATCTTTTTCACGTTTACACCTCGACCAAGAACTGAGTGATGTGCACTGAGCAGCTAACGGGCCCTCCACCTTTTCCCACTCACCCGCATTTTTTGCTTTGGCTGCATGATCATTACATCGATCCCTCTTTCTTGTCCAAACCACTTACTTGTATACGACACTCTTCTCGACATCGGCTCGGTCAAATTCGAACTCGTTGACGTCGCTCGTTGCTCCTCCAGCAAAACCATTTCCGGTCGTCCCTCGAAAGTCTCTGTCTCTACCACTTTACTCGGTGTCGCCCATCGACTTGCTTCAACCTTCTCCGGCGCCTGAGAACCTGACCTGTCTGCTTCCCCCGTCAATTGCGAGAGGCGTACCTTGTCTTCTGCTCTGCTATGCGCAGAGTGTCGCAGAGTATCCAGTCTTAATGGGCGCAGTCGGACTTTCGCCCTCTTGCTCGCTGCGCACGGGTTGCTTTACTTGTAAAGCCAGAGAAGAAACATGAGCCCAATCCCAACAATAGCAGATGTCATTCATGTCTGGGTTAGGCGCGATGAACCAGATAATCCAGAACAGAGGCCGAGTGACCCGAATGGACTCGTCCTTGAAGCTTGGGGTGGGTAGTGCCTTGTCTACCAGTCGTCGTACAATCCTGGCAGAAGAAGCAGTGGCTGACAAAACTTTTCGGAGACAACAGCGCAGGGGTACATGGTCGGGTCACTCATCATCATGTCCTGCATCACATTGGCAAATATGCGGAAAGGTGTTTTGCTGCACAAATTGATTTTGCTCGAGGTAAGCTGGACGGATTGAACCCCTCGGGCGCTTTATGTTCTTGGGACAGCGACTGACCAGTGACGTGGGTTAACAGCTCGTCCTCGGGTATTGGCAAGGCTTCTTTATCCTGTTCAACCCACCTGTGTACGCCTGGTGGCTCTCTGTAGCCGCCATTCCGCTCAATATCTCCTGGTGGTTGCATAATGTCATCGCCTGGATGAAGTTAAAGCCTTTCCTCAACAAGACAGTCAGTCGGCTTTTTATCGGAACCGTAATCTTGGTGATACCGTATTGGATCGTCGAGATATATGCCAACTTCACCTACTTTCACAACGTCAACAAGGTCTTCTTGAAGACACGACCATGGGAAGCGCTGTGCCGAGATCCTTGGTGGATATTGGCAGCCTGCCTCCTGATATACAACATCAAGACCAAGTACGACTTGACACTGACGCAAATTGTTCGCATCTCTCCTCGTTTTGCCGTCATGCTTGGTGCCATGGTGCTCAGTATATGCTTTATTATCCTGGACGTCCTGTCGGTTACCTCGGCCCTCAAGTCTGTGTTACCGGTGGGCATCAACCCATTCTGGAAGCTGTCCTTTGTCTTCAAGTGCTTGACCGACTCGGTTGTCTTGGACGATTTCAAAACAGCTCTAGATCGATTGAGGGCATTCAAAATGAGCCGGCTTGGCAGCTTCGCTATGGATGCGGCAGACTATCGTAACAAAAAGCACACGGAGGACGTGAATACCGCCAACAATTGGAGCACTCCGCCTCCTCCACCAACCGGGGATAAAGCCCAACCGATCGCCCCTCTACCAATATTACCTAGCCCTGATAGCGACTATATCAAGCCTCGCTGGGAGGAGCTGAAACATGGGCGCTCTGCCCATTTGGAAAACCGAGACTCGACAGAGATTGCTCGAAACGGCTCGAGAGATCGCGACCCAGAGGAGAATCCCTTTGACGCGATAGACTATGCCGATCCTCAACGAGAGTCCAGTGACACTCAAATGCTCAAGGCGAATTCCAGTTGGCTGCAACGGCGGTCCTCTGAAGAAACCTCTGACGCCGATATAGAATATGCCATGGCGGTCCGGTCGATGACCAATGATTCCATGGAACAACAACGCAATCGAAGCAAATCAATAGGTATTGCCAAGTGAGCTTCAGAGGTCTGCCCCCGGAAGGGCACCACTTGACCATGATTCTCCAACAGTTGTCACACAGCGCTGAGCGCATCACAGGGTCGTGACAATCTGTATTGGCCACGAAATTGTCCATGCAAAGGGCGAACCTGTCAAAGTCCGCCACCCCAGCACAGCTGTGGCTAGACTTTGTAGAAGGCCATGCTGCCTTCACCGCCCGCCCGGCTCTGCCGTCACGACGGCAAGAGACAATGTTCAGGCAACGGACAATGCCGAGCAAAGAGCGGTACGCACCAGACCCGGCAACCAGATGCCTGACAGAAGGCAGAGGCATGGACTTAATGGACTGGCTTTGGAGCTCTGAATGAGCATGGAGCACCCAAAGCGGACTCTAAGAATGAGGAACGAAGGAATGGATCTGGGATACATTTTCCAAAATTTTATCGCAAGGATACCCCGTGATATTGCCGTCACGTTCAAACATAGCGAACTGGCCTGGACTGGAAAGAAGGGAATTGCATTGGATTTATATGCTTGGACTGTTTCTTGTAGCGTTTACGTGTGTTGCTTGTACACAAATAATAAGCATTCGGTTCTGTGTCCGTGTCTTTATGGTTATGTGTACATGTATGTTTACAGAAGCTCGTGCACGAGTAGCTCGAGCAGGTGTTCGAGCGGTACCCCTGGCCCCGTATGCAGGGTGTCGCAATTTGACTGGTTCGCGGGCACCCAATGAAGCCCCGGCCGTTTTCTTGGCACAAGGACCCTCCCGAGCCACCCTCCAACGCAGCAGAACAAACGCGTCTCCAGGCCCTGCGCGATTCCCCAGTTGATACTTTGTACAATTCAGTACTTTCTCTAATTCTTCAAACAACCCCCAACTTTCTCCCTTGCCACGGAAGTCTGTTCTTGTCAGCATTGCGCCGGCGCTGGAGGACTTCTGATATGCCGGCAAATGTCTCAGTCGTCGAATCTCTTCTTCTGTCAGATCGATAAATCCATCCCCTATGGATGTCCTCTCGACTAGCACTCCCAACGGGGATCCCGGACCTACAGCGATATTAGAGCCCGTGGATCCCCTCGACGTCCTCGAACATATTGCGAATCTGATTGAGACTACACTGGGTGCTGCCAGGAGAGAGCTCGAAGCAGTTGGCAGCCTTTTGTCCAAAGCCAGCCGTCCCGAATCCCTCAATAAGTGTGCTCGATTTGCCACAGATCCTCAGATTACTCTCTATGCGCAAAAGGATGTTCAGGAAGAACTGGTTAATGGTCACGATGACACCCCAAGTCAGTAATGAATCGGAGCCTAAAGGTAAACACTGCTAATCCATTAGCAGAAATCGAGCATCGATATACCCTTTCATCCGAGTTGTCCCCTGCACAAACGACTGTTGCCACGATCGCCTTTTTGAAACTCTCCGGCCCTCTCGATGCACGGAAATCGATAGCCAGTCAGATTCAAGTCTTCAATCTCCCGGGCTCCTACAACATTGGTGGTGAAGCAAACACTGGCGGAGACGTTATCTCACCCTATGAAGTGGTCTACTCGCTCCTACACAACGTTCTCAGCCCATACTTTGAGGCGTACACCCGGCAGCATGGCTCCATCAACCGAAACTGGTATGACCCCCAGGCGAAAGGGGGTATTCCTGGTGCGAAGAGAAGGATTGCGGAATTGGAAATGAGTCTCCTGCACCTGCAGCAAAACACCGATATCCCAATGATACACTTGCCCATGCATGAAGTGGTGATGGGAGCCGTACAAAATGCCGAAGCACAAGGATTGTCCCCTTCTGTGCAATTGATTCCGGCTCACGTCCTTGAGAATACCACCGTTCTGAACAGCATCCAAAACCATGTGATTGGGTGGATCAAGTCAATACAGAATGTCACCAAACTGACCAAAGATGTCAAGGATGCGACACCCGCACAGACCTCTGCCGCGCAGGAAATCAATTTCTGGTTATCATTGGAGGCTTCTTTGAATAAATTAGTGGAAGAAATAAGTCTCGACCATGTCCGTTTGACGTTGGAGATTCTCAAGAAAGCCAAGCGGCAACAGGCGGTTGTCAGTTTTGAAACCGACACCGGCTGGAGAGACGCCCTCGAAGTCGTGCGGAACTACAACACGCTCATGAGGGACTTTCCCCTGGATGAATTGTCTTCTGCAACGTCATTCCAGAAACTGGCAGAAGCTCTTGTCCTAATCTTCAATCATCTGAACAAGAAATGGAGGGTGTGCAACTACCCCATCCGCCGAGCACTCAGGCTAGTGGAGGGTATCTCGGAAGATATGAACGCTCAGATTCTTCGTCTGCTTCAAGGCCGCTCGATCATGTCACTCAGCTGGGACGAGTTTACCGACCTAATGAACTCAGTCAACCTGGTCTGGGAGACTTGGGATGATCAGATGAAAAGTTTCACAGCTGTTGCCCGGGAGATTACAAGGCGCAAAAACACCGACTTTGTGCCCGTGAAGATAGTTCCTCGACACGCTCAAACTCAAGAACGACTGCGGTACGTCTACCGCTTTCGGAACGACCACGAACAGCTGCGTCGGACGATAATCAACGTTCTTGGAACCAAAACCCACACAACGGACTCGACTCGACCAGCCGATGATGGTGGAGCTGCTATCATCGAGGAACTAGGAGATGTGGATGCCGTTGAGGAAGTTGCCGGAGCCTATGACATTGTCCGCCATGTGGATGTGTTAGATGTGTCTCCGAAGGGGACAGAGATTTGGGTGCAGGCTGAAATGCAGTATACTGAGCGCACATCTCGGGTGGAGGATTCAATCATCACTAGGCTCAGAGATCGGTTAGGCAAAGCGAAGACGGCAAACGAGATGTTTCGAGTGTTTGAGAAATTCAACGCTCTATTGGTCCGCCCCAAGGTTCGGGGCGCTATCGCCGCATATCAGACCCAGCTTCTGGACAATGTCAAGAACGCTATTGCTTCCCTCCACGAACGATTCAAACAGCAGTACGGTGGCTCCGAAGCACAGATGATGGCTCAACTTCGCGACATCCCTCCTGTAGCAGGGGCAATCCTGTGGGTCCGTCAAATCGAAGCACAGTTGAACAACTATATGTCCAAGGTTCAAGCGGTACTAGGAGAAGACTGGATGCTACATACCGACGGGGAGAAGCTGGAAGCGGAGAGCAATCTGTTTCGCAAGAAGCTTACAACCAGGGATATCTATGAGGCATGGCTTAGGGATGTCCAGGCGAGGGACATCTCTGTCACCGGCAGACTATTCTCTATTTCTCGGAGTCGTACAGCTAATGGTGCCATGGAGCTCATTGTGAACTTTGACAATCATGCCATTTCCCTGTTCAAGGAGGTCAGAAATCTGAGTTGGCTGAACTACCAAATTCCACATCGGATAGCAACAACCGCCAAGCAAGCTCAGCGTGTATATCCATACGCTTTGAGCCTTATGGAGAGCGTTGCAGGGTACTTTTCCGCAGTCCGAGCCATTCAAGAAATGCCCAACATTGCACCTCTGATGGCCGGGTATGAGAAGGAAGTGCAGAGCCTCTTTGCCACCGGCATCAAACTCCGCTGGGACTCTTTCATTCACTCTTATGAACTCCACATCAAAGGGAAAGCGACTACAAATGACTCGGCTCATGTGCAGTACGTCCGTGATTTGGCTACAGCGGTCACAACTCTGCAAAGCAAGACTGCGACTGTGCGAAGCCTCGACCAAAGCATCCAGGTTGCTCTTTCTGAGATGAAGAGCTGCCCCTATACAGCCAAGAATTTCCAGGCCCAAATGGACATCATCCAGAATGCTGTGGACAAGATGAATCTCGAGAACTATTCAAATCTCTCTAATTGGGTCTCGCAGCTGAACTCGCAGTTGCGCCACATCTTCGAGGAACGACTACGAGCTGCTCTCAGGTACTGGATTACTTCTTTCACCTCCACAGACGAACAATACCCAGTCTCAGAGGAGTCAATCCATCATGTTCAGTTTCCCCTTACACAAATTGAGATCATGATGAATAATCAGACAGTTTTCGTCGATCCTCCTCTCAACTTTGTCAAGGCTTCATGGGTGCTCCAGCTAGAAGACTGGTTGGAAGTCTTGTGTCACTTGCCTCAGGTCAGAGCTTCTCGATACTCGGTGACTGCAGATATCGGTTCACCGCAAGCATCGCCTTCATTCACAGATCTACCGCTGCAGAATGTTGAGGTTCTGCAGGCCGCCTACAACGCCATCGACACCAGGATCGAAAATATGGCGGTTTACCTCGAGGAGTGGTACACCTACCAGAATCTGTGGGATCTCCGGAGCGATCAGTTACATGAAACCCTGGGTGATGATCTCGCTCAATGGCACCAGCTACTACAAGAAGTTCGACATGCACGTTCAACATTTGACACCTCCGAGGGACGCAAGAGCTTCGGCAGTGTGGTGTTTGATTATGAGCAGGTCCAATCGAAGATTACACAGAAATATGATCAATGGCAATATGAGATAACCAGCAAATTTGGCGGCATTCTCGGCAATCGTATGGCCGAAGTGTACACTGATATGAAACGATCACGCCTCGAGCTCGAAAATCATTCCTTAGAGGCGTCATCCACTGCACAAGCTGTTGCATTCATCACCATTGTCCAACAGTGCAGACGAAATGCTATAATATGGGGCCCTGAAGTCGACATCTTCAGACAAGGCCAGACAACCCTTTCAAGACAGCGGTACAATTTTGCCAGTGACTGGCTTTCTGCAAACCAAGTGAGCGACGAATGGGATGCTTTCGAAGAGATATTGAATCGCAAAAGCAAGATTGTTGAAGATCAGACGGATGCGCTGCGGGCCAACATCATTGCAGAAGACCGCGTTATCGGCAGCCGCATAGCTGATGTGGTTGCTCAGTGGACGGAGGAGAAGCCGGTTTCCGGAACAATTCCACCTGCAGAAGCTGCTGAGCTCTTGCGTGTCTACCAAACTCGTATGGAGAAGTTGCAAGCGGAAGCTGAAACTGTCTCGAGAGCGAAAG